ATGGTCATTAATATGCAGTTAATTCAATTTGTTACTCTCCTGATGGTACTACATTAGCATCTGGTAGTTCAGATATGTCTATCCGATTATGGGATGCTAAGACAGGATAATAAAAAGCCTATTTAGATGGTCATTCTAGGGCAGTTAATTCAATTTGTTACTCTCCTGATGGTACTACATTGGCATCTGGTAGTGAAGATAACTCTATCCGTCTTTGGAATGTACAATCATCAAAAGAAATACTTCAATCAGATAGTAGCTATGAAGATTTGCTTGCCTAATTTAACATACCACTTCAGAATAGCTCCTTATTGCCAATTGGTATTTATTATTAATTATTATTTAGTTAATCTTGATCGTACAATACTTAGAATATGTTAGAAACCTTTATTTGAAGCATCAGGAACACTTATCTTATAAGGATAATTTAGTAATCATTAAGGGAAAGATTTAAAACCATTGTTTAAATCCAAAGGAAGTTGTTTTTTAGAGATCTTATAGCAAAAGTGAATTTGAATATTCATTAAAAACATTACAATTATAATTTTAATCATTTTCTTATACCTTTTTTAATAATATGTGTTTTTTGTTACTATTTAAATTTTTGGATAATATTGAAATGTTAGAAACAACGGTTATAAATTAATATTTATAGACGTACAATACACTATTAAATTAATATTATAAACAGAGTAAACATGTTTAGTCGTAATAAAGATTATTTATAGTTTAGTAAAATTTAAATCTTTAGTTTAGAAAAAGGTAATGATACAATTAATAACAAAGATAAGAAGAAAGATACATTTAAATAATTTAAAAAATAAAATTAAACTGACTAATAATCTTAAATGATAAAAAAGTTAAACATTGGGATTGAATGATTTTTAAAATAACACTACTCTAATCTTGGTAATATTTTCGTAACCTGTTAAGTATTATTTTCAATTGATATTAAACGTATTAGATAGAATAAAGGACTGAAAAGATATATTAATCATCAATAAGTATTCTAACCCCTGATAAGATGTAGAGATCATAATTATATCCATCCCTAACAATACTCTTAATTAAGTTCTATATGAATTACATCCAAAGGAGATACTTTGAATAATAAATTTGCAAATATAATGAACAGATATTAATCACTAAGATATGAACTATGTAATCTTACCTCAAAGAGATTTTTTTTAGAAATTAATTAATATTTACACAACGATAATATCAGTCAACTAGTTCAATTTGATTAATTGTGTATAAAATTACAAAATTACACAAGTTTGGATTTCATAAACATAATTGAGAATATTAAAAAAATAACAAAATTTTGTTCTTCTGTATAACTATGGATTTACCCTATTAAACAATAAATTTTTAAAATTAACTACATTTATTTATATTCCATAAATGTAGTATTTTCTCTTAAAAGTTCTAATGTTACGGCACAAACAGTAAGAGAGATAGAGCAGCTTGTTTTTACAAAAAGGATATCTTTCTATTTTAACATAACTTTCGTTATATCCATTCAGTAAGGAATTATTTTAGTATCCTGTTTTGACAGGGTAGAAATTTTATCTTCAAATAATCGTTATAAGGATAACCCTTCAACTATTTAAAATAGTGTTCTTCCAGAAAGTGGTATTTATTTTCGCTATTTTTTAGCTAACCCTTATATTACCATTCTAAAAATTTCCTAGATTCCTAATATAGATGCTTAAGGAGCTTTAATTTTGAAAGGAGAGTTTATTGATCGACCCAAACCCAACCCTATAAAGTTCTTTCTATTGTTGTAAATAATGATTATGCATGGTATCATAATGGTGATAAACTTCAAATTTTGTGATTAGATTCCCAGCAAAAACAATGGAGTTCTGAAGATTCGTCCAAGCTGTATTAATCTGAAATTTTTGATGAGATGATTAATTGACTAAAAAGTTAAGAATTAATAATTAATTTTATAGATAAAGTATTAACCACCTCCAGAGAAGCTTCCATGAGCATCCCAATAATATAAGAACTATCCATCATTAGTTTATGATCCAAATATTCGAGCAAATTTACAAGTAATAACTCCTGCAATTTTGATTTCATCATTTATGTATTACTTTAGTACATATATTCTTATTTTATATTTGACGCTTACTATCTTTCTATTAATTATAACAGATTGAAAAAAACTGAAAGCCAAATTCCTTCTTATTTTTGATAATTTTATTCTCTTTTATAAATTTTCATAATTACCTACTATTATGATAAAACAAAAATGCAATCCAAGCTCTCACTTTCCCCTGATACCAAGATAAATTTGTTGTCATTTCAGCAACTTGATCCAAATTCTTCGACAAGTTTTGTTTTGCTTATTGTTTTTAATACACTATGTTTTAAAATTAATTATAATTAAAATTTTTAACAATAACAGTTGATTAAGTAAGAATTGTATTAAATGGTTGACGTCGCCATATTATCCAGGAGTTTAGTAATTAATATAGCTTTTTTTGGAGTTTCAATTAAGAATAAAAATGAATTAATTAAAAATGCTATTTATAAAAGTCAAAAAATAAAAACCTCTGTTTATACCTGATAAAAATGAAGAAAGAACGACTTTTAACTTCATTTATCTAAGTATAATAATCTAAAATTAATTTTCTGTAAAAAAAACATTCATTTTTGCTTTTCATGCCATCTTGAACCTAATTGTAAGTAGTTGTGATTTATTTTGTTAAATGTTTTTCCTCCCAATTTCTTGAATGGAACTTTTTCCCTTAAAATAAGTATTGAAAATTTAGAAATTCTAACATTTATAAAAATCGAAAGTTGAAAACTTTTGAAGTTTGAAGTATGTCTATTATAATTGTAAACTTATAATGAATTAAGAAGTTTTATAATTCAATTACTCATTGTACTAATATTTGAACTATAAAATTTGCTTTGATTCGAAGTAATTCTTAAATATCAACTTGTATTTTAAGGATAAACTTGAATACTAAGGGATATTTTTTTTTTAATATAGACAAATAGTTTTAAATGAGGAAAAAAAGTAGTATTCTAAATTAATTTATAGTTATTAACAGAGCAAAATAGAATATAATAAATATAATAATATTTCCCAGTTTATGAAAGTTAAAAATTGTAATTTGAAATGTATACATATTAAAGGCAATGGTGATACATACTTACAATCTCTTAGTTTGATGAAATATTTTTTTGAAGACTGTAAATAGAGTATTGTGATTACATTATTATTTAGGGAAGCTTTTAGATTATGATTATCTAAAGGGGCAGCCAATGTAATTCTATGATAAAATACACGAAACGTACAAATACGCTATTTTTTCTTATATTTGTAAAGGTTAGTACAACTTAATAATTTCAATTAGGGATATCACTAGATTATTTATAAAAATACAAAGAAGCGATTGCTTGCTATGATCAAGCTCTTAAGTTGAATCCTTTAAATCAGGAAGCATTTAAGTATAAAGGTATCCCTTATAAATATATTATTAGGAATTTCTTTATCCTAACTTGAACTCAATGAGAAATCTATTTAATGCTACAATTAATATATTAAGCTAAATCAACAAGACACAGAAATATACTATCGAAAAGGTACATGAAATAAGAAAAAAAGGAATTTCATTACAGTTTTTAGATCGATATGAAGAAGCTCTAACATGTTATGATTAAGCTCTACAATTGACCTCTTAATTTATTTAGAATAATTAGGGTAATGAACCACCATTCATCAATAGTCAAAGCCCAGGCTTAAATTCCTCAAAAGTTAAAAAATCAATATGAAGATACTATTTCTTCGTATAATGAATTTCTTTAATAGAATCCAAAACATCTTTAAACATATATTAATAAAGGTAAAATTAGATCATAATAATTTTTAAGCAATATTACTAAACTAATTAGAGAGATTTGAAGAGGCTTTGATGTGCTATAATTAAGCAATCCATTTAAATGCAAAGAACTTTGACGCATTAAATGGCAAAGGTATACAATAATATATTCTTTTAGGAATTTCATTACATTATCTAAAAAGATATTATTTGGCACTTGATTGCTTTGATAAAGCTCTGAAAGTTAATGCTTCAGAAATTAAAGCACTTGTTAATAAAGGTAACAGANCATCCCAATAATATAAGAACTATCCATCATTAGTTTATGATCCAAATATTCGAGCAAATTTACAAGTAATAACTCCTGCAATTTTGATTTCATCATTTATGTATTACTTTAGTACATATATTCTTATTTTATATTTGACGCTTACTATCTTTCTATTAATTATAACAGATTGAAAAAAACTGAAAGCCAAATTCCTTCTTATTTTTGATAATTTTATTCTCTTTTATAAATTTTCATAATTACCTACTATTATGATAAAACAAAAATGCAATCCAAGCTCTCACTTTCCCCTGATACCAAGATAAATTTGTTGTCATTTCAGCAACTTGATCCAAATTCTTCGACAAGTTTTGTTTTGCTTATTGTTTTTAATACACTATGTTTTAAAATTAATTATAATTAAAATTTTTAACAATAACAGTTGATTAAGTAAGAATTGTATTAAATGGTTGACGTCGCCATATTATCCAGGAGTTTAGTAATTAATATAGCTTTTTTTGGAGTTTCAATTAAGAATAAAAATGAATTAATTAAAAATGCTATTTATAAAAGTCAAAAAATAAAAACCTCTGTTTATACCTGATAAAAATGAAGAAAGAACGACTTTTAACTTCATTTATCTAAGTATAATAATCTAAAATTAATTTTCTGTAAAAAAAACATTCATTTTTGCTTTTCATGCCATCTTGAACCTAATTGTAAGTAGTTGTGATTTATTTTGTTAAATGTTTTTCCTCCCAATTTCTTGAATGGAACTTTTTCCCTTAAAATAAGTATTGAAAATTTAGAAATTCTAACATTTATAAAAATCGAAAGTTGAAAACTTTTGAAGTTTGAAGTATGTCTATTATAATTGTAAACTTATAATGAATTAAGAAGTTTTATAATTCAATTACTCATTGTACTAATATTTGAACTATAAAATTTGCTTTGATTCGAAGTAATTCTTAAATATCAACTTGTATTTTAAGGATAAACTTGAATACTAAGGGATATTTTTTTTTTAATATAGACAAATAGTTTTAAATGAGGAAAAAAAGTAGTATTCTAAATTAATTTATAGTTATTAACAGAGCAAAATAGAATATAATAAATATAATAATATTTCCCAGTTTATGAAAGTTAAAAATTGTAATTTGAAATGTATACATATTAAAGGCAATGGTGATACATACTTACAATCTCTTAGTTTGATGAAATATTTTTTTGAAGACTGTAAATAGAGTATTGTGATTACATTATTATTTAGGGAAGCTTTTAGATTATGATTATCTAAAGGGGCAGCCAATGTAATTCTATGATAAAATACACGAAACGTACAAATACGCTATTTTTTCTTATATTTGTAAAGGTTAGTACAACTTAATAATTTCAATTAGGGATATCACTAGATTATTTATAAAAATACAAAGAAGCGATTGCTTGCTATGATCAAGCTCTTAAGTTGAATCCTTTAAATCAGGAAGCATTTAAGTATAAAGGTATCCCTTATAAATATATTATTAGGAATTTCTTTATCCTAACTTGAACTCAATGAGAAATCTATTTAATGCTACAATTAATATATTAAGCTAAATCAACAAGACACAGAAATATACTATCGAAAAGGTACATGAAATAAGAAAAAAAGGAATTTCATTACAGTTTTTAGATCGATATGAAGAAGCTCTAACATGTTATGATTAAGCTCTACAATTGACCTCTTAATTTATTTAGAATAATTAGGGTAATGAACCACCATTCATCAATAGTCAAAGCCCAGGCTTAAATTCCTCAAAAGTTAAAAAATCAATATGAAGATACTATTTCTTCGTATAATGAATTTCTTTAATAGAATCCAAAACATCTTTAAACATATATTAATAAAGGTAAAATTAGATCATAATAATTTTTAAGCAATATTACTAAACTAATTAGAGAGATTTGAAGAGGCTTTGATGTGCTATAATTAAGCAATCCATTTAAATGCAAAGAACTTTGACGCATTAAATGGCAAAGGTATACAATAATATATTCTTTTAGGAATTTCATTACATTATCTAAAAAGATATTATTTGGCACTTGATTGCTTTGATAAAGCTCTGAAAGTTAATGCTTCAGAAATTAAAGCACTTGTTAATAAAGGTAACAGAAGGACTTATATATTAAATTTTTTAGGAATTTGCTTAACTTAATTAGATAGGTTTTAAGAAGCAATAGTTTGTTATGATAAAGCCATCTTAATAAGCAAAAATTAACTTAACTATTTTATTCAAAAAGGTATCACATTTTTTTATGTTGTAAATAGGAATTTAATTATAAGAGATAATACTTTATAATAAAGCTATTTAAAATAATTAAGTCTAAGGTAATAGCTTTTTTAATCCATTAGAATTCCAAGATAAATAACAAGAATAACTTTAAACTTTATCCTTCTCTGATTGTTAAATTAATTCATTTACATAAATTGATAAAATTTATCTTAATAAAGGTAATAAATTTTAATTTATTGTCTTTAGGTATAGCATTAAGCTAATTATAAAGCTATGAAGACTCTTTACTTTGTTATGAGTAGGCTTAAAAAATAAATGCAATTAATCCAGAATCTCATATTCAAAAAGGTATTTTAATCATTAATGAGGGATTACTTTGTATTATTTAAATCGATATGGAGAAGCAATTGCTTGCTATGATTAAGCTAAACAACTGGACTCAAAAAATATCAAGTGTTATTTAAACAAAGGTATAATATAATTTTCTAGAAATGCAAAGGAATGGCTTTAAATCAATTAGACTAATACAATGAAGCTATAGTATGTTTTGACTAGGCAATTAAAATAGATCCTTAAAATTATGAGATATTTTATAATAAAGGTATTTTAATTATTTATTTAGGTGTTTCATTACAATACTTAAAATAATTCAATAGTGCTGTGCATTGTTATGATCAGGCACTGAAACTTAACCCAAAGTATCCTGATTTATATATCAGCAAAGGTAGAAAGCATATCTTTATAATAGGAATCTCCCTACATATGCAAAAACGATATGATGAAGCTATAAATTAATATAATTAGGCTATCGAATTGAACAAAGAAAATGCGGAACCTTATTATAGAAAAGGTATTGATGACAGTTTAATAATAACATAGGATTTTCATTATATGACTAATAGAAATATTAAGAGGCTCTAAATGCCTATGATCTTGCCCTTAAATTTATGCCATAAAATACAAAGATAATTATTCATAAAGGTAGCAAATATTGTATTTGTTAGGGATTTCTTTAATGCAACTAGAATAACACTAAGAAGCGATAAAGTAGTTTGATCTAGCTATTTTAATTAACCCAAATGAATTAGATGCTTATAGTTGGAAGGGTAAATATTAAAATCATTTTAGGATTCTCACTAGAAAATTAACATATGTATGCAAAGGCAATCCAAACATACAGATAAGCGCAATGCTTATTAGAAAATTAGGAGAATGAATATTAATTAAATATTTTGGCTTGGCAAAAAGAACGTTGAGATAATTGAATTTATAAACAAAAATACAATACTACAATATCATTTTTTAATAATTGTTAACAATTTTTTTTTAATTTCATTTAATTTGAAATCATAATTTACTTTTGGTTCAAATTATATCGTTTTGCAATAATTCATGAATTAGCAAACATGATATCCGCAAGAATAACCGTCAGTTTACTAACCAGAAAAATTAGAGAACTACTTTTTAAGTTGCTTTATTTTTAATAACTTTTCAAGAGCAAGAATTAACTGTTAATCTACGTTCATCTGATTAGTAGGCTTTTATAAAGAGTCAAAAACAGTACAACTATTCTGTTTTAAATCAAAAAGTAGAAAATACCAATGATAGTTATTCTTGTTTACAGGCATACCTATATATGTGTATATTTTTTTTAAGTCATAATTCAGATCTTAAAATTATAGCAATTCAGCTTCATAGATGTTCTTTGTATGTTAATCAGTATAATTTCTTCCAAAATTAGTAGTCAGAGTAGTTGGTAAAAATAGGATCCTGTTGATATTTTATCGATTTTTTCTATTCTTTGAAAAATAATCTTTTTCACTTTCTAAATTAAGGTACAAAACATAAGCATCAATAATGCTGCTTGTTAATCGTCGATTATTTTCTAGAATCTAAATATCCTTTATTGAAATTTATTAGTTATATTTGCACCAACTTTCACATTAGAGGAATTAGTGTTGATACTTGTTAAGTTAATCGTTATTATTTACTTATAAACCTGTTTAAACATCGATTATTTTAATCTTTTTGTTTGGGGCGCTTTTTGATCTTTAATTTCTTGCATCATCCTTAAAAATGCCATTTTCAAATTATCCTTAAAATTTAATAAGGTTAGATTTGCCAGAAAACTCTTTTCCATCGCCATCTAATACGAATTCTTTTTTACTTAAGCAAACCCTAAATGGGCCTTCTTGAATTTTAAATTTTGGGTTCCCATCCTTATCAAATTCAGTAAAATATAATTTTCCATTTGCTATATAATACTATTTTGTATTTGAACATTCTTAAAATTAAGACTGTGAGTTGAAATAAAACAGTAAATTCTCATTAATTAAAAGTTTCTCATATATTGATTAATCAGTAGAAATATGCTCATAAAATNAATGCAACTAGAATAACACTAAGAAGCGATAAAGTAGTTTGATCTAGCTATTTTAATTAACCCAAATGAATTAGATGCTTATAGTTGGAAGGGTAAATATTAAAATCATTTTAGGATTCTCACTAGAAAATTAACATATGTATGCAAAGGCAATCCAAACATACAGATAAGCGCAATGCTTATTAGAAAATTAGGAGAATGAATATTAATTAAATATTTTGGCTTGGCAAAAAGAACGTTGAGATAATTGAATTTATAAACAAAAATACAATACTACAATATCATTTTTTAATAATTGTTAACAATTTTTTTTTAATTTCATTTAATTTGAAATCATAATTTACTTTTGGTTCAAATTATATCGTTTTGCAATAATTCATGAATTAGCAAACATGATATCCGCAAGAATAACCGTCAGTTTACTAACCAGAAAAATTAGAGAACTACTTTTTAAGTTGCTTTATTTTTAATAACTTTTCAAGAGCAAGAATTAACTGTTAATCTACGTTCATCTGATTAGTAGGCTTTTATAAAGAGTCAAAAACAGTACAACTATTCTGTTTTAAATCAAAAAGTAGAAAATACCAATGATAGTTATTCTTGTTTACAGGCATACCTATATATGTGTATATTTTTTTTAAGTCATAATTCAGATCTTAAAATTATAGCAATTCAGCTTCATAGATGTTCTTTGTATGTTAATCAGTATAATTTCTTCCAAAATTAGTAGTCAGAGTAGTTGGTAAAAATAGGATCCTGTTGATATTTTATCGATTTTTTCTATTCTTTGAAAAATAATCTTTTTCACTTTCTAAATTAAGGTACAAAACATAAGCATCAATAATGCTGCTTGTTAATCGTCGATTATTTTCTAGAATCTAAATATCCTTTATTGAAATTTATTAGTTATATTTGCACCAACTTTCACATTAGAGGAATTAGTGTTGATACTTGTTAAGTTAATCGTTATTATTTACTTATAAACCTGTTTAAACATCGATTATTTTAATCTTTTTGTTTGGGGCGCTTTTTGATCTTTAATTTCTTGCATCATCCTTAAAAATGCCATTTTCAAATTATCCTTAAAATTTAATAAGGTTAGATTTGCCAGAAAACTCTTTTCCATCGCCATCTAATACGAATTCTTTTTTACTTAAGCAAACCCTAAATGGGCCTTCTTGAATTTTAAATTTTGGGTTCCCATCCTTATCAAATTCAGTAAAATATAATTTTCCATTTGCTATATAATACTATTTTGTATTTGAACATTCTTAAAATTAAGACTGTGAGTTGAAATAAAACAGTAAATTCTCATTAATTAAAAGTTTCTCATATATTGATTAATCAGTAGAAATATGCTCATAAAATTGTTAATCATCTTCAGTTAAAAATTTCCCCTGGTTTGTATTTGGTTGAATTTAGAAATCATCATTTTAATTTTTAATTATTTTTTGTGGTTGGTTGAGATTTGATATTCTACTTATATTATCAGTTATGGATTATATATTTTTTTAATAATAATTATGCTATTTAGGAACATAATTGAAATAATTATGTCTCTTTTGTCTAAAAAATGAAATGATTCTTACGGTGAGCTTGATAGAGGTGATAAAATTCGTTTTTTATCTTAAATTTCTGATTCTTGATCCATTTAGAATATTTTGCAATCTAATTTATGATTTATAAATCACAATATTTTGATTAAGAATTTAAGTTTGAGTAAAATGGTTTACTAATAGTAGAACACATTTTATATTTACATGGTTTTGAATTAATTCAGATCTAATTCTTTCAATTCTACAACAAGACTTTAAAGACAACTAGTCTTCAATAGACTTAAAAATTTCCATTTTTTATTCTTTATTTGGCAATAATATAAATAATAAATATCGAAATTCATTAATCATCGAGAGTTATTGACTAGAAGCATCTATATTGGTAATATATCAATTTTATTGCCTAAATAAAAATTTATACATAATTATGGAAAGTAGAGTTTTGCAATTAGAACTGAGATGTTATAATTAATGCAAAAGAATGGCAATTTATCTGAATATTTTTAGTAAGATAATCAATTTGCCCCTCCTCCTTTATTGGAACATTAATATGTTGTTGAGTTGAATAACATATCAAAGGAACCTAAGAGGAAATTATAAATGATGGAATCAAATATATCTGAATAATACCCTCTTTCATTCAAATTAGAATTTTGCTAATGAGAGAAATGAAATATTTTTTGGCAAGAATTAAAAACAAGTGAGTTAAATTGTTTAATAAATTTTCCCTATATAAATTCAATAATCAAAATCAAGAGGACATGAGTAGTCCAACTACAATTGAGGTAAATCCAAGAATATAACCAGAATCTGTATTGGTTTCGTTACCAGTGCTTGAATTATTATTATCAGAATTGTTTGGTTAGACGACAACTGTTCCACATTGAGTACATTTGGAGTTTGTTGGATTCCATGAATAAAGATATGCGGTCAAAGTGTAGCAATCTCCTTCCTTTAAAGTATCAGCAGTAGTAGCAGTGCAGGCACCGCTGACTGTTGAACAAACGTTGTATTTCTTTTAATCCCAAGTAAAGAAGTATTTGCAACTTAAGACTTAAGCAGCATATGTAAGACAAGTGTGATCAGCACAAAGTTTTGTTTTTGAGTCCATTTAGCATCTATCATTAGCTTATGTGCAAGCATTAGCATCACCTCCTGCTGCAGCGCAACTAGTCATCAAAGAGCATTTTCCAGTTGTGGTTCCTCCAGTGGTAGTTTCAGTCCAAACACAAATACCATCAGTTCCTTTGGAATTGCAAGCAGTCTTGGTAGTGTATGTTGAACAGTTAGCTTTAGCAATGCAAGCGGTTCCATTTGAAACACAATTAGCAACTCCTTAACAAGCTTAGGTTGTTGTACCATTTGGAATATCAGAGCAAACCTTGGTTCTGCAACTTCCTGTAGCATCAGCTGCAACCCAGAAGCAAGATCCTTCGGTACCACCAGCAACATTACAAGCTCCTTAAGTTGTGTAACTATTACAAGCTCCTTTAACAAGACACTTAACTCCATCTGATGTGCATGTCTTCAATCTGGAGGAGCATTCTGATTCTGTAGTAAAATTTAGATCTGAACATTGTTCATCTTTGCATTATTTTGCGGTATCATCCCAATTGCAATTACCAGTTGATGTTATTAATCCATTAGCATCTTTTAATGTTCCATCCTTATTCTTGTGGCATTAGTTTTGGGTATATGTTGAGCATGCTGCCAATGGAATACACCCAGCTAAGTAATCAGATGTGCAATTTGGATTAGCTGAATAACATTCATCATGGGTTAAGAAATAAGCATCAGCACATGATGTAAACTTCTTACAAATAGTGTCTGTAGCTCCTTTAGCGGACACTGTTTAAATACACTATCCATCTGTTCCTATCTTGCAACCTCCCTTAATGTTTGTGGCTGCACAACTTGTAATTCCTACACATTCAGTACCATCAGTTGTACAATTTGGAGAAATCAATTTGCAGTTTGGATCACTGGTCCAATCTAAACTCTTGCATGATTCATAAGAGAAGCAAGCTCCAAGGGTAGCATCAGCATTCACATATTTAGCAATCCACAAGCAAGGACCATCGTTACCTTCAATGCAAGCAGCTCTAACTTTAATATCTTAACAATTAGTCATTTTAGCGCATTTTCCATTTAATCCTGCTGTGCAACCTGTTTTTTGTTTTTAGCAAGCAGCATGGGTTGTTCCAGCAAAATCTTTACATTCTTTTAATCTACAAGTACTAGTTTCAGTTTCCCATTAACAGTCATTTTTATCTTTGTCAGTAATACAAGCTGCGGCAACATTAGCAGATGTGCATGCTCCCTTAAGTGTGCAACCTCCCTCTTTCTTGGTAGTACATGTTCCTACTGAAGGTGTAAAGTAGGCAATACATTAAGCTTCGGTTGTCAATGATGTTGGGGCAGTTGTGCAACTCTTGTTTGTACAGTAAGCATCTTATCCTGTTGGAGTCATCCATTAGCACTACTTCAAATAGGAATCTGTAACACATCCAGCTTCAGCTTATGCTTAATTGCAATATCCTCTTTTAACGCAATTAACTCCATTTGATGTACAAGTAGAGAGTGCTGCTTTGCATAAAGCATCAGTTGTTAATGGGAAATCTTCACATATTTTGGTTTTGCATTTAATAGTATCGGTGGTGCAACCAGATAAATAAGTGTCACATTCTGATTCTGATCCAGTGTTTGGAGAATTTTCACATTTCTTTGTTATACACTTGCCATCAGTTGTATCCCAGAAGCATTTTCTTGATGATTTGTCAACTGATCCATCATAGCATTGGCTTACTGTCATTCCTTCACAGACATCAGGTATAGCAACACAACCATTATCTGTTGCATTAACAGTGCAACCAGCTAAATAACTTTTACATAAAGCTGGAGTGTTCACAGTTTACTAAGCAGTTTAGCAACTCTTATTGGCACAAGAAGTTCCATTCCATCCACATAAAATATTTGCACCTTTGTCATCCTTCTCACTACTAACCTAACATTATCCTTCAAGATTGTATAAATTACATGTTTTATATGCAACACACCCTTAAAGTGTTGGTGTTCCATTGACATCAACAACATTTACTGTGCATCCAGAAAGGTATCCTTTACATCCATCATGATCATTATAGGATGCAGTTGGAGCAGTGGCACATGATATGTCAGCACAAGTAGCTGGATCAGTATTTGTATTCCAAACACAGTTCTCATCTTTTGCATTTTTCTTGCATTATTCTTCTATTGTGTATGAACTACAAGCAGCAAATGGAATACAACCTTGACCAATTGCCTTGTCTGCAGTTGCTTTGACTGTGCATTTTCCAGCGTTTGAACATTTAGTATGACTATCAAAACTTGTTGATGCTTCGGCTGCACTACAACTTTTATCAACACATTTAGCTGCTGTAGGATTCCACAAACATTCACTTCCGCTAGCATTCTTAACGCAGGCACCCTAAACTGTATATGAAGCACAATTGTTTCTAAATTAACATCCTCCTACTCTAAGAGCACAATTTGTTGAAACTGCTTAACATCCAGCTAAAGTAGTAACAGTAGAGGCTGCTGAATCACAATTCTTTTAAACACAAGCAGTTCCAGAAACTACACATTCTCCTTCGTTTTTTGCATATCCACACTCAGTAGTAGTATATTCTGTGCAAGTATCTTTTATGGTGATACAAGCAGTCTTAGCTGCATTTACAGAGCAAGTATTTATGAAACCTATGCAAGCTTCATAAGTAAATGGACCAGTATAACTACCACAGGTTGGAGTTACAGCAGCAGAGGCAGAGATGGCATCACAACCAGATTTATCTGCTTTAGCCTGACAACCATATAAATTACAAATTGCATCGGTATATGTTATTGCAGCTGGTCCTGTTTTAAAGAGTTTTACAGTGAGGCAAGGATTGGCAACAGTAGCATCATAAGCCACACATCCATCGCCATCAGAATTAATAATACATTTCGTTTAAGTGTTACCTGAAAGGCAATCAGCCCAAGGAGTAGTTGCAAAATTAGCACAATTTGCTTATTTCTCAACACAACCAGTCAATTCTGAATTTGCTGAACATGTATTACCACCAGTACTAATTCCTTTACAATATGCAGGAGTCAATCCTATTCCTGTAATTGAACCACAGTTGGTTGCAGTAATTAAGGCACCACTAGCTAAAGTGCAAGTAGTACCACTTAAATAACATTTTCCGTCATCTGCACCTGTACAATTAGCTGCGGATGTACCTGCACATGTAGCAACTGTCATCACACATCCGGTACCATCTCTTTTGAGTGTACATTAAGGGTTATATGCTTAGCAGGTGTCATAATTGAATGGACCTGTGAAAGCTGTGCAGTTTGCAGTACATTTTGTTCCAGTTGTCCATGTACAAGAAGCTTTCTTGCTCTAGCAAATGGCAGCGCTAGTTCCAATTATGTCACTGCATTTAGTTGCGTCTACTATTTTTGCACAAGCAGTTCCATTCCAATAACAAAATTTATCAGTACTAGCCCAAACACAGCTTCCTTCTACTATACCTGCACAATTTGCTGCTGCAGTCAGACAAGCTGTCCCATCTACTTTCACAGAGCATGTTGTACTCAAATATTAGCAATATTATAGCGTAAATCCTGTTCCTGTTGCTAGAGTGCAGTCAATAGTTGCATCAGCGCATGCTGTACCATTCCATGCACATTACTACTTTCTACCTAATGTATGTGCCAAGCAAGCACCCTCATTCTTTATAGCTGCACAAGTAGCTGATTTCAAAGTACATTTCTTTTATGTTAATGTACATTTTTTAGAATATAATTAACATTTACCATCAGTATCGTTACTAGTTGAATCTTCTGCATCTGCACAAGATTTATCTTTACAGCTACCACTAAAGACACAAGTGTTTCCTGCAGTATCTACTTAACATTATTCAGTAACAGAATATTTATCACATGCAACTTTATCTTAGCATTTATTTAAAGCTGCATTAACTGTACATGTGGTAATGGCATCTTAACAATTAGTATGACTGTAAGTATCCAATGTGATATTTGCACAATTTTTATCTTTACAAGATGTTGATTTTACATCCCAATAGCAATCCTTAGTTTAAGAATCACTAACCAAGATCACGCCTGCCTATTTACAAGCAGTTTCAGCTAATCCACTGCAAGCCTTAGGTCTGGGAATACACTTATCACCTGCTGTATTAATAACACATTTCAAGCTATAATAAGTCCAACAACCATTTTAAGTTACACCTCCTTTTAAACTAACAAGATGTGCATTTTCACATTTAATATCAATACAAACTGGTTTGGTTGCATCAGTTTAATCATCCCATTAACATTTTAACGGAGTAATAGTTCTAACTTATTCAATTTCACAATTGTCTTCTAGCTTTCTTCCTCCGCAAGTGGCAGGAAGATCAATACAACCAGCTTCGTCATTATCAACAACACATCCTGATTTATAACCAGTACATCCAGCACTTGTAGTATAAGTAGTAGCTGAGGCAGTAAGGCAAGATTAGTCGACACAATTTTTTCCAATCAATCCACATTTTCCACCACCTTTCTTAATTTGACAACCTTCTGTAGTGGTAATAGCATCACATTTAATAGGTAAATCCATACATCCTGAACCTGAATTATCTAAAGTGCATGTGGACAAATATTAACTGCATTATAAATGAGTATTAAAGTCTTTGGATGCTAAGGCACATTACTTTTAATAGCATTTTCCTTTGTATACACAAGGTTTACTATTTAAATCAGTATTGCAGTTTCCATCGTCTTACACGTTCTCACATGTCTTGTCAACACAAGTTGAACCGCTTCCAACAGTGCAAGTATTTAAAAATTGACTACATAAAGTATGGCTGTTATTTGATACAGGTGCATTAGTACAAATCTTAGTTAAGCACTTTCCGCTATCCCAGAAACAAGGTTTATTATTTACATCTGTTTTGCAAGCTATTTCCAAGTCTATTGCCTCACAATTTGTATTAACTCTACATCCTCCTGCATTTTAGGTCACGCAATTTGAGTTTGGAAGATAAGCTTCACATAATTCATTGGTATTATTGGTTTTTGGAGCATTAGTGCATTCTCTTTTTTAACATCCAGAAGCAGCACCTACTTTTGCTGTACATGTAGCCATATATGTAGTACATTGTTCATGTCCAACATATTAACTACCAGCATTATCACAGGTCTTGTCTTTACAAAATTATCCATCCCAATGGCATGGAGCTCCAGCTAATGTTTTATCACAAGCATCCTTGAAAGTTGCAGCACCACAACCAGTGTTATCTGTGCATCCACTTCCTGTGGTAATGCATGTTTTCAGATATGACTAGCAACTTGTATTAGTTTTATTAGTATTTAAAGCATTTGCGCATGTTTTATCTAAACATGCTGTGCCATTCCAGAAACAATCAGATCCCTGACTATTTTTAACGCAAGCGGCTTATATTACGCCTCCGCAATTTGATCTTGTAACACAACCCCCACCTTGTTTGGTAGTACATGTTGAAATAAAGGTTTTGCATGCATCATCTGTAACCAGATCAGTTGGAGCATTATCACATGTCTTATCCATACATTTTCCTTTACTCCAAAAGCATGCTACATTTGATCTGTCCTTAACGCAACCAATTTCAGCAACTTAATCTTCACATTTAACTCCCAATTCAATACATCCTCCTCCTTCTTTGGCTGTGCATTTAGAAAGCTAAGCTCTGCAGACAGCGTCAGATGTTAATGTAAGTGGCAATTTAGGACAGTCGTCAGCATCTTCACATTTAGGGTTGGCTGCATCTGTTATGTTCCAGTAGCAATATCTTTCAGAAGCATTCAAAACACATGATTTAGAAGTCAAATAGGTTGAGCATGCTGCCTTTTCGACGCATCTTACTCCATCTGTAATACATCTGGTTGAGACTGCTTAACATTTTGCATCATCATCATAGACAAATGGTGTGCATGCAGTAAAGTGAGTACAAGCCTTGCCATCCCATGCGCAAGGGTTCTTCTTTGGGCATTCTTCTGCTGTATTGAATTAATCACAGTATGCAGCAAAGGTTGTTGTGTCTGTTGGTGTTGTTGGTGTTTCTGACACTGCACATGCTTTTTTTGTTTTATCCCATGTACATGTTGATTTTTTAGAACAATCTGTCTCTGTGAGCATTTGTGTGCATGTACAAGCTGTAGCGATTGTAACTGTCTAGCAGTTTGTTAGGATCACTAACAAAGCTATCAATAGAATAGTTTTATTCATAAAGTATTAATATTAAAAATTTGAAATTGGGGGTATTTCAATAAAACTCATTTGTGAATATTTTTACAATTGCAAATAACATCATTGATTAGATAAATACTTGATTCAAATTTAGTTTTTAAATTAAATTTTGGAGGCTGAAGGAAAATTCAAAATGACGGAATGCTTAGGAGATTTACAAAGATGAAGCAAAGAGAACAGAGTACAGATCATCCAACACATTTAATATTTATAATTTTGAACATAGAGTTGCTTAATCAAATACGAAAAATTACTAAAAAAAAACTTGTAATCTGATTTGGTTAAGAACAATCATTCATAAGAATGGAAATTTGCTCTAAAATGAAATAAGGTAAAAAATACAAAAAAGCATATATACTAGAATAATTAAAGAAATTCAGCTATAGATAAAGTTAAGAAAGCAAATAGTATTTTTATAAATATATAATAAGTAATCATATGATTCGAAGTATTTCTAAACAAACTTCGGTAAAGTTATTTTTCATTCCGTTAATCAAGTGCTTGTAGTAATATTATATTATAAGAGCACAAAGTTAAGTAAATTTAAATAATAATATTCCCTTAATATATCAAGTTTGACAAATTTGACTAAAAATTATTTCACTAATATTTCTAAAGTTGGTGAAAATAGTATGGAATAGAAAGAAACACTTGCGTAAGGAATATGTTATTAGAAAGTGATATGTTAAATTAATAAGAAATTTTCACTTAAAATACTAATTATATTAATTATGAATTTTTTATACTGATTTTTTAGAATAGGATTTCTTAATGAAAGAATATTTTTGGATTAATATAAACCTAAATAATCTTTAATTAAAGCATTATTTATTATTAAATGGATTAAGAAGTTCAAGTTAATTATTTTAAGCTTCCCTAAAAGGAAGATGGTGAGAAAGGAATGCTGATTTCCATCCTCGATTGTTCAGGATCAATGTCAAGCTGTAATAGTTACTCCATTATATTTTAGATTGGAAATATGTTTCCATTTATCAAAATGAGTTAATGAAAAAGACAACCATGTCAATAGTCATTACTTTTGACACATCAGTCAAAGTGTTGTAACCAAATGAAGGAATCACTCCAAACATAAATTAATATGGTGGAGGAGGTACCGACATAACATGCGCATTTATTGCCTTAAATAAAGAAATTGAAAGAAGAAAGATAACAAGTGATTTAACAGTAGTGTTTGTATCAGATGGGCAGGGAAGCTACGATGAGAATTAAATAAAGTAAGGGATGCCCAAGGTTGACAATCTCAACTTCATCTGCGTGGGAGTAGGAAATGGATTCCCAACTCATATTTCAATGAGTCTTCGAGCACTCTATCACACAGGCAACTTGTCAATACCTCCAGTGTTCATAGTCGCAGTCCAAGAGTAATAAGCAGTGAAATCAAGAGAGGAATACTTGGATTCAATATTCAGAGATGAATTTGAATCCGTCGGTGCTATATTAAAGCCAAGGAAGTAATGCCAGACTACTCCTTGCTTATGCTTCCCTTGGAGTCAGGAGAAAGCCACAATGGTTTGGTCTGGCAGTTGGGTTGGAAGCCATGACCATGAAATTGTTTTCGATGGAGTTGTAATCTAGGCTTCGAATCCATCTGAGTTGATGATTTTAGAGTTGGCATCATATTGGCTATAGAATATTCAATTACTTTCATTGAAATCAAAGGTGAAATAGGAAGCACAAGTGGCTCTTGCAGAATTAGAGAGATTATCAAATTTAATTCCAAAACTTTAAGGTTAAAAGAAATAAAAGACCTTTGCTTAGAGAGTGCAAGAATCATAAAGTAAGGATACAGGACTCTCAGATCTTGTCGCAGAATTGAAGTTGTTCACATAAGACTTCACATTAAATCAATTAAGTGATAAGGATGCAGCTGACAGATTGAAGATTGGAACTAAAGTCGGTAAATTTCACAATAAGGCTCTTAAATTTGCTGGCTTATCACTGGAGGATTTTACAAAGGCCAAATAATAGTTCATTGAGTGTCTTAAGTAACATAAGTTTGATGGCAATGATGGAGATAGATCTATTATGACATTATAAAGTTAGAAGGAGATATTACAGGAAGAAGATCTAATCTACGGATTGGAAAACTGCGCATCTCAATATTAATTGGTGACTGCATTCCCAATAATTGGTTATGGATTGTAAGTCAAAAGATCCAATGCAAGTATGATTGATCCATACAGAATTGAAATTGTCTCTGTAGTTAGGATCCATAAGTTTTTAGATTCAGTTTCCTTAATCGAGAACCCTCAGCATGAATTGAAGTTCTAAATTGGAAATGGAGAGGAGGAGATTGTAAACTGTATTCTTCCCTTGTACACAAAGAAGAACGAGGATCTTAAGCCATTCTTCAGATCCTTACTATTCCACACAATAATGACATTCGTAGTGTGTGAGAATGCAGATGTGTGTTTTGATTATTCCTATGCAGCCTTATTAGCTAATACTCTATTGTTTTTGATTAGGCAGCCAAAGTCTGAATGGACTAAGGAGATGATCAGTTTGATCAATGAATCCTATTCTTTGGCTTATGGGTAAAAGTATAAGAACTACACAGAAAAGTTAATTAAGAACCCAATCCAAACCTTGGTTGATGTCAATAAGGATTTCGATACTCAATGCTAAGATACAATCAAGGCTATTCTTATTCTATCTGCCGAGAAGGATTAATTATAGTAGGAGTAAGTCAGAACTGTCCTTGATAGATTTGTGGTTGAAACAATAGGGAGAATCTTGAAAGACATGGTTCCTAAGGATCACATCAACATCTTCTTCAATTAAGAGAATGAAGCTTAAGTAAATGGAACTTTGTGTGAGAGAATAATTAATGGATTTGATAATGAAAAATTGAAGGAATTTAAAACTATGTCTGCAATTACTTCTTAAATATTCAAGGAGGTTGAATAGATCAAGGTTGAGGAGTTCAAATTGTAAATGACATTCAAAAAGGATCAGGTAATTAAATTGTTATCCCACTCTAAATACAAATATGAAGACTTGTAAGGCATTTACGAGTACTTTATGCTTGAGGAAATCCCCTAAAATTTATTTATCGAAGCTGTATTTCATGCAAGATACCAAAGATCAATTGAGAGAGCCACCCATGATTTCATTGCAGATATTGATTAACTTAATAAGGAGATTCAAGACGTCAAGCAAAAGTTCATCAAATAGGATGTGTTGGAAAAGTGTAAAGTGGAAATCAGAGATCATGTTCAAAAGATGGGAATCAAAAACTTGTTTGTTTAAAGAATGCCTGGGTTTGGAATAAGTAGAAGAAGAAGAAGAAGACCTAATGTAAATAAGGCGTAGCAGAAATGATGAATTACAATTAATATTAATTTATTGATAAAATTAAATTATATATAGAATTCTACTTAATGTTGCTTTGCCCCCCAAATTTATGTATAAGAAAATTTCAAAATAGGGCATTTTGAGAACCAGAAATCAATTAGTATCAAATATATCATATGCTAAAGCGCTATAATTGTGTTAATGACTTTACAATTCATATATTTGATACTCACGTTCAACAACATAAATGAAATGAATGAAGAATAGAGTCTCCTTGATAACTTAGATTGTATGGAGAAATACGGAATAGACTTAAATAACTTGAGGATATATAATGTGCTCGTATTTGAATGCTACATACCGGTTCTTGCATATTTCGTGTTGACTTTATTTTGCTGTCAACTATGTCATGTTGATAAGAAGTAAATAAATTCAATAAGAATTAGACTCACAGGGTACAGAAATAGATTGATAAAGCAATCCTTTAAGTTAAGACTCATTATAAGAATAATTTTTGAATTGATAATTGCTATTATTCTTATTTTATAGTTTATAGAGGTAATAAATGTTAATTAATCCATTATCGATGCTTGTTATACTAATTAGTTGATTTATCAATTTGATGTGAAGTTATTTTACCCTTGCATCATAAATTTGATGGTATTTTTGCTTTTGGTCGCATTTGATAACACCTGCTATTTTATTATTGTTTGCTACACCAATGACTTCTATTGGGGATGCTATCATGATGAGGAACTTCCTATTATAAGTGTTGTCGAGACATAATCGTTTAGTTTTGCAAAGAATAGTGTAGAAAGCTCAACTGATTAATAAAGTATTTAATTTAAGGATTAAATTAGAAAGTCAAGAAGAGAATCCCTCTCCTTATTTCGGTATCTGAAACAGAAATGAAATATATAATTAAATAAATTTACAATAAAATTAATAATAAATTAAGCAATGGGGAACGATATGCAAAGAGTATAACAATTAGGGGATAGTATAAGATAGTTGCGAGAAGATATGGATGCATTATCCAAAATTGCACCTTAGGTTGAAAAGATGGTTGCATTGGCAGGCACCTTAGAGTCTACAACTAAAAATGTAATTTAGACTTTTAAGTATAAGATTAATGAGAACATAGCTAAAGTGAACAAAACAGTTTCAGATGTTGAAGACAAGTCAAAAAAAGTAAAGGAATTGATGGATAAAGTACCTGCAGGCATGAAATTTTTTTGAGATTTTTTTTTAATACATTTTATTTAATAATTAACATGTATATTTGATAATTCATTCAAAAAACTTGAATTTTTAATTTCTATTTAATCTTTAATAATAATATTATTAATGACATATTATAAAATAATTTGCAATTTGATTGGATGGAACTTGAATCTTATCCCCGAATTTAAAAGATCCTTCCTAATATTTATATTTAACAATGAAATCAATTGCAACATTATTCATTACCTTCGCAATAGCCTCATGTATATATGCACCTGCTGAACGTCAATTCAACTAAGAAGCCTTGACTGGAGCCTATTCTTATAATAAGTTGTCTGAGCCATAACATATTTCAAATTGTGGAGATGATGCTACTTAGATTGACTTATTTAATTTTGTTGGATATATGCTCCAAAAGGCTGACAAAGCAAGTGCGTCTTAATTATTGGGATTAAAGAAGGAAGTGGATGATTNCCGGTTCTTGCATATTTCGTGTTGACTTTATTTTGCTGTCAACTATGTCATGTTGATAAGAAGTAAATAAATTCAATAAGAATTAGACTCACAGGGTACAGAAATAGATTGATAAAGCAATCCTTTAAGTTAAGACTCATTATAAGAATAATTTTTGAATTGATAATTGCTATTATTCTTATTTTATAGTTTATAGAGGTAATAAATGTTAATTAATCCATTATCGATGCTTGTTATACTAATTAGTTGATTTATCAATTTGATGTGAAGTTATTTTACCCTTGCATCATAAATTTGATGGTATTTTTGCTTTTGGTCGCATTTGATAACACCTGCTATTTTATTATTGTTTGCTACACCAATGACTTCTATTGGGGATGCTATCATGATGAGGAACTTCCTATTATAAGTGTTGTCGAGACATAATCGTTTAGTTTTGCAAAGAATAGTGTAGAAAGCTCAACTGATTAATAAAGTATTTAATTTAAGGATTAAATTAGAAAGTCAAGAAGAGAATCCCTCTCCTTATTTCGGTATCTGAAACAGAAATGAAATATATAATTAAATAAATTTACAATAAAATTAATAATAAATTAAGCAATGGGGAACGATATGCAAAGAGTATAACAATTAGGGGATAGTATAAGATAGTTGCGAGAAGATATGGATGCATTATCCAAAATTGCACCTTAGGTTGAAAAGATGGTTGCATTGGCAGGCACCTTAGAGTCTACAACTAAAAATGTAATTTAGACTTTTAAGTATAAGATTAATGAGAACATAGCTAAAGTGAACAAAACAGTTTCAGATGTTGAAGACAAGTCAAAAAAAGTAAAGGAATTGATGGATAAAGTACCTGCAGGCATGAAATTTTTTTGAGATTTTTTTTTAATACATTTTATTTAATAATTAACATGTATATTTGATAATTCATTCAAAAAACTTGAATTTTTAATTTCTATTTAATCTTTAATAATAATATTATTAATGACATATTATAAAATAATTTGCAATTTGATTGGATGGAACTTGAATCTTATCCCCGAATTTAAAAGATCCTTCCTAATATTTATATTTAACAATGAAATCAATTGCAACATTATTCATTACCTTCGCAATAGCCTCATGTATATATGCACCTGCTGAACGTCAATTCAACTAAGAAGCCTTGACTGGAGCCTATTCTTATAATAAGTTGTCTGAGCCATAACATATTTCAAATTGTGGAGATGATGCTACTTAGATTGACTTATTTAATTTTGTTGGATATATGCTCCAAAAGGCTGACAAAGCAAGTGCGTCTTAATTATTGGGATTAAAGAAGGAAGTGGATGATTATTTCAATGTATTTAGAATTCAATACTGATTATAGGGACTTCCAGAAGAATACACAAATTGCTTATATGCTGAGCCAGAATTCTTGGAGATTTGCACTATTTATGGATTGAAAGAGACAGATAGGATGGAATAGATCACGGATAAAATTTATCAATATGCGATGGGACACTTCATTGCCACAAAGAAAGAGATTCATTAGGGGAATCTATTGTGGAACACAGAGCACAAATATAATGATGCCGGCTATCTAATAGCAAGTTTTACCAAGAAGGCCTTATTAACAGGAGTAGAATATGTTGAATGATTGTTTGAACAATAACATTATTTATGTATTTCATAATGTTTCAATTCTTGCTTCTGACACTTTGGCTTCTTTGCTGTCCCAACCACTGAATAAATAGGCTGCGAATCTGTAATTTTTGTTGGGAGGCAACTTAAAGTTTATGGACTTATTGTTCTCTCCAGCTTTTCTGATTGAGAAGACATTCCCATTTCTAAGACATTCTATAATTTCCCCTTTTTACACTTCGATGCCAAAAGATTTCTTATCGAGGGCTTCATCATTGGAGGCAGCAACCACTAAATTATAATTTTGGCAAGATTACGTTTGTCCGAATAGACAATCCACATTCCATGATTCAATCCATAGTTACAGTTTCCGGAAAAGTCAGTTTCCTTGATAATATCGAAGTCAACAATTCCAATTCCTATGCTCTACAAGATAATTATAAATTTAACTGTTTAAATTGTGTCACAACAAATCTTCACTTTTAAGATGTCTTATTCCTTGGCTACTTCGTCCAGAAGAACAAGACCTCCCTCCTCTTGTTCTTCGACAACAGCTAGATTGCCATGTACTTCAACATATTCGCTTTTGTATGTTGTGCTAAAGTTTCTTGCTTGGGCCAAACTTCCAATTTATTAAAACTGTGGATCGCCAATAACTGTGTTGCTTGTCTCGCAATTGCCCATTTTTTATTTAATAAATGATTGAAAATATTTTTCCCATTTTTATACACTAAATTGTTATTAAAGAATTAATCTTAGAATTCTTTAACAAAATATTAAATTGTTTTCAAAAATTAAAAATTAAGAACCAACAACTAAATTTGTGAGACATTCACATATCTAAAATGCAGACAATGTGGGCGATTTCTTTTTTGGAACCCTAATTATTCGGCAGTTTTTGATGTTTGGAATCTGTATTAAAATACGAAATTTGAATTTGAAGTTGAATTGGTGGGGGTGGAATGGCCGAGTCATCTATGACGAATGTTCATTTGATGATAAATATGGATAGTTTTTTTTTATTATATATATGTATGCATTAATAATAAATAATGATGTAATAGTTTATGTCAATATAATTTAAATAATATTTGTATGTAGAAAATCATATTCTTAACCTTCATTACTTTGGGTTTCTCCAGGTTGAGTTTTAAAGAAGGCCCTTACAATTACAGCGATATATTTCAAAGCGAGGGAGCATTTCCTAAGGGAACAAAATGCAAAAAGGTTGATGCCAAGAAATTGGATCCTCTGTTTGATGATACTCAAGTGATTTATTCCGGATATTTGAGTGTGTACGAGAACAGTAATGCAGCTTTGGGATTTATATTTTATGGGAGTGAGAAAGCCAAAACAGAAGGTGAGCTCTAGAATTATCCCACCTTGATTTGGTTGAATGGTGGACCTGGGTCATCTTCCCAATTAGGTAATTTTATGGAGTTGGGACCATTGTTGACTTAGAGTGACGGTAGTTTCAAAAAGAACAAATATGCTTGGAATACACAATACAATGTGATTTTCGTTGATCAACCCATCGGCACAGGTTTGGCTTATGTTGAGGAGCAATCTGAAGTACCTACAAATTAAAAATAAATTGGATAACAATTCCTGTATGCTTTGAATCAATTCTTATTCGGAGCAAAGGGTTGTGTGGAACAACAACAAGTGAAGGGATTGGCTTAATCACCTTGGTTTGTGTTTGGCGAGAGCTATGCTGGCAAGTATATATATGAGGTTGATTTAGGTATGTTCCGACAATCGCAAAGGCCATATTGGATTACAATGTTGATGCACAGAAGAAGATTCCATTGAAGGGAGTGGGAATCGGAGATCCATTTACCGACCCGTATGCTGTGATTGCAGAATACGCCGCTTATTCCTTCAATTTGGGTTTGATTGACATTCAGGAGAGAATGCAAGTGGACTCGATATTGGCCTACGGGTTGACTGAGTTGAATAAGGGGAACACTTTGGCTGCAAGGGACGCTTTCGAGGAGTCTTTGGAGATCATCATCACTCAGAGTGGTGACATGAATGTGTACAATGTTCTTCAGTATGGCAATTACGGGGAGACTGAGAAGTGGGTGGAGGCCTATTTGAATAGAGTGGACATCGTGAATTAGTTCGGATTCAGTGAGGATTGGAAATACAAAATCAGTAATGCTGACGATGGTCCAGTGTAGAAGGCTTTGAAATATGACTTCATGTTGAGGGATGTTGTGGCGACAGTGGAGGAAGTGGTCAAGAAGATCCCATTTTTGATTTACAATGGACAGAATGATCTCATTTGCTCGACTCCAGGTACTTTGAGGTGGGTGTACGATTTGAAATACGAGAAGATCGAGGAGTATCGTCAGAAGGACTTTGAGGTGTTGAAGATTACAGGAACGGAGAAGATTGTGGGGTATCAGAAATCGGCTGGGAATTTGGAGTTGGTGTTGATTAACAATGCTGGACATCTAGTGCCTACTGACTAGCCTGAAGCATCGTTGTAGATGGTCACCACATTTGTTAATAAACATAAATGAAAATGAGATTTATATAATAACAATATTGAAGGAGATATTTATTATTATTATTAAAAAATAGAAAATGTTTGGATAGGTGGTGCATAAATTCCAAAGAAACCAGAATCATCTGCTAAGCAAATACCTCAGGGCTGGAAACAGGTAAATAAATGAAATTGGATGTGTAGATCCAATCCATTCGAGAATACATTGACCATCCTCGAAGACCCTGCTCATCATAGAAAACTATATCTTATCGGATCAACACATGCCTCCACTATGTTGGCCTACAGAACCTAGAAATTGATCAATGAAGTCAAGCCTGATAGTGTCTATGTGCAAACCAATCAAGAATGGTGGAATATTGTTAAAAACATCGAGGGAGTCACATCTCAATCCGAATTGAATGTCTACAATGATGTATTACGAGGGGCTTATAAATGGGAATTGGAGTCTGGAGTCAGGAATTTCAGAAACACAGTCTTCTGGGCAAGACTCTACTCATGGTTGGGTTTAATGTAATTTTTGAAAGGTAAATAATATCTATTGATATTTAATTTTAGCATTCAACAGTGATTTCCATCCATTCATCCCAGGCCTGGAAGTCAAGTATGCCATCGAATAGGCTCGAGCTCAAGGTGCCAATGTCGTCTTCGGTGGTTTGGCAATCACCAACGATGACCTACTGTCATTGAAAGTACTCGTCCCCTTATATAGATGTCCTCTAGACTGAACCAAGATTTGATCCTCTCAGTGTTTCTTTGAACTTCCTCAAACTCCTCAGTCAAATCAGATGGAGAAGAGAGAGATAGGACTTGGCCTTTCAATTGGCAGTCCTTGGCGGTGAGCAATTCGCTGAGTCAGTCGATAAATTCAGAGCCTCTTGGTTTGTGAAGTTGTTCGAGAAGTTGAGTCCTCATTAGAAGAAGATCTTGGTGGACAGAAAGGACATTGAGATCTTTGAAACTCTTTATAAGCATACTCCAGGAAAAACCATCGTGGCAGTTGTTAATCAGTGGCACACAATGGGAATTGAGGCTCATTGGAGACACACTACTAAGACTTAGATCAACACTGAACCCATCAATCCCATTGGAGATTTGGATTTGGAAGCCCTCAACGAGGATTTGGTGGTCAATGACTTCTTGAGACAATTCACCTCGAGACTTACTAAAAGTGAGCCAGCTTCCACCAGGGCCTATATCACTCAGTATTACAAGGACGTGTTCGAATATGAAAGATGTAAGAATGCAGTTGTTGATTGTTTTTTATAGTCAGACATGTTGAATTTGACGGTCATAGCGATCCTCATTAATTCCATGGAGGCAGTCCATTTGAGGGAGGTTATCAACACCATCATCCACAATTACCTGCTGATGTCAGAAAGTAAATCGAAGAAAATTGGAAGAAATAATACGCCCATCATCACGAACACCATTGAAATATTATTCATAAATAAAATAAAAACAATATTTTGGTTATGAAGGGAGCAAATTTTTGGGCTCAGTTTATATTTCAATTTAGCAAGTTTCAGCTATTGAAAAACGGAATAAATTGTTCGTTTTTGTGTAATATTTAATTAAATGAAAACCATTTTTGTTTTGGTCGTAGTGATTGCTCTTGCAACCAGTTTGAAATCCACTTTCAGACAAACACCCTAAAAATTGTAAGCAGAATTACAAAAATCAAATTATGGAAAGGCTCTCTTGCATTTGCTTGAATTACATTCAATGGCTGGAGGAGCTGTAAGTGAGTTGGTTGATGCCATTGAGGAATTGGACAACGATTTGATTGATGGACTCCAATTATTGGAATTCAATTTCCAACAAAGAACAAATCAACACAATGCTTTGGTCGTCTAATTGAATCAACAAATGAATGATGCCCAAATTGATATCAGCAGATCAGAAGATGTCATTGAAAATCTATTGCTCCCAAGAAGAGAATAATTGGAAAACAGAATCGCAAATCTCGAGGAAAACCAAGAAATAAACAGAAAAAATTACGACGAAGAGGTCTTGATCAGAGAATAAGACCACGAAGCATTCGAAGCTCAGATTGCTGAATTAACTGATGCAACAGCTGCAGTTGACGATGCCCTTGCACTCTTACAAACTTTGAGCAATCCCTCATTGGCTTAAGTCAAGAAATTCTAAAACTCACTCAAGAAAATCGAACAAAGCATCAAACCAAGATCAAAAATGGCTCCATTTTTGAAGGCTCTACTTACATTGGCATCCAATCAAAACTTCTCAGATCAAGGAATCATTTCTTAAATCGTTGATGCTTTGAATGAATTCAGAAATGCCATCGTCGATAGCATCAATGACCAAACACTCGCTGAAGCCAATGCAGTTGAAGAATATGAAGAGAGACTAGCCTAATTAGATCATGAACATATCGAATTCCAAAGATAAATCAATGCTGTCAACGTTGATTTGACTGCCACCAACAGTAAGTCATTATCTCTACTATTTCCATAGACAAGATTGATGATGTCACTGAGTTCCTTAACCAAAGAGTAGCTGATTTGAAACAATACTCAGCCGAATTGCAATTGGAAAACGACAACTATGCTGATGAAACTCAAATCTACAACGATACCAAGAACGAGTTCATTAGAGAACAATAAATCACTGAGTAAGCTTTGGCTTTGGTCCAATCAGTCGATTTCAGCCATATTCAAGTTTGAGTATTAATAATAATCGACCCACATAAAAATTAATCATTTAATTTTTTATTTATCAAGAATTGATCTAATCATTGAGTGATTCAATCTATAAGCAATCCTATCCTCCAAAAAATCTAAGGAAATATTAATACTCTCTTAGTTCTGTGGTGTTATTAGATTCTTTGAGTTCAAGTCTTACAGAATTCACTAATAAAATTATACTAAGAATATGGACAGGAAGTCGTAGAGTTTGTATCAATTTTCCTTGATAATTACTTAGTAAGTATCAATTAGAATTAACAATATTACATCATGCTAATAGAATTTTGGCAGATGTGAAGATTAAATGCATTTCAATATAATACAAGATCATAGTGACTTTAAGTAAAAACATAAATTAAAGCTAGAACTGTTGCCTCATTAAGTTAAAAAGTACATTTATTAGAAAGAACTCTTAGAAATTTATGATTTAGAAGGTACAATATATTAAAAACCCTAAGAAAAGTACAATTATAGAGAACTCCAAAATTGAAAGTGCTCAGCTAACTTATCAATTACTAGAAGTAATCGATATTAATTCCCTCTGTAAATAATTAATGATATTAATTAATTGTAAAATAGTTACAAAATCATATATCATTAACCCAATAGTTTAAAATGTTGTCTATGTTTTTTATAGAAATTATTCATGTATTCATTGTATCTCATTTCATCAATCATACCTTCATTCAATCCTGTCAACAGCACTTCTCTTTATGAACCTATAAGTTATGATGAATGAATACTGATAAGTGCTTAGATCATCAAACTTAATTTATCGATTGCCTCATCATCAAAAACACTAACATATCGAAAACTAAGCACAATATAATCTCTTTCTGGCAGTTATTTGATTTATGCAATGTGATTCTAATAATAATAATGACAATGACAACATACTTTGACATTGATGTAATTGATGGCTCCATTGAAACGATAGATAGCAAAAGATCCTCTGAATTAATTGGTGTCAGGGAAATCATCTTCAACGCCTAAGGTGTCATCTCTCAATTGCATATCTGTTCCATCCTGTTGCCTGACACAGCTGCGTTTAATCAATGAGTTTTTCTTGATAAATAGAATTGGAATACATACTTGCACTTCATCAGAGCTGACGATGACTTCAGAAGCGGCTGCACTCATTTTTTCAGCAAACTACAACATAGCATACATGCTTCCTATCATAGTGCTTTCAATAGCTCCATAATATACACAAATGATCGATATTGTAATTTGTTTAACTAGAATTAATCTTCTTTTGGTTCTCCAGAGCATTTCCAAATAGGGCCAAGTGGGACACATGTAGGCTGAATACAATAAGATGCCACTCACGAAATACAGTGGAATTTAGAGAAAGTATCTACTGAATAGTCCATAGAACAGAATGACAGAGAGTCCATTCAGAATAGATGACCACCTGTTCATATTCCTGACTCTGATGTTCAGGATGATCAATCTGATTGATGCACAACAAGGGATACTATTGAAGATGCCTGCACAGATGTTGGTTAGAGACACACATAGAATCTCTTTGTCGTGATCGCATTTGACTCCCGTGAAGTATTCAGCCCCTTTTGCACACAACAAATTCTGGATGGTGATGTAGAATGTCATTTTAATGGCATACACAAACAGGAATATGAGTGTCCACATGTCTGGCTAGAAATGAGGACCGCCACTTTCAATGAAGGACAATCTCAGACTCACATCTCCGTAAACGTTCTTTAAACACTTTTCTGTTGGGAAGAGTATGCCCACCATCAGACCAGTTAAACATACTAATACTATCAAAGGCAAGTCCTTGTTGATCTTCCAACCGAAGTAGAGTAGAAGGAATATGAAGATCGATGCTCCGAAATAATATAGATCTCCTCTTCTAAAGAATTCTACGTTTATGTGGTGTAATTTACCTTGATACATTTCAAATCGATCATGATACACTTGGAATCCTCTGTTGGAATGCATATCACTTAAGCCAAAGGCATAATCGATGTAGCCATTTGCAATTAGAAAGAGCAATCCCAGATAGTAGCCTTCGATTACGTAATTCGGCATGAAATCTATGAGATGATGCCACTTCATATGACTCAGGATGTAGATTTGCAATCCAATCATTATGGTTACCCAGGGAACTGCTTCATATCCATATTTTTATACTATTTAATAATTGAATCCGGCGGCCACCCAGGTAGGTGCATAGATCGAATGATTGCCTTTGGGAATAAGGATGATTATGATACTTCCGCTAAAGAACCCGTTGATCAGTCCTCCAATCAATGCGGAGGTGTAGGCAGCGGAGGGATTGCCTCCAGTGTTGTTGCCCGCATTCAAAATGAATGGCATATTCATCATTGCCTAGGTCATGCCGCTCTTCCAGTTCTCTCTGATGAAGAAGAGGGCTGTATTAACATTATGAACAGACAGATGGCTGATTCTGGAGAATGCATTTTTTATGGACAATTTGGTTTGATTGATCGATCCCTTGACCAAACTATCGTGTGGATTGGAGAGTTTCTATTCGTTTCCATCCAAAGCTGCCATTTCCTACTCCATTAAGGGAATCTTGTGATCTGCATTCATATATTATAAATTAATAATCGGATCAATCGCATTATGCTATATTTAACAATAATAATTTAATTTAAATTATACATTATATACATTAATGCGACGACCTTATCCAATTATTGTTGTTCTCCTATTGAGCTCGGCATTATCCGAAGATACCGGCGATGGTGACATTCTCGAATTCACAGCCACTCGACATCACTTATGCTAAGACATTCAGAATTGTAAAAACCGATCATCATCATCATCTAGTTGATATCACAACCTCGGAACGATAGTCAGTCTTAGATTCCATCTATTCAGATCGAAAGGAAGAACTCTCAAGTCAAGTAGAAAAATGGATTAATAACAGCTACGTAATATCTTCCGATGAATATTTCATCGATCTCCAATATTACACTCTTCCCTGGTTGATCCTTGCTATTGCAACTATATGTTTATCAATCCTATACCTTTGGATAACCATCTTGCCAAGGTAAAATGGTTGACGTATCTCATAGTTCGTTGATCAAATGGCTAAAGTCACATGGAGAGGACGAATTCATTCTGAATGCCAAACGATTCCATAAATTTGGGATTGCAAGTATTGTTGTACTGAATTTAATCCTCATCATAGTGTCCATCATCGCATTAGTAATCATCATTCAAATTTGTAGGCGTACTCAAGCAAAGCACTCGATGGATTGGATTACTCAAGTTGCTATATGGCTTCATCCTTCGACGATTTGCTAGGACGGTAGGATGAAGTCTTCACTGGATACAGTATTTTGTAGGCTGATTTGAATTCATTGTCAAATACCTTCGCTGATTTTCAAACTGAATTGAAAAAACTATATCAAAGTCGAGTGTCCCTCACTCTGCAATCGCAATAGCTAGATGTCATAGAATTTAACGATCAGTACATTTCGATATCATCATAGACTGAAGAGAAACGAGCCCAATTCCCCTCTTCCTATTTTGATATCCTCGAATGGAACCAATACAGTAGCGGCTAAGGAATCCTATTTCTCGAAAATGAAAATCGTATCCTTTTTGAATTATCCACATAGATCGATTATGTGTTATCCACAAAGGAAGATGACGAATACCTCACCTATCTTAAATACTACGATCTAATCAAGGAGGAGGAAAACAGAATGCAATTGGCAAGCCAAGTGGACGAGGTCAAGGAATATTATGGCAATATCTTTTAGAGATTTGGGTCCTTGGAGAATTCCTCACTAGCTCTCAGGGATTCCAAACTCGCACTTCTATTCAATAAAGCCTAATAATAGCTATAATCCATCGATAACTCACTGCTCAACTATGCTACTCTATTCACTGATTTCCATCAAACTCTAGGTGATGATATTAATAAATACGTTGATTCGATTATTGGCTTATTAATAGTGTTAATCATATTCACTTTCATTCAAATCATTTTATGGTTGGGTCATTTGATTAACAAAAATCTCAAGATTAAAAGGGTCATCGATATCCTTTGGTTTCTGTGCAATCTCATACTGATTGGAATTTTAATTGTTAATATCTTCTTGCAATCCAACTCCTATTTATCCAAGGAATTATGCATCTACTTTGATGGCATCATAAACAATGTAGAATTCTACTAAAACCAGAAGATCATTCAATTTTCAGAAGCCAAAACCGCACTGCATTCTTGTCTGTATGGCGATGGAAACATCTACAATCAATTAAACCTCAATTCCAGGTTCAAGGATATCAGGACCTACATTAATAGCGAAAATGGACTCCTTTAAGAAATACAGCGACTAAACTCAAATCAAGCCCTCTATCTCCAGAAACTGAACAATAACTCCCTGACCATCACTTCAATCCTAGATGGCACCTTCATTGATCTAAACCAAAACGAGAGAGATGGCTTGAATAAGATTATTCAGGATTTTAACTCCTACAAAGATAAGGAGAATTGTGCTGAACTCCAATCCTCATTATGTACTGATGGATCCTACCCAAAAAGGAATGGAAATTTCAACGATTCTCAAATGTGTTGGCATCCCTCATATCTGATCACAAAATACACTTCATCCTGTTTGGATCAGTAGGATCTGTTCTAAAAATTAAAATTGCACTTCCAATCTCAAGCTCAAGGCTGGATTAGAACCTAATTGTTGGAATCTTAATTTGTATCTCAAAACTTAGATTTAAACTTAAAACTAAATCAATACATCAAAAATCACACCACTTTTATTGAGTTGCAACAAAAGACACTGTCCAATCTATACAGTTTGCTTAAGGGTGCTAATTGCACATTCATGAAGGTAATTGTATTGTCACTTCAATGTAGGATGACTTGAATAAGATGTTGGATGGCATGTGTGTAGTCTACTCGTACTATCTTAATAAAATGTCGGTCTTAACTATAGTTATCGCCTCCTTGCTATTCCTTTCAGTTTTATTTAATTGTCTCACTTCAATCAAGATTTCACAGATGGAAACGTACGAAGAATATGCATCCACCAAGGTGATCAACTTTGCTGGATCCAGTATGTTCAGAGCATCAATCGAAATTAATTAAATAATGTAAAATGAAAGCCCAATGCACATCACTAGCACATAATTGGAATTCAAATGAAACAATTCACAACTTAAAATTATTCTGTATTTTATCCTAAATTTTATTCAAGCCTCAAAATTTGTCTCTCAATCTCCTGGTTCTCTTCCTGTATTCTCTTGCTGTCACTCAATAACTTTACGAACTAATATGCCATACTAAATCAAATACATGTTGGGTTGTTCTTTATTGCAATTGATCCTTCAAATGCTAATTCTTCTCCAAAAACTCGTTTATTCTTTGATTGAAAATATCATGGTTTTATGATTGATCATAAGAAACATGATTAATCATTTATATGCTCGCATGTTGCAGGTTATCATTCGGCAACATCTATTGTATTTTTGCCTAAGCTTTTCTGAATTTCTCAATGGATTTCTCGTACTCCTTGATCTACTAAAGATATTCTAATTTCTTTATGTGATACGGCAAATCCTTTTGAGTGGGTTGACAATACTTTTCCTTCAGTTACCTCTCCTTCTTAAGAAAAGCAGTCATCATAGCCTGCATCTTTTCACAGTAAAAAATTAGTTCTTTATACTACGAATAGTGTTCCTTGAATTTCACGATTTCTTCATTAAAATACTGCTCGTATAAAGCCAGATAAATCTCATTTTGATCACAATCAGGAACCACAAGGTCTTGGATGACTAATGGATAATCGGGCAATTTCTCCCACGATTCCTTTGGTTCGTAGATGTGTTGATTTGGTTCTTGTATTATTTTCTATGGATCGTTTCCTTGAGGTACTTCCTAAATTTACATTTATCTTACTGTGTTTGAATTCTCATTTGGCAACTCTATTGAAATCTGCGGTATAACTTGTACTGTATTTTGTGAGTCTGGCAATTCTATTTTCGGTTATTTCTATTGCTTTTCCTGCTATTACTGCTTGATTCGATTAACATTGTTTGGATCGAAGTGAAATCTCATCCCTTTTAAATTTATTAATTTATAATTGCAGTATTAACGAATATATATTGAAGTATTAATTATATAATTTTCATTGCATAATAGAGTGTCTCATCTACAGTAGTTGGAGTTGTAAACCTAATTAGTTGGATTTGCTCTGCTTATTCTAAGAATTGCAAATCTGTATTAGTAGTTTGATTGCCTCCATTAAGAGCTCTGTTTATGAATATTCAAATTATTACAAAATATCGATAGCAGCCTCAACCCTCTAAGCTGCCTACTCATGTTCCTATTGATTTTAGAGCAATTAGCCTTAAAGTAGTAGTATATTGGCATATTTGATTGACTGATATTGATTGCATTTCTCATAAATAGAGACAGCCTTGTTGTAATTGATGGATGCATTGCTGCAGTCTTTTCTAAAAAAGTACAATTGACCTATGTCTGCATAGATATCAGCGATGCATTAATGAGTCTAAAATAAGCGAATAGCACACTGTAAGGCAGTTCCATATAGATTCAGAGCGTCATTGAAATATCCATTTTCCATTAGATAATGTCCAAAGATAGAGTAGATCATAAAATAATAAGGATGAGTGGATCCGAAGTAGGAATCAAGGATTTAGAGAGCTTATTCAAAGTATTACAGTGCAGTGTCTAGATTGTTCATGTTCATTTGGATGATTTGTAAAAGTGGTTTGATTTGACTTGGATGGCCAGGTTTAGTGAAACACAGAGCTTTATTAGCATTCTCACAACCTTCCTCGCATAATAGGTTAGCAAACATATCATCTCCTTCTTTTCGTAGTAGACACAACTCCAAAGACCATTTGATAGATTGAAATATTTATTCTTAATTCATGATGTTTTTTCTCTTTGATTTTCGAGCTATTTTCGATGTGTTCAACAGATAGGCCTTCTATTAGACATTGAATTAAGGTTTCTCCTTCAAGGGAAAGGGTTCCTTAAACATTCCATTCATTAAGGCTGGAGAAATAGCAATGGATATATCGCACTGTTATTGCAGAGAGTAGAGCAGCATTCCTTTGTATTGCATTGAAAATCTGGATGTAACATCAAGATTGTATGAGTAATCATACCAAATCTATTTTTATATGATTTAAATCCAAAATATGTCAGATTCTTTTCCAACACCCAAAAGGAGATTCAAAAAGTCAAGACAACTTTCATTTATCAATTTGGATGATAATTCTAAGACTATTTTGCTATCCTATACTTCTTTGGTGTTTAATTCCTAAATCATTGAAAACTCCAAAATGTTAGATTGATCACTCTGTAATTTTTAAGATAACTGATATTTCAGATTCTTCATTAGATCGGCTGCATTATTTCTTAGCACCTTCTTACATACTCTGCTGATCATATCACAAATACAGAGATCTTTTATGTGTTATACTGAACACATCTAACAAATTTTACCAATATATTTAATATTGATACCAGATTGATGTAATTGTTCACTCAATTGAGTTGAATCAAGTGGTAAATATTCAAGAGATTCAAATTTACCTATCAGATCATGTAATAGTTAATTTTGGAGGAAATTGGTTGCTTACTTTAATTCATTATAATCTGCTTGAGTTTCAGAGAGTTTGATCTATTTCAAATATGCATCTGAATTTAAAGGTTTGTTCCAACTTCTTACAAATTCTGGTCTCAATCTGGAGGTGTTTTGTACATTCTCTTAGAGTATGACAGGCATCAAGTCTCCACATTTTAATAGATAATACAAGGAAAGATTCTGAGGAGGGAATTCATTGATATTCTATTCATTTTCAATCCACCTTAATTCAATGTACTCTTTATTAATCTTGTGAACTTCTTAAAATAGACTCATTGGTATCACATTGCTAATCATCTCATCCTCAAAGAATTTATGTTATTTAAGATTTAATCTGATGCTAATTGAATTCATATATTGCTGGATGGCATTATTCGTAATAAATTAGCCATCTAATGTTGGACCATGAATTAAAGTAGAATCATCAATTGGAGGAACTGCCATTACAAAGGCTCTGACTCCTTTGTAGTCTACTATGCATGACAATGGGACTCTTAAAGGGTAATTGGATTCTTCCTAAATTAAGAGTTCAATCTATTCAGCTAATAGGGATAGATACCGAAATTCTATCTTAGATATTAACAATATTTACCATTTCCCAAGGCCTTAAGTTAAGACTCTTCATAAATTTAGATTTCCTATTTACCTTGTTAAGTGTGGATTTCTTGAGATTTCAATTGGCAAAATGATAATTTGATGAATAACCCATCGTAACAATAGAAATCATCACCAAAATCAATAGTATTATCCTGATGACTGTACATAATGTACTTGTCCTCATTTAAACAATCTGTAGGTTTTATGGTTTTCATTTAATTAGGCAAACATAATTCATCAATAATGGTTTAACAAACATCTATTGCATGATCTCTCATTCTCCCTATGGATTCATGCAACACAAAACTGTTTGTGATACATTCCTCAATAGTTTTTGGATCCTTCATATTGGCTAGCTCTATCGCTTATAAATAATTATAATTCCAAGCTGTCTTGATTCTATTCCTCACCATAGTTTTTTTGGATTCTTCCTTATTCAAAACTGTTTAATCTTATCTCGATTGTTCCTCTGCCTTCTTCTACAAGATCTAATTTTCCTCCTCTAATTATTATTCTTTTTCTATTTTACTCCTAAGTTCTGACTAGTGAGTCTCCTTTTCCTTTTCTTTTTGTTATTATATTTATAGCTCCTCCTACTTTTGCTATTCTTCAGACCTCTATTTATCAACCTATTATTAATTCTATTAGGCTTCTTTCTATTGGACTTCTTTCTATTAATTCTCCTTTTCATTAGTGTCTTGTTGTTATTAGATACTGCTCTTTTACTTTGCTGTCTCAGATTGCACCATTGATGGCTATTAAGGTAATTACTACTAAATTTAGCTCTGTTATTGTTGATCTTATTATGGGTATTTTTCAGGATGCTTAACCTTATCAATTATGTGAGTGAACTCTTTCAAAATGTCAGGTTTGGAAAAAGCTATTTCCCATATGATGATTTCCTTCTTCTTCGTAATTACTATTGGTTATTGAGCAGCCATCAAGTCTCTTCCATAACTGCTATTAACACTCATGTTGGTGCTCCTATTCTTCATTTTAGATGGGAATATTGCATCCTTTGCCATGAATGTTATTTCAATCGAATTCTACTTTTTTGCCTTTTCTGGTGGTCCTATGTATAAAATATTCTCTATTATCACAGATATCTTGGGTTACATCTTCTACAAGTCGTTCATCTCTATTTATCATAAATCAAATTATTGGCTTACATTTTGGAACCTTGAAATAACTAAGCATACCATTTGATAGTTGAATGACTCTTTTATTCCAAAACATCTTTGAAGTTGATCTCTTTTCCACCTAGAAGATGTTCGATTGATCCTGCATGACAGGTTTGTTCTTGGGTTCAATTTACTAAGAGGAAATTGAATTGTTCATAGTATTGAAATCAATAAATTATTATTATAGATAATGCAGCAGCGATTGTAGAAATTGGAATAGATTCTCATTAAATTTAATGACAAGCACTAACTAGTAATTGAATATATGAATTCTTATAGTTAAGAAGAGGAATATATGTGGGATTTATTATTAATGCAGGCTTATTCTACTCCTAAGTAATTAATACTTCCTTCACAATTAGATGACTAAATTTGCAGCATTGAAAAGAATGCAAGAATATATGGTTGAAAAAACCTAACAATTCGAAAGCAGATTGAATTCTGAGCAAGAGTAAATTATCAAATCTCTCAAAGAGTGAGTGTGAATAAGAGAAACTTTTTAAATCCAATACAATTAATCATTTAATAAATTAAGCAAACTCCATTATATATATGGATATTCTGTCCCGAAAATTATATCAATATTTTTCTGATTATAAGACTTCTGAAGAAATTATTTCAGATTTCTTAGTATTTATGGAGGGTAGATTATTTTTTTAATTATTCTAACCTTTCATTCTCTTAAACGATAATATTTACAATATATACATTTCTGCTTGCTCAATTCAACTAGATCATAATAAAATTCAGATCATTAATTATTTCATACTAAATTGCTATTTTTCATTTATAATTATTAGAATTCTTATTTTATAAAAATCTCTGATAAGAATTGAGGAAGGAAGCATTGAAAATACAGTTATAGAGCAGAATTTATGTTAACAATTTATAATTTATAAATTGACGACTCCTTTGGTCTTTGGGTGTCTCCTATTTGATAAATTCTTGTAAACTTTGCTGAGACTGAATCATACTTTAAAAAAAAGTGTTAAATTGAAGGCCAATCATATCATTTTAAAGATAATAAAAATTGGTATACTTACAAGGACATTCACTCAATAAGTTATTGATTATACTTTTTGAATTGAGGATAGCTTTGTATAAAGGTGTACTCAATTGATTGAAAATATTCAATAATAAATATCCAATTGACTTCTACAATATTATCCTATTTAAAGCATATATCTAAAACATTAATTAATAATTATAATGTAATAAACATATACTCTTTAAGAAAAAGGATTTTTGAATTTGGTTAATAAATGTTACTAGATGATAGATCACTATAAAAATTAGAATGAAAAAATTTCTACAGTTTTACTGATTGGGTAAATAGGATCTGGAAAAAGTACCATTTTCAACTTCTTGAGTGGTGCAAATTTTTACATTAATGAATTTAATCGGTTGTCTTTGGAGATAAAATCAACTGGATATTATGAGATTAAGGAATTCTAGGAAAGTTAATAAGAGATGCCAAAATTCAATAAAAATATTTAAAATAATCATCTAATTATTGATTTTTCCTTATAGCTAAGCAATGAAGGAGCTTTAAACCAATTATTAATTGAACTTATATATAACAAAATTGTTAATTCTGGTAGGATTAAACTTATTTACATCATACTTTGCTCTGATAAATTGTATCAGGGATGGTCTCGTTAATTGTAAGAATTTACGTAACAATTTAACATTTCAAAATTAGATTTATTATTTAATAATTATTGTGGTGAGTTATCAGTTGAAAAACTGACTGAAAATATAAAAAAATCAATTATCCTCATAAAAGTTAATAGGTTCGATTGGTGATATACTAATCGTAAGAAAAGCTGAAAAATCATCATTAAATAGCGTTTTTAACGATAATTCCAGAAAAGAGTTATGGAGTAAGATAGAATAAACTAAAAATTATGTAAATTAATCATGCGAGAAATTTACTATACTTTTAAGTAATGTTGCATAATAAGCAGTTGTTATATACTTAACTCATTTATAGGAGAATTTAAATTAGAAATATAAGAGTCTCTCTAAATGCGAAACCAAAAATATTTAGTAAGATTTGTCAGAATTATTAAATTCTATTACAATTGGAAATCAATAAACACCTTTAATATGGTATTTAAAATTCATTTCTACTTGCGATAAAATAGCTAAAACTCTTTCAGCACAAAGTTCAACAACAAACGAGATTAGGGATTTCACTAAAGCATTTTAGCTTTATAAATAACTTTCTCAGTCCAATGAGAGCTTTCGCTATTTGGATATCATAAACTAAATTGGAAAACTAAAAGAAAGATTTAAAATAATAGAAATGAAATAACAAAGTCTTACAATGCAAAGATGGGGAATGAATTGAATAAATTCCATAAGCATTATTAATCAATATTTAAATTAAATTAGATTAGATTAGATTATATTAGATTTTTATTCATTTTTTCCATCAGTTATTTCTATTAAAGAATCATAAATTTCTTTTTATTTTCATCAGACTAAAACTTATCTATTTCTTGGTTTAAATATAGATTAAATTTTGACTACGATTTTTCTTTAATCTATCTTCATTTTAGGAATAAGCTTTATTTTCTATTAATTCAAATGTTCTAAGAATTTAAATATTGTTAACATTTCTTTCAATTTTCTCAATTTATAATATCGATATATAAACTAATATGATTTTGCAATATTCTTTAAAACAAAGAGATATTTTGACAAAAGAATAAGATTGATTTCCTATTGCTTGAGCTTAGTACTTATATAGGAACAAAAATAAACACATTGAATTTTATTCTTAAGATTATTCGTAAATTGAAGCCTGAGTTTCATTTTGTAAAATATTTCAAAACTTTCATTTTGACTAATTTTCAGAACTAATCAAAGTCACAGTTTCAATATGTTATCAACTATTATTTAAGTTATTATTTAGTTTTATATTTACTCAAATAGACTAATTTCTATTGCAATCTCTATTTATATGTTAATTCCACTATAATATATTAGATTACTGAGAGAGTATAAAATCTTCAAATCTGTCTCACTTTGCATCATTTCCAAGCCAACTTAATCTATTTAAGTGCTTCTGAGTATATGTACATATGTAAGTAATAATGTTTTATATATGTTTATTTATATATTTAATATTTCAATATTTTTATCTACGAACACCTGCCAAGCATGCTCTATAAATATTTCTAGGGTTTTCTGGGAACATATCAGCATGTATTCTTAAATCTTCAATATTGTCTTAAAATAATTGTATTTTTTAGATACCCAATTCTCCCTTTTTGGTCCACATGGCTTCTGCTGTATATCTTTTGCACATGTCTTCAGCTTCCTATCTTAAAACTGGATCATTCACTCTTCCAGTAGCATAATCACATCCCTTCCAGCAAATTTGGATTGATGGGTTGTACCATGAGAAGACATCTTAACACATGGCATAACATGTACCACCATTATATCTCAAAATTTGACCACCTTTTAATAGCATAAATTCAAACCTGTTGCCATTAAATTGAAAATATAAAATTAAATAATAATAAAGGAGATGTTGTTTAGATTTAGATTAATTTATAGAAATAAATCATATAATATTAATTATCACACTCCTTATGGGAATTTCATCATTTCTAATTCCTTTATGATTTCCTTAAAAGAAGGTCTCTTCTCTGGATCTCTATCCCAACATCTCTTAGTTAATCGCGTAAAGACCTCTGGAGTCTTTTTAGGAATAGTTGGTCTAAAATCGTTATTCAAAACATCTAATGAAACTTATAATCCAGTGATATCTAATTAATATAATAGATTATATTTACTTCTATAAGGAGGTTCTCTTGCTGCAATTTCCCATAAAATAATACCAAAACTGAATACATCAGCTTTTTCTGTATAAACTTAACCTGCAATAACTTCTGGAGCCATCCACTGATATGTTCCGATCTTGCTGGTCATGTAATTAGATAGAGTTCTAGTCCAACCAAAATCAGCCAATTTAGTTCTAAATGCTTCATCTAACAAAAGATTTAAGCTTTTTAAATCCCTATGGAGAATAGGAGGATTGAATGAATGTAAATACAACACTCCTTTAGCAGCATCCAGTGCCATTTTTCTACGATCCTCCCAAGTTAAATGAATATCATGATTTTATATGACCTACCACAAAGATCCTCTTTAACAATATTCCAGTACAATTGCTAGATTAGGTGGTTTAGTACAAGCACCAAGAAACATTACTATGTTTGGATGTCTAAGAGCTTCCATGGCATGACATTCAGACAGAAAATCCCTGATATGATTTTCATTCATTCCATCTATCTTAAACATCTTAACAGCCACTGTTGTTTCTCTCCATTTAGCTCTGTAAATGACTCCGTAGCCTCCCTCACTTATTTGTTTCTCTAACATAATGTCATTGAAATCTATGTCCAAACTAGATTAAAATATTCTATGTTTGATTGGTCTTTCTGGGGAGATCTCTAAGGCAGAAATATCAAATTTAGATTATTGCTTTTTTATTTGCCTTTGAATGTATGATTCTGTTGTTTATACTTTCTGGTCTTTAACTTTCTTTTTGGATATTAGTTCATTTTTCATTCTGTCATATTTCTATTGTAATTAAATGTTTTATTGTTTCAGTATTTCTTATTCGTTCCTATATTTTTCAACCTCTTCGTTTAATTTATCTTACTCCTTATTGTTATTATCATTTTCATCCAAAATGATCTCAAGGTAAGAGGGTGATAATAAAATGGAATGGAAATTACCACACACGATTCTCTGAGTTTCAGGTACTGTGAATAACAACTTAGGAGATATGATTCCCTTCCCATTCACACTTGGCTATCCTGTTAATTGTCCATAGATATTGGAACCCCACCCATATATTTATTTATAATCTGCAGACAAAGCCAGACTGTGATTTCTTCCTGCAGATACTTATGATATCAGAGGTAATCCTGTGATCTTGATAGGAACATCTGAACTGCTCAGATCGTTACCCAATTACCCATGAATATTATCTCCCATCGAGTAGACTTCCCCTTTACTTGTTAGAAATAGAGTAAACATCTCACCCATCTTCATGTCCAATACACATTACTAATTGTTGAATTCATCTACCAATTTAATTTGAGTAGGCTGTTTATGAAAATCTTTGTTGGATTTACAAAATCCCCATAAATAAGGCTTACCGCCTTCCACGATGCAACCTGAATGTGCCAAGCCACAACTGATTTTCTCCACTTTGAAATGAGATAAATTCTATATCAGTTTAAACTCACTGATTGTCTGGTTCTCTTGATGTCCTAATGCATATGATTCCCCGAAACCACAAGAGAAGATTCTATTTTTGTTAGTCAATATTACAGTGTGTAATGCCCCACATGCTACCTATTGAACTGCTTCATCATTTTATAAGAGTATTTAACATTAACTTTCATTGGGATTCTTTTATTTAATCTTCTCCTTCATCAATACCAGCTACTCCATTATATTGTCTATGGATGAGGATCTCTCCTTCAATCCTGGTGATGTTGACTAATCCCCTTCGTTAACACTCTTCATCCTCTTGTGACCCTGTTATGGCTCTCTTGCCTTGCCATTGCTATTACCAAATGGCAATAATCCATAAACAAGAGTGGGCTGACTAATGTTATCAAAACAACCCAAACCTAATTGGCCTTTTAAATTTAAACCCCAAGAATACACTTCGCCTTTGGCTGTCAACATGAATGTGTGTTCAGCTCCGCAAACTACACTGGTAATTCTTTGATCTTTGAAGATTGGAGTCAATTTGGGTTGAGTGTTTGATTCATATCCCAATTGTCCAAATTGGTTGTCCCCAAATCCTATAACTTCATTTTTATTATTCACAATGATGGTGTGATTTTCACCTGCTGAACACAAGGTAACTCCTTAGTAGTGTGGAGTGATGTTCTTGTTGTTCTTGAGGAGTTAGCCACAAGTGTTTAGTCCTACTTTCTATAACACTCTTACCCCAGGAGTACAATTGAGTCGTGTCTAATTGCAATTATCTTGGAGATTTCGAGAAATCACTGTATGATCTGGGTGGTCGGACGTCTTTGTCCTTGAATTGTTTGAGCATCTTCCTCGATTCTGTCAAGTCATTCAATCTCATATTAGTTATTTTATTTTTAAAATTCAAATTTAATAATTATTGTTAGATTATATAAATTAATTGATCTCTGAGCACTCTCCTGCATTTCCAAGATAAACCATATTAAAATAGAATCGAATCAAATCAAAACTTGGGGGGTTCAAAGCGAATACCTTTTCTTTTGAGATTCTATTTCGAACCCATGAATTCCTTTTCTCTTCTTTGCAATTTAATTAATTATTTTAATATGCAAAGAAGCCAATCATTTTCAGAGCTCAAGGTTTTAAATAATTGCATTCCCATTGAATTCTTTGAACAGAAGGGTCCTCAATACTATTAAAATCAATTTCAATAATATTAAACTATATTCCAACAGAGCTTTGCTCTGCACACAAGATTATGCCAAACTCCATTGTAAAAGTACTAGAATTACGATTTGGGGAACACGGTGATCAAGTAGGGGACGGTCTAAATTAAGATAAACAGTGGGAGTTTCACTAAAACCAGCATCATTTTGACGAGAGAGAAGTTGGTGATTGTGGAAGACAAGCAATGGGGGCAAGTGTACAATCTCAGGTACTTGGCCTTTACTTTGGCATAGGTATGCATATCCTCTTGTATCAATGATAGTGTAACAAGAATCAGTTTAAATTGTTCAAGTTGGAGTTTAAGCAGTATAAGAAAATTATAATATTTAAATGCAACGATGACATCGAGGGGAAGCTGTGGTATTAGAGCATCAGGATGATTGAGGAGAAGTTCTTAAACGAGATCGAGAAGTTGCTGGTGAAGGAGCTGTATTTCGGAGCGGACTTTGTGCGGGAAGAGGAGTTCTTGAATTGGGCTGAGACCGGGGATATTCTATTGTTCGAGTAAGCATTGAATTATACGGGAAGGACAGATCATTACATGGCCAAGTTGCAGAGAGGCATCACGAGGTCGAAGTTCGATCATGTAGGCATGGTAGTCAGAGATAAATATTCGAATGATGTGTTGGTTTTTGATGTCAAAAATGAAGCAGTAAATTAAAATGTGAGGTGTTAGGGGGTAGATCAGGAGTTCTGGAAATACTTCATGAAGCAGAATAATCTCTACAGGAAGGTGGCGGTTAGGAAATTATTGAATGTCGATCGGGAAACAATAAATTCGAAACTGCTGGAATTTATTGATGTATAATTACAAATTACAAGAAAGTTAAAGATTAAGATTATGAAATCAACATGATGAAGCTCCTGCAATAGCAAAGTGACGGACTCATCAACAAAGGGTATTTTTGCAGTGAGTTGATTGCCAAAGCGTATAAATATTGTGACTTGTTGCCTCAGTAGAAAGCTAGTTCAACATATTGGCCAGTCACGTTCTAAAAGTCGTTGAAACTCTTGAATTAAGCCCAGTTGAGTGAGCCAATAATTATTTTGTTGGATTATGATATACATTATTAATTATGAATTAAAGTAATTAAAATATAGTGAATAGACATGGATTTCAGTGCAAAACAGGAATAAATTATTATCAAATCGGAGTTGCAATACTCTACATTGGACACTACTTGATAATCTTATTTCAAACCTTGGATTATGTAAAAATATTAATTCAAAGTTATAAGAATCAACTTTGGATTTTGGTTACGATTTTCTCATTTATTATCTCGATATTTTGGTTTGTCACCACAACAATAGATCCCACTGATCGGGAGATTTACATTTAGCAGAAACTCAAAGAAAAGAAGTAATGAACGATAATTTAAAAATGATAGAGTGAAATACGAGACTAAATTGAATTGCTATTGCAAGGTATGTCAAGCTTATGTAAAGGCACCGTCAAAGCATTGCAAATAGTGCAACAGGTGTACAGAACTCTTCGATCATCATTGCATTTGGTTGAATAATTGCATTGGGTTAAGAAATTATAAATATTTCTTTATATTAATAGTACTTTTAGAATTTTATTTAATTACTGTACTAATTATTTCAATATTTGTCAACAAGATACTTAGCTATATATACATGGGACTCACTATTATTTTGATGATTCCCGTCACCTTTTTACTAGTCATGCATATCTACTTTAGATGCAAGAATATGACAACCTACGATTATGTATTAAGCAGAAGGAAAATCGACTAGAAGAGCTCCTAAGACAAGTAGTAAGATGGTACATCAAACCAAACAAATCTGCAAACCAACATCATCTCTAGAAACTTTCTTCAACAAACCAACATCAACGTATAGACTGCTCCTCCGAAACCCAATCTAATCAAAAAAGTGATAGATTGGGATCAGGAGGAGGCAGATGTGGAAGAAGGAGACAGCTATCATGCTAAAGAACCATTGCCATTGCCTAGTTCGAAGAGTAGTGCCAGATAAATGGATTCTTAGTGTAACTCTGCTCACAAGATGTCTTGTCCCAATACTCTCAGGTAAATTTATTAAAACTCATTGATAGAGGTAATATATCCACAATTCAGTTGACTGAAACCAAACCAATCCGATCTTTGTTTAATGTGAAAGATTTTTAATAAATGATTGAAAATTAATTGGTGAACAACGTTAATGAGGGTTCCATCATTTAATTTGATTCAAAACATTCACAAAAGACTAATCAGATTGAGATCAATATATGAAAAAATTTGAGTTTAAATATATTATCCATCCCCAAAAATTTACTTCAGATTATCTAAAGACGAATGGTTTCTAATATTATTTATAAATTATGTAATAAAATGAAAATGATTCTTAACACGATGATCCTTAACCATTGCAAGAGGAAACCAAAGAACAATAATAACTTGAAAATAATATGGAGGTTAACACAAACTAAGAACAACAAAATGAAACTGACAAATAAAATGAGCAATTAAATGTTACTTCCTAATTTCCAAATCACGAATAGTAAGAAGTGAATAATGAAAAAACTGTGATGGACACTGAGTAATAGGGTGATGTGAAAGAGACCCCAAATAAGAAAGAGGAGATCATCAAATAAGAACAAGCAGAANATAAGAATCAACTTTGGATTTTGGTTACGATTTTCTCATTTATTATCTCGATATTTTGGTTTGTCACCACAACAATAGATCCCACTGATCGGGAGATTTACATTTAGCAGAAACTCAAAGAAAAGAAGTAATGAACGATAATTTAAAAATGATAGAGTGAAATACGAGACTAAATTGAATTGCTATTGCAAGGTATGTCAAGCTTATGTAAAGGCACCGTCAAAGCATTGCAAATAGTGCAACAGGTGTACAGAACTCTTCGATCATCATTGCATTTGGTTGAATAATTGCATTGGGTTAAGAAATTATAAATATTTCTTTATATTAATAGTACTTTTAGAATTTTATTTAATTACTGTACTAATTATTTCAATATTTGTCAACAAGATACTTAGCTATATATACATGGGACTCACTATTATTTTGATGATTCCCGTCACCTTTTTACTAGTCATGCATATCTACTTTAGATGCAAGAATATGACAACCTACGATTATGTATTAAGCAGAAGGAAAATCGACTAGAAGAGCTCCTAAGACAAGTAGTAAGATGGTACATCAAACCAAACAAATCTGCAAACCAACATCATCTCTAGAAACTTTCTTCAACAAACCAACATCAACGTATAGACTGCTCCTCCGAAACCCAATCTAATCAAAAAAGTGATAGATTGGGATCAGGAGGAGGCAGATGTGGAAGAAGGAGACAGCTATCATGCTAAAGAACCATTGCCATTGCCTAGTTCGAAGAGTAGTGCCAGATAAATGGATTCTTAGTGTAACTCTGCTCACAAGATGTCTTGTCCCAATACTCTCAGGTAAATTTATTAAAACTCATTGATAGAGGTAATATATCCACAATTCAGTTGACTGAAACCAAACCAATCCGATCTTTGTTTAATGTGAAAGATTTTTAATAAATGATTGAAAATTAATTGGTGAACAACGTTAATGAGGGTTCCATCATTTAATTTGATTCAAAACATTCACAAAAGACTAATCAGATTGAGATCAATATATGAAAAAATTTGAGTTTAAATATATTATCCATCCCCAAAAATTTACTTCAGATTATCTAAAGACGAATGGTTTCTAATATTATTTATAAATTATGTAATAAAATGAAAATGATTCTTAACACGATGATCCTTAACCATTGCAAGAGGAAACCAAAGAACAATAATAACTTGAAAATAATATGGAGGTTAACACAAACTAAGAACAACAAAATGAAACTGACAAATAAAATGAGCAATTAAATGTTACTTCCTAATTTCCAAATCACGAATAGTAAGAAGTGAATAATGAAAAAACTGTGATGGACACTGAGTAATAGGGTGATGTGAAAGAGACCCCAAATAAGAAAGAGGAGATCATCAAATAAGAACAAGCAGAAAATGAGTAAGAAAACATAAACAAAGCTAAGTTAAGTAAGCAAAATACAATCAATAACCAAAATCAGGATCCCTCTCCTTCTAATAATACCACCATCTAATAGGACAATACCTAACAGAATAATAAAGTGAATTAATAGGAGTAGCAATAGACTAAGGAGTAAAAACAATAGGAAAAGAAGGGGGAGGAGAATGATTAAGAAAATTAGGGATAAAGAAAAAATTAAAAAAAGAAGACGACCAAAAGGAGAACTACAAAAGTTGAAATCTAAGAAACTTAAGAAAAGAACAATCCACCTTAATCGAGCACTAATATTAACGAGGAGAAAGAAAAAGAAGAGTAAGAATAAATTTAGCAAAAAATTGAAGAATAAAAGTAAAAAGAAGAATTGCAGAGAAAATAGGAATAAGAATAGTAACAATAATTATAAAGATAAAAATAGTTGGTTGATAAAGTTTATAAGGACCTGATTTTTCCCCTTAAGAGATCTTAAAATAAAAATGGTAAAAAATTAGATTCTAGCTTTGAAATTTAAAGCGAAAAATTTACCCTAGAGTTGGTAAGGTGTAAAAGTGCAAAAAGATATTAAAGAGAAAGAAAGCCAAGAACAAGAAGTGCTATTAATTAGGAGCTATTAGACTTTTACAATAAAATCAATCCTCAACAACATAAAGATCAAAGCAAAATGACTCCAAATACATTACAAAGGTTAAAAAAATAATAGGAATTAGAATAGATGAAGAAAGATTGCGAAAGATTGGAAGAATAACAAAATTAATAATAAAATGCCTTCTCTTAACCATAAAAAGAGAACAAATCTAAAACTCAGAATAAATAAAGGGCTTCAACTTAGGCCAAGAAGAAATTGGAAGTCATTGTGAGAAAACGTAAAAAGATTAAGATTAGAAATGGTCTTAGAGAAAGAATGCTAATTGACAAAGATAAGGATTCTTAATTGAAGGCCTTAGATTTCATTAGAAAAATGCAATAGAATAGAATGGCAGCAGAATAAAAAAGATAAGAATAACTTGAAAAGATTACTAACAAAATTTCAAGTGACATCGAAAGTTTAAGATAAGGCAGTCAAATATATAAGTAGGAGTAATAAAAATAAAAACGAAAATAAGCATTGGAATAAATTACAAAACAAGAATAAAAAAGGTATGAAATGATGGTAGAACAACAGAGAAATGAAAAATTTGTGAGAGAATTAAAAGAAAAGTCTGCAGTCAGCAGTCATTATAGTGTCAAAAAATTGGCATTAGGTTATTCACCCTCTCTTGTTACAGAATTAGAAAATGGATAAATCTAAATTGAATAAAGTATTGATACAAATAGAAAAATAAATGAAAATCAATTTTTACTTAAAGAAGAATAGAAATAAAAGATAAAAGAGAATAAAATGAAATAATAAGATTATAGCAAGTAAGTAAGTTTGTTACATTTTCCTAAAGTAAACAACAAGAAAAACTATGAATTGCTTAACGAATATCTCTCTACTGAAAATAAGGAAGCCTTGCCTTAAATTAAATAAAAACGAAAAAAGGCTTGGTAAATAGAATAAGAATTGATGTAAAAGAAGCATCAAAATAACGAATAATTGAAGGAATGATTATAATTTTATCAAAATTTATACAAAATACAGTATTTTTATAAAAACCCCATTATTGTTTGGACACGATATACTACTGAAAATAAATATTGTTATATGGAAAGAGTTTTCCATTAGAGTGTGAACATATACATTGAGAATTAAATTAGCAATTCTTTTGATTTTAATATATTCATTCTGTTTTAAATTAAATAAATTTAAAGTTTGAATAAAAAGGAATGGAGATGAGAATTCTTGTTAAATATTAAACATTAATGTACTATTTAATATGCATTTGATTTAAATCACTTTTTTTATGTATTTTTAACTTTTGGTTAAGCCTATGTTCCTGCTCTGAAACCATTCTTTGCTCTTCTAGCAATAGATTTCAAATATCTCATTCTTCCTGTTCCTGTTGATCTTCTTCTGGCGACTTTCTCTCCCCATCCGCTGTCTATTATTCAATTAATGAATTTACAAAGTCTCAATCTTGCAGCTGGATATCCGCATGATGCACATCTATTTTTTTAAATATGGAAAGTCTATCTGCCACATCTTTTACAAAAAGTATGAGTCTTTTGATGTCTCTTACCGATTGCTGGAGTACCTCTTGCCATTGAAATTTTAATAAAAGATTTAATTAAATATAAAAGTCATCACTAAATGAGATAATCCATTATTATTTATTTAATTTCTTTTTATGGACATTCCCCTTACAACCATTATTTTGATGAATCCTAATGGAACTATTTAAATTGGTACTCAACCCTGGTTTAAAGGCAAAAAGGTGATGAAATGTTACTAGTGTCAGTAATCAATTCAATTATGTTTAGAAGTAATATTGTTTTTGAAGGCAAATATAACTAAATTAAATGCACTAAATGCAACACAGTTAATCAAGTGCCGGTAATCTAATGATTCATTTTATTTATGTTACAATCAACTATCAAAACAACTATAGAATTCATATTTAATACATATAAGTCTCATTAAATCAATTAATTTTTCAAACATAATATATAAACAATGTAAATACTCAGATTTCTAGAATTCACTTAGAAATAAGATTTGATATTGCAGCAAAGCAATTAAATTGTTTTTATTGTTACAACATAATTAATAGACTACCTATTTATTATTAACATATATTTCGATCCTAATCTTATGAATGAACTTTCCTTACTTTAAGCTTAATAATCAAATCAGAAAATGTTTACCAATACTCAGATTAACATTGAATTCAAGTAGACCCTTTTATTAAACCCTTTCATATTTATCATAATCTCCAGTATTCCTATCAATTGGTCTAAATATAAAAAAATTGTTTTATAAAGTATTTAATCTTTCTTTGCTTGAATAATTTCTACATGCAATTATTTAATTCATTTATTTTTAAGAGATATTTTGATAAAATATAGATCAATATACATCTTAATTAATTTAGTCTAATTGGCACTCATTTAAAGGATATATAAAGATAAAAATATGTGGGTTAAATAAATTTCTAGAAATTAGTTATAAAATATATATTATATGCATATATTAAGTATGATTTTTTTAAATCATAATATCTAAATTTAAAAAATCAAGTCAAATTATAGATAATGAACAATAACAAAAGTTAAAGCTAGAAGTATTAAATTGTTGAGAGGCATATTACAAATAAAAATTTACAATTAAAGATAAAGATAAAGGGGTTGATGAGCATTTCAAATTATTTTGGAAAATAAATATGATAATTGATATTCCATGTTAATAATTCTTAATCTCTAAGAAAACAGTAAACGAGCGACTTTAATACCTCACAATAAGAAAATATTACCCCTTGAAATTGATAAATTGTGTTCATTCCTAAATACGAATAAATAAAATCTAATGAGAGAACATATATATCCGCTTAATAATCTAAAAACCAAATTTACGTGACAAACAGTAGGTAAATTAAAAGTAAAGTTGATATTACGAATAAGGAAAATTAACCTTAAAGGTTATACAATACTTTAAAATGTCAATTTTTTTTTTGATAAATTTTGAATAGCAAATTCAATCATTAAATCATATTCTATAATATCAAACTCCTCTTTCTAATACCACATAGACAAGAGTACATTTTCCAGTGTTTACAAAATACTATCATATAATATATTAAATTTTGTAATTAATTATCCTAATATAATTTGAATATTTAAAACCTTCAAGATATATAATTGCTTTTGTAAATTAAATTGTTGAAAAACAGGCTTGATCAATAATCCTCTTCTCAGGAACACATGAAAAAAGGAAAATAGAACAGTTTTGGATCCTTCGATGGAGGAACTCAAAGGTGAGACCTTGATATAATTTGATACTGTGATTTAATTCAATTGGTGAGTACTTTTGATATTTTGATATTTTTGGAGATTGATGGACTTATAAATGAAGAAAAACCTCTTTTAGTATAATATTTTATAATAAAATGTTTTTTAAGGGTTGTTATTTTGTATTTTTGAATAATATCAATATTTTCATTCCTATTTTACCTTTTTACAGATTTCTTCTTGTTCATGGTATGCTTTAAACGAAACAGCCAATTCATAACAACGTTATTTCATTGACGAAATCCAAGGTACTCTTTTGTATGTGGATATTTTCTATGTAAATTCAATTGATAAATAATACATCGATTTATCCAGAAGCAATAAATTTTAAGACTTGTTTGGCCATATTTTGAATTTTTTCATTATTTTCTTGATCCCAAATTTCATCAAAATGTTCTAAGGGATTAAGTGGGAATTTTTACCAAGATAAGAGAGGTAGCCCTCGTAAAATTTTTCAGAAGAAAAAATTTTCTTTAAATAAGAGGTATTCATGGTTTTATTGGAAGACTCGGACCTAAAGGGAATTAATTCTTCAATATTTTCATTGGTAGAAAAATATTCTTTATAGAATACTTTTTCGATTTCATAGGCGCTCATTGTCAACTCGTTTAAGTTCATCTTTTGTTTAAGGAATTTAAAGCATTTCCTTAGTATGAATTTAATTTATTCCTCTTTTGTCTTTTTCTAATTTTGATAGCGATTGATCAGTGATTCTATCAATCCATCATCTATTCTAGTCAAGATCTAAAATAATATTTTATCAAAATTTTTATATACTTTATATTTATTTTTCTCATTGTCGTCCAATTCCTTGATTTCCTCTTTGCAGAGATATTCCAATAATTATTTGAGTTCCCAGAGTATTTCGTCTTGTGTAAATTGTTTCAGAATTTCATTCTCCTTCTTTTATTTGGGTAAAACTCTTTCTGATTGACTTTTCTTCGTTCGAATGTCAGGCTATTGTACTATCGGTATTGTTCTTTGAGATGATTAAGAAAGAAGAGATATATGTTGAAGAGGATTGAGTGATGGTATTTATAGATTGGGTTGGTTGGTAATATTGCTTTAGAGTGCACAAAGTAAATGTAAATACTAAGGTTAGGGATGTAGGAGTATACTTGTATCTGTTGAAGTTATTACAATTATTGTAATTAGGGACAATATTAAAGTTATGGTAAAGTGGGAATCTATTAGAATGGATTCATGTAAAAAATTAAATATTTGATCAATGTTTTTGGATTCAACCTAAAATACACGGATATTGTTAAATTAAATAAAACTGAATCTAAAATGAATCATAATATTAATCTTCTTGATAATAATTTTATATATTTCATCATAAATGAAACTCTTTCAAATATTATAATTTTTTCAATTCTTATTTAATTCTCTCCAAATATTCATTATTGTGGAATTTCGTATCCATGGCATCAAATATAAACTGATTCAAAAATTTAATTTTTCCCAACTCTTCCTCTAATCCAATAATCTTCTGCATAGGAGTTTATCTAAATTATATAATATATAAAAATACGAAATATCAATTTATAAGGTTCTCAGATTTTATAATTTACTCAAATTACTACAATTCAACTCTTCTACTTATGTCTTAGAAATAAGTATTTATAAGAATCGCATAAGCTTTAAATCTCCTATTTGATCCATCAATTTATTGACTGAGTTGAGATTAGTGTCATTCAAATCCAAAATCAAACTCTTCATCTATGCTTATTAGGGTATGGCATCAAGCACACTTTAATCAAAATTCTGATTGGCAGATATTCTTAGATGCTCGAGCTTTTGAATGCTGTTCAAAATTCTGTGTAATGTAAGACTGCTAATCGAAGTGTCCTTAAAATTTAGTGACAATGATTTCAAGGCTGTCAAATACCCAATTTTTTAGAATAAATTGTCTGCCTAAGTCACTTTGGTGTTGCTAAATTAAATGTTGAGGTATTCTAGATTCTGTAGCTATTTCAACAGATCACCTAATTGATCTATGTTATTTAGATTTGTGTTATTGAAGGTAAGTGTCAAATGACAGAGGTTAGTGCAAAAACTGATTCCTTGCATCAAGTCAAATAGGTTTTCCATTTATAAATCATCCAATTTGATTGTTAATTAGAGCAACTTGCTTAGTTTTCTTATGCCAGATCCAAGGGGAGCCAAATCAGTAACTTGAGTGCCTGCAAAATCCAAATGCAATTCTTCTAGATGCTATAATTTGGAGATATTGAGTGTAAATTGCTCTATGTTATTTAGTTGCGTATGTCTAAATGAATATATTAAATTACCCTGCAAAGAGAGTTAAGGATTTGAGTTAAGTAAACAAATGAACATCGAATAACTTGATAGATGTTATATGAGTTTTATTGAAGTTCAGATAGATCGATTCTAATTGAATATTTTAATTTAAAACTTGAATTACGTTTGAAACATCAGTAATTTGAGTGTTAGATAAATCTAAATGAAATCTAGTCAGTGTTGTGATGTGTGAGGGTATAATGTTGGAATCATTGACTTTTGTATTCCTAATGTATAATAAGAATGACAGTGTACTGTGCTTGTATTTTGAGTACATCAAAGATTTCACTCCCTTAGATTGCATCTCTGAGTGGTGTGATATCACCAATGTTGGGATCAATGAAACTCAATTGAAGCTTTTATAATGAGAAGTATCTTGACAATATCAACATTTGTTCATAAACTTCGTCTTAATTGTGGAGTATCCAATCAATTTCTTTTTTTTCAGAATCTTCCTTGAATTACTCAATTTTTTCTCTAATTTCACGTGTTGATTTATTTCCCATCTAAATTAATTTAAAAATAATAATAATATAAAGCATTACTAATATATGAAATGACATGCAATAATTATTATTTTATTCGATTGATTTAATTAGGATATTAGACAAATTACAAACTGATTTACTTTCATTCTTTTTTTAAATTAATTAAAAAGATGTCCAAGAAAATGACATTTCATTAGATCATCGGTGGAATTGGAGATTTACATCACCAAACAATTTTGTCACCTCTTAATTAAGCATCTGCTAAAAGGTTAAAGAAGGTCACCTTCTACAACGAAGCACTTTATCTTGAATTCAGAGCTACTGACAGTCCAACTAAGGTCAATTCCACTCTTCAAAAACATTTTTCAACAAGATCACTCTCAGCTATTACCTAACCTTGACATAAGAAATGATTATTATTTACATAATAAGTTTCATCTCACATATTCATTTCATTTCTAATCAAAATTTAAGCACTAATCAAATCTGATGATTCATTAGGTGATGACTCTATTAGAAAATCTAGAATAACCATATGCCGAATAAGAAATCCATAATTGTCACAAATCGTCTCTAATCATCTAAATTGAATAAAATTATCCTGAAATTACTATTGAGAGTAGGGTTTATGAATTTCAAAGGAATTTCAAGAAAAGATAGAATTTTTTTGTCCTTTGTTTTCAGCAGTGAATTGTGAAAAAAATACCAAAGATAAAGTAAATTGATAAGGTATATCACAAAAATATATAATACATAGAGTATTATTGGTTTTCAGTTTTAGTTGAATTGTAAAGATGTTTTTAATAAAATTTTAATATAAATGTATATTTCAATATTCGTAATTCAAATTTTGAATTTTGCCTAAGCAAGTAAATAAGATATAATGAAGGTTGTAGCATTGGATTGTTCAACAATAAAGGGTACAGCCTTGAATAGTTATGCCTATAAAACTGACGGATCTGTACAATTTGAGTTCGCAATACCTACTTCTGGCAATGTGTATTTAACATTTCCAACGTATTGGAGTGGTTCACCTTCGATTTCGCCTTTAATAACAGGAACCACCACCTGCAGAGAGGTAAACTTCATTAAGATAATAAAGACCATACAAAGTACAATGTGTACATAAGATAATCTTAAATTCACATGTGGCACTTTACAGGCAGGCAGCCAAATTATCAGATGTAACAATGTGAAGGGACCACACACAAATAAACAGATTGGAAATTTCAGTATATAATTTGCTTAATAGTCTTGCGATAATATTCTGATTAATAATTTCTAACCTTATGGCGGTTCAGTTGTGTTTTCATCTAATTCCACAACAGGCTTGTACCCCAACGCTGACAAATTGTAAATGATTTGGGAAAACATTGTATTGCCTATTTCTTTTAGTTCAAATCCACAAATTGAAGTTTAGATTTTAAGCAACGGTGAATTTGTTACGACTTCAACAGTGAAAGGCTATGTCTCTGCTAGGTCAATTGGTTTGTTAGAGTAGCTCACGGTCAGTGCTCCGAATCTGATTAAAGCCTAAATGCCAGAGTCAATAGCGGTTAAGGATGTTTCCATGAAATTGTATATGGAATCATTGAAGGTATTGGGTAACACTCAGCCCATTCAATCGCAAATAGATTTTAAGGATTCTAATAATGTATTGCAATACTAGATTCTCTTTCCCACAATTTCAGTCTAGAATGATTAATTGATAGTCAGTCTGAATATTGATTCAACTGAGATCAACATCTACACAAAATACACTTTTAGCATAACTATCAAGAATGCACTGAATTCAGCAGGATTTGTGAGAATCGCCTTAGCATAAACATTATTGTCCTAGAATCTGATTTGCTTATGTGACAATTCAGTATCTATTCCCACTATTAATGCAGATTACATCGATGTTGGGGGATGTTTGACTACGACTGGCACGCATACTATAGCTATTCAAAATGTGCTGAATCCAGTATCTACTATTTCAACTATTACTATCTCATATGTTTCAACTATGTAGAATGGTTTTTCAGTTGATAGAATGACAAACTTTCAATATAAGTCACCTTCATTCACACCTGGAGCTCTGAGTGCTCAGTACGACAGACAAGGAAGTGATTTGGATGTAGTTGGAGGCTATTCCTTTTTCATATTAAAAATCACACCCAAAAATAAAATTCCAGCTTAAGGGTTATTAAAAGTGGAAATACCTCAACAGATCAAATTTGTTAATTAAAATGCATAAATTTGTAATGTAGATATTTATGGTTGTCAAATTCAGACTATTTAAGATTAGGTATTGATTTTCAAGTTTTCATCCTCAATCGAAGCTTCAAAACAATTTATTATTAATTCAATATCCATACCAATCAGAAATCCATTTGATACTAGTTAAACCAATTATTTTAAATTTACTACTTATGATTAATTCAATAATATAATAGACACAATCTCTAATGTTTAAGGGTATTCTGTTAATACAAGATCAACATTTGATGGATTAATAATCATAGAATCAGATTAACCATTCAAAAATGGGTAATCCAATACTTTTTATTTCACAATCAAAACAAAAACTCCTCAGTTCTATCCCATATAAATGACTGTGAAAGTTGGAGATTTAACAATCAATAACAATCCACAATGTAAACTAGAAGGCGCTGTTATCAAAACATGCACTAAAATATCAACTAATTAATTAGATATATCGATTGAAAGTACTGACTTACTGTTATTACCAACTACTTTGAAGTTATCTGTTTCAACTATAAAATGTAAGGATACAATGACCAAAAGTTAAGATTTTGAATTTTCAACTTAATCTACTAATGGTTTAATGAGTTATTAATCAGGACCCTATATCAGTAATGTCTAATTTGGAGACATTACATAAACAGAATTAAAGGTTGACAAATAATATTATGGAGCTTCAAATGCTGCCTATTAATTTGATTTCGCTTTATAAAATGGATTAATTGAAGGCAATCATCAGATTCATATATTATTTCCATTCAACCTTCCCTCATCAGGTTATTCATGCAAGGATACAACCAATAAGGTTTTAGTTTGCAATGTGCAATCCAAAAATATTCTAGTATTGAGTGGACCCTTCGACTCGACTTAGTTACTCTACAAAGTTATAATAAATGGGCTTCCTACTCCTCAAAATGAATAACAACCTCGAACATTCACAATTAAAACATACAGGAAAATAGACGATTCTAATTATTTAGTTGATAGTTCAGTAAATGGAGCATTTCAATTTAATATATATTGTCCCTAATTAAATAATTGCAGGACTTGCAAGATCAACGATTCTAACAATGTAGATTGTGAAACTTGTTATGCCTCCACGATATCCAAATTTATTTATATGAAATCAAATGTTTGTGTTGATTATTGTGGAGATGGCTACTATTAGAATGAATAAGAATTTTCATGTCAACAATGTCCAAGTAATTGTTAGGCTTGCTCACCCACAAATAACGTTTTAATATGCGATAAATGTTTTGATGATTTCAAGTATTAGGATAGTATTTGTGTTGATACCTGTGGAGATGCATATTACTTACCGTTAACATCTACTAATAGATGTGAAAAGTGTGATAGTGAATGCATGTTATGTTCAATGAATTCATCGTACTGTTCAAAATGTCAACCAAATATCCCAATATAAGCTAATAAGTGCTATAAAAATGGATGTTTACAAGGATACTATCAGACATACAATTCAAATTAAGTGTTAGTGTGTGAACTATGTCCAGCTACATGTATTAGTTGTCATTCCTATAATTAATGCACTTAATGTTAACCTGGTTAATATTATTTATCAGGTGCATGCAGAGCAGATTGTCCTCTAGGTTACTTTATAAGTGACTAATAAATGCTCTGTAAATAGTGTGTTTCTGGATGTAGTTAGTGTTCCAATGATACAACATGTGTAAAATGTTAAGGTGGATTCTTATTAAAAGAGCAATAGTGTGTTTTAGCATGTGGAGATTAGTATTACATGGATACTACTCAAACTTCATGCTTAAGATGCAATCAGTATTGCCAAACATGTGAAGTGAAAGACGATATATAAAAGTGTACATCTTGTATGACTTCATACTTCTTTTTTAATTTCACTTGTATTCAACAATGTGGATCAAACTACTATTCTCTAAATCATGAATGTTTCGAATGCTCATAAAATTGTTTAACTTGTGCTGGTAGTCCAGACACTTGTACTTCTTGTTTAGTTTAAGGAGACACACCATAATTTCTAGATGGAACTGTGTGTGTCTCAAAATGTTCAGACACCCAATTTGCTGATATCACTAGTGGAAAATGCATAGAGTGTCCGAACAGTTGCACTCAATGCACATCATTAACCAATTGCACTTAATGCAAATAATCGCTCATCCCTCATTATCTGATCTAAGGTGCTTGCAAACAATAATGTCCAACTAACTATCAACCTATTGGATTGTTTTGCGAGTTGATACCAGAGAGGGTTGTAATCAAAACTGAAACTAATAGATATGTGCCAGTTCCACATGTGATAATATTCGCATTCTTCACTATATCTGTGTTACTGTCTAAACAATTCAAAAGTGAGACATACATGCCCGGTTCCATTGTAGGATTGAGTGCTCCCTTGATATGGTCCTCATGGTTGGCTGTGTTATTCTTATTACTTAATTATTATGAATTCAAGGAGTTATATTACTTTTGGATCTTAATGGGGAGCGTGGGACTGAATTATTTATTCAATGCTATACATCTTGTTTTGGTCTATTAGAAGATTTGGAATGATCAAGATTTTCTTAGGTGGTAGGCTTCATCGCTGAAAAACAAATCCACTAATGTAATTTTAGTTTCATTTTCCATACTTTTTGCATATCCATTATACAAGCTCATTATGAGTCGTTATTTTGGATTTTCGTTTTTCAAAGCTAAAATTGTGGACATTAAACCCTTATTTTACTTTAATTGTCTAAATGCACTTTACATAACATTTGTTAATGTACCAATAATTGTCAGTTGTATCTTGGTTGCTTATCATGAATCTTCTCACAATACTTAGACATTTATCAGTGCCATAGACTCTATTGTTGTTACCTTCGCCTACATATTGCTATTGATATGGGAAACTCAGAAAGGGGAATCGTTTTTTGACGAATTCCACCAAAACTATTACTTGAATGAGTCAAAATAGCATTTAGGGAAAAATGAAATATCGGGGTATTTTCAACATCCTTTAGAATAGAAATCGCAAGCAGAACAAAAGATTGATCTGTCAGATTTGGATGCTTAAGCAGGCAATTAAGAGAATGATGTAACAAAATAGAAATCATACGAACAATCACATGAACAATCATGTAATCTAAATGGAATTAGCATCATCCTGAGTGATAAGAATTCAAATCCTGTATTTCAATAAGAAAGTGATAGGTCCAATTAGTTTCCTTAGAAGTAAGTTGTTCCCTTGAATCTAAAACATACTATATACTATAAGAATGTGTAGAATAATCAGATGGGGAATCCTGATGATGAGCCTCCTTATGAATCCCCTGGATCTGAGAATTTCAGTTCAATGAAGTCTCAATCAAGTTAAAATTGCTAATAGTCCTTCGATGATTAAAGTCAATATCCCTTGAAAGACATAAGTTTAATCTAGAATTCAGAGGAACCACATGAGAACAGTTAATTGTCAATATTTGAAGAGGAAAGGAACTTCAGTTCATCTAAAAAGTAGAAAACTGTGCAGATCTAAGAGAATCATCCTCTTGATCATTATAATATCATTCCTACTTTTGAGAATGAAAATGATGAGAATAATCCTCAATAAGTAAATTAGTTAAATGAGAAATCTAAGAGTTCTTGTAAAAAGACTTAGTAGTAGATGACAAATAATGAAGGAGAGCACAATCCATAATCAAGAAGAGAAATACTATAACCATTATAGTATTCATAAGTTTAATAACTTGCCAAGTCTGCTTAATTTAACAACGATAAAGCTTTATCCTCACATAAAAAATTAAGTCGAGAATCTTAAAGTACTGAGACTATTAAAGTCTAATTAGGATAATGCAGATAATAAGTAAACCCATAAGTGATAGAATAACTATAATAATCTAAACTCATTAATACTAAAAGCAATGATTAAATTCCTAAATAAGGCATTTATGATAATTAGCAGTCATAAATAGGAGTCTCAAATTCAAAACCATAATATGATACTGAAAGGTAAAATGATTAGTGTAGAATTCAAATTTTAATGGACAGCAGAGCCATCGAAGAAGAATAGGATATATTTTAAGATTAGATTCAAATACAATAAATTAAACCCAAGCCTTCAAATGTGAAGGAGGATAACAAATAATCTAAAATTAAAAGGGAATCTGAAATCAATAACATTTTTGATTCCAGTGATTCCATTCACACCATGTCTGATTAGGATTGGAGTGAAAATCAAATCTCACCTTCAGAATTCAACTCACTTAATTAAAGATTTGAAGATGAATAAGAATTGGATTTATAAATTAATGTGCCTAATTAAAGTAAAACTTAATAGCATTACAGATAGAGCAAATTAATACCTTTAAATTTATAATTCAGAGATGAGAATAATGATGAATAACCCTATGTTGGATAGACTTAAGTTGATTTTACAAGAAATAGTTAGCCATAGAAGGAAACTAAAAAATAATAATTAGAAAAAGTATACCTACAGAAACTCGAGAAAAATGATAAAATATCAAGTAGAACAAATAAATGGGGATTCAAGAAAAAACATCCTATCAAAAATCATCCAAAAGATATATCAGATGCATATATAGATGATTAAATAGATGTAGAGGACATAAACTTTTGAATTAATTAATTATATATATATATTATAAATTTAAGGAAATTTAAACATTGAAATACCAGATCAATTCACATTTTCTTAACAAGGTGGGATAATAAATTTTGATATTTACACAGCTAAGACATTCTTAATAGTATGAATGAAATAGTGTAAAAATTCAAGGAGTATGTTTAAATAAAAACTGTTGAGTTGTAAGGCTTGATAAAATTGATTGAAATAAGTGAAATATATGATAATCAGTTTTATCATATGCTTGAAATATAATAATCAAGTAAAATAGAATTAATATTATGATTTTAATTTCTATTAGAACGATTCATTTAAGGACTTTAGGAATGAAAAATTTATTAAGAGAATAAATCAGAAATAATTAGAATGAAGAGAATTATATTACAGCGTTTAATCACACTCAAAAGTTCATTACTAATCCAATCTTTTAGAATAATTTAATTATATTAAGTCCAATAAAAACTTTCATGAGGATTTTGGTAGCTAAATTTTAAGTGATAATCATATATTCAATAAAATAATTATTTTATATACTTATATGAAAGTTAAATAAATAAAAGAGATATTAGATTAACTCAAGGAAAAGTATAAAATGGAAATGAAATATCATAAAATTTAGGAAAATTTTAGGTGTGAATTTTATATCAACTCTCTAAAAATAGCAGAGGGATAGGGTGTATCCAAAAAGTATGCCAAGAATGATGCAGCGTCAAAGGCATATGATATTTTGGTTAACTCTGATTATTCATTTGCAAGAAGAACTGGAAAGAAAATTCGAGATGAAGATTACAAATAATAATTGGAGCAGTATGCCTTAAAGAAAAACATTAGAGTGGAATTTAAGGAAGGAATAAAAAATGAATTAGGATATTCCTAATATTACATATAATATGGAACCAAAACATACATTGGATATGGGTTGAAAGCTAAAAAATGCATTAATTTCATGTCCTATTGCATTCTAGAGAAACTCGAATACAACGAAAAAATGAATCAACTAATAAATTAGAAAGAACCTGAAAAGCAACCAGAGGTTTGGGAACACACATCTTCTCGGAAGATCAAAATTGTTATAAAACCAACAATCCCTATGTAATAGAATGAGCAAATAAAAATAGAGGATAGTGAACCTCCTCCTCAAGATACAAATTTAATAAAGGAGTTGAAGATTTAGCATTTTCTAAATAGTTTAATGATTACAGAAGATGTATACAACTAATTTGATCTGTTCTTACTTTAGTTGTCTTATCAAAAGGACTTTTTATTTAGGGCAGTTGGAGCATTCACCTCCAAATCAATACGCACTTTGAAGCCAGAACTTGACATTTTGATTAATATTCCTAAAGGTAATTTTCCTTAGTTCGAATATTTTTTGGAAAGGACTTCAAAATTATTTTAATATAAAGTCTTCAGGAATAAAAAACATATATAATTAGAATTACCATTCTAAACAAAAAGTAAATTCTTGAGATGGACATTTTCATCTCTCAAAGTTAATATGTATATAAAAAAGAAGTTTACTCCAGATTCTTTAATCCATGATGAATATATGAAATAATATTAAGTGCAGTATCTATTAAATAGATATTCAACTCAATATCTCTCATTAATTCATCAATGGAAAGAAGATTCGAAAATTCCTTTAAATGCAACCATCTTAGATTATTTAATTGTTTAAGTCTCAAATTAATTCTAAACAAAGAATAATCCTATTGTTATATTAAAGCAACTAATATTCTTATTAAAAATTGGAGTTCTTGATGAAATTCTAGATTATGAGAAAGGCGAAATAGAACTAAACCCATTTCTTCAAGCAATACCAGATTACTAGATAGTTTGCATTAGAAAGATTGCAGAATAAACTCGTAAATAGATAAAGGAAATTGCCGAGCATTATGACGAAAAGAAAATTTAGACATGGATTTCAAATTATATGGATTGATTAAATAAGTATTGTATATAATTCATTTCTTTTTTGTTTATTTAGACCTCTAATGTTTTTTATAACCTTAATTTTAGTTTCTAAGTGGATATCTTTGCTTCTTCTCCTAAGAAGTTTAATTTGTTAATAGATTTAAATGATCCTTATAACACTTTGAACTTTAAAACAAACCCTCTTTTTCAATTTTACTTTTTGAAATACTAGAACAACTATTCTAGAAAACCCCTTAGGAAACACTCCTATTGTTACTGAATTTGTTATCAATTAGATTAGCGTTAATTTCCTTAGGTTCAGCTTGTAAATTGAAATGCTAAGAATCTTCTATAGAATCAAAATTCATTGTCAAATTATTGCTTTTTTGACTCATAATTTAGGATCTTAAATACTAATTTAAATCAATATCCCTTAGCTATTAATTTATAGTTTTATTTTCTTATTAAGTCCCGTAGATAATTTATTGTTGATAATCATCCAAAGATATCAAATCAGATTCTACGAAATTTCTATTTATTTTTGGTGAAAAGAATGATAATTGATATTAAAATAACCCTAAATTCCTGTTCTTAGTCTTTGTTTAAACAGATGCATTTGTACTGGTTTTGCATTCTACATGTTTTATATTCCCTTATTAAGTAGGTTCAGATTTTTGATTCTGTGAAAAGCTTGTCTAAATTTCAATTTCCTTATACTCTTTAGGGACATTTAAAACAATTGATCTTTCAGTCAATATTTCACTAAAAGATTTTGGGATTTATCTTTATGTTGATTTTGTACTGAATTTCATAGCTTGCAAGTCTTCGTTTTCATTTTATTCTACAATAGGTTTTGTATTAACTAAATTCTTTTTTGTAAATGCAGGATATCTATCTAAGATGATCTATTCAATTTTTTCAATGTTTTATTTGATTTATTCATGATTTGATACTTGATTTTACTTCATTTTTGTGTTTATATCAACTGAGCTCTAGATTCTAAATAATTCTTCTTCTAAATTGCAATCTTAATTAATTATTCTACTTTATTTGAGTGCAAATTAATTGAAATTAAATTTTGAATTAGTATTTGTGTCTGAAACTGTAATTGTTTTTGGGTCAGCTGAATTTAATTTGTTTGTTTTGATTTACAATGTATCAAATTTAAAGGTATTCTCACTTTCACTTAATTTTGGAGTGCAACAAGTAGTTTGAGTATAATAGTGTTATTTACTGTAAATATTACCCCAATTTCCATTGTATTGAGAAGAATTTGAAAACTTTCTTGAATTGTTGATTTATCCAGGATCATGAGATAGTGGTGGCTTCAGTTACCATGTATCAGATGTTTAAAGGGAAACTACATTTCCATTTATCTGACGAAGTTGGGACACTTATTAATCCGTCTTAAGCTTTGGATTGGAAATGAGTAAATCTTCTCTTGTTTATGAAGACTGCCTGCTCCTTCCAACACTAACGTGAAGTTTTCCTGGTTTCTAGACTTACTTTAATTTTTATTGTATTTTCCCTAAAGGATTCGACCTATTGGTACTTTTTGATCTTACAAATTTCAACTGACTCATCAAATTTTATTTATAAACAAATATTATGTTTTATTTTATAATGATAATTATATAATTAATTTAATGGAATAATAACATAAAGGTAGTAACTTAAGTATTTATTATGAGTAATTACCGAACCCGGAGAAACCAATACAAGCAGTTAACAGTTTTTCAGTACGAATACTCTATTTTTAAACAATGTTGGATTGAGTACAAATATCTCGTCGAGCACTTTGAGACATACAGCCCCTTAGATCTCATTTCCTAAGGCAAATAGATTTCACACTCAATCTTAATTTCAATTGCCAACCAAATTGGAATTACCATCACAATTGGGAAAAAGGTTTGTAATCATTAAATTTATCTTTATTTCAGATACACTCAATAAGGTTTCGGTAATAAGAAGGTGTTTCAATATGAATGGTAAAAGGTGAATGCCAAAGAATTCCCAAGTCCTGATAGATATAGAGTGAGATAGGACCCTGGTATAGATTAGTTGAAAAGATCATTTGGATTGTCTTGGGAAGCTTACTCAAAAACCTATCTCCCTTATAATAAACATTAAGCTCCTGAAGTTGCCAAATTCTTGCCAGGTACATTTCTTACTAATTTGAGGTCCTGGAGAATATAATGTACGTTAAGATCTTGGATAACACAGATATTAATTTTAGTTGAAGGGCAAGGGGAAGATGTTTAATGATTAGAGAGAGAATGGAGTTCCAGGGCCTGAAACCTATTAGCCTCAAATCTCATTGACTGTTCCTAATCGATTTTCAGTATGAATTTCATTGAAATGAATTTAGAAAATTTCATTGGGAATAGGAGAGAAAAAGAATCCTTTTTAATCTATGAGTTTCACTCCTGGGCCTGGAAGATATGAATAGAATTCAGCTTTTGATAAGGTATCCAAAAAGAGAGAGTTCATAACAAAACCAGGAGAAAAGAGACCGTTCATATGATTGTAATTTCAAATACACTTTATTTGTATTTCATACATATTGATTTAAAACATAACTTGAAAAGGAAAGAAATCATTTCATTTTGCCTATCTATTCTTTTAATAATTGATTTCTCAATTCATACTCCAATAATTCGTCATTCTCTACTGAATTCTTTGATATGGATTTTTTTCTCATAGGTGAAGGTGCTATTGGTTTCAAGATGTTCCTTGCAAATTCTAAACCTTTTTGTCTAACAGTTACTTGTTTCTATTCACTTTTTGGAATTCTTTATTTAAAGTTTCTATACTCTACTTTCACCTTTATATATTTTATGATGATACATGCTCTGCGAATTCAAGCATCCTGTCCATTTTATCCTTTTGTTATTACCATTTTTCAATAGACAAAGTTGGACCTAAGCCTTGAGCAGGGTTTTTAAGGATGGGTTACAATTTCAATAATTTATATTAGCTGAGAGTATATGGTTTGTAATGAAGCATAGAATTTTTGTCATCTTTGATTGAAAAGTTTTTAGACTAATTGTGTTAATCTTGTTCCTCTTTTTTCCATTATTCAAATATCAACAATTATTCCTCTTAATGTCTTCTAATCAATTCGGACAATTCTCTTTATTAAATGAGATGTAATTCGTGCAATTTCCTTTTCTACTCTTCTGATAATTTTTCATTCAATCCATACTAATTCATAATAATTTGATTATAAAAATTATATATATTTGACTCTTATTTATATTCATCCTTCAAATCACTAAAATGCTTCCCTCATCCTTAATTAAAGTCACACTAAATCGTGGGTAACTAAATACAGTATTCAACAAATTTTTGTATTTCAAAAATTGACTTCATCATTGAAGCTCGTTGCTTAATTGATCAATAATATATTTGTAAAAAAAACTAATAAGTAAATAAATTAATATGAGAAAGCATACTTCTCCCTATAGAAATTAAAAACCAGGATCCTCTTTGATAAGAGTACTCTACAAACCAGATTAATAGGCGAGGGACAATTCAATAGAGAAAAAAGTTAAGAACATCTCGCCAATTAGATTTATTTTAAATTCAAGGCATAATTCCTTTGAATACAATACCACAAATGTGCCATAAACCAAATAATCAATTATTCCCACTTTAAGCAGAAAGCATTTTCAACTCTAGTATATTATTGGTATTGGTGGTTTTGGAAGAGTTTGGAAAGTCATTCACAAATAATAATATTATGCCATGAAGGAAATGAGTAAAGCCTTAGTAATCTATAAACGAAGTGTGGCTTCAGTTATTAACGAATTGCGGTTGTTAGAAAATCTCAATCATCCATTCATTGTTAATGCAGTAGCTGCCTTCTAAGATAAACAGAACATCTATCTAGTATTGGATTACTTGTAAGGAGGAGATTTAAGATATCATCTTGGAAGAAACAGAAGATTCAATGAAGAATAAACAAGTATAATTTGACCAATATCAGAGTTCTTTGTTTGTTGTGTCATTATGGGGTTGGAATATTTACATTCACATCGCATTATTCACAGAGATCTCAAACCTGAAAATTTAGTTCTTGATTCCAAAGGCTACTTAAGGATTACAGATTTGGGAGTAGCTAAGTAATTAGACACTTTAAAAATTGATACCAGCGGAACTCCAGGTTATATGGCACCAGAAGTAATGTGTGGATTGGAACATGGCATTCCAGCCGATTATTATTCTTTAGGAGTTATAGCTTATGAGTTTATGTTTGGAAAACGACCGTATTATGGATAGAATCGAAAAGAAATAAGAGATGCTATTCTCGCTAAGTAAGTCTAAATAAAACAGAAGTTGGAAGGTTGGTCTTTGGATGCAATTGATTTTATCAACAAATTGATTTAAAGAAAACCATCTCATAGATTAACAGATGTAAAAAATCATCCATGGATTAGAGATTATCCATGGGATAAACTAATTAATAAGGTTATTCAAGCACCATATGTCCCATTAAATAATGACAATTTCGATGTATCCCAAATTCAATATGAAGATCAAGAAAATCAATAAATAATCAATCAAACAGGTTTCTTGATTTCGCAAAATCAGAATGCTTTTGAAGACTACTATTATGTCAAGGAACAAAGAAGAAGATCATCCTTAAATCGATCATTTCTTTTAAAATGAATTTATTATTAATTTTATTGATTTTACATTATAAACTATTGTAATTTAATTATATACTTAATCACCAAATCAATTAATTAAAATTCAAGAAATTTTTAATTATTATAGAGTATTTGTTATTTCACTCAATTTAAGCATATTCTAGTTTTCTAAACTTTTTTATTATACTACATAATAATAAATTGAAATAACATTATTCTGCTGATAATTTAATTATTATAAAATTTATAAATATAATTTGAATAATAAATATTTTTCAAGGTTATTATATTTCTTTTGCAATAGTTCTCCTTCTTGTCGAAGTCTAAATGGATATTTTATAATATTTACTCTAACTTCTGTCTTCTTTTGTTATTGTTTCAACATATCAATTTCATTTTCCAACACAACAACTTATTACTCTGTCTCGTTGAATTGTTTATTTAAAGATATAAATTTATTTTTCCATTAATTTTTTTCTACCTCCAAATCTTCTGTATTAGATATAACTGAAATATTGGTGGACAATTCTTTAATCCTATTCTCTAATTCTCTTTGAAAATTTAATATAATAATAAATTACTTAATCTCTTCTTCTTTTTCATCACCTAACTTCTTTTCTTTATGGTATTTCTCCTCCCATTCCTAAATCTATCTATCTCTCTCTCTCAACAACCTATTATTTTCTAGTATCTGCTATTCCTTATTCTTTGCACTTTTAGCATCCTCCAATCCTTGATTATAAGATTCAATTAATAATTTTGAATGCTACTAAATAAGGTAATTCAGTTCTGTCAGTTTACTCATTTGCTCATTTATAATTTATTACTAATTATAAATATAGTTATACATATTATCGACTAAGATCATCCAATTTATTGCAACAAACATGTTCATCTAAATTTGATTTATCTAAACTCTTTTCTGACTGCAGTCCTGATTTTTCGGAACTTCCTACAAAGGTATTGGCCCTTCTATCCTTTGATAAGTAACCTTTTTCAATCTTGGATTACTAAGCATCTAATGCCCCATTGATATCTTTATTTGTCAGTTCCCATTTCAAATACCCTTTTTGTCTATTATACTTATAATTCTAGAGTTAATGATTTAAATTCCAATTACTTCATTTGGACTCTCAAAATTACTCATTAGCAATAAATTTATATATATAAATGTTAGTATATTTTAAATGATCATAAATTCCTATTTGCCAAAGCTCCATATTAATACGACGAAATTTTAGAATTTTAATTTTCTTTGACGATCTCATAGGATTCAACCTAAAAATATATAAAAAATGATTATTTACTCTAAAAGATCCATTTTTTTACTTCTTGAAGGTATCGAGTTCAGCATTTGATAATATAAGTTATTCTTATTATTTATGATACTCTCTATTTAAATTAATAAATTGGACTTTCCATGAATCAACTTCTTGAGATAATTAAGTTATCTTTTCATTGTAAGTAGTAACATCCATCTAAGTAATCAATTTGATTTTTTAATTGTCACATTCTTCCTACAACTATTTGATATTCATTTTGTTTGATTCTATCTCTTACAATTTAATTTTCAAGAGGTTACTCAATCTCTCTATTTCATTCGAATAAACGAGATTCTTTTATTCCAATTCTTTTAATTTATTTGCTTCACTCAGTTAAAATTATGAAAATTGTTATCTAACTTTCTCAATCTCATCATTCTTACTTCTTAATTGTACAGTCAATCTCTCAATTTCAGTACTGAGCAAGGCAAACTTCTATTGATATTCCTTCAATTAAGTAATATCTTATAATTTGAATTTCAAATTATCAATTTCCTCATTTCTTGATTTCAATAGAGAGGACATTCTATTATTTTCATTATTCAATCTGTCTATTTCTTAAGATTTGTGTTAGAGACTTTAATGTAATCGATCAATTTCTTGATTTTATAATCCAATTTTATTTTCATAATCGTCTACTTTGTAATGATCATTAAGAGTGATCTATAATTTGGCAATACAATTTCTTAGTTGATCATTTTCTTATAATTTGATCATCAATGAATTGTTGACTCTATCGAATTCCTAAGCCAGATTTTAATACTTGATTTCATAATCAGTATATTTTTGATATTCTTATAATTAACTCTGATAAATCATGAGTTATTGTTTATACTTATCTAATTCATCCTATTTAATTCTGATTCTTTGATTAAGATTGTTAATTTCTTCATTTTATAATTTGGATCTGATTTCATACTCCTAATATTTGGAAGTATCTTAGAGTGTCATTTGAAGTGTTTAAATAATAGATTACAGTTTAGAAATCTCTTCATTTTTATTGAGCATTTCATTCATATATTTTTCATATTGGTTATGATTCTCTCTTAGATGATCATCAATTTTCTATTTATAATTGACTTCTCTATTCTTGAGATCCTAGATTTCTAATTCAGAGTCTCTCATGCGCTTGGATAGAATTTCAATCTCTTTAATATATGTTTATTTTGATTGATCGTATTCTTCTGATTTCTGTGTAAGTAGAACAGTTATTCTTTCAAGTTCAGTAGTCAATTAATGTTGCACTTATTATTATTGGATGTATGATTGTTCATACTTTTTACTTTCAATTAAGGTCTTTTGCATTTACTGTAATTGGGATTGACTTTAAGAGACTAGTACATTTAATCTTTGGATTTCATTCTACCAATATTGCTCATTGTCTTAAGAACTCTTTTTAATTCTCTCATATTCAACTTGATTCTATTGAATTGCCATAAATTATTAAGTCATTTGAGATACTTTGATCTTTAATTATTCTGATTCATTTGTAGTTTCTCTAAGGAGAGTATTTACTCTATTGAGTTCAATCTAATATTATTATAGATTGGCTTCTAATTGTTAGACTCTATGAGTGTCTTCAATATAGGTGACTTTCTCTTGACAAGTGTTTTTGATTCTGTGGACTTCGTTTGTAAGTTCTTGGATTTATTTTTCATAGAGGGAACACTTATTTTTATAAAATTCAAGTTCTTCTCTGGATGGCTCAATCACTTTAACTAGCTCTTAAACCTTAATATTATATGAAGATTGTGAGGGCTTCAATTGCTGGGTTTCCAATCTGATGGGTGGTTGAGTTTGTTGTTGGTGAATGGCTCTGGTAACATATACAATGTTGGGAGATGTCAAGAGATCCCTTGTATTTGATTTAGACCTTTGGGATTTATGAGGATCTTGATTGGGTTCTAGAAATTATTGGGTTTGGTAGTAGGATATCTGTTAATCCATGAGTTCGTTAATAATTTATTAATAAAATTATATATTTAGGTTAATGCAACATAATTCATATTAATTATTTTTTTAAGGATGCCAGTTCTTCCTTATTCTATATTGTAATAATTTAATAAGATTACTCCACAAAAGTGCAGGATCAAATAAAAGAATCCTGTGCAGAATAGCATCGCGCCTATGATGAATCCAATGATATCGCTGGCAGCGTTGGCTAATTGATACACAGCCAAAGATGCTAAGCTTAAGGGATAATAAATGAGCCAATTACTAGATGTTGAACAGTCCTCTGCCTAGCAAGGTGCTCAAGAATCTAAAATTGTTATCAACAAATTCCAACTTCTATCCACTCGCAAAAAGTAGGATCCCAAAAAATCTATAATTTTGAAATGTATGAACTTACATCAAGAAGAATGGTAGGAAGAACGACATGAAGAAGGAGAAACTGAAACTCTTGAATAGGATGGATAATGAGATAATTTGAGTGACTCCTATCAAGATGAGCATGATGGAGGATATCAAATTGGACCATTTCATCATTTCAATTATTGAAGGCATTCTAAAATATGATTTAATTATTGAAATCTATATTTATATTCATATTTAATATGATAATCATTATTGAGGTTTGGTTTCTCCCATGTCTCCTGCACTTCTATTGGCTTTGTTTCTTGATTCGTAATACCCGAATTCGGATGGCAACCTATAACTGCCTGGAGCAGGTGTTCCAGCTGATGAAAACATTCATAATAATCAGAGTACCTTTGCCAACAGATCCTGTTCTTCTTGATTCCTTTGGAAAACTTCTAACATTTGAAGAGTGGAATTTTGAAATAAAATAGTTTCCATCCTTTTGAATTCCTGTCTTGTCTACTGGGTAAGTACCTGGTCCAGGAGCATACAAGTTGGTGGCTATTCTAATAAATAATTAGATGTCTACAAAAATCCTTAACAAATCTCTTAGAATTCTTGGGATTGAACAAAGTAGCACATGAGTTATTGTATTTTGATATGGGATACTTCCCAACTGGATTTACAGCTGGTAATGATTCGTAGGTTCCTGGTCCTGGGATCTCTTTGCCAGTTAAAACCATAAAATTGGTCTTGGGTCTCTATCTCATAGTGTAACGAATGTCACTTAGTGTTGTACCTAAATCATAGGTGCCAGGAGCTACAATGATATTGGTAATATCTACCTGGAGTTTTTGAATTCAAATTTCCTAAGATACCAGTGCTTGCCATTTTCTCTCGACTCATACCAAATTTGTTTCCCTTGCCTTTCTTTTGATTGACCTCAACATCACTTGTAATATTGTATTATTATGGAGATGGAGTTGTAAAAGCAACCTTAGTAAAGTCAGTTCTTATAAATATTTGAATTTCTTTACTTTGTTCCCTTCCCTATGCCAGCTGATCTCTTTTCAATCTGAGTTGGTAAATCGTAGAAAGCCTTCCCGCAACTAATTTTAAATTCACTTCCAATACTTAACAGGATTTGCCAGACTGCCAAATCTATCTGATTTAGAAAATGTCCATAGGTTTTTAGCAGTACTGTGATTGAGTGGTGATCCACAAATCTGCTAACAAGTTGAAACAGTTATTGACATGATAAATAAATTAATTATTAAAGAAGAATATATTCTTTTTATTATTACTATAGTTCAAACTAACTTTATTGATTCTAAAATATTAAAAAAACTAAATGTGTGATCAATGTGCTGGTTCCTCAGTTTCAATTTTCAATTACACCTTCTTATGATGATTCAGGGATTCCCTATAAAACACAATTGGATTATCAATAATTAAACCAGTCTGATTCCCCTTGTTCTTTAAATGCCAGATCTCAGTACAAGCCAATTAGAAGTGATTTCCCTTTTTTAACTCAATGATTTTCTTAATATCTGTCTCCTCGTAACTCTTTGATTTTAAGTATTTTTCCAAGACATCCGAATTGAAATTCTTAATTGGGCATCCATGATATTCATCATTCCCTGGATTTTATTTCTATTTCATAATTCTATTCTGCTACCATATTGTATGAACAACTGTAACACTGGTAGTTCTCTCTCTTCCCCTCCAATCCATAATTGTGTCGAATATTGTACAAATAATTCTTATTGAAATCCTATTCACTTATCTTCTATTGGAATTGCACTATTATTATTATTTATACTTACTCTTCATATACTTAATGGCTTCATTAACCTTCATTCCTGCTGATTTAAAGAATAATTGGATCTGTTATCTTCCACTATGCTTTAAATGATGATTAACCTCTAATCTATCAATCAAATACTCCATACAAAGTGGAAAATGGCTATCATATATACTTCATCATCTTACTCCTTTGATTATTGTCTCACTGTCAAAGCATTTAAAGAGTCTTACTCAAAATTCTAAAGTTTTTGACTCAACATCCCAGAATCGGTTTGTTGAATTTTCTTAAACATTTTAACTATCTCATCATTTTTCATCAATTCCTCATATTAGAATTTGTATTAATTAGCCTGCATTCTCTTCCTCATTTTGCCCAAAAATACATCCAATAAGCAGTTTTTCCTAAGGTCATCAATTGTTTACTTACAATTCATCTTCGTATATATATGCAAAGCCATTCTTCAGAAATGTATGAATAGATGAAACTGAATGCAACACATTGTAAAAGGGAGTCTAAATATTGGGAAAATGAATACTTTAAAGAACTTTAAGTAAGTATTAACATTATTAAAATTTCTTAGTTATGATTTGCCAGTTCCCAATATTACATAATTTCCCAATTTATTGGATTGATCAACTTGATTGGGTAATCGTAATTGTTTTGGTATATCTTCATCCCACTCTTGCTTAGATATTTTGGTGATTTCATTGTCTCCCAATAACTTCTTGTAGATTTTTAATAATCTTTCATTTGTTTACTCATTCTCTAATTATGCCTCGCATCGTATTTAAAATAAGTGTCTTTAATATTTAATGAATTCGTTGATCTTTTCATCTGATTCTGAATATGCCAATTCTAAAAAAAAGTGCGCGGCATTATCATCAATCCAAAACTTGTCTTTTCCCTCGTAACAAGAATATTCATTATAAAGTTTGATAGCCTTGGAATGCAATTCCTTTTGTTTTAGTGGATCTTTTTGTTAATCATTCTCCTCTAACTAACTAAACAGCCTATAAGATTAGAATTATCATTATACTAATTCACTTTCTAATATGCTTTAATTCGATCAATACACATGTTCAACAAGTCTCTCTTATTGATCTCTTCTGTCTGTTGATCCATGTATGGTTCGATGTATAACATAGCCTCATATTGGAGAATTTCCTTTTAATTTTACATTATGAAAATAATAATTAAGCGGAAAAATTCTCATTAAATCTTATTTTATGAATAAATATAAATCACAAATTTCAATGAGATCCAATAACTCACAAATCCCAACATCAACCATAATACAAAACATGCCAATATACTTTCTCCAAAATAATATAAAAATTAATAAAATCCATGCATATTCATATAATAATAATAATAAAAGATGAATCCAAACATGTATATAATACACTGTCCTCCATTGATGAATGATATCCATTGCCAATTGTAATTGCCCTTACTCAATTGTTGATAAGTTTGGATGATTGACAGACAACCTACTATGATCAACAATTGAATATAAGAGAACACCAACAATGTGTAATACTCAAATGGATGATCACTCCATGTACTCTCCAATATGTAGTATAATTCCAATAGGATTGATCTAAAGTTTAAATGGTTCTATTTACATAAAAGGCACAATCCCATACAAAAATCCTTTTAATAGAAATGAATAATTTGAGATTAACAATTTCTTCTACAATCTTTTTTCGAGCAACTCATCTACTGTTCTCAACCTCCCTGAAACTCCTCCTAATATTGTTAAGGGCAAGTACACAAATATTAAAATGAATCCCACAGAAAATACAGCTGTAAATGAGTAGCTTGATGTTGTTCCGAACAATATTGAAAACACATCAATAATAAAAAGGATAGATATTGCAGATATCGGAAAAAGTCCAGTGGTAATGAGTAAATTTAATAACCATCTCTTGCCTCCAAAAAATTTATAAAACTTACCTGTTTAATAACCATTGATTGCTATTTATACTATAAATTTACATACCTCCACAAAAACTATATACAATTATTCCTGCAGATTTTATAGATCCTTTACGAGTGTCAAATAAATCAAATGATCCCAATATCAACAAAATCAAAATTGTTATCAAAAAATGAATGCCTGTACCAAGTAATGCAGAGAACAGAATACGATTGCTCGGAGGCATCAATGATTCAATTTTGATTGACTTCCATCCTTGAGGTTCAATCTCGTTTTCTTCATCAGGAACATTGCTATACCCACTTTTTATAGATCTCCTCAATAAATAACAGTTGACTAAGACTAAACCTAAGATTATCATGGTTTTTAGTATTAATGATTTCCATTTGATATCATGATGATGGACATTCATTGTCTCATTATACTCTTGGATCTTGACAGTAAAATAGAATTCAATCTACGTGTTTTCATCTTATTGATTTATTTATTTAAAATCTCCATCATTCATAGTGATATTAGCATACATCAGTCGTGAATCATTCGATACGTATAAATTAAATGTGATTCTATTCTTTAGGTAATAGTGCCCCTCCATATAATGTCCCACTACATCTCGCATTATAAAATCCGCCAAGTAAAACTCAATTATGTACTCTTAATCTATTGCGTCAATCCATTTCTTTATTTCTGCATTCGTAAAATTTCCCTTACAAACCTATTTGTCTTCTATTTTCTCTTTTGAATTGAATTTGTACACTGAAGTCATTTATTTATCTCCAGATAAGGATTGTCCCAAAGTTTCAATTACTTCCTCATAATCACTCGGTTTGCAATAGGGCAACTCATAATACGCGTAAGTCTCTGAAGGGTTATCTTTAGGTCTTATGGTATTAACATATATCTCAATTGAATTACAGAAAGTAATTAGACATAATAAAACAATAATCATTTAACTAATTAATATTTTTTGAGAATTTAGAGTAGTTCAATTTAAAGTATTGGTTTTTGTAGATAATCGCATAACCCAGAATGATCAAATTACATTAAGTTATCCTTCGTATCGTATGCTGAACAAATTACAATCGCAGTCTTCTTGCATCCCAATGACATTATCTAAAATAGACAAGCAAACTTACTTCTTTCGAAGTTTCAAATCCATTTAATCCAGGTAATTCTATATCCATAAATATGATATCATAAAATTAGCAATTGGTTTAGAGTTTCTCTTTTACTCTTTGGATTGCTGAGTAACCATCATATGCCTAATCACATTAAATTGCAAAATGGGTTAAAATAGCCTTGAGAGCAATTTAATTAAAAATTTAATCATCAACTATCAATATCCTTTTACAAGTAGCATTGCATTCATGTAATTATGAAGAGGATATTTTAAACGAAAACGTTTTGTGTATTATTTATTAGTTTGGACTTTCGATAGATCTAAATTAAAAATAATTTGATTAAGGTATAATTATACGTTCACTGAAATCCTCAACAATGTTTGGACTTTCATGTGATTTGACACCTTCTGATTTTTAAACAACTTTTTCTGAATTCTCATAATGATCAGTATTATCCTGATAGCAATATTTCTTTACAATGAAATTACCTTCTTACTACCAAGATTAGGATTTATTAAGAACTACAAAACCACCAGTATTAGATTGATTTCTAGTTTGATCCTGATCCTTTTGATCCTAATCTTTTTGATCCTACTCCTTTAAGAGCATTTGATCTTAAATCAAAAAGCTAATACTGCTACTATCAGCAGAATTTGATAAAATTTCTATATTTTTACCGCTACCTTCAATAAATCCTGAAGCTAATTTTGCTGCTAAATTCAATCCAAAGCCTAACTCTGGATGTGTCATGATGTCATTGCAACTGTCATTATCTTGATTCCCCAGCATCATTATTTAATTAAATGAGAATTGTTTCTTTCTACTCATTTGGGCTGAATTGTTTTCGACAGCTATCTATATTGTAAAATCATCCTTAGCAATAAATATTAGATTGATTTCACCACCCTGTAAAATATTGTTAAATTAATGATTTAGTATATTTAACAAAACCTAAATGATTCTTAATTTGTCTGAATTCAAATACTTTTCAGACAGATTAGATTAGATTCTAATCTAAAATTGGATTTTCTTCTGAAGTATATAGGGAATAAACACTTATTCTATTTAATTGATCAATTCATTGATTGAGAATCTGCAGAAGAAATAAGTAAATTCATTTAGTTAATAAGATATGAAATCCAAAATGTTATTCATTTGATATTATAGAAAAGAAGTAGAACACTAGAGCAATTCCATTTTTTCTGTAATTTCCTATTCCTCTTTTATGATATCACTAAAGATCCTTAAATACTGCTAATTCAAATTAAGAGGAGTTCTTAATTAGAACAATTATTTTTTTAAAGCATGATAGAATTATTAATTTTTCATTTCAATTTTTTAGAATTTGCGTTTATAAGTGATATCTTTTAGGATTAACATCAATACCGGTTGATTTTTTAAATCTCCAAAATTTTACATATCATTTTAAGCTAATGAATCTAATTACTAGGTTGTCATATACGTTTGAATTATTTTAAGTTTTAAAATTTTATTTGATTCTAAAGAAAGACTAAAACGAAATTAATTTTAATTTATTTGTTAGCCTGGAGATTCGTCAATGCTGCTTTTTTCTCCATCATAGTTATTCTAAGGAATGAGATATTGATTCAGATATTTATTTTAATTTAGTAACACATCAAAAATATCTAATGAAACTTTATTCTATTGTGCTTTTTTTATTATTTCTTCTAAGGTGTGTTAATTCATTTCTATTTTCCTGTTATTTTGAGATTACGGGAAGTTTAAGCCATTATTCAAATTGACAACATGATTTCTAATGCAATCTTTTAGTTTCGACAGTATTAACTCTTCTTTGTTACAATTCATCAAAGCCATACATTTTCTATTAATAAATTGAAGATGTTAAAATTTATTCAAAATGATTATGCCATCTGGAATTAAATGTAAAATTCTGGTTATGAAAAGGCGGGAGCAAAATTCACTTCTGTCAACATCGATCGACTCTTTCTATCTAACAGTTGAAAACAAATCGTTGTAAGATAAATGCTTATTGGAAAGGTTGCTGGGACTTCTTAGTTTTTCTTTGTCCCTGGATTAATCCTGAAAAAACAAGTTACTAGATTCATGTTATCTAATTATTTTTCTTTTTGAAAATTTTAAGGTATTCATATATCGATCTGATTACTCCTCATCATGCAATTGCAAAGACAAACGAATTTTTGCAGAGATTATAGATTTTTCATCCCCCAAAATAGCAATTACAAAGACCAAAATAATTATGATGCTTTCTAAAATTGTATAATCAAATTTGATGAAAACAATTGAGAATAGTCTCAATATTATATAACAAGGGTAACAAAACTTGATTATGCTATATGAAATTTGTTTAGTTACTATTTCTTTAATAATATATTAATTAGTTACTATAAACAGAGTGTTTGTATGATTAGAAAAGGGATTAAAAAGTTAATAAAGGAGTAGGTTTATTTCTGTATAGGTGATAGTATCAGCAAGAATTATTAATAGAAGCAATAAATATTAACCTTTATTGTTAATTTTTTTAATTTGCATCAGCAATCCCAGTTTCAGGACTATTGATGTTGAAGCCAGAGTTATGATTGCGATTTAATGATTCCATTTTAATATGATGGATAATATTATCCACCATACACATTGGAGTCCTTCTAAAATTAAAATTATGTTTGTATTCATTATTAATATTAAATTTTTTAGCAACAGATTTTCTGAATATCTTTAAGTTTAAAATTACTGAACCTTCGAATTAAGAGTTTGTAGAAGTTCAAAGTATTTTATAATAATAATAAACAGATCAATTAAAATTCCTTTGAAACAGTTTCTTCAACACTTCCTCCAATTCATCCTATTTTACAGGTTTTGGAAGAAATGTCGAGATTCCAACTTTTTGTCCTTCACTGAAATTTTCCTAAGTGTCATACGCAGAACAAATTACTATTATTGATTGTTTTTAAGTCAGTTCATTAATCTAAATTATCATATTAAATTTACCTATTTACTTGTTTAAAATCCATCAATCCCTGGCATCTCTATGTCCATAAATATTAATTTGTAAGTAGGACAATGTCCCTACAATTTTGTCTTAACTTTTTCAATTGCTTACAATCCATCAAAGGCTTGATCTGCTTCTATTTGGTAATATTTGAGCATCAATTTTAGTGCTATTTGATTAAATGGAATATCATCAACAATAAGCACATGAACACACTTATCACATAAAAAGATGCTTTTTTGGATACTATGCTAAGGCTATGTATTTTAACATGTAGGAAGAAACTTATGTGAGAAATATTCAGGACTGATGGGTAGACAAATTTATGGTTGTTTCACATTGTCATTAAGTTTTGGTGTGTTCAAAGAAGATTCTGATTCATAAACTAAATTATCCTAAACTTAATAATCATAATCTAATTTTGAATTCATTTACTTGATTAAAATTCTATCATCAAACTTTCTCTCACTTAATGTATATTAAATACCTGATTGATTGAATCTTCCTGTTAATTATGATACATAATTAGATTAATATTAATCATTTGTAGCATTAAAGAAATTTTAAATTAAAAATTACACTTTTGTTCCCTTATATTTAATCGAACTGATTAACAACTAATTATTATTTGATTCCGCTAATCCTTCTACCAATCTAGCTGCAATATGTAACCCTAGTCCTGCCTTTTAAGAAACTTAATGAGATTTCAATCTTGCACCAAACTCTGAAGTACACTTCAAACTATTTTGAATTATCGTTAATTTATCATCCTCTATTCCTATTCCATTATCTTTCACTGACACTTTTAGATGGAATAGACTCATTTATTTAATACTAAGTTTGACTGTCCCTCCTTCTTTCGTATATTTTGTGGCATTATTTAATAAGTTAACAATAATTTAAAGTATTCTTTGCTTATCATTACAAATAATGGAATCTTTCAATGATGGCTGCACTTTAATTTAAAAATGAATTTTCTTCTGTCTCATTTATATATTATAAAGATTCTCAATCTCTTGAATGATTTAATTGATACTGAATCTGGTGAGATGATAAGAGAAAGAGAATGATTAGATGGCAGCATAGTCAAGTATATCATTAATTTGATGAATTAAAAGAGTAACGGAACACATAGCTATATCAACGTAATCTTGCACATTATTGTCTTTATGCTAATTCTTGATTAGGTTTAACATATGTTAACATGAATTCAATGGAGTTCTCAATTCATGAGAGAATGATTTAATTAAACTATGGTGAATAATCTATTCATCTTTCATTTATTGATATCTGTGTTTGCTTGTTACATTTTTAATCATGATAAGTAGAACTGGGATTTCTGTATCATTGTTAACTTAGATATTGAGTTTGCTTGAAAATTTATTTTATGAAGGCAGAGATATGTATTCTTGCTGTTGTCCAGTCATTGTGGTTGGGATGATAATTAATTTGAGTTTCTTCTAATTAATTTTATTTTGCACTTCAGATTCAAATAACCATTCATATATAAATGCCTATTATTGTAATGTCAATTGATCAGTCTTAGAATCATCTTAACTATATGATTCTCCTCTTTAGTCCAATATTCCATAGTATTTTTAAGGATAAAGCATGATATCGAAAATATCTGCTCTTCGATTATCCTTTTGTAGTTTTCTAACTATCCTTTAAAGAGTATATTAATTTATTTATCTATTTTATTTGGTTGTTTACAAAATATTGGATATTTCACTCTCATTATCTGACATTTTGGCATTATTAACGCAAACTTTAATCTTCTCCAACACCTATTCTCCTCCTTGACTTTCCAATAATTTTTCGCATTTGTTATTCATATAAGTAATTTATTACAATTGATTTAATATCAAAATTCCTTATGGGAAAATATTGATAAGGTTTTAATAAAATATGTGTAATTGTAAATCTGACTTTTCAGATGCCTTGTTTTACTTTTAAGATTTTGACAAATTTGTTAAATTAGAAAATTATCCTACTTTCAAATCGCTTGGTTGATCTTTCATCAAAACGCTTTAGCTTTTCAATGGTGTTTGAATAATAGAAAGTCGGCTAAATGACTTTAGTAAAGATTATTATTGATGATTTGGCGATTCTTTCTCATCTACTTTTTTTAATTATAATTCTGGTATTTTAGTTTTACCTTTAGTATTTCCATTATTTTTAACAATAACCTTCTCATCATATTAATCGTAAGTTAAGAAGTACTAAATTAAAACGACAATTATTATTAATAAGCTTTCTATAGAATAATAATTAAAGGAAATAAATGCAATGGATACGAGTCTTAAAATAATATAAAAGGGAAGTCCTAATTTACATATGTAACTCCATTTTTAAATTGCAAATTTCAAATACGAATTGTATGTAATAATTATTAATAAACTACTTGAGAAGATGCTCCAAGATTAATCGTAATTCAAGAGCAATAAAGATTCAATAAAAGTCGCGTAATAAATCAGAGATACTATATGCACAAATATTAATATTCCACAATTTTTGGTGATCAAAATTGATTACAAAATTCTCATTGTTACACACCCTATTTGCAAATAAAACACAATATAGTTTATTGGCTCTATGAAGTATATAGCCAAAAACATCCACCATAGACTTTAGAGAATATTGGCTATCAATATAATGTTCATCGCAAATAATTTCAATATTTGCTTCATGCAGTAATGAAAATCTCTATATTTGTTTATAAAATTAAAAATCAAATTAAAGCTAATTAGATTTTTTTGTCTAAAACTGAGGCTTTAAGAAATTAGTATAAGATTGATAATTAATAGTAAATAAACATATAAAAACCTTTGTTCATATTTTAAATAAATATTTTTTTAAGATTTTGTCCAAATCTTTTTTGTTAACAGGTTTCGATAAGAATTCCGTTACACCTACTTATAACGCAAAATTGTAATTTTCAAGAGTATCATATGCAGAACAGATAACGATTATCGATTAGACACCTGGAATTTATGAGATCTAGTTATAGACGTAGTTTTACAATTTGGGAAGTCTTGAAACCATTCAACCCAGGCATTTCAATGTCCATAAATATCAATCTAAAGAACTTGCAATGGCTTATCAATTTCTATTTCACCATCTCAACTGCTTAGTACCCATCAAAAGCAGATTCAGCCTTTATTTTGAAATGGTTGAGCATTTGAATGAAAGCAATTTGATTAAATGGGATGTCATCAACAATTAAGATTTACGAACAATTGTCGCAGTTATTGGCCTGTATTTAAAATGATAAAAGCGACCCTTATTGTTTTTACTGTTGGATCAGATTTTTTTTGAACCTATAAGTACTTGTAGGAACAAAAACTGAACTGGATAAATCATCGTTAATTCTGGGACTTTCTATTTATTCTTTTAAAATAGTTGATTCCATATCAAATTTTTATTAAAGTCCTTTCATCAAAGTTTATGAGAGTTCCGATTTTTGAATAATATGAGACGAAGCGGGAGATAAAACTTCAAATCTTCCAGTAATATTACTCTGTTGTTGGGATATCTGAAAGTCCTAATTCGTAATTTCTAAGTTTTAAAATAGAAAAGAAACCTGGGTTCCATTGTTAACACTGGAGTTGATATCCAAGTATACTTTATTATTGGTTAATTTTTTGACAATTTTCCCTGATATTTTTAGACCAAATCCAAGACCAGCATCGTGAGATATTCTGTAGGAAGGTTTGCAGAAGGTCTTTCTGATTTATTCTAGTTTGTTTGATTAGATTCCTATGCCATTATCTCTAACAATAACTTAGATCAAGTTGCATTTCATTTGTTTAAATGTCAAATCAATCTCACCTGCAGGCTTAGTAAACTTACTTGAATTATTTAAGAGGTTAACTAAGACTTACATGATTCTTTATTTGTCGTTGATAAAAATTTGATTTTATAAGGATTAATCATATTAGATTTCTAGTTTGATATTTTTATAACTTACTTGTTAATCATACAATTCGTGAATCTCTTAAATTAAATCCATAATATAAAATGAAGTTGTATGTTAAGAGAAAGTCTTTGATTGCATGGCAGCAAAATCTAAGATGTCATTAATTTAGTAGTTTAATAATTTAATTGAACTTTATGCTATATTTAAGTACTAATGTATAATTTCATCTTTTGAAACTTCTTTGATGATATTAAGCATATGTTGACAACTATTTAAAGGAGTTCTTAATTCATGTGAGAAAGACTTCAAAAGTGAATTATTAATGAGTCGTTCTTTTTTTAATTATTTAACTCTATTTTTATGGGTCGTATTCTTAATTAAAATGATTAAAATAGGTTAAGGAAAGTCATTGGAGTTTTATTTTTTGGAATTGGTCAACCCATTTTATGAGATTGCTTCCTATTAGCTTAAAGTCATTTATGTTTAAACTAAAATGAATTTAAGTTTTTTTGAATCCTCACATCTTTCCTTGTCAATTGACCCTTCAAAGAAAAAGGTGTGTTCTTATAAGGTAGAAGGATCAGACAAATAAATTGACCCTGAACTACTTCTCTCTTATTCAAAAGAACCATTCTATCCTGCAAATAATGCTGATATATATTTATTTGGATTCAACAAGACATCAAAAATGTCTAATTCTTAGTTACTTTATTTGTAGATCCTAATTATTTCTTCCAAGACTCTTTAGGTTAACTTATTTCTGGTTCTTGTCAGAGATTAAACTTCTTCAGGTATATCACAATTTGACAAACACTTTTTAATGTACTCAACTACTCTTTCTTTTCCATCACATTCCAAAAGTTTTTCGCACTTTGAACTGATAAATTAGACCTACTGAAATTTATTTAACATTAAAACTCCTTCTGGTAAAACATTGACAAGATTTTAATAGAAATTCGATAGTTAGGAGTCATTCCTGTCCACTACTAAATGAGAATACTAGCCTTTGTATCCTGCTTTTAGTTTTGAATGAAAAGTAGGTATTGGAGCACTCTCTTCTCTGTAAGAATCTTTGATATTAATTTATACACTATTTCGAGGATGCGAACCTTTATCTGGTTAGAAAATGAATTTATTTGAATTTGAAGTGAGACGCTTTTCTTGTTTAAATTATGATTATTGCAAGGAACTAGAACAATTTTATAAGGACTGATCTAATTTTGGATTCGATTGAGTTGAATTTGCAGAAATATTCTAATTTGAAAAATACACTAACAAAATTAAAACCATTAAAGAGGAAGCCTCACATAATTGAATATCAAATTGAATGAATATGAGCGAGATCAATCTCATTAACACATAAGTTGGGAATGCAAATTTCGATATCAATCTTATGGATTCATTTTTTATGAGTAATTGCGCTTCCATATAATTTAAAAGGATGATTAAAGCGTTGATATGATTTAAATATAAAATTTTACTTTCCAAGTTAATATTGACCTCGGTATAGCATACATTATTAGCCAATGTAGCTATTAGAATCAATCTATCATACTACCAGTTCTTCTTAAGGTATACAACAGATGCAAGCAGCCTTGTTGTTATGCATAACGAACACATAAAGTAATATGTGTAATTTTACTCTTAATAAATCAATAGCATTTCAATAATCCACCAGATTTGTTAAATAATTTGTATCAGGAAAATGTATCTATGATTCATAATCCAGACTTATCTAAATATTCAATTAATTTATTAAAATATGTGTTAATTCTTTATATATTATGATATATTCATTATTTAATTAACTAATAAATACTTAATTAAATTAGATAAATTATTATTTAGATCGATTAATTTCTACTTTTTAAATCTCTTATTCATCTTGGTTCCTTAATATAATCAAAAATAATGGAGAAATTATAAAAAAAATACTTCAATTCAAACTAAATTATTTTAATATTCTATCTTCAATGCACTTATCATAAATGCATTAAATCTGGGTAAGAACTAGTCAAGGAGAAATCACTTTGCATAATTCAATTTTTATCTATAAGCCTTGAATCAAAAGGAAATTTATTCTCAGAATAAAAATCTCTTGTTCTGTAGAAACCTTAATTCCCTTACTTCTTGGTTTTCATATCATATAAAAGTGTTTTTTAGAATTATCCCATTTTAGAAATGCACTTCTACCCTCACTAATCTATTTATTTTACATATTTTTTGTAGGTAATAAATATTCATAGTCTTTTATTGTAATGCTGAGTTGTATCTCAACACAGTTTTATTGTATCCTAACTGGCAGCATATATTATCTGAAATCACTTATTTATATGCTTAAATATGTAGGTCTCTTATCCGATTATTGGTTTACCTATAATCTAAAAGGAAATTTGATATAAATATTAAATTGAATTTTAGATGTTCTGATTATATTCAAAAACACTTATCTGAAAGTTAAGCAATAGAATTTAGATGAATTCTTAAGTATTTATTCAAGTAGATAATGAAACTCTAAATTTGGATATATGTTTGAGACCTGATCTAAACTATGAGAAGCCTTAGACAATATCATAGATAAAACTTTCCGGTTTTTATTAATATGGTAGATTAGGGTAGAAACAGTAAAGAGTTTGCTTTTAGAACAACAACTTGGGAAGAAAACTAATTATTTAACAAAATTTGATTATTAATAAATAAGAATATTTATAGGATACAAAATATTATAATATAATTCTTAATTCAATATTAAAATTCTTGCAAATACAACAAAGTTTTTTTTTATTATTTTCATATGGTTCCCATGAATATTTCTTTATTTACTTTATTTGTTAGCAGGAGTTTTATTTATTTCAAATTCCTGATGTAAATAAGAAATTTTTAAGTTAGATTGAATTTTTTTCTAACATCAAATTTAACACAGAAACTTAACCCAATTTTTATTCAATTCAAAATGAGATTGTTCATCATTAACAGATTACAAAATATTTATTAGTACGCCCCTAGGTATTGGAGTTGATTTTCTGATTTCTGAATATTTAAAAATAACTTAAAGTAGGCATCTTAGAATCAGCTTTTATTGTCTATTGCATATGAAAATTATTACTTTAATAGCATTCCTTATGAAAAATTAATGATTAGTATTTGTTTAAATAGTGAAGATAATAATAAATAAGATTGTAGATTCAAGTTGAAACAGAATGTTTTACATACAGATGTTAAGATATGAAAATATGAATGTTCTGAAATGCAATAAAATGATTAATAGCATATTAATAAATTAAAATAATATGATAAATTAGTAGAATGTGAATCTATAAAGCAATGTTAAGGTTCAATCCATATTAGGTTTCATACCAGCCTTAGTGTTTTAACACATTCTTGAAAATCAAATAAAGGGGATAAAAGCCTAGGTTCCAGAGATTCAGTCATTTAAGAGTGTAATAATGTTTGCTGACATATGTGGATTCACGAACTTAACAGAACAACTTTCTAAAATAGGTCCAGAAGGATCAGAAGTGATAGCATTTGCAATCAATAGATATATGGAATTGTTGATAAAATCAATTTCAAAGAGTGGAGGAGACATATTCAAATTTGCAGGAGATGCCATTATAGTTGTATGGCCACCTCCAACAAGTTACAATGACAAAGATGAGTAGCTCAAAACCTTACTACGTTAAGGAATATAAAGCGCCTTAGATATTTAAGCCAAATTGAATGATACTTTCATTTTAGAGAATATAAAACTATCTGTTAAAATAGGATTTGGAGTTGGAGATATCAACATTTTATATGTAGGAGGAGTGTTCAATAGAAATGAATTCCTAGCAACAGGTTAGGCTTTGATCTAAGCTTTCGAGAGTGAGCACTGTGCCACAAAAGGAGGCTAAGTTATAATATCTAAGGATGTATTTGATATGGTGGGGTAGTATTATAATTGTTTAAAAGTGGAGGATCGTTAATCTTATTTTGTGAATTCTAATAAAGGAGCCAAAGTATAGAATATTTCAAATGCTCTCTTAATTAAGAGTAACTTTAGTGCTCAATCATTTGAATCAATAAAGAGTCAATTAATAAGATATATACCTGCTGCCTTATAGTAATACATCTATGTAAGTATTCGTATAAATTTAGGTAGATTAAGAAAAATGGAGTTCTGAATTAAGAATATTAACTATAATGTTTATAAATTTGAGTATTGATTTGTCAGCAGCTCTCACTTCTAATGGGTTAAGTCATATTTAATAAGTTGTAGAAACTGTATAAAAATCAATATATGCATTCTAAGGGTCTCTCAATAAAATCTTAATGGATGATAAGGGATCAACATTAATTGTAGTTTTTGGTCTACCTCCTATGGCTAAATAAGATGATCCCGCTAGAGCAGTGATGACTGCTATTACAATGAAATAGGAATTGAATTCTATAAATTGTGGATGTAAAATTGGCATTTCGACTGGATGTACTTTTGCTGGTGTAGTTGGAACGAGTGGTTCTAGAAGAGAGTATTATAAATATCAATTTAATCTCTAGATACTCTGTAATTGGAGATGCCGTTAATCTGGCAGCTAGACTAATGCAAATTGCTTGTAAGGATGATTAACATTCCATTTTACTTGACGTTGAAACATCAAAGGAAGCTTCATATAAAATGAACATCTCATACTACAAATCCGTTATGGTCAAAGGAAAAGCAGATAAGGTCAATATTTATTACCCAGAGGCCAATTTGGAATTGAATAAAATTAGAATTCATAATCCTTTCTTTCCAAGACTTCTCGATAATTATTTATTCGATATTAACAATCTAAGATTAATCCAAAGGAGAATTCAATAATTTCAACTACAAAATGAATCAAATGTATTGTTGAAAATCTCTGGAAATTAAGGATCAGGAAAGTCATATTCTGTTAAATACTCCATTGATTTCTTTTAAGAGAGTTTTAATTTTATATAAATCAGATTATGTTCCTTTTTATAGAAAGAACAACAATATTTGTTTGCTATTAAAATTATATTCTAACATTTTCTAAAGAAGATAGGCGTCTCATTAAATAAATAATATGATATTTAATTATTCAAGTAAATATTTGATGAATAGGATCAACTATTACAGCTCTTTGATTTTGAACCAGTTAGTTAAATCTAACTATTTGATAAGGATTTAAAAAATAAAAATGATTCCTTAGAAACACTAGACATTTAAATGATCAAAGAAAATATAGATTTGTTATTCAAGAAGTTCTAATCGATCACTAACTATCATAAATTAATTTTCGTTTTAGATGATGGTCATAATATCGATGAAGATTCTCTAAAAATCATTAGACATCTCATGAAACACAATTAATTCATTTTGCTCATCTTCATATTCAGATATGAGTATATTGAACAATTCTAATTTCATGAATAACATCAAAACCAAATCCAATTGATTGAAGATGAATTAGATTCAATAACATCTAAATTAAATAATATCAATAATTTTGAGCATATCAATTTCAAAAATATCTCATTAAATGACTATTAGGTCTTGCTATCTGATTTATTTCATATCAATAAAATTAAGTGTTTAAAGAACTAAGAGCCATCTAATACTCAAGATAAAAATATTTTGCATTATGAATACATTAAATCTTAATTGATGTAATCCAATACTTAAGAATTTTTTTTACAAACTATCTATAGAAAAACATAAGGAAATCCCTTGACTTTCATAACATTAGTAATTATAAATAATTATTATTAGATTGAAAAATTATTGAAGTGCAATTTTATGGTTGTAGACAATTAGTAATCAGATGTAGTTATATTAAATGATTCACTTTTAAATATATTAAATTTAGATGAATTTGTCATTTTAGAATCTCCCTTGAATAAATTCAGACTTAATTCACCCTATTTGGATAAGGTTGGATGTTTAGAGTTATTGATACTTAAGGTTGCATCAATAATTGGAGACATATTTGATGTATAAACACTTAATAAAATATAACCATTCAAAGAAGTCATTCAAAAAGAAAATTTGATTAAAATTCTAAATAGTTTAGAAGAATTGGAAATCATAGAAACAATGGAACTAAATGATTTGAATAAATATTACAGATTTGCTAAGCCATTTCTTAGAGAAATTATATATTAACGATTGCTATTCTCATAAAGGAGAGAATTACATAAATACTATGCCTAAGCATTATAAGAAATTCCATCTTAATTTGAAATTGATGAAAAATTGGAAGCTTAGAGATTGGAACATAATTGGATTCTCGCTGAATAAAGGTGGAATAGTTAATAAAATCTTAAACCAAGAGGACTAGAATTATCTCATAAGGCGAAAAGATCTATAATAATTAAATCAATACAAACTAAATTAATAGCTAAAACTAATAACATTAAACTTGGTTTATTGAAGAAGAAATCAGATAAGAATGTCACTTGGGCTGAAAGATATTGTTTGATGACACAAAAAGAATTAAAATATTATTATAGTGAATCTGATTATCATCGATAACCATAGAATGCCTTAGCAACCATTAATCTCAGTAGTATTTATTAGATTGTTCCACTAAATGACAAAGAAAAAGTAAATTAAAAGTTTGCTTTTGAAATTAGAACAGGAAATTGGTTTAAAAGATAAAAATTAATGCCAAGAAGAGACTTCTATTTCTCAGCAACGAGCGAAGAATTAATGGAAGAATGGACTATTTATATAGAATTTATGAGAGTCAAAGCAACTTATGATGAATTTGTTAATAATTTTGGGAAAATCTAATTTCCAATAGCAAACTTTAAAGAATTTTATGATATGAGTTTAGGAACTGAAATGAATAATTATTAACAAAAGTAAACACAAAATAGGAATAATAAATCCAGTATCATTCAAACCTAAAAAAGAAATACAGTGTTATCTATCAATAGTTTTTTTAGGTAATCTATTGTTGAGAAGAAATAGAAATAAAATAAAGAAGAACTTAAAATATTAATATCTAAATTTTTAAATAAAAGTTAATTATTACTATTCACACATATATTCGAAAATTCAATTTCAAGTAGAATCCCTGTGATAATTGGTTAAAACACAAAAGCTATGTTAAAATTTGGATAATTCTTTGTTAAAATTGTTACAGAATATTCATAATAGTAATAACAAGAAAATGAAACAATTTAAACTGAAGAATCTCCATAAACAAGACCTAGAGCAAGTTTGAACATTTCTGAATAAATAATATTAGAAAGATAAGCTGAATCGATATAAGGAACACTTAAAAATACAAAAAGGAAATAAACCGCCGAATAGTTTTATAATAAGAGATCAAAGAGCTCTGAATTTCTTATTTAGTTTAATGAAAATTCCAATTTGGAATAATAATAACAAAGTTGAGTATATAATAATTAATATTTAAAAAAGATAATCAGTAATTAAATTTGGTTATTGTTACTACCTTCATAAGATCATCATTAAAATTTGAGATTTCATAAATGAAAAGAATTTGTTGTCTACATAAAAAACATTCTTTGCTTTTTTACGCCATTTCTAATCCACACTTATAACATATTCCACCATGACCACAAGTCATTAAAACAGCATTTGGCGGATTATCACAACAGATTATACATTTCTAACTAGATTCGTTTACTTTGTTTTAATTTTCTTATAATTATTTAGATTCCATCTCAGCTGTTTATAATATTTTCTTTGTTTGACCTCTTTCAGTCATCAATTCTGTCATCTTTTATGATTATAAAATTAAATCTTATTTAGTTGTTTATCTGAAAAAGGCAGATGATAGTTTTTTTAAAAATATTTAATGAACTGTATTCCTTCTTTCGTATTATTTTTATTAACTAAGCTAACTAGTAGGTAATTCCCTTTATGAAGATTCAATTTCAGTCTATTATGATTGTATTAAATAAAAGCAAAAGTCTATTATAGAATCCCATAACAATTTGGTAATTGCACAAAAAATAATTAAATTAAAAGAGACAGATGAATAAAATAGTACTTCACCAATTTTGATTGGTAAATCTAGGCCTAACTTATTGAAAGTGTTAATAATCCACATTACTGAAAGAACGCTGCTTATAACTGAAATATATAGAGCCCAAAGGAGAGATTTATCTAAATATAAATAGTTTTTACATTCTTGAGGAACTGTCTGATATTGCTTGAAGATTTCATTTATAATTTTTGATATAAGTACAATTATTAAAGTAAAACAAGTACCTACTAGAGCACTTAGAAACATCCAATACCACCAGAAGGCTTAGGGCCAGGTCCATTCAACATATTTACTAAGTTTTAATGAAATGCAAACACTGGCCACGAGTGCTGAAAATCTATAAAAGGTTTTTAACTATATTTGATAATAAATTGTTTGTTACAAATCTAATGATTGAAGAATATTCATGTGTTATTTAAGATGAACAACTTTCTTTTGTTCTGATAACAAACGATAAAAGTAGAAACAGATTTCCGAAAATAAAATATTAAAGGTTGGTGTAATAAAGGATTATTACAAAATTCTTAAGTTATATATATGGAAATTACATATGCCATAATATGGAGAACGTGATCAACCATTTTGACCATCTATTTGTTGGAATAGTAGTAGCAAACCAAGATTTCGAAGGCAATACTCAATCCTAAGGGTATTGCAAAAGGTATTCTATTATATTGGAATAAAGCAAATAACAAAGCAAATAAGTTGTAGTAGAGGTAATGGACGCAGAAGTAAGATATAATTTTCTTTATTTTGGTTCTAAAATATTATTGATATTACTTTTAGATTAACATTTTTTTTGATAATAATAAAAATAATTTATTTGATCAAAGAAATATTTTATTTCATAAATTTATGTATTTTTGATATCATTGCATTCTTTAAGCACTCATTTTAACCTAGCTTCCTTATTAGTCCATGCTCTTTCTTTAATTACCCAATCTACTAGTCGACTTTCTTCTCAGTACACTTGTCAAAGAAGTATCCATATCTCCTGATTGCACTTCTTATTCTCTAAACAACTCAACAAATTAGCACCAACGTTCAGGAACTGCAATCTTAACAATAATTGAGAATATGATGCTGCCAAACCCAAATCCAAGACACAAAAGATGTTATTGCAAAGTTAAATGAGAAACCTTTACAAATTTACCTCCATATTAAATGAGCACGCATTAAATAACCAATGTGAAAGTTTAGACAGCCCAAAACAAAGGGTTATTGCATGCATTTGCAAATGGATTTATAGTCTTATAATCCAATTGTCTGCAAGTTATTGAATTGAATACTTGCATGACAACGAAGGTCTAGAAGAAAATACTCATTTAGACTACATTTTTATGGTACTAAATAACTCAATAAATAAATTACTTTCTATCCAACCAATTCGGCAGGCATAGATAAATCCATAAATTAAGGAAGAACGAATAGGATGCCACATAGAACACAAATTTGATAGATGGATCCACCAACTATTGTTCTGTTCATAGTTGGTGATACAATTTTGTCATCTCTTTTATATGGCTATCTTTCCAACACTGTAATGTTGGGAGGCTCAGTTGCTAAGGCTAAAGAAGCAAAAGTATCCATAATAAGATTAACCCATAACATTTCAATTGTGTTCAAAGGAGATTCCTTAAGAACAACAGCCCCCAAAAATGACATGAACAAAGCAACTAAATTGACAGTCAATTAAAATTAGATGAATTTCCTAATGCAATCATAAATGTTTCTACCCCATTTCATAGCTAAATCTAAAGATTACAATACCTGTAATGATGGAACTAAAATTGTCATCTAAAAGAATGATATCAGCAGCATCCTTAGCAACATCAGATCCTGTAATACCCATAGCAAATCCAACATCTGCTTTCTTCAGAGCTGGAGCATCATTAGTACCATCTCCTGTGACTGCAATAACATTCCCTTCAGCAATCAAACCCGTAACAAGAATATACTTATCTTCTGGAGATGCTCTAGCCATAACTTTCATATCCCTACTTACCCTGGCAAAGTTTTCTTTATTACCTACAACTTTCACTGGTTTCCCATCAACTAATTCATCCTTTAATCCTCCAACAAATTCTCTAAACTTTTTACCTTCTACTACTTCCCATTCACCTATTTCTCTATTTGATGGCAAGATTCCACATTCTTTAGCAATTGCAGTAGCAGTAAGAATATTATCTCCAGTTACCATTCTCACTTTGACACCAGAGGCATGGCATTATTTAATCGAATTAGGCACGTCAGGTCTGATAGGATCTTTAATACCTGCAATAGCAATCAATACTAGATCTTTATCTAAATCATCTTCAGGGATATTTTAAGCTACTTTAGTTAATTATGTAATTTATCCTCTAACATTTGATCCATGTGATTAAGGATCAAGATCTCGATAAGCAATTGCTATTGTTCTCAAAGAATCTGATGCAAATTTTTGGATAATATTATCATAGATATTCTTTCTCAATTATGGGTCTAACATTGATTCAACACCATTGTTTCCAATGTATTTATTGCATTACGCCAATATAATTTCAGAGGCACCTTTAGTATATACTCTAATATATTATGATTTTTAATTGTAAATAACTGTGCTCATCTTCTTTCTCTTACTATTGAATGGAAGCTACCTTAAAACTTTATCGCTTGGTCTAAATTGATTAAAATTATATCCAAAATTATCTGCACATTCCAACAAAGCACATTCTGTCTTATTTCCTATTTGAACCCATTTGTTTGTTTATGGATCTTTTTCAGGAAATGCGTTTGAATTATAGCAAATACTTTCACACATGAGCTCAATTGTATCTTTCTTGATTTTATTTTTATTAGTATGAACCTAATCTTTAAATGGTTAGTTTTCGGTCCACAATGCAACAACTTACATTATGTTTTATGTTAGTGTTCCTGTTTTATCACTACAAATATTATTAGCTCCACCCATTATTTCACAAGATGATAAATTCTTAACCAAATTTTATTCATCCTTCATTTTACCCACTGAATATGCTAATGCAATTGTAACAGCCAATGGTAATCCTTCTGGTACTGCCACCACAATTATTGTAACAGCAATCATAAAGGATTCCACTATGATTTGTAAGGTCTTTATACTCAGAAACGGAAACTTGCCCAAATAACAGTCATATCCTAAATGTCCCATCAAAGCAATGAATGTTAAAATAGATACTAAAACACCCAATTTACCTATGTCTGAAGCAACTCCTTCTAATTTCTATTGCAAAGGGGTTGGAGGATTCTCTTGAATTAGCAGTTATTTCAACTTTCCAGATACTGTATTTTAACCAACTTTTTATATTGAAAATTGTTTACCTGCTAATACAATCATTTATCCTGTTCCATCAAGGCATTTTGTGCCTGATATTAAAAATGGACTTACGTGTCCTCTCGCAGCCTCTTGATTCACATTTAATTGATTGTGTTGTTATTATGCCATCTCAAAATAAGGTAACTTCTTTATCTCATCACTCTCACCTGTCATAGGAGATTCATCAATTTTAACTGCACTTCCTTAAACCATCAAACCTATTTTAATTGATACACTCTCTTACCATCTACACCGAACAAATCACCTAAATTGAAGATTAATAAATCTCCAACGACTATATCCTTTGTTTGTATTTCTGTTACTTTACCATCCCTAACCACCTAACACTTTCCATCATCTAGTTTCCTACGTAATTATCTAAATTGTCTCTCCTTTAAGTAATTGTTTCCTGCTGTTATTGAAATGATTAAGAATATAGCAAAGAAAATCGTTGCTCTAAGTTATATTATTATACAGTTTGTTACCCTTCAGTCCATCCTGTTTTTACTCCTTCATTGACCATACCAATTACTGTCGAAACCAAAGCTGCTATTAATAAAATCTGGAGCATTGTGTCTTCCAAACACTCCATAATCAATTCACATAATGTTGTTGGCTCTTTCTCAACAGGGGAATTGTCACCATAAACTTGCTTTGACTTCTCAATCGCACTCTTATCTAAAAATCCTTTCTAATCATAAACAAATATCTTTACTTTTAGATCTGTGTTTAATTTCCTTGCTATCCCAACATCATCTCCTAATTGCTTTACTTTTTACATGCTTGACCCATCATTAATAGAGTTCAGCTTGAATAAATCTGTCAAGTCATCTATAGATAATTAAGATTGAATTTGGGCTTCCACATCTTTTTATTATTTGTAGCTCATTAAATACAATGAACTAAATTTGATATTAAATGATTATCATTTCTAATTGCTATTTATTGGTTCAAAAATACTAAATTAATTCTTTTAAACACAATCATGATTGGTTTTATCAGAATTTACAAAAATACTTAAAAGAAGTTTATTTATTAATAAGTCAAATACAGAAAATAAAGAATATTAAAAAGTAATTAATATTTAACATAAAGACTTATTGAAAATAATTAAAAAAAAATTACTTTATGGTCTTCATCTTCTAAATTTTTACACAAATATTTTTATCTAGTCTCATTCAAATAACCCTTAATTTTAATCTATTCTTGAATAATGGGTTTTGCTGTTGTATCAATAGCAATCTTAAGGGTAATTTTTTTATTTGATTAGCATCAGAAAAATTCAAATATCTGTTTATGAGAATTAAATTGATTGGGAAATCCTTTCACACTTTTTTCAACTATTTCAATTTTAATAAAATCTGAATTTACTTTTGTAATTAAACTAACTAACCAATAGAATATTACAAAATATTTAATGAATGAATAATTTATTTTATTTTATCTTTAATGTTATTACTATATTGGTAGAAACATTAATTTTTGTTAAAAATTTAAAATCCTGAAAATATGAATGTAATTAAATAATAGACATAGAATAAATTGGATATTTACGATTGTGTATGATGGAAACGTGTCGAAAATAAATTCTGTCTTTATGCAAGAGTAAACCACTTGTAGGATTATGACAAACAAACTACGTCATTAGTTACTAATACAAAAATAAAAATCTCTTGTAAATGAGAAGGATATGAGTTATTATATATATATATCTTTACATCCCATATTCAGCTTGAAATTACTAAAAATGCAGATTAGGTCAAGCAACCTATAAAATGTCTACATACTATACAAATAATTTAACTCAGTTTATCTAATGGATACCTAAATGATGGAGATTTAATTAAGTAGTATTTAAAATAGTCAAATGGCAATAAATATATTTGTATTTTATACAAAAACAGAACCAAGAATTCTCTTTTAACATTTAATTACTATTCAAATAAATAATATAACCCTATTTATAAATTGAGTATCTGAAAAAATAAAAATTGTAAGGGTAGTAGTATTTTTGATATTCAAAAAATAGTTATATTTCTAAGGAAATTTAGAAATGTTCAAACTAACAAATCTAAGATATTTTTGAGGCTAATTTATTAATTATGGAATAATTGTTATTATTAATTTATAGATGATTCACTTTAGAATATCTAAGTATAGATAACATTAATAATAATAGAATCTAAATGAATACATTAATTACTTTTGATAATCTTGACATATATTAACAATATCAATTTATTAGCTGAGCTTATTCTTTCTATTGTTGCAATAACATCTCATGTTTTGGTTACCAAACATACAGTGATAGAAATCCCATTACGATGATGCCAAAATTTAAGATAATTTACATGTAATTTGCTGATCTAGTTTTCATTGTTGCACAAGAAGATAACAAAAAAAAAAATGCCATCCATATGAACACTTTTTACTATTCTTGAACATTATTTTTACTTTCATCCAAGTTCCTGCAAATGCCAATAAGAATGAAAAAATTTGTTACATGTCACCTCCTTATTCTTCCTACGGAGCCCCTTTCACTGAGTCATATGTATATTTCATAATTAAATTACTTAATTGAAAAAATTATCATGAATTATTTGTTATTAGAAAATTCACAACTTTGATTGTTGTTTTTCTTGTCCTTTATTTCCTTATTTTAACAGGATTCCAAAACCAAAATATTTGGAATTAAGAAGAATCAAGAATCAGTGATTGAAACATAATTTAATTGATAAATCATTTATCATAATTTAGGCTAAGGAATCATAAAAGAAGGTGGGAATAAAGTATTTAAATTACCATAAAGATATGAATTAGTATTTCATAAATTCACATTAATAAATTATATATCATTCCGAGAACTAAAAAATAATAAATCATTAATCATTTTATTGTTTTTCAGATTGCATTAAAAATCTGAAAAATACAAAACATGGATGAAAAATTCAAAAGTTTTTTACAAAACAATTGTTGTAAAACTCAATCTATAGAAGAATAATCAGATAGATGATATAATAAACTAAGTATTTTAATAAATCAATATTTTTCAATTGATTAACTATTAAAAACTATTAACTTTATTTTTATATTATTTAGTATTCTATGATAAAAATTGCGTCTAAATTGTATTCGCGGATATTGATTATTTGAATTAAAGTTAATCTTGTTGTGAGATTGGAGATGTAAAATATATTAGACAGGTGTTCAATACATCAAAAAGTGGGGATTGCTGTAGAATGTTTGACAAGAGATGAATATCATTATTCCATTTTATGTGAAAATTGCTTAGCTGAAAGAGTTAGCAATAAACAAATATTTTTATTGAAAGACGCCAAATTAGTGTTTGAATAATTCAGATAACAGTGTTTAAGTGAATTTGAACTAGAGTAGAATGAGAAAACAAGTTTCTATAAAAATTTGCAATCGATTGTTTAGAAATTGCAGAATCATTTTTTAGAAATATTTGATTAGATAAACAATTAAATAAATGAAAAATTAGAATTCATAACTCAAATTTTTAGAGAAGGATTATTTTTAAGCAGAAATTAAGAAACCTAAATCTTAAATCCTACCATTAGAGAATTTGGTGAATAGTTAATAGAGGAAATAGCAAAATTTGAGAAAATTAGGAATATTGGTTAGTAAAATGTAATTGATTTTCAGAATCAAATATAATATTAGATATTGAAACTGCAGTAAAGTGAGATATTAAATGAGTGTCTTGAATTATTAATCTCTGTGGATGAAGGGAACTAAATTAAAGTGAAAGAGCATAATGGCAAAAATGTGGAATATGAAAAGAAAAGTGTTTAAGTATGAATATATTAATATATTGTTAAAAGAGAACTCCAAAGTTAGATTTAATGTGTAACGAGCACGAAAAAGAAATAATAATATTTGATCTAAGTGAGTAGCAATAAAGAGAGAAACGAGCAAGATGTGTAGAANAACTTTGATTGTTGTTTTTCTTGTCCTTTATTTCCTTATTTTAACAGGATTCCAAAACCAAAATATTTGGAATTAAGAAGAATCAAGAATCAGTGATTGAAACATAATTTAATTGATAAATCATTTATCATAATTTAGGCTAAGGAATCATAAAAGAAGGTGGGAATAAAGTATTTAAATTACCATAAAGATATGAATTAGTATTTCATAAATTCACATTAATAAATTATATATCATTCCGAGAACTAAAAAATAATAAATCATTAATCATTTTATTGTTTTTCAGATTGCATTAAAAATCTGAAAAATACAAAACATGGATGAAAAATTCAAAAGTTTTTTACAAAACAATTGTTGTAAAACTCAATCTATAGAAGAATAATCAGATAGATGATATAATAAACTAAGTATTTTAATAAATCAATATTTTTCAATTGATTAACTATTAAAAACTATTAACTTTATTTTTATATTATTTAGTATTCTATGATAAAAATTGCGTCTAAATTGTATTCGCGGATATTGATTATTTGAATTAAAGTTAATCTTGTTGTGAGATTGGAGATGTAAAATATATTAGACAGGTGTTCAATACATCAAAAAGTGGGGATTGCTGTAGAATGTTTGACAAGAGATGAATATCATTATTCCATTTTATGTGAAAATTGCTTAGCTGAAAGAGTTAGCAATAAACAAATATTTTTATTGAAAGACGCCAAATTAGTGTTTGAATAATTCAGATAACAGTGTTTAAGTGAATTTGAACTAGAGTAGAATGAGAAAACAAGTTTCTATAAAAATTTGCAATCGATTGTTTAGAAATTGCAGAATCATTTTTTAGAAATATTTGATTAGATAAACAATTAAATAAATGAAAAATTAGAATTCATAACTCAAATTTTTAGAGAAGGATTATTTTTAAGCAGAAATTAAGAAACCTAAATCTTAAATCCTACCATTAGAGAATTTGGTGAATAGTTAATAGAGGAAATAGCAAAATTTGAGAAAATTAGGAATATTGGTTAGTAAAATGTAATTGATTTTCAGAATCAAATATAATATTAGATATTGAAACTGCAGTAAAGTGAGATATTAAATGAGTGTCTTGAATTATTAATCTCTGTGGATGAAGGGAACTAAATTAAAGTGAAAGAGCATAATGGCAAAAATGTGGAATATGAAAAGAAAAGTGTTTAAGTATGAATATATTAATATATTGTTAAAAGAGAACTCCAAAGTTAGATTTAATGTGTAACGAGCACGAAAAAGAAATAATAATATTTGATCTAAGTGAGTAGCAATAAAGAGAGAAACGAGCAAGATGTGTAGAATGTGACCCATGCATTTTTACTTCCTTGTCAAAGTGTCAGAATATGTGGAAAAACTATGAAAGGCAATAGTCAGAAATTTTAGAGTAATTTTATTTATCGAGAAAATCATAAATTGGCAGTATTAAGCAATAGCTGCTTTAATTGAGGAGTTGCTTTGCCTAAAAAATAAATGAAATTATTTAATAATTAAATGGAATAATGTCTTAGAGTGAATAGGAAGTGTTCAAAATGTTAAATGGCATGAATAAAGATTGGAATACCATGACGATGGATGAGGTTTTGGATATAGCTGAGGTATTGAGCAACCCAGAGATGATGACAATATCAGTAAAAGAAATGGAAATAAAATATAAAATGAAAAACTTAAATATAGATAGCATTTTCTAAAATAGTATTGAAGGATTATAAGAAATTTATAACCAAATAACCTTATTAAAATTATATTTGATTCCGGAATAGCCTGAAGTTAGGAATAATGATGAATCACCTGAAAAAAATGAATATCGGAAATAAAGTTCTAATAGTGGGCAGAGCGAAAATCATTCAGTCGAATTAAGCAAACCAAAATCAGATTAAAAGATTAAGAAAACTCAGAATAAAATTAAATCGTTGGAAGAATGGAGAATTCAATAACTAAAATGGACTGATAAATTTATCGATTATTAATTATTTTACACAAAAAAATAAGCTGAATGGTGTAATGCTATAGCATTTAATAAGGAAGGAAACATTATGATAGCAGGATGTATATTTTCAATTAAAGTATTTGATTTTTAAAAAGGAAGGATAGTTTAAACATATCAAGCTAAATAACATTAGGGAGACGTGAATTGTTTATTATTTAGTAAAATTTTTAATTAATTTATCTCTGGAAGTGATGACAGAACTATTAGAATTTGGTCCTAAAGTGAGAAGAATGAATGGAAATGCATTTAGATTTTGTAAGGACATGAAGATTGGGTATTGTGCTTAATCTTAACTGAGGACGAATAAATACTCTTTTCTGGCAGTAGAGATAAAACCATTAAGAAATGGACTAAAAATTAAGATAATTAAACATATGAATGCACATAAACTTTAGATATTCATACTGATGCTGTGTTAAGTTTATCATTAAATAAATCTGAATCATTTTTGGTTTCTTCAAGCTACGATAAATCTATTATAGTTTGGGAAATAAAAGAATCATTTTTAATAGAACAAAAACAAATAATATAAAAAGAATCTTATGGTAATAGAATACTTTTTATTAATGAAACATAATTTTTGTGGCAACCAAATAACAATCAAGTTGTCCATGTCTATAAATACAATAAGGAATCATCATCTTTTGAGTCTACTTAACATAATATTTAGTAATTCAAAGCAGATGACGATTATTAATATTTTCCTTCTCAGCTCTTAACAGTAAAAGGATTATTTGCAAATATTCACAATAGGTTTATATATATTATCAAATAAATTAATGAGGAGGAGTTTGAAGTAGTCTAAATAATCGAATTTGATGATTATAGGAAATTTGGAGCATTTACAGAAGATGGAGAATATTTAGTCACATGGCATTATACAGCTTGTGAATTTTAAATTAGAAAAAATGTTGGAAATTCAAGAATATAGTGGTGATTTTTGGGTTAATATATATCAATAATTAATGTTTTACTATAAATAGAATACATATTAATTGAATATAGATTTAGTTATAATTTCAAAATTCGTTTTAATTTAATGATTTAAGTCATGCTTAATATTCTTAATAATTATTATTTGATTGGAAATAATTGATTTTGTATAAATTACTCTAAAATTATAATTAATTTAAAACAAAGTTCATGATTGCTTAAAACTAAATATTGACTGTTTGGTTTATTGTGGTGAGATAGAGGGTAGATGAACATGGATTTTTTTCTAACTATTCACTTTTGGAATTGATAAATGTAGGTCCAATTAGGTTTAGTATCTATTTGGTGCATCTTAATATTAATATTAATCATTACTATATTTATTCAATTATCTATTCTTCATTGTAGTAAAATCTTAATGAGAAGTAGTTTTCGTAAGCGTAAAGCTTTTTTTTAAATTTTATATTCTATGATTGTTCAAATTTATATTTGTTTCTGTTTGAACACGAGAAGTCATGGGTATTTGATGATTTAATATTATTTCGTTAATTTCATCTGATTCTTAAGTCTTTAAATAATACATTTCTTCCTAGCATCTATCTCTCATATATTTGATAACATTCAAAGCTTTGATGATCTTATATTATAGATTTAATTACAATTAAGAATTTTTAGCAAAATGAATATCTCAATTTGATCTCTCTATTCGTAATTGGGTGTGATTTTGATTGTTCTCCTAACATCCACGGGTGCTCAAGACATTGTTCTGCAGTCATTCTATCAAAAGCATTATGGCAGACTGTATTTCTAACAAAATCCTAGGCCATTCTATTGTAAATAAACTATATATACTCAGATAAATGATAAGGATAAGTTATACTAAAATCTTAAGAGATAATTTTATAATACTCTTTTTTTGTTACTCCATCCTGCCAAATAGGGTGCTTGTTATTGCACATCATCATATAATAGATGATTCCTAGCGAGAATATATCAATTGCTTAAGTTTGCTCTCCACCATTTATCACTTCTGGAGCAATGTAAAAGGGAGTGCCAACTTATTGACCAATAATGCCTCGACACACTATTTAATAGCCTAAGCCTAAATCAATCAATTTCACTAAGTTATTGGCACAAATAAATATATTTTCTAGATCAATTTCAATGGTATACCTGGTTTTAAGTCTCTATGAATGATTCCTTTACGATGAATAAATACTAATGCATTTAGCACTTATTGCATTATGTTTCTAACCTCAATTTCTTCAATATTTCTTTCTCTCAATATCATATCAAGAGTCTAACCTGTCAGCTTTTCCATTATCAAATAAATGTAGTTGTTCGCCTTTAAAACTCTATACAATTTCACTATATTTGGATGAAAACACTCTTATAAGAGACACGACTCTATCTCCTATTCAAAGTATGGAGTAACCTTAAATTTACACATTTTCTACTTTTATTGCTACTATCTTATCTAAGTTAGAACTATAGGCTGCAATTACAATTCCAAAACTCCCTCTCCCTAAAATTTCAATAAAACAGTAGTATTCGCTCAATAAGATATCGTTTAAATCATCAATTAAACTTTTAGGATCCATATTTAATTAAATTATAATAATATTTATTGCTATTTTTCGTGAAATTTCAATTTCTGTGTTTCTAATATTTATTTGATTTAATACAAGTTATTAAAAAATTAACAGAATTATAAATGAACATATTTAATATATCATCACCTATTATTTCTACTGATATAATCTCTATATTTCTTGAGTGCCTTTCTAACATCAGTAACATTAGATTAAGCAATTTTAATTATCAAATCCTTTATGGTTAATAATTCTTTGTCGTCTGATTTTCCAACCCAAGATGAAATAACTAATCCATTCTCTTATTACAATTAAAAATTGATAGGAGTATTATCAATTATTATTGTTTTCTCTAAAGGTCTTCCTATCTTACTTAAATCCTATTTCTTAGAGTTATTAATACTTTAATAAAATGAATACCATTATAAAGGGTGTGATGCCTATATAATTTATGATCAATCAGGTGATCACATTGAATTTGAGATATGGCATTATCTGCATACTTTATAATATTTAAAGCTATACATTTTGTTGGCCTGCTGTAAAAAGGATTATCTCACAAAATGCTTTAATGCTTTCGAGAAATTGGAATAACCATGGTCTGGAGATGAATTTGTTCAATTGTTCACTCTATATATCGCATTAATCTATACAAAATGTCCCATTGTTTCATCCAAATCCATAATTATACACAACTGTTTTTAAAATGGTGATTTAATGAATGGACTATTCACAAGATCTACACTAGCTTATGATTGTCTTTTATGAACTACATGCGAGGCTTTGAACAAAGTTTTCAAGGGAGATTAATACTCTTGTTTTTTAATTTATTATGTTGACAAATAAATAGCATTCCTTAATTGTGGTCTACTTATTGTAACATCTAAAATATTTAAATGTTATAATTAATATCTGCAAGTTATTATTATTGCTTGTATACCCTAATTATCATTCTGTAATAATTTTTCAATAATCGACTTAATGAAACAATTATTTTTTTTTATTTCTTAAGTAAAACTGATGCAAGGATTGTTCTTTTCTAAAATTACATCAATCTTTTATTATAATTACTCAACTAATTAATTCCTTTGTTTTAAATGTTTAATCATTTGATTCAAAAATAGAGCAAAATTCTCTACTAATAATTTTGTTAAAACTGTCATTTCTTAGTAGTAATTCTGTTAATTGTGAAGTGTGTTTTCTTTCAGTTAACATTGTACAAACGAAAATACAATATCACTTAAGAAGATATACTCCCAAAGTATTTTCTAAGTAGCTGGACGAGCAAAGTAGTAAAGATATTATTCTTATCTGAACTCAAACACTGCTTCCCAATATAATGAAAAATTCAGTGTTTCAATTTTATTTTATAGACTTTCCTGAATAGCTTTCATATTCTATAGTTGATTTTGTCCTGCATTGATATCGAAGGAGTGATTAATATGCATGAATGTATCAACCTGTGAATTTGGTCTGGTAAATGTAGATGAGAAAGTTCCCTTCATTCTATCTGTTTATCTTGTTCCACTCCTTTTAATGCTTTCACCATCCTATTCTAGAGATCTCAAAGTTCTTTTGGCCTACTATAATGGAGTTTCTAATAATTTTCTCTAATTTTATAATTCCCTGATCAGATGGTAATTACTGCTATACTTAATTGTAAAATATTCTAATTCAAGTTTTCAATTACTTGTTATTTCATCTGAACTTTTTTCGAAATGTGCTAATACTTATGACTGTTTCATGATAATTAATTTTATAATATATAAATTAAGAGCTTATTAAAATACTCATTTTACAGGTAATAGTATGCTTGAATTAATCTTCCTATCAATTATATATCATCATAAGTAGAAGAACATCACATTTTAAAGTTTATTTTACACTCTTTTCTTCATAATAGTCTAAATTTTTTTATAATTTCATTCATTTTTCACTTAAGTATCTAATTCTAATCGATTTTCAAGTTTTAACTTCATAGATTTATACGAAAATCACAAATGTAATTTTTAGAATGGTTCCTCAATTTGATTGTCTTTATAAATTTAGAATTTCAATCATTGATTAAATTTGTACAAAATTAACTCTATTTTCAAATTTCAGTCTTACTGATAAAGGTATTTCGCTGAGAAATCTAAATAAGTAGAATTAGATTATCGGTTCTTAGGATTATTTAATTGATATAATTATCTCATTAATTATATGAATAATAAATTTAAATCAAACAGCTTGGCTTGGATCTTCCTTAGCTGAATATAAATGAGGATGAATATTAGGTAAGACACCTCCATCAGCAATAGTGGTATTTGCCATTAATTTGTTCAATTCATCGTCATTTCTAATGGCTAAGAGGATGTGTCTTGGATTGATTCTATTTTTCTTGTTATCTTTGGCAGCATTTCCAGCTAGTTCTAACACTTCGGCAGCCAAATATTCAAGCACAGCAGACAAATAAACTGGAGCGCCTGCACCAACTCTTTCTGTATATCTTCCTTATTTCAAATATCTTGAAACTCTTCCAACTGGGAATTATAACCCAGCCTTGTGTGATCTAGAAACTGATTTATGAGCTCCAGCTGCCTTTCCTCCTTTTCCTGCTTTTCCTTTTCCGCCTGATGACATTTTTTTTATTTATTTATCTACTTACAAAATCGTATCAATTTTAAACTTATTCAATATTCTTTTTTTCTATTAATTATCCAATCATATTCTAGATCTCAATACTCTATAACCAAAAAGAAAATCCAATCAATCTTCTAGAATTCTTCCTTATCTCATATTTCTCAACTATATTCTTGCCAATCTACTTTAATAAACATACTACTGTTCAAAAAGATACATTAAAGATATATAATAAAATGATGCTATTAAGATATAAATTTTTAAGAATGGGTATCAAAAACCCCCAACCCTAGAAAAATTTTAAGCGCACTTAGACAATACTTATTTAGATAAAACTATGAGTTTTTACAAAATTTACTTGAATATATTTATCAACTATGCAATAAATCATTTTGTATTAGGTCAACTAAAATATTGAATGCTTGAAATATTTTTTTTGGGTTAATTTGAATTCTGATTTGATCTGAATCAAATTTCCATATCAGCAAAAGAATAAAAAATAAAAAAAAATTAGCATTTCCAAAAATTCAGTAAATTAATTTAATAAGTAGATAGTTCTTAATTGCTAATCACTTTACTGAAGTTTTGGAACATAAATAATTTGGAATATAGGATAATTAGTTAGTTTAATAAATGAAAGGAAAATAGAGTCCTATAAGAGAAAAATTAAATTGACGATGGATAAATAGAAGTTAATTATTAAAGGAGAGATAGAGTATGATATATAAAGGGTATATGAGGAAGAACTATAATTGATAAATGATTTATAGTAGGGAATTACAATATTGAATAATAAATAATATATTTATATAATAACATGAAATGCGAAGTGAAAACTGTTAAACTAAAAATTCTAGGATTGACTGATTTAAGTAAAATTATAAGAAATTCCTCGTATGAAATAAAAGTATATTTTGGAGGTGCAAGATAATCAACCAAAATATTAAATTACTATGTTGGTATGTAATTAAGCCATTAGATTAGCATCTGAATAAATTGAAATTAATTAGGACCTTGAGTTAAACAGCATTCATGGGAAACAATTATAATTTTGGTTGTTTGATAAATTGAAAAATAAGTTTATTGGAGCAGGATCATATGAATTGAGTGACAATTAAGTTGAAGGATTTCAATTGTTAGATTTAAAAATCGATACAGTTATAACATGTGTTTTAATGTTTGAGTTGATTGTTGAAGTGAAGGACATTTATTAGCCTGTTATTTTGGAAGATGATAATGTGATATTGAAGAAGGACGACTCGGAAGAAAAGAGAAAAGAATAGGAAAGGTTGGAATAAGAGGAGAAACTTAGAAAACAATAAGAAGAGGAAAGAAGACTATTATAAAAGTAAAACAAAGTTTCCATAGTCACATTAACTGATAGATATGTTGAAGATTAATCTTATTATTGAATAATATATATATATATTTTAAATATCAATGTGATTATAGTTCCAGCTTTGTAGGCTTTTTAAATTTGTTCACTATTCGCTTCACAGTAAAAACAAAGGTATATTTTGATGGATTGAATCTTGATAATCTCCACTTTAAAAATAAGTTTAATCTGTTTATCACATTTTAATAGTTATCAACAGGGTAATATAGATTGTAAGAGTACATCCTCTCAAATTCTTCAGATTGCTGATCCGCTCTTTTATACATACTTAAATCAACCATACCCACTCCAGTTGGTATGCGAATATTTGATCTAATTATTGGACTAACAGTTGATCTGAATTAAGTAATTGTCCCTTGACGTAAAGGGATAGTTGACAATTTTGATGAAAATCTTTTCATTGATTATCTAACCTATGAAGAACTTTAGCTTTGCCTTCCCAACTGTCTTCCATATGGAGAACTGGTTTGGTCATCAGAATGTTGTCTGTTTGATAAGTTTAAAGTGTCAGAATCTTCTTCCCTTATTCTTGACAGGTTCTTCTTCATTTTATCGACAATATTGCTTTATGGCCTTGTTTTTGTGTTATTTCTTAATCTTTATGATTGTTTTTGACTTTACTAACTATCTGTATCTCCTTTAAATGTAAGATGGGGAGTATTCTTAATTCTTTTGACAGAAGGAATAGGGACTTCATTAGCAATTAATTATGAAGAAGTAGCTGTTTGTATCAATTACGAAGGTTACAAAGGGTCTTAAGGTGTTGATGTTCTTCTCATTTTTTATGGTTCTTGTGGTACTAAAGAAAACTTATATAGCTATTGTTGCTGTTATTAGAAATCTGCTTAATATTAGAATTGAGCTGTGCTTAGTGTTCCTTTTTAGTTGTTAGGTCTTATAATAAACATTTAATCATTTTCATCACATATGTCTTGAAGAACTTTAGAATTTTCTTTGACTTAATCTTATTGTTTTAGTATGCTAACAATAGTTCTACAATATGTTTAAATTTTACCCATCCTATTTATCTACTATTCTATTATCAGAATAGCCTTCATCACTTTAGTAATCATCACTTAATTCAGAACATGATTCCAAATCATCTTCTTAAATGTCATCATCATCTTCATCTTCATCATCATCATATATTATATCATATTTTAATCTAAATATTTTAAGTGCATCGTAATTTTACTAAAAATATTGTTAAAGATTTTACGATCAATTTTAAAAATATTCTGTTAAAATCTTTTCTAACATCTTTTGGAGTTCTAGAAAAGCTAGATCTTTATTATTAATTATAGTTGTCTTATTTGTATACTTTTTCAAGATCGGGTGTATATTTCCAAATAGGACACTTAGAAATTAAATGATCTGAGGCTCTACAAGAGTAACAACACATATTTAGAATACTGAATTGTTGGTTCAAGAAAGAATGCCTAATAAAGAAATATCTTTCATGATCGATCTTATTTTGTTAGATCAATTATATAAACTTTGCTTATTAGATCTTATACAATGAAACGAAACCTTTAGCTTTGGCAGAAGCCTATCTCAATTGACCTGAGAAAAACGAATATTCGCCAAAAGATTCTCCAGAAACCAAATTAGCCAACTGAGTATTTTAGTCAAGTATTGAGATTTCACCTGAATCAATAATATACAAAGAACAATCATCTTGTTTGTGCTTTTAAATCACAAGTTCATTTGGATTAAATTTAACGTACTCCATAATTTAGGTCAAATTTTCAAGGGTATCCTTTGAAAATTTGAATAGAGACTTACAATTAAACAAAGCCTTAATTCTCATTTATAGAAATAATTCTTCTTTAAGTGTTGGTGAAAGTTATTAAATCAAAATTTAGATCTAATTATCTAAATGTATATAACAATATTACCTAGTCGTCTTTATTACCCTACGATTAAATGAACCTCATATAATTTCTGATTCTGGCCTACATCTACAATGTAATTCCTCTTTTGGATAAAAAATTATTCATTATTTTCATCTATGATAAAGTCTAATTATAATTCTAGTATTGCTGCTTCATCATAAATCCTATGTGTTTGATTATAATTGCAATCAACCAACAGGATATAAACATAATGATTGTTGAATAAATTAGTTCTATATTTGTTTTAACATGGATTAATCCTAATCCAACATTTAACATCAAACTTGTATTTATATAGATAGAATAACAATATCTTGTCCATTCATCCTCATCCTAAATATTCAAAGTCATCATCCAAGAGTTTTATTCTTCTATTCCTATGAAATGCCAAAAACATGAACATGAATGAATTGCATATAATACAATCACAAATATTTTGTAACAGCCAATATCAAATGGAAGAAAATCATTTATTCTAAATATTAAGAAATTCAATTTCTACACTCCTAAACAAATTTTAATTAATAAAATACACCAAATTAATACATAATTTGTAGATAAGTACAATGCTAATATTGTTGCCACTAGATACGAAATGTCTACAAAAGTTTGACGTTTAATAAATTATAATTTATACTTAATTTTGAGGTTTACAAATTTACCTTCTTAAATTTAAGGTTTCATATAATTTATTGCCAAATCTGAAATAATTATTAGGATTGCAAATATTTCAAATGCAATGTTTGCTTCTTATTAAAAACTTATTTTGAATGGCAACCAAACACATAACATTATAATACAAATTATCACAATTATATCCCAAAAAAGAAAACATAAAGGGTGAATTTACTATTTATTCATCTCATCCTTAATGGAATAATGAGTGCTATTTTCTAAATAGTTTTCAATTAATAATTATTTTTAGTAGCCATTAAAATAATTTTCTCGATATATGTAGGCTTTTTGAAGAAGTGTATTCGCGAATTGTTTAACAAATTTCTTTTCAAATATGTTTCTACTGACAGCCTCTGTTAAATTAAGTTCAGAATAAAGCGGCTACTTACGTGAGGATCGCATTCCTTAATTGAATTAACTTTTCTTTAACTTCTTTGTCCCTGATTCGTCAACGTTTTTATTATCAATTCCTTCAGAATTCACATTCAATGTCTATGCTTTTCTATTCTAATCGAAATGATTTTATCCATTTTCTCTATAAGAAATGAACGATCTTAAAGGTTCTGTAATTGGAGATGGACAGATAAATGATGAGTTTATTGTTGGTGGTTTTAAATCTGATGGTGTTTGCATTAGTTTAGGTAATTATGATTAAGAAATTTATCGTCGTTTGACTTATTCTATTTAATTGGACTCATTATCAATGGAAGAACTGTCTGAATTATGCATTGCTATTTTAATAAATATATTTGAAATATATTATTTTGAATAAGTTAATATTTTGGAAATCTTATTACAATGAATATTAATAATAAGTAAAGTTCTAGGCATATCTTTCTTAAACGATAATTCTATTGTATAAGCAAATCTACTTAATAAGTAATCATTAAAATAATAAGAAATTTGATTAAGTTATAAATTTTATACAAAAATCAACAAAGATGTTTGGAATATCAATTAAAATTTATAAAGTAATACCAAAATATTTTATCTTACCTTTTGTTTTTTTAAGTTCCTTTGAACAAATGAAAAAGAACTAAAAAGTCATTTTCTTTCAAGTTTTATAATTCCTAAATATTTTAAGAAAATTAATAATAGTAAAGAAAATTTTGATTCTATATCAATTTCAGATAGAATGAAGAAGTATTTGAATATTTTGACTTTTTTTAGCTCATTAATTCTAAGATTAATAAGTTCCTATAATGAGTTAAGAATTGCATACTATCCCTACTCATTTCTAAAGAAATAAAATTGAAATAAGAATAATGATTACATATAGAAATTAAACCTAATCATTCAAACTTTATTTCTTTGTAGTCTTCTTCTTGTTCTATTCCAATCCACCCATATTTTTTTTTTAATTCATTTATACCTTAAAGTAATTAAAGATTTAATCTTGCAGTTTATGGAATGATTTGCTCTCTTGTGATAGGATCTGTGCAACCATTCTATGTAATTTATTAAAAGATGGCATTTTTTTCATAAGTTTGACCAGTATTAAATAGAATAGGTTCATTCATAATTTCATATGAAATAACACAAGTAAATGATTAAGGTATTGGTAGATCTTAGAGGATCTTTTTTTATGTTTATTTTTCCAGATAATTCCAATCCAATTTAATATTTCTAATCTATGCTAATTCTGCAAGAATGCCTTTTAAAGATTAGACATCTATCAATATATATTTAAATGGTAATACTTCTTCTATCCATTTCTTTAGCGATCAAAAAAACCATTCGTTTTCCCTTTCCTAAATTTTAATTTATTAGAACCTTCAATTTGTTCTTTTATTAGTCGGTATTATCCTTGATATAAGCATATGCTTTATTATTATAAGAATATTACCTTAGTCTAAGTACTGCAAACCTCTGTGGGCCTACTTTATTATTTATTCACTTATTTCTGGACATTTCTATACTTCTAGTAAAATAATTGTTCCATAAATGAAGTGTGCTCTAGAATTTGTTTAATCAATTTTAATTGCTTATTCTGCATCTTATATAGCTTCTTTATATTTATTCAAAAGTCTATATGCCACTGCTCTATTTGAGTAGTAAATAGAATCGGAACCATGCAAATTCTAAATATTTAATTATTATACAATAGCTTTCGTATAGCATTCAATAGCTTTTTAATAGTTTTTTTGAGTGAAAAAGTTATTGCCCTTTACTTTTTCCTCCAAAGATTCCTGAATATTGTCTGTATACTTGGGAGTAGAAGTCGAATTTATGTTAGTCTAATTAGCTTATTAAGCAGTAGGTTTTTTTGCTGCTTTAAAGACTTTCCTTTATTATTACGGCTCTTGTTGTTGAAATATTTCTTCTGGAGGATAATTAAGAAACTAACAGGCTTCATTTGAATGTGCTTATCCCATTTATGATTAATAAATTATTAAATTTACTTCAAAAATACAAAATTAAAATAATGATAATATCAAACAGAGCCTTTATGTTTATTGGTATCATTTCCACCATTACAATGGTGAAGAAACTTGAATAAGTCATCAGCTTTCATTTAATGAATTTATTCATTATGGTCATACTCATTGCCGTAGATAGAACTAATCTATAAGTCTTTGTTATTTAATGCTGATCTATTTTTTGGATCTATTGTCGTTTCTGAGTTATCACAAAACATATGATTAATTATATATTTAAAAATACGAATGACTGAAGTATCCTAAATTTAGAATATAAATGAAATTACTTAAGAGCTAATTTTAATCTCTTCCAAAGAACTCTTTTAATTGTCATTTAAAAACTATTTGATTGCAAATAACATAATCGCAGCTATTTTAGACTTAGAAATATGTCCATTAAATGGTTCAAACAATGGAAATGCAATTGATTTGACTCCTAAGTTAGCTGCTAACTAAAGGCAATTAATCATGCATTCATAGATGTTTTATCTCTCATGCCTCTATTATGAATCAATAATTTTGTCAGTATATATATTAACTCCATCTATTTATTACCTTAGACCCTCTTCTAAAGATTCGGTTGGTTAGAAATCAGTAGAAAAATCAGTATTATATGAACTCTTCGGCATCATCATTGTAGTTTCGCAACAACTTGATAGCACAGTGTATATAATATAATCAAACTCCATCTAATTATTAATATCTATATTTATACATCTCCTGCATGCGTATATACTACTTAACCTAAATCAAGTTTTCCACCTTCACTTAAACGCACTTATTTGAGCTCATTCATTACAGATTACCCTCCATATTTTCTATTTTAATAAGTAATAGAATACTTAAGTAGATCCTCTATATTTTATCCCATTTTGAGTCGTGTGCTTACAATTAGAACAATTGTGTCAACATCCTCATTAAACAATAACTTGCTTTAACTTAAGTTGATTTAGCAACCAGCAAATGAAGCATGAGCAGCAATGTTAGGTTATAAACTCAATTTTGAGCCACTTCCAAAAGGATCAGAATCAGAGCAACATAATGTATTATTACCCATATTAGTATTATTAATTAAATAAATTCACAATTGCTAAAAATTTCTTATTTTAGGCTAGATCTGCATTTTTAACATAGAAAATATTTTTCAAAAATTAACAATTATTAATATTTTAATTACTGATTATTGTATTGGATTTGATATAGTTTTTTTGAAGATTATTGTAATTTGTATTGTAAATTTAATATATTGTTCAAAGAATACTCATTCTTTTTTATACTCTTCAATTGCAAAGAAACCATCTTCAACTAAATGATCTTAATATTCTTCTAAAGATTTTATCATTCTATTGTTATATTACTATTAATATACCTTTAGCCTCTCATTCTATCAAGCCTTGTGTTTAAATCTTGTATTAACCTTTGCTGCTCTGAGATTTATTAATCTTTAGAATTAATTGTCTCATCATTAGTTGCTTAGTCTCTTAATCTACTATTTTCTTCAATTAATTCATTCATTCTTTTCAGCAAATCTGGATCCGATTACTAAAATATGATAAAATATTTACATTAGCAATTGAGTTTAAAAATACTAATTCTTTTAATTAAAGATTTCTCTCAATAACGCCAATCAATTTTTCAGTTGCCATTTTTTTATGAATGAATTTGTATTAAGTTGGTTAAATTGAACTTTTTAACATCTATTCACCTAACTTCTAGCATTGCGAAGCAATTAAAACTAATTCAGTGAATCTGAATTTCAAATGTCTTCGGAATACTCTTTACAAAGTACTAAGAGCTACCTATTAACTATTCTTTAAAATAATTGATTCCATTTAGGATTTCGCCTAAGAATCTCGAACAGGGGTCTATTATAAGAAACTTGAATGTGATGGTTAGAATGAACTTGCATCAGTTATTCCTCTTCCAAAGTGTTCTATATTGGTAAATGCTCTTTATCTCACTCTATCATATGCCTTAAGCAAATTATTTATCAACTTTTTGCATTTAACTATTTACAAAGTATTTAAACTGACAGCTTTTTATGTAGTTGCGTTATCCCTCATTCTCCAAAATGCTATTTATGGAGTAATTCTTGTATTCTTTGCAATCATTTCAGCTACTCTTTAGAACCATTAATTTTACAGTTTTGGTCCTCTCCAAATATCTAATGCCTCTTTAATTAATTCTCTATCCTGTTTCATGTTGAATAAAAGTAATTTTTAAATTGCGTTAAATACTGAAATCATATTCTTCTTAACAGCTCTTATGTTCCACCTTTAGAAATATATTCTTAATCTTATTTATGCAAAGTTTTAGAATAAAAGAATTGCCTCCCTCTTTAATCTAACTTCTCTCTCTTATGCAGTCTCTTGTTTGTTAGTTAAATGTGATGACAAACGCTTCCATTCAACAAAAGCTACATTTAATTAGTTCATTTTATGTTAGTAAAATAATTAAATTGCAAGTTTCTTCTTGTCTGAAATATCGAAAGCCTCTGCTGCTTTGCTGAATTCAACAACTTTGTACCATTTCAAAAACGCTTTCTTTTAAGCACTCATACAATTATACAACATTTTATTTATAGAATATTTTTATTTTGCCTATCCATCTAAGTAAATATTATATAATTAATTGTAAGTTGACTTTCTCATCATATGAATTTTGAATCGATTTAGAGATTTTTCAAATATATTTGCTTTCATTTGATCTAATTCTTTAGTATCTGGTAGAGCTTTCCATTTTGAGAATGATACTTCTATCTACCCTACAAATGTATGCAATAATTAGATTTATATTTTCTTTATTAATGCTTACTTCTACCTTTCCTTTGAAAACTTTCTCAAAATGTCTCGCAATTTTCCTTAATCATTTGTTCTTAAATTTCTATGGAGTGCAAATAGTAACAATTTTTTCTTTTCATCATCCAATTAAGTTTAAATCTTAGCTTATTTAGCTTAATTATTCCAATGAACAAAAGCCCACCTTAAAGTATTATTATAGTTTTATAACATTTTAGCTAAGACACTTTCTTATTATTTATTGGGCTTAAATATTGTCTAAACATGTCCTGCTAATGTGAAAGCAAGTGTTTAAAATAAATTAGTGGTATATTTGCATGTTTCGATTGACTTATGTAATCTATTTATATCTCTCCAATACAAGAATAATCTTTTATTTTAACCCATCGCAAGTGTCATTAATTTTCTTAAACAATACAACTTTTTGCTATTTCCTTCCTAATAAACATCTTTTAATGGTTCAAATGATGCTTTAACTCTGCCCCTAAAAAGTAAATCTAATGTTCTTTCAAATTTTCTTGCATTTTTCATTTACTCATTATTGACTGGTTCTGGTAAGTTTTTCCATTTTTAGAAGGCTTTTATTGCACCTCCAAATTAAGTAGCAAATAATTTAGCAAAGAATCTATCTTGAACAGCAGTGATACTTGAGTTTCTTCTGAACTTTGCAAGAATGGCTCTTAATCTTGCGAAATCATTATTTTTAGAGAAATTATTAATTGCTTCTAAAAGCAATTTCTTTTTTTCATCAGTCATGGCTCCTTATAATTTCTCTAGTTTTCCATCATTATACCATTTCATGAAGAAATATCTTAAGTTACTATCAAAGTTTCCAATAAGCCTGAGTAATGCCTTTTCTTTCTTTTATGATTCTTCATCTGGCTTTAAAGGAGCAATATTATTCTTTATATGTACACCAATGAATCCAAACAATCCGATGACACATTTGCATCTCTCTACTTCTTTCATTAAACCAACGTTCTTATTCCATTAATCCAATGCTCTTTATTATTCAGATTCTTGTGTCTTGATCATCAAAATAATTGCTCTCTTCTTTAAAGCTTATGCATCGTCATAAACTTCTTAAAGAGGATTCCAAGTTCTTTTTCTCCAAATATGCAAAGTAAATTTATTTAATTAAGTTTCAAATTTACTAGCTTTGATTAATTCATCAGCATTAGCCTCAGGGAGGTTTTTCCATTTATTAAATGTATCCCAAACAGCTCCAATTTGAGTTCTTAATATTCTTGCATTAATTTAAAGAATTAGTTTCTCTTTCTTATGGGCTAAAGAGAATTTAGCCAAAATTTATCTATATAAGGCAAATTTATTTCCATTTTCAAATTAAACCAATTACTCAGTCAATTATTTTTTCTTTTCTATTGTTAAAGCATCTTCGAAGTTTTAGTTCATTCTTTCCTATTGAGCTCTATTTCTCCACAAAAAGAATGCTCTGCTTAAGTTCTCAGCTTAGCCTTAGAAGATTAGATGAAGAGCTTTTTCTTTCGCTTAAGCTTCACGAGGATTTTACATTATTGGTTGAACATTGGCAGTTACAATTTATGCTAATCCTACAAATAATGCAGTAGTCAATCTACAAACTTCAATTTGTTTCGCTTATCTATTTTATTATGCCCAAAGCAAGAATAATCTCTTGTGTGCGCTCATACTCTTCTCAAACAATTTCCTTAAACACATTCTCTTGATGTTCAAAGCATCCATATAATCTTCTTTTAATGGGTCAAATGAGACTTTTAAGTGAGAGTGGAAAAGAATGTCCAGGGTTCTCTCAAATTTTCTTGCATTCTTTAATTATTCAGTATTAACTGGTTCTGGTAAGTTTTTCCATTTTTAGAAGGCTTTTATTGCACCTCCAAATTAAGTAGCAAATAATTTAGCAAAGAATCTATCTTGAACAGCAGTGATACTTGAGTTTCTTCTGAACTTTGCAAGAATGGCTCTTAATCTTGCGAAATCATTATTTTTAGAGAAATTATTAATTGCTTCTAAAAGCAATTTCTTTTTTTCATCAGTCATGGCTCCTTATAATTTCTCTAGTTTTCCATCATTATACCATTTCATGAAGAAATATCTTAAGTTACTATCAAAGTTTCCAATAAGCCTGAGTAATGCCTTTTCTTTCTTTTATGATTCTTCATCTGGCTTTAAAGGAGCAATATTATTCTTTATATGTACACCAATGAATCCAAACAATCCGATGACACATTTGCATCTCTCTACTTCTTTCATTAAACCAACGTTCTTATTCCATTAATCCAATGCTCTTTATTATTCAGATTCTTGTGTCTTGATCATCAAAATAATTGCTCTCTTCTTTAAAGCTTATGCATCGTCATAAACTTCTTAAAGAGGATTCCAAGTTCTTTTTCTCCAAATATGCAAAGTAAATTTATTTAATTAAGTTTCAAATTTACTAGCTTTGATTAATTCATCAGCATTAGCCTCAGGGAGGTTTTTCCATTTATTAAATGTATCCCAAACAGCTCCAATTTGAGTTCTTAATATTCTTGCATTAATTTAAAGAATTAGTTTCTCTTTCTTATGGGCTAAAGAGAATTTAGCCAAAATTTATCTATATAAGGCAAATTTATTTCCATTTTCAAATTAAACCAATTACTCAGTCAATTATTTTTTCTTTTCTATTGTTAAAGCATCTTCGAAGTTTTAGTTCATTCTTTCCTATTGAGCTCTATTTCTCCACAAAAAGAATGCTCTGCTTAAGTTCTCAGCTTAGCCTTAGAAGATTAGATGAAGAGCTTTTTCTTTCGCTTAAGCTTCACGAGGATTTTACATTATTGGTTGAACATTGGCAGTTACAATTTATGCTAATCCTACAAATAATGCAGTAGTCAATCTACAAACTTCAATTTGTTTCGCTTATCTATTTTATTATGCCCAAAGCAAGAATAATCTCTTGTGTGCGCTCATACTCTTCTCAAATAATTTCCTTAAACACATTCTCTTGATGTTCAAAGCATCCATATAATCTTCTTTTAATGGGTCAAATGAGACTTTTAAGTGAGAGTGGAAAAGAATGTCCAGGGTTCTCTCAAATTTTCTTGCATTCTTTAATTATTCAGTATTGACTGGTTCTGGTAAGTTTTTCCATTTTTAGAAGGCTTTTATTGCACCTCCAAATTAAGTAGCAAATAATTTAGCAAAGAATCTATCTTGAACAGCAGTGATACTTGAGTTTCTTCTGAACTTTGCAAGAATGGCTCTTAATCTTGCGAAATCATTATTTTTAGAGAAATTATTAATTGCTTCTAAAAGCAATTTCTTTTTTTCATCAGTCATGGCTCCTTATAATTTCTCTAGTTTTCCATCATTATACCATTTCATGAAGAAATATCTTAAGTTACTATCAAAGTTTCCAATAAGCCTGAGTAATGCCTTTTCTTTCTTTTATGATTCTTCATCTGGCTTTAAAGGAGCAATATTATTCTTTATATGTACACCAATGAATCCAAACAATCCGATGACACATTTGCATCTCTCTACTTCTTTCATTAAACCAACGTTCTTATTCCATTAATCCAATGCTCTTTATTATTCAGATTCTTGTGTCTTGATCATCAAAATAATTGCTCTCTTCTTTAAAGCTTATGCATCGTCATAAACTTCTTAAAGAGGATTCCAAGTTCTTTTTCTCCAAATATGCAAAGTAAATTTATTTAATTAAGTTTCAAATTTACTAGCTTTGATTAATTCATCAGCATTAGCCTCAGGGAGGTTTTTCCATTTATTAAATGTATCCCAAACAGCTCCAATTTGAGTTCTTAATATTCTTGCATTAATTTAAAGAATTAGTTTCTCTTTCTTATGGGCTAAAGAGAATTTAGCTAAAATAAGCCTATATAAATTTAATTTATTGCCATGGCAAAATCCTTGTAGTCTATCAACTAATTCCTTTCTTTGTTCAGATTATAGTTGGTTCACAAGATTGTCATTCATTCTATCCTATTATGACCAGTTTCTCCATTTAAAGAATGCTCTTAATAAATTTTCTGTTTATCCTTAGAAGATTAAATGAAGAGCTTTTTCTTTCGCTTAAGCTTCACGAGGATTTTACATTATTGGTTGAACATTGGCAGTTACAATTTATGCTAATCCTACAAATAATGCAGTAGTCAATCTACAAACTTCAATTTGTTTCGCTTATCTATTTTATTATGCCCAAAGCAAGAATAATCTCTTGTGTGCGCTCATACTCTTCTCAAATAATTTCCTTAAACACATTCTCTTGATGTTCAAAGCATCCATATAATCTTCTTTTAATGGGTCAAATGAGACTTTTAAGTGAGAGTGGAAAAGAATGTCCAGGGTTCTCTCAAATTTTCTTGCATTCTTTAATTATTCAGTATTGACTGGCTCTGGTAAGTTTTTCCATTTTTAGAAGGCCTTTATTGCACCTCCAAATTAAGTAGCAAATAATTTAGCAAAGAATCTATCTTGAACAGCAGTGATACTTGAGTTTCTTCTGAACTTTGCAAGAATGGCTCTTAATCTTGCGAAATCATTATTTTTAGAGAAATTATTAATTGCTTCTAAAAGCAATTTCTTTTTTTCATCAGTCATGGCTCCTTATAATTTCTCTAGTTTTCCATCATTATACCATTTCATGAAGAAATATCTTAAGTTACTATCAAAGTTTCCAATAAGCCTGAGTAATGCCTTTTCTTTCTTTTATGATTCTTCATCTGGCTTTAAAGGAGCAATATTATTCTTTATATGTACACCAATGAATCCAAACAATCCGATGACACATTTGCATCTCTCTACTTCTTTCATTAAACCAACGTTCTTATTCCATTAATCCAATGCTCTTTATTATTCAGATTCTTGTGTCTTGATCATCAAAATAATTGCTCTCTTCTTTAAAGCTTATGCATCGTCATAAACTTCTTAAAGAGGATTCCAAGTTCTTTTTCTCCAAATATGCAAAGTAAATTTATTTAATTAAGTTTCAAATTTACTAGCTTTGATTAATTCATCAGCATTAGCCTCAGGGAGGTTTTTCCATTTATTAAATGTATCCCAAACAGCTCCAATTTGAGTTCTTAATATTCTTGCATTAATTTAAAGAATTAGTTTCTCTTTCTTATGGGCTAAAGAGAATTTAGCTAAAATAAGCCTATATAAATTTAATTTATTGCCATGGCAAAATCCTTGTAGTCTATCAACTAATTCCTTTCTTTGTTCAGATTATAGTTGGTTCACAAGATTGTCATTCATTCTATCCTATTATGACCAGTTTCTCCATTTAAAGAATGCTCTTAATAAATTTTCTGTTTATCCTTAGAAGATTAAATGAAGAGCTTTTTCTTTCGCTTAAGCTTCACGAGGATTTTACATTATTGGTTGAACATTGGCAGTTACAATTTATGCTAATCCTACAAATAATGCAGTAGTCAATCTACAAACTTCAATTTGTTTCGCTTATCTATTTTATTATGCCCAAAGCAAGAATAATCTCTTGTGTGCGCTCATACTCTTCTCAAATAATTTCCTTAAACACATTCTCTTGATGTTCAAAGCATCCATATAATCTTCTTTTAATGGGTCAAATGAGACTTTTAAGTGAGAGTGGAAAAGAATGTCCAGGGTTCTCTCAAATTTTCTTGCATTCTTTAATTATTCAGTATTGACTGGCTCTGGTAAGTTTTTCCATTTTTAGAAGGCCTTTATTGCACCTCCAAATTAAGTAGCAAATAATTTAGCAAAGAATCTATCTTGAACAGCAGTGATACTTGAGTTTCTTCTGAACTTTGCAAGAATGGCTCTTAATCTTGCGAAATCATTATTTTTAGAGAAATTATTAATTGCTTCTAAAAGCAATTTCTTTTTTTCATCAGTCATGGCTCCTTATAATTTCTCTAGTTTTCCATCATTATACCATTTCATGAAGAAATATCTTAAGTTACTATCAAAGTTTCCAATAAGCCTGAGTAATGCCTTTTCTTTCTTTTATGATTCTTCATCTGGCTTTAAAGGAGCAATATTATTCTTTATATGTACACCAATGAATCCAAACAATCCGATGACACATTTGCATCTCTCTACTTCTTTCATTAAACCAACGTTCTTATTCCATTAATCCAATGCTCTTTATTATTCAGATTCTTGTGTCTTGATCATCAAAATAATTGCTCTCTTCTTTAAAGCTTATGCATCGTCATAAACTTCTTAAAGAGGATTCCAAGTTCTTTTTCTCCAAATATGCAAAGTAAATTTATTTAATTAAGTTTCAAATTTACTAGCTTTGATTAATTCATCAGCATTAGCCTCAGGGAGGTTTTTCCATTTATTAAATGTATCCCAAACAGCTCCAATTTGAGTTCTTAATATTCTTGCATTAATTTAAAGAATTAGTTTCTCTTTCTTATGGGCTAAAGAGAATTTAGCTAAAATAAGCCTATATAAATTTAATTTATTGCCATGGCAAAATCCTTGTAGTCTATCAACTAATTCCTTTCTTTGTTCAGATTATAGTTGGTTCACAAGATTGTCATTCATTCTATCCTATTATGACCAGTTTCTCCATTTAAAGAATGCTCTTAATAAATTTTCTGTTTATCCTTAGAAGATTAAATGAAGAGCTTTTTCTTTCGCTTAAGCTTCACGAGGATTTTACATTATTGGTTGAACATTGGCAGTTACAATTTATGCTAATCCTACAAATAATGCAGTAGTCAATCTACAAACTTCAATTTGTTTCGCTTATCTATTTTATTATGCCCAAAGCAAGAATAATCTCTTGTGTGCGCTCATACTCTTCTCAAATAATTTCCTTAAACACATTCTCTTGATGTTCAAAGCATCCATATAATCTTCTTTTAATGGGTCAAATGAGACTTTTAAGTGAGAGTGGAAAAGAATGTCCAGGGTTCTCTCAAATTTTCTTGCATTCTTTAATTATTCAGTATTGACTGGCTCTGGTAAGTTTTTCCATTTTTAGAAGGCCTTTATTGCACCTCCAAATTAAGTAGCAAATAATTTAGCAAAGAATCTATCTTGAACAGCAGTGATACTTGAGTTTCTTCTGAACTTTGCAAGAATGGCTCTTAATCTTGCGAAATCATTATTTTTAGAGAAATTATTAATTGCTTCTAAAAGCAATTTCTTTTTTTCATCAGTCATGGCTCCTTATAATTTCTCTAGTTTTCCATCATTATACCATTTCATGAAGAAATATCTTAAGTTACTATCAAAGTTTCCAATAAGTCTGAGTAATGCCTTTTCTTTCTTTTATGATTCTTCATCTGGCTTTAATGGAGCAATATTATTTTTGATATGCAATCCTAATAATCCAAACAAGCTTATAACAACCTTGCATCTCTCAACTTCTCTAATTAATGAAACATTTTTGTTCCATTAATCGAGTGTTCTTTGTTATTCTGATTCTTATGTCTTTATCATTAGCAATACTGATCTTTTTTTAATTGCCAAACCATCATCATAAACTTCCTATAAAGGGTTCCAGGTGTGTTTTTTTAAAATGTGAAACGCAAACTTGCTAAGAGATTCTTCAAACTTGGTTGCTTGAACTTTTAGATCATTATTATTATCTTCAGGCAATTACTTCCATCTATTAAATGAAAGCCAAACTTAAGAAATTGTATTTCTGTTTATTATAGCCATTGCTTTTCTTTTAAGATTATGTTCTATTGCATTTTAATTAAATCTTCTCAATACTTCAGTTAAGGCAAAAAATTTGACTTTTGAGCCTGCATTAATCCATCCAATTAGTTTTTACTTAACAATCTAATCATTTAACGTAACATTAAGTTATGAGAACTTATCAAACATTTTCATTTCCCAAGCTTTTCTATGCCACAATAAAAATGCTTTTTTTAAATCACTTTGGGTTATTGCAATTATTTTATTGATGCAAAATTTCTTTTTAGCTTATCCATCTAATAAATTATTTTCTAGTTAGTCCCAAGAGTTTAATTTTACAAATCTATATGAAATTTTACCAAGAGAAATGGCAAACTTACTTACTTTAGCTTAATTTTTCAATGCATCATCTCCAGGTAAGGATTTCCATTTCTAAAAAGATAACTCAACTTATCCTATTTATGTTTGAAGCACTCTTAATTGAATTTTCTTAATCAACTGATTTACTTGTTACTCATTATAAAAGAGTCTTAAAATTCTTCTTAATCTATTTAAGTTATCATTTTTTATGAATCTCTCTAAATTAAGCAACATAAACTTTTTTTTCTCATCCCCCAAGTTTTCTGATATTTTTTATTATTTATTATAATTTTTCCATTTTAAAAATGCTATCATCAAGTTGTTTGTAAATGAGGACATTAATTTGATCAAACATTTCTCCTTAATTTCTGCGTCCTTTCTAGTAGATAAAAATGCTTTTATATTATTTTTTAAGACATCCTACAATGAATCAAAAAAGTTATTAGTTTTTTGGCAAGCTATTACAGATTTATAAATTTTATTCATCGATTGCCATTAACGCAAAAATCTTTATGGAGCACTTAACTATTTGACCAACATTTATTTAATACATAATCTTTTAGATTAGATGCCTTAATAATAAACTTCTTTTAATGGATCAAACGATTATTTTACTCTTTATTTAAAAAGGAATTAGAGCCTTAGCTAGAATTTTGAAACATTTTAGAGCATTTATTACTCAGCTGGATCAGGCAATTATTTCCACCTACGAAACGCATCCATAGCCATTCCACTTGTGGTTGAAATAATTCTAACAAAATATTTGTTTTTAATTTCCTGTTGTTCTCTCAATAAAGCAAATTTTCTTAACACTTACCTTAACAAACCTTTTTCTGTTTTATTTGCAGTATCCCCAAGTCTTGAGATTATCTCTTGTTTGTTTACGTTGTCTAATTTCTCTTGCATTTTCTTTTACATAGAAACGTTTTCAATTTATCTCAGAGCATCTATTTTTTATCTTTGCTAGATTTTTAAAATCAACTTATTAAGAAATGAACATATTTCAGCTTTTTTACTTAATCCAAATAATTTAAAAGTTTCAAATTTTACTAATTATTAAGTAACATTTGCGCTAGCTTATAGGGCTTTGATTTTCCTTAGGTTTGTTTCAGTTAGTTTTGCATAGGTGTTGTAATTAGCCCATTTATAGAAGGCTGTATATGATTGATTGAAAGTAACTTCGATTAATTCTCTAATGACTTTTGTCTTCTTATTTTTGGCATCATCATCAATGGCCTTAAAGCTATTCCAAACCAATCTTTTATTCTGATCAGCTTTATTTGTTAATTTTGTTATCAATAACATCCCTTACTTTTTCATGTCATTTTCTCTTTTGTCAGGAAGATCAACCCATCTAGTATAGCATCTCTATAATCTACCAAATGTTGTCTTTAGAAGTACAGAGAAAAACTTTTTTTTGAGTCTAAAGTTCATTAAATCACCTCTCCACTTTTCAAAAGCCTAATCATAATCTCATATATCTCATACCTCTTTAAGTCTTTATCTATCTAATCTATCATTTCTCATGTTGTATTCATCTCCTAATCTTTCAAGAGCTTTCAATTATTTTTATAACTTATCTGATTTTACCTTGGAATAAAGTCTCCACCAATTGAATTTCTCTCTTAAATATCTCTCTCTATGTTTAGAACTGATGCTCCATAAAAGCAAACCTAACATTTTGTCTGAATCTTAATTTTTTGGTTTCAAGGCGGCAACAGCAGCAGTTTTTAATTAAAACTCTTTCTTTTAAAGGAAAAGTGCTAAATTCATCAAACACATATTTTTTCTTTTCTTGGCGTTCATTTTTTTTTGAAGATCTTTTTATCTAAAGTTCAATATACATTTTTACCCTAGAAGATTTTTCAGCTTGTGAAAGGCATTGAATTCATTCAATCTGGAGTTGAGAAGAATTTAATCAACTGCTTTCTTTACTATTTCAGGATCGGCCCGTACTTTCCATCTTACTGATAATTTATTATTTTACCTTAAAAATGCCTCGTGGAGAGAGGTATGGCTCTCATATCTCAAAAGCTAAGACACAATTTTTCCTTTAATTTTTTTGGATATTTTAGAGACATCTATTTTTTTCTCTATCATAGCTCTTCTCATCCTATTATGATTATTATAGAAAGAAATACCTCAGCATTACACTATGGAGATTGTCTTTCCCATTTAAATTTCCCATATTGAATATGTGACTAAGTAATTTACGATTCTCCTGTAACAATTCCAATTTTTAAGGTGTCAGCACATTTTTTTATTATTATTTGTTCTTCTGTCTATACAATATTAGATATTAGCTTACAATTAACCTGGAGGCATGTTTAGAAGAATGAAAATAAATTATATTTATAATATAGATTTAAATAGATACTTTTTTTCGTTTTATTTCCATACAAATAATAAATAAATAAAATATCTAATCATATTATATATTTTTAAAAACTCTTCCAGAACACAATCATTTGACAAGTATTTTATTTGATCTAAGCTATTCTAGCTTATGGATTCTTCTGATGACCCTTTATTATCACTGTTCTTAATTTAATGATTGACTAATATATATTTCTATTTTAATTAATAAAAATATTTATTAGTTAAAATAAAATTCTATAACATACAATTTATATGGTTGGATAATTGAGATTCTGAGTTGTTAATTATTTCATCGTTTTTGGAATCAAAATTTTGAAAATAATTAAAATCAAAATAAGTTATTCATATAAATTTCTTTCCTTGCCTTAAAATCATGCAAAATAGTTATTGAAAATGCATTCTTGTGCATTTTTAATATTGTGGTTATTAAAGTTTCTTTTTGGTCTTGTTTTTATTTTTAGTTTAAGTGTAATTTTTCTTCATAACTATTATCAAGAATAATAATTCAAAAGGGCGTTTTTTTAACAAGAAAATAATGTTGCTTAGTTTAAATTTTGTTTAAAATAATTCAACTTAGTAAAAAATATGGTTTTTCCTGAATAAACCTAACATTTTCTTAGAACCAGATTGGTGCAGCAAACTATAAAATTATTACCATTTTTTATATTTTTCGATCTTTTGCTGTTTATTACTGTATTTCACTAGGATAATATTTCAATATCTATTATTGAGCGATCAAAGAAAGATGCTAATTTAAATTGGAAAATATTTATATATTTTTTTTTGAAACAAACTCAATTATTACTTAATAATCATATTCTAGATTGTTCTGTAAAATTTTGTAAAATTGATTGAGAAATTGTATTTGATTTTAAATAGTGTAAGAATATAAACTCAAATCATTGAAAGCCCATATTTTTGATGTATCTATATTTTTGATAATTTGTGTATTTATATAAAATATGAGAGTTTTGATTGAGAAATAACAAACTATATCTAGGAAAATTTGTTATTGAATTGCTTTACTTTTGAATAAATTTTATTAATCAAGGTCTGATTTCCAAATGATAACACATATTCGAATATCATGTATTTCAATTCTTTTCTTATATATCAAATATATTTATATATAATCTTGTACCTCGTGACAGTATTTTCCATATATGGCAAAATTTTGAGGAATCAGAATAACAAAGAGAAAAATTTATAAAAATTTTTGATAAAGTTGAATATTTTGATAATAATGATTAAATCAATCATTATGGATGCTCTTATTATTTGAGCAATTTAAAGTAGTCATTACACAATTCTAAACCCTAAGCAAGCCTATTTTCAATAATTTAGGAAGATTTTTTAGAATTTGATTTTCTTGTATCGTCAATATGCTTTTTAGTTTTTTAAGCGTAAGTACAATCATCAAATAACAATTATACATCTTAGTATTATTCCTAAAATTAATGGAAATGAAACCTTTATTGAATTGCTGGAGGAAATCTTAATATTGACATTTAGTTTTCTTGGTTCTCCTCTATCTATCATAGCTTCTACATCCTTTATCTTAGCATGATATATAATATGAGCCCATTCTTTTTTAACTATTTATGTTTCTATGATGATAAAATTGTCGTCATCCTCCATCCAAAAACTATTTTAAGTAGTTTAATTACCATTCCCCAGAAGTACAAGCCTACAATTTATCTTTAATTGTTTTAGCTGATATTCTGCATGATAATAATTAACAACCATCAGGGGGTTCATAGTTTTACCCAATTATCCAAGAGTTTGTAACATTTATTTTTTAAACGATTTATGAAGTTCCATTCTAATTGATTTTTTCCTAACTTATTATCTAAAAGCTAATGATATGATTTTATATTACAAAACAAGATCTATCATAAAAAAAATGGCTAAGTCCTTGATTGCAATTTCTTTTAATCCGACAGGTTGTCTGTACATTAAATCTACATTAGCATCATATTTGTCAATAATAGGAGAGAATGCTAAATAATCTAAGTTAGGTTTCAAAATTTTCAGATTTAAACTAATTAATAAATAAATATTGCTAACTTGTATTTGTTATAAATTATTTCATATTAAGAAACAACTACTTCGTGGTATTAGTTTAACTTAATCATCTAATTCATTTTAATTATGGTATAATTATAGACTTCATATAATTTATTAATTGTTTCTCTTTCTAAAATAAGCTTATCTAAATTGATAAAATGAATAATTATTTAGCATGTCAATATGATAGTGCATAATCTAAGAGATGGATCTATTAAAAATATGTCTAATAGTTAATATATGATTTGATTTCTTTCTTTAATAATGATATTAGTGTTGGCCTCTTAAAATAAACAAATTCTTAAAATATCCTTTTCCTTAAACAATAAGACTGATTTTATTAAATTTAATAATAAAAACAGTAGATTATCATCTTTTGTTTGTAAATAAATCATTAAATTATTTCTAATTTTGTTTTGGGACATGTCTTCTTATCCATTGTTTAATAATAATTATTTACAATAGAATAGCACGTGATCATTATCAGTAAGGCCCAAAACTCTATTTATTAATTCAATTTCTTTATCGCATGCTTCCTCTTTTTATGCATATGTTTGTATATCAAATAATTGATTTGCCTAACTTATCAATACATCTTAATGTAAATCCCAAAAATTTTTAAAACTCCATGAATATAAATAAGATCTTGGTTATCCAACATTAAATTCGAGTAATTGACACAGTTTCTTTTATAATGAAGGACTAAATAATAATAAAAGGATATTTTTGGATAAATTTGTGGTATTAAAATTATTAATTAAATGAGTTGTTAGATGTAAAGTAAAAGAAATTGATAGGGTTTCTTTTTTCTAAAATAAAATGCCTCCTAGCATCGCTGGAATCACTGTGTAAGTTAATAATGAATTGTCCAAAATCTAATATTTTTATAATCAATTATTCTACATTTGAAATTTCTGGACAAAATGCATAAATGTCATTCAGAAAATAAAATACATCTACTAAGTCATCCATCTTCTCTTTTACATCAACATTTCCTTCTAAAACTTCTTTGTTTGCCTCAAGCCATACATGCTTCAAATAACAAGAGAAATGAACAAAAAATAAAACAAAAGGAAATCTGGTCAAATATTTTTTTAATACAGGGTTTTATACTAGATAGATAAGAAAAATTATATACTTTTCATTATTCCAAGTATTATAGTACGCACTGCAGTTCTAACCATGATCTCTTTGTGATTATAAAATTTTGTTGCTTACCACAGTAATGGAAACAAACTCATTCTTTAGTTGAAAAATAATTGTACATTATCTTCATCTATTCTCAAAGCCAAGCTTTTTAATAATGATATATAATAATCAACAATTTCTTCATCAGTGAAATCATAATTATACATTATTAAATCCTAAATGACTGGATGAGACAGAAGATAGTTTACATTTTCTTTATTTGTCAAATTAGCTCTTATTGATATGATTAATAAATTACAATAAAATAGCAAAACTTTAAATTATCCCAATAATAATTTCTTTGAAGCTTGACCTTTACATTATCTTTAATAATTTCTCAGCAATGTTTTCTTCAAAAAAATAACTATATTGATAAAAATGAAATACTCAAAAAAATCTGAATTGTTTTAATCTCCCCAAATTGAAAATTCACAAATTAATTCCACTTTTTCACAAATTAACTATTTACTTTTGTTATCAATGATATTCGAATATTAAAGTAATTCTTAATAATGTTACTTATATTATTCTAATGTGTAATCAGAACAGCCATTCTACTTTTTGTTAACCTTGTTCATTAGAAATAAAATAAATATTTATATAAATATAATTTTTATGTATTCCATATCAATTTAGTATGTATTTTTCAGAATCCATTTTCTTTTTCCAAAATAGAACATGACTTTTCAAATTTTTTTGAGTTTTGAACAAGTTTATATTGGCAATTATAAGAGACAAATGTTGTGCTGCTCAAATATTTTGAGAAAATGACTGAGCTGTTAGATTGGGAAATCAAAAATAGACATATGATTCAGATCCACGTTCACCATCAAAGAATATAAAAGTATTGTGCAAAAACTATTAGCAAATAGGGCAAATATCTAAGAGGAATTTACGTTCAGAATTTAAACTAAAGTATATAATTGAAGAAAAATGTATTAACAAATTTAATGTAATTTGTTTTATAACTAAAAGTACTTAACCAAGTCAGTACAATGTAAATGCTGCAAAATAGCGGAGAAGCAGCAAATTAAATCGTAATTTTTAATAAATTGAATCATTTGATGTGTTAGCCAATGCTAATCAGAATTCACAAATGAAATTTATTTTGTTTAAATTGTTAAAAAAGGACTTCAATTTCGAAATTTATTAACTTAATAATACTTAAAATCGAACCAAGGCCATTGAAAGAAGCAAGTAATTGATTTAATCCATTTTTTGAACGTTATTTTCATTGAAATTAAAATATCTTACTAGTAATGGTTTTGAAAGCAACACTCAGCTTGATGAATTTTTTCATAATGATTATTGTTTTATTAAAAATAAACACCTTGATCCATCTCAAAATTCTGATTTTAATTTAAGTATGAATATATTATATCATAGGTTAAATTTTGCGTCCTTAAGGATTAAATTGATTTTCTAACCTTCTAATAGATGATAGCTAACACTTTTCTTTTTATAATTCTAAAGCTTCTTCTGTTTCTAAATTATTATTCCTTATTGTTTTGCAAGAATGTTAAAGGATTCCACTTAATAGCCTTATCAATTAAGCAATTAAATATCATGTTTTTCTTAGAATAGAATGCTTTATCAAAAGTCTCCGATGGCTGAAATAGTTAACATTATTGATGTCTTATTTAGATGGTTCCTTCATTTATTTCAAGATATTTAATTATCCATAGTATTTGTTAGATACTTGATTGAATTTTGTTATTAACAGCACTACAAAATATATTCATAAAGACTCAAGAAGTGTGTTGTATTTTTTTTTGAAATCAAGCTTGCATTATATTATCACTATCAAATAACTTTGATTGAAAACATATTCATAATTAAAAACTCAAAATGGATTATTTGATGAGGATGTTATAATTTTTGATGTTTTCATTTATATTCTTGAACTCTGTGTCCTTATTTGAACGTAACTAAAATTTTGGGTGGGTCGAATTTATGTATATTACTCTAATTTTGAAAAATATTACATGCCTGAACTTATTCCTCAATAATTAACTGTAAAAAATAGTTGCTTTGGCTAAATGTTTTCAAATTGAAACGAGTCAACTTCCAGTTGTATAATTAATTAAAAAACAAAATTGTTCCCGAAACTTGAATAATGATACAAAGAAAAGAATAGAAATATGGTTTTGTCTTCAGAAATTGTCAGACAAAAGTGGCTCCATGATGTCTTTCATACTTTGAGAGATATTTTAAAAATAATGATCATTCAAAAATGCTTTGAGTGAAATTAAATAAATAATTGAAGAATGAAATTTTTGAATAATTGGTATTCCAATATAATTTAATGACACTTTAATTGAATTTAATAAATTTGTGGAATGTGTTTAAATGTTAGATTCACGAATAAAAGAGGAAAAAAAATAGAAATTTTTAAACCTTTCATAATTTTACAAAAAAATTTAAGTTGTCTCAAATTCAGAAATCTGAAAGATAATCAAATTAATCAAACTATAATGAAATTTAATCCAATCCTTTACGTATTGTTCTAGTTATTTGTTTAGGATTACATTAATTCAAGGGAAAGTTCTTTTGAATTTGGAAAGAAAAATTAAGTTCAACTTGAATAATAAATGCAGTTAATTAAAAAACAAAGACTTCTAGAAAAATATGAAAAGGTTTCAACAGTTAAACCTATTTAATTGATTGAACTGATATTGATGTTTTGATTCATAAATGTTGTTAGTTATGATTCTGTTTATATACCTTAAATATGTATTTATTGTATATACGAAATTCTCATTTCAGTGCTGAATCTTTTATGATAATATAACTTGATTTTAGTACATAAAACTATCATTTTTTTCTTTATAATAGTAATTTGGTGGAGATTTTTTGATTTTAAATTAAAAATTATGGGTTTTTGCAATTCATGAGTGATGATATGGTCTTAAATAGTAAAAGTATAATAATTAAGATAATAATGGAAAAATAGGATAGTTTAAAATTGGTATTATTTACCAATTATAACACAGAAGCGAAGATGGCTTACATATCATTTTTGTCTTGTAACAATTAGAAAAACTAAAAGAAAAATAATTTCATTTTATGTCAATAACAAGTTAATTATTTGTTTAGTACTTTTCGCTATTTTTCAATTAATCTTAATGTTGTGATGATACATCTCTTTGGATTAATTGAACTTATATCCTTTCCTCATGTTATTCCTTCAAATCTATTTTCTCTATTTTCTCACGAAATTACATTCCAGTTTCTTCAGTTTGAGTTTTCCTTTTCGGAATGTATTTATTTGGATAAATTAATATTACAAAATGAATTATTTGTTTTCATTCAAAAAATACATTCAGGGATTACAATTAAAGATCCATAATTGATTTAGATTAATTACAAGAATCATCTAAAAAAATATTGTAATCTTCAGGTATTTAATAGTTTTTTTTAGTTCTTCTTCTATTTGTTTTAAAGTTGTTGTTATTGAGACATTCTGAGAATATTCAATATTTTAATCTTTAAATTTTACAAAATTTTTCATTTACTTTTTTTTCAATATTAGAAACTCTAAATTGATTTCAATTCCCTTATCGTAAACCGAAACTCAATGGTAGTATTTTCATTAACCTATTTTCCTTTTTAAAATATTAAATAGAAAAATTATTAGAAAAAAATACATGAATTAATCGAAAGAATTAATCGGTTTTTTCAGGGAAAAAAAAATTGATTTTACAATCAGATATATTATTGGTTTTAAAATTTAGATTTGAATTTGTTAACATTAAAATTGTGCTATTATTTAACATAATTTCATCTAAAATCTATGCTTAATGATGTAGAGTCATTTATCCATACTATAAATCAATATTTAAATTAATTCACTATTCAACTCTTTTGTCTAAATAATTGACCTATATAGAGGAAAATTTTGATTTTCACAACTACAATAGATCTGTAATTACTTATTCCTAATTCTGAATTCTTTAGCTAGGATTGATTTATTTATATCAAGTTCATTATTTCTGAACATCCATTTAAAAATTACTGATGAAATTATAGCTTGAGTGAATAATTCCTAATATATTTCCTTGTCAATTTTTCTTGGACTTAATTAGAGGCTATATACAATACTTTAAGTTTGATTTAATTGCGGTATTTCAATTAATAAATAGTTCATCTACATGCTATGGTAATAATAAAATGGCAGACAATAGAAAAATATTTATTCAAATTGGTTTTAGGAAAGACTAAAAAAGTAGTTTAGGGAAAAACATTATAGGATATGAGTTGTAGAATTATTGTAACTTATTAATTCCCTTATTTTAGATTACTGGTGAAACGCTTGTTTTTGATAAATGAAAATCTTGAAACTTTTATATAATCTTAGAATACAACATTTTGATTAATATTAATACTACACTTTATTTGTAAATTTAATATAAATGATAAAGGATATTAGAAAAAGATGTAAGCTATTTCAAATGCAGAAATCTCATATGTAAAACACAATTATAAAATAATGTTTATCATCTTTTAAAATTTTTTCTTATATCAATTATTTTAGATTTTTGTCAGATAAGATTAAAGAGCTTTAGAATGAAATTTAAATAAATTACAGAAAGTTTATTATTTCAATATCAGTTTTCTAATTAGGAGAACGATGTAAATATACACCAGTTAAATAAATATTTCCAATTGCTAATTCATCTATTCCAAAACTCTGTTCAATAATTAAATAATTTGATTGGTTTAAAAGTTTCATAATTTTTAATGTTAATCTCTATTTTTCTGTTTTTTATTATTTTATATGTCTTCTAATAAAAATTTAGAGTAATCTCCAGAATCACAAAGTGTAAGAAATTCAATTCGTCACTAATCTTTAAATTAGAGTGTACATGAATTCTCTGGATACAAAGAAAAAATGCAAGACCTAATGCTACCTAATGTTGAATTTGTGGATCCATAAAATTTTAAGAAATAGAATGAATGCATTGTTTGTAGCATAGAATTTACTCAGACGAATAGATAACATCATTGTAGGTAATAATCATATTGATATTATTCCTTTAGAATGTGTGGAAATTCATGTTGCGGAGTATGTTCACAAAAGACAATTAATAAGAATAGAGTTTGTGATATTTGTTATATGAAAGCATCTTAAATAACTGCTGAAAAAAAGCGGACCAAATTTTTACAAACCTTAAAAGAATCTGCAAAAAAATTGACAAAACATATAGAATAAGCAAATAAGAGGAAATAAGAATTGTAAGAGGAACGAGATGCTTAATAGGATAAATCACAAATTGACTTAAAAGTAATAGAAAAAGAAACAGAGGATTATAGATTGAGGTATTCTCAAAAAACATAGGATAAGTGTTTATACGAGCAAGAGGTTGAAGAAATAAAATTGAAAATATCTGAACTTAACTCGCTAAAAGAGCAACTCTAATAGGAATATTAGGAAAAGGAACAAGAAATAAGAGCCTATGATACTAATTTATATTTAAGGGATCAAGAATTGAATGATAAAAAGACTTAATTATAAAGGTTGAGATAATAAAAAGAAGAATTAGAAAATATGTCCAATAGAATTGAGTAAAATCCAGAATTAGCTGAAGAAATAAATATTCCAGAGCCTATTTAGCCTATATTATAAGAGCAATCGAAATAATAATGGTACAACACTAACATTGATATTGATGAAATTATGTATGGAAATAATGATAATTCTAAGGATTCAACAATTTTAATTAAACAAGAATAGGAACAAAAACAGCCTAAAAAATCAGAAGCTCAAAAACCAAATAAATCAAAAGAAAATGATGAAAATGAAAATGAAGATAAATATAAATGCATTATTTTCTGATTTACAATATTAAGTGAATATCACTAACTATCTAATATTTATTATATCATTCCTATTGTTTTTTGAATATAATCTTTGGCATTTTAATATTTTTTAAAATCTATCTCAGATATGGCTTATTGCAAAACAGTTTTAACCTAGTTTCTTGTTTAAACTTACTCAATTGGTGTCAATTTAATAGTTTCTGCCTTTACTTATTAAACTTAAAATAATCAAATAAGCATTACTTTATGGTTGTTGTTAAGTCGATTGTTATTAGTGTTATTATTGGTATTAATGTTGTTATTATTATGAGAATAATTATTACTATTATTGCTATTATTATTATTATTATTATTATAGTAATTATTATTATTATTATTATTATTGTTATTAATACTATTGCTATTATTACTATTACTATTATGGCAAAGGCTAGGGAATTTATATTTAAGGTGCTACAGGTTAGATTGGTTGTTAGATAATAGTTGACTTTTCTTATAATTATTATTATTATTGGTCTTAATTCTACTATTTAGGCTGTGACATTTAAATTTATTATTTTGCAATTTATTCAAGCTCCTCATCAATGGGATCTTTGGGTTTTGGTTTGATCAAGGAAGGATCCTTGATTTTTTTATGCTATTCTACCATCTTGAATTTGGCATACTTAACTAGAGGATTAAAGTAAAGGATTACGCTTTTCTTATTAATCTTAAGTCAATGGTTCGAAGTATTGGAGTACATCAATGGACTTTTAGACTGATCCAAACATATGGAGGAGTTCTTAGGAAACTTCTCCGTCCCTTTCTCTGGTATCTGCATCATAAAAGAATTTGTAAACAAACTCTGTATAATGCTTTTTATTCTCATCTTTATTTTACACCTAAGGATTCTATGCCTTGAAGCCTTCTAACTCAGTTATCAATTATTAGAGCATTTGTAAGTAGCTCTGATAAGAAATAAATCGAATTGATACTTATTGTTGGGTTTTTTTGTAAAGCGCATGCAATTTTTAGGCAACGTAGGCTTTGGTAATATAAGCAAAAGTAAGGTTGAAAGTGCTAAGTTGCTAAGAGTGCTGGAGTAGAGCTTGTATTTACTTGAATTCCGGATTTGATTGCATCTCTAAATTATTAATATATATATTAATATAATTAAGGGGAGAGAGTAATAATAATTTTAAAAAAGAAATGGACGAAGATTAGAAAGACTAGAATAGCGAAATTTAGATGAAAAGGGCAGACTCTTAGGCAGGAGTGCTAGAAATGTAACCGCCTTAGATAGGTGTAGAGCAGACATCTTAGCAAGTGCCAGAGGCGGATCAGGAAGATGATGATTGTAAGATTAAATTTGATATTTTAAAATAGAGGTAGTATAGACTTAAGTCGTATAAGGGGATCAATAGGTAGTTTAAAAGAATGGGGCTTAGAATGGAATGAATTCTCAATCCAACATCCATTAATCAGCGATAATAAACAAGCATGTTTAAGACATGTTGGATTAATCAGTTTATTAAGTTCCAAAACATGATGAAGTAGATCCACCTAAGGAGGACGCACCAAATCCTATTTTAGATTTGATACCTGAAGATTACTACCCTCCAGATGACTGGCAGCCTGAGAATCAGGATTAGATACCGCCTTTGATTCATCCTGACACAATTTAATTCCATGATTGCTTCGGAATGGATTCAAATAAGAAAAGCAATTTGTGGTTGATAGATTCATAAACTTTTGTGTATGCAAGTAGTATCAGTTACCATTTTTATAATTTTGTATAAGGAACCAATGAAATATTTTTCAGTAGAGATGGGGGTGGTATTGGTAGTGTTGCAGTTCACCCATCAAGAAAATATTATTCAGTGGCAGAGAAAGGATCATTTCCTAATGTTTACATCTATGATGCATCTCATAAATTATACAGAATATTAATGAAGGGAACAGAACGATCGTATTCCAATTCAAGTTTTTCCAAGGATGGCGATAAGTTTGCAACCGTCGGTTCCTCTCCTGATTACTAAATCTGCATTTGGGATTGGAGACAAGAGAAAATACTCTTGAAGGCAAAAGCATTTTCTTAAGAAGTATACAAAGTAGGATTTTCTGAATATAATGTAAATCAACTGGCTACAAGTGGTATGGGTCATATTAAATTTTGGAAGGTGGCAGAGACCTTTACAGGACTTAAATTAAAAGGTGAAATTGCAAAGTTTGGTTAAGTAGAGTTATCAGATGTATATGCTTTTTATCCATTCCCTGATGGGAAAGTATTGAGTGGAACTGAATATGGTCGTTTAATTCTTTGGGAAGGAAATGTAATCAAAGTGGTCATAGGAATTTCAGAAGAGGAGCCTTGTCATAAAGGAGCCATTGAATCCATATTCTTATATAAGGATTGTATCATAAGTGGCGGAAAGGATGGATTTTTACGATCTTGGAAGTTAACAGAATTGGATCAAGCGGAAGGAGATGATTAATTAAATTACTACACTCAACCTATAAAATCGTTAGAATTGGTTGATGATGGAGAAAATGCATAAATTATTTAGGTTGTTACTGATGAACATTTTTGGTTGATTGGTGATCAAGGAGGTAGAGTTTGGAGAGTTGATTGGGAAACTGGAAAGAAAGAGATAGTATACAGAAATAACTCTGGTGCCTATTTGGATCTTGCACCTTCACCTTAGTTGAATGCTGCCATAACTGTTGGAGATGATGGAGCCATTACTTTGTGGGATTATGTTAAGAGTGAATAGACATACAAACGTAAATTTTCTAAGAAAGCTACTTGTATCTAATGGATGCCCTTTACTATGACTAATAAGGGTAGAGTTGTGGTTGTTGGATATAGTAATGGAATAGTTAGATTTTTGTTACTCAATTAAGATACTTTTGTGTTATTGAATGTCTAAAAAGTACATCCACATCCTATTTAAAAAATAATTGTCGCCAGCAACACCAATTATGTTGCTGTGTTATCCACAAAGGGAGAGATATTCTTTCTTAAATACTCTGATTCCAATATTCAAGACATATAAGCATACTGTTTATGGGAAACCAAACTTAACATTAATGATTTCTGTTTTGATAAAACTGGAACTAAAGTTTTGATGGCTTGCAAGGATGGTTATCTTTATGAAGCTGTTGTACCAAGTGATGTCGATAATAGTGAAAATTATCTTTAAGAATTTAATGCTAATAAATATTTAGTGAGAATGATGGAATCTTAAAAACCTAAGAAAGAGGATCTTGATTTATAATTTCTAATGAAGCTGAAAGATGACAAAATGCCAGATGTTGAGTGGGATCCTGCAAGCATAATGAATGTTGTTTATTATGGAGATAAGGTATTTTGCACAGCTGAAGGAAAATACTTAGGTTGTTGTTATATTATTGATCTTAATAAAGATAGACCAATTGAAATGATTCCGATATAAAAGATGTAGACATATCATTTGGATTATAAAGATGATGTATTGACAATAGGATATAAAAATGGGCAGTGGGATATTCGTCACAAAACAGATTTTAATAAATAGATTAATAAATAATCACATGATATGGATTATGGTCGTGTTCGTAAAGTAGGTTTGACTTTTGATAGAACTGGAGTGTTGAGTGTAAGTGATGATGGAACATTCTATGTTTACAAGATAGATTTCTAAAATTTCTTAATGTAATTGAGTGGTAATGAGGTTACAGATTTTCAATACCCAGAATTTACGATGGGGATTAACAGTGGAACATTTGCTGAAGAAATTGCCTTTGAAGAAGCTCAAGATATTTTGGATGATACTATCTATTCAATTCAATAAGCAAAATTGTTAGCTGAAGAAGACAATCGAAGAAATGAAGCAAATAAGAAGAAGGAAACCGTTAAATCTCGTATTTTGTAATTAAGAGAGCAATTCTCATAAGTGAGACAGAAGAATCAGACAGCAGAAGATGCTGCCAAATTGACGGAAGATGAATTGTGTGTCGATCCTGAGTATAAGCAGATGTTGTTGGACAGAGTAGCTGAAGATGTTGAGGAAACCAGATTAGAATTAGAGTGGGATAGAACCTTGGCAAAAATGAAGGCTGACAAGTTGAAAGCATATATGATTGATGAACTAGAGATTGACAAATTTATGGTTAAAGGATTCAGAAACTAAGCTTCCGTTTAGACATTCAAAGTTAAAAAATTAAGCAATTTCTTAATTGAACAATTAAAGGAGACCTATCGTTTAATTGAAGAGGAACGAAAGAATCAAGAAAATCAACCTTAGATTGAGAACAAGACTTAAGAGAAAATTTAAGTACAATCACAGGTCAAAATTACAGCTGTTGATATGAAAGAAGATTAGTAAAAGGCTACCATCTAATAAATGGATCCTGATTAAAAAGTTCCATAAGCTAAGTTGGAGAGGGAAAGATTACGATAGGAAGAGGAAAGAATCAAGAAGGAGTAGGAGTTGCTTGAGAAATCAAAACCTATTGAATTGGCAAAACCAGAAAATGCTCCTGATATTTAGGAAGCCATTAAATAATATGGGGATTATAAGTTGAAGAGTTCACCTAATTATGAAGTACCTGACAATTAAAGAATGAATGTCAGTAAGAAAAGAAAACATATGTATATGTTAGAAGAATTCATTTATAATACTAAATTGAAATTCAATTAATAATTATTAAACTTGAAAAAGAGAAAAGTCAATTTGATAGACAAGGTTAAGAAATACAACTAATAAATAAAGAAGATCAATGAATAATTGGGTAAGCAAGAACAATTGTTCTAACCAGAAATTGATAAGGAATTGGAAGATCCACATAGCTTTATGGAAATTAGCGATGAACAAATCAATGAGTTCATCAGTAAATTGTAATAGTAATAATAAAAGAAGGATGAACAAAAGAGAATTGCTCCTGCTTAGATTTCCAAGCCAGCTGAATAAAATTAGATTAAGACAAGAAAGGGTATTAGAGTGTAACAATCAAGTTTGGAAGAAGAAATGAAGACTATTCAAGATATGGTATTGAATGCAGAGAAATAAAGAATGATTGATGAGATGTAAGAAGAAATCATTCAATTTGATAAAGATGTTGTTAAATGTTAAAATGAGAAGAATGTTCTTGAAAGTGATATGTTGATAGCTCAAATGAAATTAGTAACATATTACTAAGAATTAATCATTTTAGAGGATATGGAGGACTTTGATAATAAATTGATAAAGGAAGTGTTAGATTTTAAGAAGGAAAAGCAGAATCTGGAATAATAAGTTGAGAAAATCTTGGAGAATCTTGCAACATTATAGAAGAAAGAACAATAAAATGATAAAGATTTGATTGAATAATTAAAGGCATGGAAGGAGTTGGTGCATCCTGATGATGAATAGAAGAGAAATAAAATTCATGATTATTATCGTAAGAAATTCAAGAGAGAAATGTTGAAGAGGTTAAAGAAACAATAAGAGAAGGAACATTCAGATTCTGAGGAGAATGAAGATGATGAGGAAAATGAAGATGACAATGATGATGATATAGTATCTGATGATGACGAAGAAGAGAAGCCTGATATCTCACCAGTAGAATAAGATCCAAAAGTCAGAGATGTCATTGAAAAAATCTGTGGGTTGGAAGAATAGCAGGATAATTTCAAATAGGAAAAAATACAGAACGAGTAATAGAAGTCTAAATTAGCCAATAAGATTGCTTAAAATGATATATATTTGAAGAGAGCCAATGATGATTTGACTCAATATTAAAGAAAGAAATTACAAAGAGTAAATCAATTGGATGTTAGTTTTGTGTTGAAGTTATCTTAGGTTCAAAATCTTAATGAACAAAAGTAATTACCTGCTGATCTGAATAAATCTATATTATTTACTGAATATGATTTCTTCAAACTTTGCAAAAGAGTTGTTGAATTGAAACATGAATAAGGAAAAATTACAAAATAAAAGGCTTAAAAAGACAAAACCAAGAAGATGTAAGAGAAAGAAATTAAATTGAAAGATTTAAAGATTGAAGATTTGAATAAAAAATATGAAGAAAAGCATATGCTTAAATTTGGAGATATCATTGATCTTAAAATACTTGATGCTTTAGAACCAACGAAAGCTGTATTGGATATGAGAGCATAATTCAATTAGGAAGAAAAGGAAGCTCAAAGAAAGGTTTCTAGAGCTAAGGAAGAGCTGTCCAAAGTCAAACAATAGCTATTAGAAGTCAAGAGAGAAAATACTAAGATTTTCACAAACATAACAAAATTAGGAAAATAACAAATGGATTTAAGTAAGAAACTTACATCAGGCAATAAATAATTGTTTAAAGGTGATAATAAGGAGAAAAGATCAGATATGGAGAGTGATAGATAGAGTTTAGAGGATCTGGTCAAATTTTTGGGTAAAGAGATTGAAGACCTTAAAAATGAAATTGGATTATATAAGAAAAAAGGTATCTATTCAAAATATAAATAGGTGGACATATTTATACAAGTATTACATAAACAAATCAAAACTTTGTTTAGAGATGATATCTAAATCCAATTATTATTATTAAAAAATCAAACTATATCATAATCTTCTTCATCATCCATATCCCATTAATTTTAACCTTAGGGTTTGAAATCCTTTTGTACATCATATTTAAAATTTTTATCTCCTGGCTTAACAGAATTCTTTTTGTACATAGATTCCATAATTTCTTTGTGTTTTTTCAATTCTTCATTTGTCATTTTATTTAAATTCAATTGATTATAACCCATTTTTTAATAAAGCATCCTATATTACTCCTCTGTGATCTCATCCTCTGAATTCTCCTCTTCATAGTTTTCGTCATAACATTCTTCATCTTCATCTTCTTCCTCATCATCATCCTCCAATACAGGTTATTTACCTTTGTAATTCTTCATCGCATAATTATATAAGTCCTCTTCAGACATACCATAATCTTCAATGTCCTTTTACAATTTGGATTGTGTTTTGGACATACTCATAGATGCTTAAGTGGAAGAACTCAAAGGTCTTGTGGAGGATGTAGGTCTTTGTATACTAGCATTTGTATTAGCATTTGTATTAACATTTGTCTTAGCAGTAGTATTAGCACCTGTCTTAGCATTTGCAGTTGGCTTAGAAATCTGTAATCTTTTTTAGATCTTTCCAATTAACTCTATTTTATAGATATAACATTCACTTACCCAACAATTGCTTTTCTGGGATTTTATTATTCATAAAGTACATAGCATGCTTCTTCTTTAAATACTCCAAAGCATGATTAATAGGGGTATCAGGTTTTAATTTTAGCAATTTCATTTTATGATGATACAACTTCCCTGAGGATGGCTACAAATATTCAACAACTAGTTAATATGAATTGAATTTTAACTGATCATTGGAGGATCAAACCTGATCGCCAATCTTTTAGGTTCCATATTGGACAACTTTTTGCTCTTATCCCCCGTGTCATTCTTCTTTGTTCCACCTGTTGTAGTCTTCTAATTGATATCAAAATTATAAGGGTCTTTTGCAGCAGTTTTAGCAAAATTATACATAAAATATTAACTTACAGATTTAAATTAAAAATGGGGCAAAATAATTGTACTCCTAACATCCCTGGATTGGAAAACTGCTATGCGAGATATGAGTAAACAGATGAAAATAAATATCCTTATTTAATAGCCAATAAACATAGATTAGCAGAATCACAAAATTCACAGATTTTAGAATTATATCAAAAACAACAAGATCAACTTAGATCATATTTGTAGAATTCTCGTTAGCTCTCCTAATCAACTAGACGTAATTATGAATTTGAAGGACGTTTTCTTAAACTTCCATCACATCTCATCTGCCACGTTATGTATTTTGTCATCGACGACTATCTCAACTTATTACTTGTTAATACTTTGTGGTACACGAGATTAAACGAAGCATTTTCAAAGACGGTTAGCATAGTTGATGAGAAATTTTAATAATCGCATTCCTTTTTAAAATTAAAGTAGTCCAAAAATGCATTTCAGACTTTTCAATTTGGAAGACAATAAGGGTTCAGATTGGATAGATGTTTAATTGCAGAAGTCACGCCTGGAGTTGAAAGTAGCATTTAATATTTATTAGAGATTCAATTGTCAAAATATCATATACCTACCTCTGTAAAGGATAAGAAAAGGCTGTTTGCTATAAATTTGCAATTCTGAGGAGGAACACAATAAGAACAATTTGGGTTGGAGTTGATTAAAGCACTGTAATCATCTATGTATATTGTATAGAATATTTATGATAAACAAACTGTTCCTGTGATCTAACCTGTATTGCCTTTTTGTGTTGGAGACTACATCAAAATTTCATTCACTTTATTGAATCTCCAAGGATAAGTAAATCTGTAAAGTATTAAATGGAATAGGCCTTAGGTTGAAAAACTTGATGTTGGTATTTTCGGAAGTATTTCTTATAATTTATTAGATCTCAAACATATTACCATATAACCACCTCCTAGGTTCGAACCCTAAAATGCCGATTGGACTCTGTTTTAATACTTTAATCATCCAATGAAGAAATGCTTTGATAATTTCAAGCAAATCAAATTAAAAGAGTGTAGATGTTGCGGTAATGGGTTAGTTATTAATCGCATGAATTACAGTTGTGTTTCAGAGGGATAACTGATGATTCCCTAATTGAATTTGAAAATGGTTGTCAAGTAGGGTTGCATTACTAATCAAATAAATCGAGCAACTGTTAGTTATGAATTGGATAATACTTTAGAATTAAGAATTGGAGATTAATTAACACTATACTATTTGAGAGGAGGAGACTCTTGATTTATTATAAAATATATATTATTTCAATAAATATCATTAATACTGTATATCTAATATGTAAAAACCTGATCAAACACAAGAAAATAATCGAGAATACAATCAAGACAATATGAACAAAAGTTAGAATAACAAGTAAACTCTTATTGCTTAATCTATGTAATTGATTGATATCATATATAGACATCCAAATAGGGGAGAAGCTTCAGAATTGATGTAATACACATAATCACATATTCAATAAACTGTTTTAAATATAATTGAGAGTCTTGGATAAACTATTGCTTAAATATTGGCTATTGAGATATTTTAATCATTTACAAAGAAAACTAGAGGGTGGAGTGTGCATTTATTAAATAATGAAATATCAAATTAGAGAAGGCATTTTAATAAATTAGAAAACGAATGTAAAGAAAAGGGACAATAAGTGGAATGGTAATTAGCTAGAGAAGAATTCAAAAAACCTTTTAAAAAATTAGAAGATTTGCTTATCAATAAAGAGCATAAATAATTATTATAAAATATTCTATAACCTCCAACTCCAGAATCCTCTATTATTGTTTAGCCAGATTAGACGTATTATGATGCAATAGATATTTATCATTACAAAAGTTAGGTGATTTTTCATAATTCTTTGTAAAAGGATAAAACAGGAGCTGATTTATTGGAGAAGATAAAAACTTATAAGAATGAATTTGCTAAATTTCTCTATTTTTAATTCATCGAATAAGGAATCAACTATCTCGACCAACTTTTAAATTATGTTTTGATTAATAAGACCTAAAGTAATCACTCAACGCTTTAATAATTGAGTGATTACATCAAATAATTATCAACTCAGAATGATAAACAATAATTAATGTAGGAGATTCAACTAATCATAGTTGTTTTTCCTGAGTTGTCTGATTATTTCTAGGAACTTTAAATTAATATCAATGATAACTCTCTTTATTTTGACAATAGGATTGAACTTAATTCTATCTAATTCGAATATGTACTTCTTATTTACGATCATCTCAGAAATCCTAGACGAAAGCTGTCTAGAAAATTGGCTAAGGAAACGATAGATTTTATGATGAAGCTGGCTTAGAATATAAGAGCAGGGACAGTTTAATAAATGAAAACTTTACTGAAAAATTTGAAAAAAAAAAATATTAAACAGGAAATGTTGATTGATTTTGAACACCTATCTGAACTATTTATCTCTTCAAAATTGAGATTGTTTATGAAAATGATTCAACAAATTAATGCACTCTAAGAACATGATTTCAAAGATGATTATTTAAATTTTGAAATCATTTCATAATATGAACATGCTATTTTCGAATAATGTGAAAAGCAAAGTAAAGATAATTATGATGATGTTTATCATGAACCTTCAGCTGATGTGTAGTAAATAAAAGTCTAGTAGGTTTTGTACTAATTCACTTCTGTTATAGAAAATGCAGCTGATCTTGAAAAAAGTTTAAAAAACAATGACATTTTAGAGTAATCAATTTTTGATTAAATTTAGGAAACTTAAGCATTCAACTAAGGAGTCAACGTCTTCAATCGAAAAGGAAATCACATTGGCTTAGACAATTATCAAATTATTAGAAATACTTAATTGTATCTTCATGTTCTAAAAATTAAATGTGAAAACATTTCTTATACTCTACCAATACTTTTAAGACCTTAGTGAAATACAATTGAAAATAAAAGATAAGTAGTAATGGAATGTAGATTAAATTCCTAACTTGTACAAATTATTATTGAATTTCTAATAGGATCCCAAACAGTCCTTCCAAAATTTATTAGAAGAAACAAAAATGTTAATCTCTGAAGAACACACTGATGATTTCAGTGATTTGATAAAGGAAATAGAATAATTTGATCAAAACAATGAGGCAACTTTCCTTAAGAATGTGAAATAGTTATATTATAAAGAATTCAAAGATCACCTCTTAAAATTAGCTCAAATTGGAACTTAATAGTTTAAAGAGACTGTTGTCTATTTCATTCAATAAGTAGATCCTTGAATTTTAGTGTTTAAATGATATAAATTTATTTAATTTATATAATTTGATAAATCATTTTTGCTAATAAAAAGCTGGCTGATTAGAGTGTTAATTGAATTAGTTGAATTGGCTGAATTATTTTGACTAATTATTTTAATTGAACTAAAACTGAGTGCTTTGCTATTATTAGGTATTGAATTTTTGATTTCCCTAATTTATTTGCCATGATTATAAACCCTGATTATATTATAAAGCTGGAATTTAAGGGTTTTGATTCACCTAGGCTAATTTGAATGCAACCTGCTGAGAATTTTTGGTATTATCATTCTTGATTTAATTAAAGCTATTGCTCGCTATGAATTAATTGGGATTATGTGTCATTTATTGATTGTTGAACTATTTTTCGACTGCAGGTATTTAATTCTAGTACTATTAAGGAGTCCTAGGATCAAAATCCATTGTTCTCAGTTACTAGCGAGAGATACTGATGAAAATTTCGCTTTAAGGTTGATTCATATCAACTTCTGAAGATTTGCTCATTGTCAAATGATTAAAAAAATAATAATAAATATTATAATATCATAAATAGGATTTGAATTAAATGGCAAAAATAATCTCCTATTAACACTCCTCTCATATGGATATAATTGAGTAATCATTGAAAAAGAAACAGCCCAACACTAATCAAGAGTTACTAAAGTCTTTAAAAATAGGTTACAAAATCATTAGATTAATATGTTTATAAAAATAAATAATTCTATTGAAGAATCCCCATGTATTTTATTCCAAATTAATTAAATTAATTTACTATTAATTTCAAATATATGTTTAAAATGAATTCTTACGCGATCCCCAAAGTTCTCTTATAAATACATATACATTTTCAGTTTATCTTTTAAAGTGCATAGCAAATTATTCTAATAATTACTGAGAACCAGTTATCACATATAATGGATAAAATTTCTTGAGCTTCCCTTATTATTGGCGAACTCCCTAATTTTATATAGTTTCTTACTAAATTAGATCGTAATTATTTATAAATAAATGAATTTCAGTAATAATATTTTGTATTTCAATTGTTAAAGAAACTACTCCTTTCTAAATAGTGAATTTAAGTTGAGGATTTAAACAAATTTAATACAATTCTTGTGGGTAATCCGAATTAATTCTGAAGGAAATCTGATATTCGTGAATTTCAAATACAAATGAGAGACATGGGTAACAAATTTAAGAGTATATTCTTGTTTATAGATGAGAAATGATTTAAAAATGGGTTCTCCAAATGAATTTCGTTTTGAACAATTGATTTTATAATTTTTGTGTTTGGATGAATAAAAATTAAATAATTATTAATGCAAGCGATTCCTGGTGATTTTGAAGCATAATTGATTGCCAATGAGCAGATTGAATAACCGTTTATGGAATAGGAGACAGAGGATAGAAATAAGGAATAGGAGGAGGAGTTGACTGAGGAGCAGAAGGAGAGAAGAAGAAAAATATTGGAAGTTCAATTGGCCAATAAAAGATTATTATATAGTATTCATAATAAGGACATGGAGATTTTTAGAGTTAAGAAAGAAATTGAAGATCAAAAATAGTTATTGGCTGAGTTGTAATAGCAGGAGTAGGAAAATCTGAATGATTCTTATCTATCCCACAGAGCATTGGTTTCATATGACACTTACTTGAGAGGGACATTAAGGGAATAGGATAGAAAAATATACGAGTTAGAATTAAACAATGCAGATATAAGTGAAATTTCTGCCAGAATTGAAAAAATCAATAAAGAATATGAGAGAAACATTTAACCTCTTGTTGTTGGAGATTTTAAGACCTAAATAGATGCAGACATTAAGAGTTCAAAAAATTAAATTGATGCTCTGAGAAACCAATTTAAAGAGATCGTGGATGATATTGTGAAACTGCATGAAAAACACCTTGATAACATAGACATGTATTCAACCTTATAGAGATAATTATAAGTAATTTTATAGACATATTTTTAAGGAATAATTATTAGCAAATGAATAATTAGATTATGAATTAAGCCAATTAAAAAAGAGCAAAGAGTAAAGTTGATTCATATTTTATATATATATTTGGATTCATTAAATAATAGTCATTCTGAATCTTCTAGCTTAATGGAGATTGTGTATATTCTAATTAATAGTATTGTATTGCATAATTAAAAATTAATGATAAATATAAACATATTAACATAGAAATAGATAGACATTTAGAAGATAGTATATCATATATGATTATAAGATGATGATCTTATTTTATCATTATAATTTGCCTAACCGTTGCCACATATTATGATTGTCTGAATAATTTGGAACAGAAAAGCCTACCTACTTTTTCGTAACTGGAAATATTTGATCTAGAGTCAATGAAAAAGCATCATCGAGCATTCGAGGGATAAGTTTTTAGAGCAATAGACTAGACTCTTCTAAACATGGGTTGGAATTGATTTCAATAAGCCAAACTTTGAAGTCGTCATCAATCATAAAATCTAATCCAAAAATCTCGAAACAATATCTTCTTCCAAGTACATTGATTTTCTTTCTAACTGACTGGAATGCTCTAAAGGATATTTGTTTGATATTTTCAACTATCTAAAATGTGATATAAGTAGATTACCTATTTATAGAAGTCTCCTTTGCTCTTAAAATAAGTAGCTGCTTGATCAAAGGATAGTTGGTTACCATCTTCTAATTTACCATAGTTTGGACTATATTTTTGGATGGCATTATTGGTTAAGTGTACATATTAATTTAATACATTTTTGGTTGTGTATTCTTCAGATGCCATCCTGATGTAGCCTTGTTCAAAAAAGTAGAATTCTAGATCTTAATTAAGTAATCCCCATACTCTGATATCAAATTTGCGATTATTAATTAATAATGGTTTTTCCAAATATTTTTGGATGACAAATTATTTTGATTTGATAATTTAGCCATCTTTCATTTATTGTTTGCCAGAGATGTATTGATCAAGCAGATGTGTCATTTAATCCAAATCTTTGATAACATGTATCCCTCTACCACGATTATATTGAGTTGGCTTCAATATCCAGAGGTATTCGTGTCCATGATATGTACTTGGTATTTTAGATTTGCTGATTGAAATAATCTTATCTGTGATCTACATGTAAGTATTAAGTTAACGTCTGATTAGATAAAATTTATTCTAAGAGTCATGCAATTTAATGGATTAGGGAGCATTGTTCTCGTAGTATTGAAGGAATTGCAATAACCATATATCAGCCTTTTCGGTAGTGAAATCCAAAACGAAGGTTACAGGAACAAAACTCAAGATGTCTAATTGATTTTCCTATTTAAGTTAGGCTATACTTCACAATATTGCGAGAGATTTCGAAAAAGATTGCTCTTTTATGATATCTCAGAATGAAATTCAAAATGGTTGACTGCTTGTTTGATCTTATTGCCTGATAGCAATCTATCATACTGATAACCTTTTTGTGTCTATTACCACCTAAAATTTATTAGAGTATCATTCTTATTGTTGGTAGAGATCCATTCATTTCGTTTCGATAGAACTCTTTGTACTACTTAGTGATTGTTACCAGTTCCTAAGAAGTAGATGTAATTATTTTTTATTAAGGTAGGCAATGGCACAACCTTGGTTTGGTCACTACTTCTTACTTCTTTGCCAAGGATGACTGATTAGGTTAGTTTTGGTTAATCCTTGAGTTTAATGTACTTGGATGCTAAGGCAATAGCTAATTATTTCGGATTATTTAAATGAGGCATGGCAGACATTTAATTTTAAATGAATCTCGTGAATCTGGCTGTATCGATTTGCTGAAGATCCTTCACTTTTACTTAGGGTAGATTCATGTTTATATATAATAATAATTAATCATGTAAACTTCTTCCATGGATTTTCGAAGAAGGAGTCTTTGATCAAGTGATCATAACTTTAGCCGTTCCATTGGAATTTCTCTCCCCATTTCTTATCTTTCCTATCTCTCTTCTGATCTTGAGCATACATTTCTTCATTTTTACGAGTATATTCTTTTAAAAAAGGAAATTTATCCATAATTAATAAAAGTAATCATTTGAAACCAGGGAGAACCGTCGGCTTGCTCAATTTTAACATCCTTCTCTTATTTAGGTACTTCATAGACACGAAACCTAGTCTCAAATAAAATCTAAAACTTAACAAAAAATCACATACCGCATCAAATGATTACAATCTCTTCCACACCTCTTGTGGAATGCTTGCATCCTATTTACAAACCTCTTGAATTCATTGAGACTCAATTAACCACTTTTGCTTAATTGGATGACCATCTCAGCTATATCTGGAGTCCTATTAAGATTACCAAACATTGTTTCGAGAATTTTATCATTGATTTCTTATGCCAACTCATATCCTGGAGTTCTATTAATAGCTTTTTAAATGACCTCTTACTCATTCTACTCAGTAATCTCATTCGCAATTTGATCATAAAATAATTACTCCTCTTACTGTTTATCATCACATTCTTATTACAATTTAGTCAAAACGAGATCATCTTTTGTTTTATTTCTAGGAGTGCAGTATTCACGAGGAGAAATGGTTTAAGATTAAGTACCTGTCGTAGTGTACATTCTTCTATGCTACTAATTCAAATATCTTTCCTCTTATTATAAGTAAATTTTCTATTTCAAAGTTTTTCCTTTTGTTAAATTCTTTTTTTCTATTAATTAACTTTTTTGATATGATTCTTATTCGAGTTTCAGAGTTGGTACTTTGCTTTGACGTGTTGAGGGTGATGGAGAGGGGAACACATTGGTTTGATGATAAGATTATTGATTTCGAGGAGATGGAAGGTTGGAATTCGGAGTTGATTGGATAGGAGAATTAAGATTACCTATTCCCATAGTACCAGCAGAATTGAAATTAGCAGTGCTGCTTGTTGTTAGTTATTGTTGTGAGTTTATTTTAATGTTTGAGCTTTAGAATTTAAAGTTTTCTAATTATTCATTTTCTTATTGCAAATTATATTAGTCTTTATAAAAGATATTCGACATCATCGTTAAATCTGTCTATTAATATTGATCCTTAGTATCCTTTGTTTCCTTTTACTCTTTTAGATTTTATTGCTTTTATTCTGTTTTTATAGAACTTTATCTGGTCATATTGATATTTTGAGATGACTTTGCTTTTGATAATGGATAGTGTGGAGTCAATTAATTAGGAGATGTGTTCACAATTTTAAGAACATCCATTTTATTTGCTGATTATCCAAATTATTCAACCTTTTTGTAATTGCTATTAGCTGATGACATGTTTCTACTACTTGCTATTTATTATTCAGTTGGTATACTAACTTTGATGGCAGGCTTATCATTACTGCTTTCAATCTCAAAGGAAGTTTGGAGTAAGTTCTTACTAAAAATATTCTATTTAAATTTATTTTCTAAGTTTTTAATTGAAGATGGTTAATCTATATTATTTGATAGTTAACTATTGTCCATGTTATCGTTCTATAATAAATCATTTTCTTCGATATCCTTAATCAAATCAGCCAATTCGTGAATTTACGAACTTACCTTCTACTCCAATATAAATTGCATTTGTGTTAATCTTCTTGTTTAGTTATTTCCATCTAAAGCGTTGACCAATTTCACTAATCTTTCCATTTATTGAGTTTTCTTCTAAATAATGAAATTATCTTTTGGACTTAAATATATTTATTATTTTGAAGATAATTATTAAGATTACTCTCTGCTTGTAGTTCTCGGATTTCCTGATATTGCATTTATTAGGATTTCATCATTACTGCTAGATGACACATATCCTCTTTCTCGATCACTATTCTTTTTCACTAATTTTGAATATTCCTTATAAATGTTGTCTAATTTTTATTTGAACTCTGATTTTTCACCTTCTAGTTATGAGAGTTATGCTTGCATCATTTTGAATTGCCTGTCTTTCTGTTCATTTATTACTTGAAGTTCTAATAATTGGTTATCCTTTTTCAAAATTTCATTTTGGGTTGTTTCCAATTTATTTTTCAATGTTAAAATTTCAATCACATACTATGAACATCGGCAATCTTCCTTATTATTAATGGCTTTTTTCTTAATCTTACCCTTCATCTCATTTATCAATTACTACTGCTTCTCCTTCTCTTAATTTCTCTACTTGTATCGATGGATTATAGCAATTGCAGTTTACTATTGTATATGATGAATGTGTTATAAGAGGAATTAGACAGTGTTATCATAATTTTGAACTCCCATATTGTCTTAATTCACAGACTTCAGCAATTATTCCAAATTTAGCCTTTTGAATTGAATGTCTGATATGACTAAATCCAAATCTTCAGGCTTGCCCTAAAATTCAATATCTAATTATTTTTTATTAGACAATGCTTCACTTAACATGGAGATCGTATCGTTAGTAAACTCTAACCATTCTCTCATTTCCTCTTCTCTCCTCAAAAGATCACTTGATGCTTTCTAACAATTTTGATAATAATCAATGATTGTGCTAGTACCTACATCTTAGTAGGTTCTCAAATTTCTGGTTCCTTAACCCCTACATTTATAGTCACTCCAAGGAATTTATTGATAATTTTTGATTTGTTATGGGGTACCTAACTAATCGATGATGCTGACACTTCCTAGTTGAAGTGCATTAATAAAGTCTGGAAGTTAAGGAGTCAAGAGAATAGGCTTTGGTTCAGGATGTAGTTTGATTTGAGATTGAGCAGATTCTAACATTTCTCTAAGGAGGTTAAACAATTTTTCCATGACATTTGCAATTTCGACACTAATTTGACTCTGTACAATTAAGACACATTCCGAGAAAACTTCATAACATTCAATATCGAGTTTAGAATTGTTTATTTTACTCTTTCTTTAGAGATGTTCAACAAGCGTTTGCAATCGCTTAACTTACTCTTCCATTTTTTAATTATTTATAAGAAAGGTCGAAATAATAATATAAATATTGTATGGCTACAATCGCCAATCAGGTGTCACCTATTTCACTTTCGAGAGACCTCATGATCCTCTGATGGAGACTGTTGATTGAACTCAGCATGTGCTACTCGAATTTCAAGAGAAACAGGAGGTCTTTGGTCATTTGTTATTTTGTGTTATTTTNTTATTAAGATTACTCTCTGCTTGTAGTTCTCGGATTTCCTGATATTGCATTTATTAGGATTTCATCATTACTGCTAGATGACACATATCCTCTTTCTCGATCACTATTCTTTTTCACTAATTTTGAATATTCCTTATAAATGTTGTCTAATTTTTATTTGAACTCTGATTTTTCACCTTCTAGTTATGAGAGTTATGCTTGCATCATTTTGAATTGCCTGTCTTTCTGTTCATTTATTACTTGAAGTTCTAATAATTGGTTATCCTTTTTCAAAATTTCATTTTGGGTTGTTTCCAATTTATTTTTCAATGTTAAAATTTCAATCACATACTATGAACATCGGCAATCTTCCTTATTATTAATGGCTTTTTTCTTAATCTTACCCTTCATCTCATTTATCAATTACTACTGCTTCTCCTTCTCTTAATTTCTCTACTTGTATCGATGGATTATAGCAATTGCAGTTTACTATTGTATATGATGAATGTGTTATAAGAGGAATTAGACAGTGTTATCATAATTTTGAACTCCCATATTGTCTTAATTCACAGACTTCAGCAATTATTCCAAATTTAGCCTTTTGAATTGAATGTCTGATATGACTAAATCCAAATCTTCAGGCTTGCCCTAAAATTCAATATCTAATTATTTTTTATTAGACAATGCTTCACTTAACATGGAGATCGTATCGTTAGTAAACTCTAACCATTCTCTCATTTCCTCTTCTCTCCTCAAAAGATCACTTGATGCTTTCTAACAATTTTGATAATAATCAATGATTGTGCTAGTACCTACATCTTAGTAGGTTCTCAAATTTCTGGTTCCTTAACCCCTACATTTATAGTCACTCCAAGGAATTTATTGATAATTTTTGATTTGTTATGGGGTACCTAACTAATCGATGATGCTGACACTTCCTAGTTGAAGTGCATTAATAAAGTCTGGAAGTTAAGGAGTCAAGAGAATAGGCTTTGGTTCAGGATGTAGTTTGATTTGAGATTGAGCAGATTCTAACATTTCTCTAAGGAGGTTAAACAATTTTTCCATGACATTTGCAATTTCGACACTAATTTGACTCTGTACAATTAAGACACATTCCGAGAAAACTTCATAACATTCAATATCGAGTTTAGAATTGTTTATTTTACTCTTTCTTTAGAGATGTTCAACAAGCGTTTGCAATCGCTTAACTTACTCTTCCATTTTTTAATTATTTATAAGAAAGGTCGAAATAATAATATAAATATTGTATGGCTACAATCGCCAATCAGGTGTCACCTATTTCACTTTCGAGAGACCTCATGATCCTCTGATGGAGACTGTTGATTGAACTCAGCATGTGCTACTCGAATTTCAAGAGAAACAGGAGGTCTTTGGTCATTTGTTATTTTGTGTTATTTTAAGTTTGCATTGAAGATTGAATATGCTTCAGTTTCTCTTTGTTCTGTTTCTTGTCACTCTTCGAATAGGCAGCCATTGATTTATTCTGATGGTTTCCATCTAGCTCAATGACATCATCATCGAAATTGAAGGAGATCTCACTAACTGACATTTAATATAATGAGATTGATGAATATTATAGCATATTTAACATCTGAACTGTATGGTATTATTTAGGTTTATAGAATATGTGGATGGAATCACTTTTTTGGAAAAATCCTCTATAATCTCTATTAATCTTATTAATTGAACAAAGGAGTCATTTTAGTCGCTGAACCTGAAGGCTGAATTTCGGTGACAGTTCTTTACTTCATCCTCTCTTGCAATTGTTGTTGAGCCTATTGAATTGGATCCTAAATTGGAGATAGCCAAATATATTACTCCAGTTAGAATTTTATAGAAATTTCTCAGTTGCTCGCTCTGCTGAGACCCTCTGGCCGATAATGGTTAATCAGCAGGTGGCGTTTATTGTTGTTAAGCTGGCTACTCCACCTACCTTTGAATTGGAAGGATAGGCCTGGTTGCAGGTGCCTAGGAAGACTTCTCCTTTAATTTGGTGAAAAATTCCTAATCATCCTCAACTGTCAATTCCTCTTTAACTAAATTCTATGATGATATTGAGAGACTTTACTTTTTTCAATTACACCACTGGCACACTCTCCTCATATTTGATTGCGCTGTTGGCTAATTTGGTGAAAGTACTCTTTATGATGTTGATGTCATCTTGACCCAAGGGGATGAAGAGACTTTCGAAATCTGATAAGTTTTTGTGTTATGATGTTTCGAATGGCATGTTATAGAGACGATGCAAGACATACTCGTACATTACCTTGATGTTTGTCTTCTGCTTCACAGATGTGAAAAGTAAAGTTGCACCATCTTATTATAAGTATGTTAACTCTTACAATTCACACAAAATTAACGTAAACAAAATTAAATGATTTCTGCTTTCTAATCCCAATCCTTTCCTTTGTCGTCTCTCTCCAAAATGTCCGATTTATTTACCATCACCATCAAAGGTATTCCCAAATTTGTCTTCAATAAACCTTCGTGCACCTAACCTCCATCCATTTATGACATATATTGCATCACTTTAATTAAGTCAAACTTTATATACCATTTGATTTCATCTCCTCCAATTCATTCAAACTCAATCGCAAATCAGCCATCATGTCTTGCAACACACTAATCCATCTATCCAGGTCTTCCATGAAGGTCCAAGGCTCTTGCATGTCCAGAGCTATTACTACAAATGTATTCTTGATATTTTTGTGATTCAAAATCTGAGGTAACAAATACTTCTGCCCCTCTTCTTCTAAAATATACACATTCAGACGAGCATTTGTGTTGTAATCAGGGTCGCGAAGGTCTATCAAATTTAAGTAGGCATAATCCACTATAGGTGTAATGCCTTTTTGCCGAATGGCATCTACAAATTACTATGAATCGATTTACTCTTGAGAGTCTTTGTAACATCAGCCAAAGCGTCGAGTAAACTTCGTTTTCCACTGCACTTTCTTCCTAGGATTAACAAATTCTTATTTATAAAACCTCCTTATCTACTTTTCTCAAATAATAGTTAATTCCAAACATTTTCTTTTTTACTCATTAATTTTAATATGGGCGCTTCTAAGTCTTGTAATCAATACAGATCTAACGAAATCAGTTAAAGTGATATGGAATAACTTGGTATTCGTAGCGAATAAATTAACAAGATTAGCAATCTGCTAAATGAATTTGAGACCTTCCAAGTGATCAAGAAGACGTCATATTCATTTATCTAGGATGCTACCTTCAGGAACGGAAGAGTCATCGCTAAGAAATTGATCAACACACAAGGAACAGTGAAACCTATCAACTTGTAATTATTGCAATAAGTAAATAATGAATTGGAATCGCTGAAAGCACTTGCACTTAAATAGGATAGATGCGAGATTGAAAAATCAATGAAATTCAGATGTGGCTTAGAATTAGGAGATAAATTCCCAAAAAGTAAATTCCGCATGCTTCTCAAGGAAGAAGCTCAAACAATAAAATTTAAGGAGAACACTTACACTCTAATAAGGTCTTGGGGCAAAGGGGAATAGATGGTTAATTTCCAAAATGCAATAGAGTTGGTTGAGTCCTTCAAAGATGTTCAGATTGAATTGATCGGCCTGACCAGAGGTAATAAGGAACAGCAATCTGTGTATGAAGAAGTAGTGAGATCCAATCCAGGATGGCAACAGCATCCACACATCTACTTACTTGCAGAAGAACCAGAGAATCGCTTCTTAGATATCTTCTATCAGGAGCAATCCAACGATATTGAGGAAGGATACTTAGCAAGCGCTTTATTGTTTTACGGCGAGATTTTGATGTGGAAAAGGTATACACATGAATGTGTTACATATGCTGATTCTGACTAGGTGGCTTAGGAAGTAACAGATCACATAAACTATGGAGTCACACAATATCTAGGAGTTAAAGAGATGAAACAACAATTCATTATAACCAAATAATAATACTAGTACTTGAAGAAGTTCATAATGCAGTAGTAGAAACAACAGCAATTCACCAGAGGATTGGAAGTCACCATCAATAAAAAGACACTCTATGACAAGAATAATAAACTAGTTATTTGTGAGAGACCCTTTATTTAAGTGGAATGCTCACCGAAATCACAATCGATTACAGAGGTTTTCATCAAACCTCTCTAATAAAAGCCTGTAGTTTGGGACATTTAGATTTTGAAGAAAGTACTAACTCAAAAAATTAGAGAATATAATCTTAAGATTTAAGTGTACTTAGAAAAACAGATTAAAATTTCAATCAATTATGAAAACAACCTGATTCAGATTCCTAATTGGGAATTGGCCACACTCACCCCATATTACAAGTCTACACAATATATCTCGTAAGTCAAGTAATGGATAGATGCTCGAGATCGCATACTTAGCTAAGTCCAAGATTCCCAAGATCCTGTTCTGCAGAGGGTAAACAAGATGATTTATCAATTTTTCGATAATATACCAACTGTTGAAAAAGTACTTAATTAACAATATTACAAAATCCCATATGTTGAAAAGTATAAACCTCCTTATTAAGAGATGTCAGAGTCCAAGAGTATGGGAAATGAGGAGATCGCCAGAAAGTAAGATTAAATATTATTCATCTTATTGATTGATTATGGGATTGATGACACTGTTAAAATGTTGGAGGACTTAATCAAATACAAGAATAAGAATTCGGTCTAATTGTAGATTGCTGTATTAGGACACATCAGAGCAGAATCTTGGACCAGCTTGTTTTAGGATTTCTTGAAGAAAAATAAATTGAATAAATATGTGGAGGAAGGCATTATTGAAATTTGGTTTCCAGTGGAAAATAAGATAGGATCTATTTCATTTAGTGCAATTCTTAGTAAGATTTATGGGATGTGTTTGGAAAGAAGAGATTGTATGTTAGTAGATTTGGATGATCAAGTTCGTGTTATTGATTCAAGCTGGCGAATAGTTCCTAAAATTTCTTAGATTATGAAAGATCTACAACAAAAGAATTTTGTTTAAGAGAACGAATTTATGTATCAATATATTGTAATTTTCTAGAAACTATTCCTGTTAATATTAACTATTTAAAAAATCCATTCGAGACAATCCTTAATTGTTGTTTTTGACTCAAAAGATCAAAGAGCAATGCAAAGAAGATGAATGTTTGATTGTGTATGAACAAAGAAAAGCTAAAATTTGGGATTTTGAAGATGCAGTTGTAAATGAAACTAAAAAATATTACTAACCTACTAAGATTTTGAGATTGATACCGAAAACATCTGAAATGTTCGAACTCACTAATATTATTGAACATTAAAATTTCCTATAAATGAAGTGATAAAAAATACAATATATATATATATAGAAAATATTTTAATCACTTTCTCTTTCTTACAGATCTCCTTAGTATCTCTTCTTTGACTCTTCTCCTGGTATTGATTCGTTATTAGGGAGAAGATGATTCTGATGAAGTATCAAAGGATTATTTTTCTGATTGCTAACTCTTCTCTTCATCATCTTAATTTTCATCCTAATTCTTCTCTTAATCATCCTCTTCATCTTCCTCATCTTCCTCATCCTCCTCTTCCTGATTCTCCTATTGACTTTCCTCTTCAGGTTCTTCTTCACATTCTCCCTTTTTCACCTATCTCTTTTTTTATTTCGCTTTTGGGGCCTTCAAAGATGTAATGAAATCTGCCTAATCCAAATTATCTCTGTTCTTCATGAACTCCTGGAAGACTTCATCAATTACATCTTGCTCACCCGATAAATCAATCAGTTTATTCTTTAGACTATAGAGTGATGTAAAGTCCTCCTTTACCAGTCGTCTAGGTTCAATAGGAGAGATGGTTCTGTTAATAACAACTTCATAAAACAAGAAGCAGGCTCTGATGATTGGTTCAGTTGGATTCACATTGTCAAGCACAATGAATGGAATTCTGCACTTTTTACAATATAATCCACTTTAAACATTCAGGAACTCACAATATATACATTTCTTAGGAATAAGAATTTAAAGAATTTACTTTGTTTTAACCATAGGATAATCTAGTTATTTATGTTCTGCTGGCTCTTTAACTCGTCTAGTTAAGCTTCTTCTTTTCTGACAATTGCTTCTTTTAGGTTTATATTAAATCTTCAGGGATGTGCACACTGTGTTTTTCAATATACCTTATTGTTTACTAAATTTGTAATTTACTCCATAATCTAAAATAGCAATTATTGATGCATCTATTTCGAATTACCAAAGCCTAATCTGACCACTAGGTTTTCAACGAATTCCTGGGGACTGATATGATAGTCATTCAAATTCCAATGAAATTGATCTCTGAAAATATAATTCTGATATTCTATATCTAAATATATGGGGATTGATCTCAGTTCCTCTGGGACTCGATTTATTTTGAATTTTGGTTTTTTTTGGGACTTTAACATTTGGATGGTCCTCTCAGCTGATATTTAATCGATAGCTTCTAAATATTCATCCATTTATATAATATAATATATTTATGTCGAAATAAGAATTAGAGATAGTAATTAATGCTTGCGAGAGGCTTAAACTTAAATATGACGATCAAGCTAGCGTTGAACAAATAGCGAATGAAATCATCAAAACTTATAATTTCCCAAAATAATCCGAATACAAAATAGAAATTGATTAAAAGTTCAGAGAGCCTTCATATATATTGAAAGATCTGCCAATCAGTCCAATTAAAGCTAACTTTAACTTTGAGACAACGGTCACTTTTGTTGGTAGATTTAACACATCCTTTGAACATCGCATAAACCTATGTAAATAAATCAAATAAATTTCCAATGAAATAATGAAAGTCATCCTTCCAATAGAATATTTTGTCTACATCCCATAATCCGATTAAAACGGCAATCTGCTCTATATCAATTCGTACTAAGAAATCCCAAAATTAATAGAATTTGACATTTTGGCAAACTTTTATATCAATTATTACGGAATCCATTGTCAGTAGAAAATCCACCCTTTCGCCTAAATTGAATAGATTAAATACCAGATAAACGAACATTTTAACATTAAATCTGACTTTCAACTTTTCTACAAGGAAACCGAACTGAAAGATCAAAATTAGTACATCGCTTACCTAATTCCAGATCACTCAGAACTTAGGATTAAATTATTAACTAATTTCAAATTCCTGATCAAACACCAAGATACGGTTCATCAATTCTCATGTGCCTACTAAGAGAAATTAGGAGCATTTAAATAACGATTAAAATAAATATATCAGGTTTCTGAAAAACACCCACTATAATTAATCTATATGAATAATGAGTTGAGAAATGATCAAGATTCCATGTAAGATTTGAGGTTTTTGGAGAACTCTATTATTGAAATGCACATTGGAATTAAATATTCATTGACTTTATAAAATAAGGATTCCTAAGAAAAATTCTAATTTCAAGTTAGATCAATTGATTTAGTATCAATGTTAGATAAACACCATCCTTTCATGAATAAATAAGTTACTTATGAGTTTAATAATAAGAAGCTAAGAAAAGAGGAAACTTTTGAATAACTTTAGGTTGATACAGAAAAAATAACCATTTATTATCAAATAGAAAAGCAGAAAATGTACGTTTAATTTTAAGATGAGTTTGCAAAACATAGAATTGAAGTGATCACATCTGATCCAATTAAGAATGCGTTATAGCAATTCAATTAAGGAAATGATCCTATTTCAATTTCTTATGGAGGGAAAAATATATCTATTGATAGTACTTATGAGAAAGAAGCTATTGTAAATGACAGCATAATAGTGTACAGAATTAATAATGGTATATAAATCAAATTCACTATTGCTCCTAATTGTGTAGAACATCCAATTTTGGTCCCTAGAGATACGAAGGGAGGCTAGCTATTGAAAGTTCTATCTTAACGTTATTCGAACTAAGGATAAAAATATAAATTGATGCTTAAAAACTATGAGTTCCCTTCTGATTAGACAGTTATCAAAGATCAATGTTATAGATTGGTTCGTACTTTTGAGATGCAATTTAAGTATGACAAAGACGATCAACTTTATGTAGAAGTATTCTCATAAGAGGATAAAATTTATGATGCAAGGAAAAAAATATCTTAGGCGTTTAATATACCTTTTGATTCAATAGTTCTGATACATAAGGATTATCCATTAAAGGATGATTCCCTCATTAATCAATACAAAGATAAAGTACTAACTATCTCTCAAGCTGTTCACATTAGTTTTCAAAAGAGGCATGGTTCTATATTAATTTAAAAGTATTATTCGAAATACCTAAAATGTAAAGATATTTTCAGAGATTTTTAGAGAGAATACCAACTTCCATGCAGATTTGAATATAACCAATAAAATATTGACGAAAATAATTTGTTAAAGGAAATTTGTAAAGATGAATAAAATATTGTGTTTATTTATGAATTTTAGTATAACCTAAAACTCATAAACAAAGAAATAGACACTGAAATAATAAAAGTTTAGTTTTATCCTTCAGAAATTATTGGCTCTGTCTTTTAAAGATATTTGAGTGAGAATTTCCATTATTTGTACAATGGTTAATAAATTGATATTTAGAAATCATTTGAAGAGCTTAAAATTGCACAGAATTAAAAAATATAGTATTTTTAATTGCACAAATTCAATTTATGGATTCCAAACAAACACATAAGTTTCGAGATTTAAATTGACTCATTGAAATATAAAATCATAGATGCTTTATCTCCAAAAATCAAGGAGATGTTTTAAGAACACTTTACAGCAATCTACAACAATCGTCAATTAGATTTATAAAAGACCTTTCTTTAAGAAAAAGTCATGAGCGGAGCCAATATTGAATGCTAATTAGTTACTTATTTGCAGGTGATTGTACATGATAATGAATTTGATAGAACGTTTAAGATACATTCAAATATAAGCATTGGACAATTAATTAATATGTTGGATGGAAATCAAAATAAAAAATTATTATTCTCTAAAGATTAGAAATAATTGGAAAACAATATCATTTTATCACAACTAAAAAATGAAAATGGCATTATAGAACTGATTTATAAAGAATTAGTTCCCACCTCAGATGCTATCTATCAGCCTTCAGGATCTATGCCAACTACTTTTAATTGGACACAAAACCTTAAAACTACAGAAAGTAGTTAAATAGATATTGTCATAATTAATATTAATAATGACGATAAGCTATTTGAGACAGTGAGATTGGATCAGAAATTAAGAGATTTTCGTAAGGAATTTGAAATCAAAATGGAGTTTTCTGGCATTACTATATTTTATGAAGGTGAAGGAGTGGATTATGATAAAACATTTGAAGAGATAGGAGCACATCAGTAAAGTCTATTTGAAATTATTTGACTGAATAATATTATCTGCATAATCATTCAAAACAATTTTTATTATAAATGCTAATTTGCTATCTTATAGAATTTAATACATCATAAGTTTTTAAATTAAGTATAGTTGACTAATAGTATTTTCTTAAAAAAACCGTCGTCTCTTATTGAAGAGAGTAACCCAAAACTGTAAAATACAAGGCTGCTAGATTTCTTACGAGTTTTGGAATAGAAATATTTTTGACAAGTACTAAAAGGTTAGTGCTGAGATTCGTATTGGTAATGAAGGAAGTGCATGTGTATGTGACTATCTGTATCAGATTAAATTATTAATAGATTAAATAATAGAGGCATTTATCTTGATGATTGATTAGTATTTTTCTACATTTACTCAAAGAGGCTACAAAACCTATTGAATGAATAATTCATAATATTCTATTCAAGGATTAGAGTTTTGTTATCGAAAAAGCATCATGAATTATTTCTTAAGCAATATATTGAGAATTTAACATATTTTTAATATTTAATGATAACTTCGCCTCAGGAGATGAGAATATTATCAAAGAGATTCTTTGGTAACAAGATCATTGATTCAATTGTGCTCGAGGAATTGAAGGAAAATTATTAAAATAAGGAAAGAATTGCAAACATTATTTAGAGATGTTATCCTGAAAGTTACAAGTTATATTTGGATTTAGGTAAGAATAAGATTGATAGTAATATTAGATCCTTAACTTCTAAGCATTTTCATTTAGTATTTTTTAAACTAACTTAATTTTGTGATTGAAAAAAAGTATATTTTTCAAAGAGCTACATGCCTGTTGGAATTGAGTGTCCATTTATTCAATATTTCATGGGAGAAAAGATGGAATCGAGAAAAATCTTTTGAAGAGTTCAGATAAATAATTGTCAGACATTCATTATATAGGTTTATATTGATATTAATAACTGCAGACCACCACATAGTGTTTATATATTTAGTTTGGAGAATTTGAAAGAGATTTCTTTGCATTTCCTATAGACATTCTTTAGATTCTATAGAGCTTACTTTTTCACATTCACTCCTTGGGTTGACATAGTGGTGACAACTTATCAGAAACATTAAATTAAAAAGGATGTGAAAGATTTAGAGTTGGAGAAATTGAGACAGGAAGCAGAATAATATAATGATTAGATTGATCCAGAAATGATGGAACAACTAATGAGTGGCAATTCCATATATTAGATTCCAGAAAAGAAGAAGAGGGAGATGTTAGAATAACAATAATAAAGGGAGAAATAAGAAAGAATAGATAGAGTATTAAAGAAGAGATTAGAAGAGTTATAATAAGTGTTTGATTAAAAAATTAAAGAATAAGATGAACATTTCATAAAATTGGCTGAAGATTTAAAAAATCCAAAGAAAAAGTGATTCATTAACTATATGTTATGATTATAAATTTATATTGTCTATCATAATCTAGCCTTTAAATTTAGTTTGTCCCAATCAATATTGATAAAGTTTCTTTGTCTATACATTCCAACACCATTGGCCAAGTAATCCAAAAATTCTATTTATATAATGATTAATATATGTACCTAATTTGTTATTGCCACTGAACTATTGATCAATTTCAGCCAATATCTCAACTTATTTGAAATCAGCAATACCGAAAGATACAATAGTTGTTCTATTCTCTAAAATTATGAATAGTCCAAACAATTTATGAATTTTTAACAATTCCAAACTATAACCACTGCTCTTTATTTGTGCTCCCATCTATTTATAAATATTAGTATATCCAAAAAGAACGGAAGCCTTTATTAATTCACATTAATTAAGTTCATTCCATGAAGTTTATATTGAATGACCATTAATTAAATTATTCTAAAAGTTTTCCATAGTCTTCTTACAAAATGAATAACTCAATCTCTCTAAAACTTCCTCTAAATTTTGCAAGGAAGCCTTTTGGTTGTTTTCTTAAGTATATTTATTGAAATAGGAAGCCATTCCTGTAAATTATGCATTGCCCCCACTCACTTTTCCGAATTGTTTTAACAAGTATTAAGCTGTTTATTGCATTAAAACATTATTATCTCCTTCATAAGTCACATATGGAACATTATCAGCATATATTATAGTTAGATCAGATGCATTTAGATGTCCAAATGGTGCAATTTGCATTGCCTCTCTTGAAGTTTTAACAGCCTCCCATCCTGCAATGCTTTTCATTTGACTAGAATAGAGATGAACTAATTGCAAAGTTTCATTGACTTATTTGTCATTGGCTTTCAGTTGATTTTGAAATCTAGTGAATATTTCTTTTACTTAAGCATTGGCTATTATTTGTGCGTATGACACCACATAACTTCTTAGCAATCTAAATATTATGGCTTCATTTTCTATTGATTAAGTTTTCAATAAGGGTTTGACTTAATAATAAGCTAGATTATTTGAAAACAATCCAAAAATAGAGAAAACATTCACCAACCCAACTCTTAAATTAAGCATACTGCCATAACCGTATTTAATAGCATTTTTTGATGATGTAGTCACCTATCCAGATTCATCAACTTTAGTATATCTCATCAACATATTGTTTAAATCGATACGAACATTCTTTAGTCCTAAGTATCCATTGTCCGCCCTTAAGAAACCTAATTTGGGTCCAATGTCTCCAACTTCAACTCCCTCTAAAGCCTTAAGGGTTTTAGGTTCTCTAATAGGAACAACAAATGTTTAAATGCCGATATCTTTGCCATTCACAGTTGTTCTGGCTTGTAAAACAGTGTGGGTGGCAAAGATACCTAGTTATCCTGGCCAAAATTTAAACGCAGATGCCTTAGGAGTGTTTATAATGAAGGAATTATTTTCAAAAACCGCAGTTGTTTATAAGCCTTGCACATCTGAACCATGTCCTACTTCAGTTTAAGCATAGGCTCCACGAATTTGATAATTGAATGAAAGATCTTGCCAATGTTTGACTTGTTCTGGTGTTCCCAACATTTGGATTGTTGGCAAAAAAGCTTACCAATGTAGATAGAAGGTTCCTAAAGATTTACATTGCAGATATTACCTAATTCGTATAATTAATGCTAAAATTGAATGAGATGAGTATTTCCTGGAAACTTCTTTTTGAGCATTTGTTATGCCTTGGCGTATCTCTGACTTAAGCCTATATATCCTTCCTTGTAGTTTTCTTAGACACCTTGAGGATTGTCCACCAAGACTGATTAATAATAACTATATTAAATTACAATCGTATGCTGTTGGATTTTTTTCAAATTCCTAAACAAAGTACTCCAATTCTGATTTAATGGAGGGTTCAAGAAGAATGTTGTAGATATAATTTTTGAATTAATCCATTTAAGAAATTTATTAGTTCCTATAATAAATAAACACTATGTTAATTATATAGGCTTGAAAATTTACATTATAGTTAGAAATTTTATTCTCTAATTTTTTTTTATAAGATAGAAAAGATATGATAACTTATAATGCTGGTAAATAATATTTATAAAATTCATTCATTCTCATTAATCAGAAAGCTGTGAATGAAAGTTACACAGATCTAAGGCGAATAGATGAATATGATACCTTCCATTGATCTTGGCATCTTGGAAATGTCCTAAGACACTAAGACTGCATCCTACATCAGAATAGAGTATTTTGCAAGAGCTTTGATTAATGAATCTATGAATTATTACAATATATTATTACTTCATGTTTAAGATAGGCGTCATGCATCCAAAGTATTAATACATCTACTCTATGGTGACACCTGAAAGACCTGTAATTTAGATTGTATTTGACAGTTGCTGTGCTATGATGGGCTTCCTCTCATTGGGTGGCAAGGCTACTTAACGAGCGTCCTGTGGTAGCTTTTCGGAGATCATCAAAGTCATGGGCATTCCCAAGAGAAGACCTTTATTGAGTAAGTTCTTGATTCTGATTGCTTCTTCTTTGGAAGCCAGTTGGAGGAAGGCTCCATATTGACTTTGATAAATGGCATCTACTCTTGTGACTGTACTAAAGATGTTGTACACCACTCGTAGATTGGTATTTGGATGCTGCACTACCAAATATTAAGGTAGAGGAGTGGGAGTCATTAAGAAGGGACTACTTTGCGATTGAGGGTAGGGAGTGAAGGGACTGGCTCCACAGGAAAAGGGATTGCTAGAGTCATTGCAGAAGACTTCATTGTAGTTATCCTCGGAACGACCAGATTTTTAAGACTTTGGTGACTTTTCGGAGGTGATGCTCTCTCCATCTGAAAACTCCTCTTTATCATCTTCGGATGATTCTTCGAGGATTTGTTGTCTAATGGAATCTAGGGTCGAATGTTGAAAGGGGGAGGGGGAAGGACTCGTAGTTGAGGATACGATCTATTTTTATTTCTTGCCTTCTCGTTAGAGCACGGAAGCATAATTACGCAATTGTTGTTAATAAAGGACTGTCAACTATTGGGTTTGATTTCGATACTCTTGGATCTGTTGGATGAGGGAAATTTGTTCTTTTAAATCAGTAGTCTGATTCAATTGAGAAATGAATTGATTCAAAATTTCAAGGTTCTGTTGCAATTATTGATTGAGGGAACTCGAATCTTCCTTGAGTTGTTGGAAAAATTACTGTTTGGATTGAAGAGCAGTGTAATCTTAATTTTTAAATATTGTTTATACCCACACCGCAATTGTTGTTATTCTGAAACACAAGGGAATCTCGTTAGCTGAGATGGACTCTCATTTTGAGTTAGTAATCGAAGAGAGTGCCATCCAAGATAAGTGCTGATTGTGCTTATTGGGCTGTCTCGTACTCGATGAATACTTTCCAGATGATCTTTCTTTCGAAAATGAGAATCTTAAAATAATGAGGGAACATCTAAATACCTTTTTAACTTATCCGAAGACTGAGAAGGTTCTGAAGAACTGACTGTGTTCAAGCACTTTCCCCTATTTGTTGGTGACCAACACCAAAATCACAGGGGTTGGTGAACTCGGTGAGGGTGAATTCTTGTTCATTAAAAAAATAATAATTGATAAATCTAATTTTTACTTTTCCTTTTAATAGTCATTTTCATGAGCTTTTTGCTTTTTTACTGGTCTTGTGATCACCCGCATGATGTTTGTTACTATGATGTTGGTGTTGTTTGCCCTTCTTTTTCTCCTACTCCTACTCAGTGACATATTGAGCGACTAAACTATTGACTATGGAAATCATAAAGAATCCTATCATAAGAATAATGAAGTAATCCCACAATTGAGCCAACAAGGGTTTAGCACCTTCTTTGAAAAGAGAAGGGTCTCTCAGTTGTTTTCTCTGCTTATCCAGTAACTCACTCAAAAACTCATAGATGAAGGGAATATATTTTTGGATCAAGCTGAGTAAGGCCTTGACTGGTTCTTATGAGAATACAAACACAGTCATGGGTAACTAGGAAAGCATGACAAATCATACATACCTGAATGTGCATTTTGATGAATGCCTTACCCAAAACAGTGGCTCCAAAGAAAGTCCAGAAGGAAATAAGAAAGTGACCACATGTGATGCCTGCTAAATCGAATAAGGGATTTGGAATGGATGCACACAGCATAACAGTGAGGAATGCATTTTTCTATAATTTATTGTAAATGAGCAATTTCATTCTATGCATAAAAGAATCTAAAATAGGGAGATAGCCTTACTTTCATCTTTCTTTTCCAATACTTCATCCAACTCTTCCAATTTCTTATTGGCCAATGCAGCAGCTCTGGCAACAAAATAGGGTGGCAACTCTCCTATTGCTGTACCGATGCCAAAGAGAACTGTCTCAAAATACACCTACTTCACAATGTCGAACATAGCTATTCCAGTTGCTTCCTTTGGACATTCCACATATTACGTGGCATACTTTGAGGGCACAAATAAAGGGAGTGCATTGCATTCGTAAGCTTGAATTGTGGTCTTAGCAATGTGAGGACCCAAATACAACACGAATGTGTGCAAACCGGTTCCCAAACCAACAGATGACATTATTCCCAATACTAGCCAATACAACATAAAATATGCGATCTCGTCAGCCTGTCTCACCAACTAAACAACATTCATATTTAGATTAATACCTCAGAGTGTTCGCCTTCCACAAATCTAGGTGCAATCACAATCAGAGCCAAGAATCCAATGATGTGCCAAAATTTACTTAAATATTTAACCGCATCCTTTGCATAATTAAACAGGACTATGGAAAACAAATACAAAGTCTTAATTGGATTCGAAAATAGTGTTGGTGCCTCAACCATTAATTAAATTATTATTTATATATTTATACATTCAATAATAGAATATTGATCTCAATCATTACTCTTCCTCCTCTTATGCCTACAGCTTTGCTTATTTCTCCTCGATGGCTCCCTCTATAACACTAATCACCTCGTAAATATCGCTGCTATAAACCATCTACTTGAACTTCAAATATTCTATCATTCTATTAACATCATTCAATTCATCCGCATAATTAAACTGTTCAGCCAGTCTCCTATTTAAATGTTTATTCACGGCGTGTTATAGAACATTTCCGAACGTATAGGCCTTAGTCGTTTTCATCCAAAACTAATAGGCTATGATCATGTCAGTGACTCCGAGCATGAAGGTCACAGGCTCCATGACATCCCAACCCCAGACAACATAAGTCCCGTATTGAGTAAAGGCTATTTGCATGAGGATGTAAAAGTAAATCTGATATAAAGTTGTCTATTCCTTCATTTCCAATTCCTTTATGATAGAATCCTTCAAATGAGTTAAACGATTCTACTTGCACTCCAGAAATGAGATCTATTCATCTATTATCTGCTTCTGTGCCTAAGAGTATATACCCAATTTCATTATGACCTTCTTTATTATCAACATTATCAAATCCTTATCGTAAGTCAACTCCTTGTGCTTCTCAATCTCAGACAATAGTTTTTGGATGAAATTGCTCAATACTACCTTTGTTCTCTGGGGCACATCAATCTCTTAGAAATATTCATGCAATGCGTGTTGAGTGATTGGATAGTTGTCGATCAAGTCAATCACTGGCGGGTTGTCTACTTTATTGAGAATTATGTAGTTTTCTGTCTAATTCAATCTTAAAACCATGTCTTCTGCCAAAACCAATTGCATGGGTGTGGAGGATGCATATTCAATTTATTCATCATTGGTGGTTTATTGATATAATCCGACACTCTTCACATCGTCGATCTGTTTCTTGATGGCCTATTGGAGTTCAAGCACAGTCCCTTCAGCTTTGAAGAACACCTTCTTGCTGTGGAAGTAGAAATACAAAACTAAAAAGGTTGCCATCAAACAATCGTACCCTCTTACTTGAGATTAAGGTTTTTGGTTTCCTCCTATGAAAATCTCTACAACATGAGGATGTCCTAGAAATTGTACCTCTTTAATGAACAGAATCTGAAGAGACTTTTTAATAACATAATTTAATTATTATGAAATCATCTCTTGTAACGGAGAATGGACGCAGAACCAAAACCACTCCTGATCAAAGCTCTCTGATTAGTTATTCATCCCGCAAGTCTTGTCTCTCCAGCGTATGTAATTTTCACCATAAACCAGGAACGCAAAACCCAAGTCAAAGCTACATGCAAAGTATTGTGTGAGATGAGAGAAGATCAGTCAAGTAAACTAGCAGTCAAGTTTACACAACTTCAAATCGTTTTAGCCACTCAATCTATTATACAAGTAATCTCCAAATTCAGGTCCGCTAAATTGTAGACATACTTCTGGATTCTTCTATAAGATCGCAGAATCATACACCCTTCCCCATAAAATCATTCTATTGAATCGATTTCCTTGCCTCAAGTCGTCGATGATTGGTCCTACCTCTAGATTCAAAATAAAACCAAATTAAAATAGCGTCATCACAATCAAAGTCCCTCTCCCTGGATCCTGATGCAAGTCCTAAATAAAATCAAGTAAAAGCAACAAAGGTCTTTCTATTAACTCATGAACCAAAACGCAAAAATATGCCAAGGGACTCTACTACTTCGAAAATTCATCAAAAAACTTCATAATCTATAAAAATGCAGCTCCCTTCTTTGCATTGTATAATTTGCATAGAATTATTAAAATTGTAGTTTATTAGATTGTAGTAAACAAGATTCTGATTCCATGTAAATATAACAACAATAACAAAAAGATATCAATATTGAAGAGATCTCAATTAAGGAATAATTGGCTATTAAATTTGCAAGTACAACAATTTTGGCATCGCTGTTAAACTCAAAACACATTAATTTAAATTTTTATTTCTTTTTAAACTTCCTAAGATGCTAATAAAACAAATCCTAATTTATTAGAGATGTAAATTTATATCAAGGGATTGAAGTAAGTCAAGTTAATTATGATCAATCCTCTTTATAAGAAAACTAATAAGTTATTGCTGCTTAAAATCTACATTCGTTCCTATTTATCAAATTATAAAATTATTTTCAGGCAATCAAAATTTTTCATTTGAAAAATGATTATTAGATAGCTGAAACTATGAACACCATGATTATCAACAAACATTGTGATCTATCTAATTCATTTGAGGATTTAAACACTCAGAGAATATTAGTCGCTAATTTCTAAGAGGAGGAAATTGAGCAATCGTAAGTGAAAAATAGCACAGAACAAAAGAAGATATCTTCCTTTCAGAACATAACAGAGATTGAAGAATCTACGAAGTCAACTAAGGCAGTAATTGTTGAGGAGCAGCAATTGTAGCCCAGTTTGAATAATAAAAAGAAGAAGAAGAAAAATAATAAAATCAAGAACGCTATCAAATAGTATTGCAGTATCTAGTCATAATCGTAAAGACGACTGAGTAATGAGAGCATGGCTAAGACAGAGAGTTTTGGATTAATCCATAATTAGGAAGTGAGGAAATTGAAGAATGCTACAATACTGTATACTGCCTATATATCGATTGTTGTGATTATAATAGTATTTATTTTGTTTTTGAAATGATTAATAAAATTAATTATTTTATTAAAGATGTCAAGAGAATCATCGGTTTCGGAAGGAGGAGGATGGGTGTAATGGTTTTGCGCAATGGAAGATCATCAATTTTTGTGTGAAGTGGATGATGAATTCATAAGGGACAACTTCAACTTGTACGGTTTGAAGAGCAAATTCAATTTTTATAAGTAATTTTGAAATGTATGCCTTTTAAGTGAAGCATTGGACTTGATTTTGAGTTCTGAAACACCAGACGATGAGGATTTAGAAGACGAAAGGTTCTTGGAAGTTTATTAGGAGGCTACAGACTTATATGGTTTGATTCATGCAAGATTCATCATAACAGCCAAAGGTATATGGATATATGGATGAAGGTTTGAGTATGATGAAGGAGAAGTACTTGGGAGGTAAATTCGGAGCCTGTCCAAGAGTGTTATGTGAAAGATAGAATGTTTTACCCGTGGGAATGAGTGAGGAATTACGCACTTCGAGAGTGAAGGTTTTCTGTCCTAGATGCGAAGAGGTTTACATCCCTAAAAAGAAATGTCCCGATGTTGACGGTGCTTACTTTGGTTGTTCATTTCCATCGATATTTTTAATGGTAAGCATTTCATATTGAAAGTCCTAGAACTTCATTTAAGAGATCCAAATACCTGCTAACAATTAGACTTATGTGCCTAGAGTGTTCGGATTCAGAATTTACAAAAAAAAGGGATCTCGTTATTAGGATACTTAATAAAAGGCTGCTGAAATCACTCATTATTCTGAGGAATAATTGAAGAAGTTGAGAGGGAAGAATGATCAACAAGCAAAAGAGGATTATGTTCAAAAGTGAATTAGTGTTTTTGTTTTTGTTATTAAAATTTTTAAATCTTTTTTAAAATAAATGCCTAAGGAAATCCAAGATGTTAAGGTGTTCCTCTCACTCATGAAAGGTAGCGAAGCATAAGGAAAAGATGCTAGCAAAGAACCAAAAAAGAGTACGCATTTCTATTTATCCATTCAGACCTCTATATCAAAGAGTCAAAGAAGATCACCAAATTCAAGTTGAGAGGCAAGAAATATCTCTTTACCTTCAAAACAGCTGATAAGAATAAGGCCCAAAAAATTCAATAAACACTCCCATAAAGTATGATATTCATTCAAATTCTTAGATGTCAATAAAATTGTTATCGGTAATGGAGGAAAGAAATAATAAACCAAAAAGAAGTAAAAGAAATGAGCACTGATTTATTACATATACAGTACATTATTTGGAGCATATTTAATATAAAACAAGTTCATTGCAATCATCGAAATACTAGCATTTATTTTATTATTTCCTTTTATTTTCGGTTTTCTGAATTACTATTTCCAATATATATGTATATATTAAATACTTTTAGAATAAATTAATAAAATATCTTCATTAAACTACATTAATTGTATGTTTAAGATCAAAATTCATTGTTAATTTAGTTCTTTACAATACATTTTAATATTATAAATATACAAATACATCATTTTGTTTGATTAAGTCTTTTCTTAATCTCGTCAGTAATTTATTAGGAGGTAGCAGATTTATCCATTAGTATTTACAGTATTTCTTCACTCGTACATCTAAGTTGTATATTGACACAAAGCAATTTCTCAATGATATGTCTTACATATTCTGGTAAAATAGTTAGTTTTAATTCTTTCCAAAATTTGTTCCATTCTTCATTTTTTATTAACTTCCACCAAGCATCTTCAGTTGATGGATTATTTGATTCAAAGGGAGGATGTCCTGTAACCATAATAAAGTAGACAACACCTAGAGAGAACATATCACATTTTTTTAGATCTTATGGAATATGCCAAATTTCAGGTGCTGTGTATCCTTCACTTCCTGAAATTGTTGCCTTAGGAATCGGTGTGGATCCATTGATTTTTGCAAACCCTAAGTCACATAACTTAACTTTAAAATCAAGAGAGATCAGTAAGTTATCCAACTTAATATCTCCATGAGTTATTCCTTTAGAGTGAAGAAAAGAGAGAGCTTCTGCAATTTATAAAGTGATGCCATTTGCTATTGCAAGGGGCAAAGGACCTTGGAGTAGAACCTTGTAGAGGGAGCCGAAAGGCATTAATTCAAGAAGCATACAAGAACAATCTGAACAATAGCCAATCATTTAGATAATGTGCGGATGTTGAATGTGACGAAGGATTTGGATTTCGTTCTCTTCAAAATATCACTTGATAATTACGAATAGATTAATGGCATTTTACTCAGTTGTCTGAGCTAGACATTTTAATGCATATTGTTATTTAGTTTGTTTGTCCATAGTCAAAAATACAGTACTATCATGGCCTTTGCCTAATAATTTGGAAAAATTGATTTAGTAATTTGCCGCAAATTGCTCTGGAGTAAACATCAAATTATTAATCATTTTTATTAATATAACAAATTCAAATCAAAATGCTTTAGTAGCCATCATCCTTCCCAAAATGGCATTGAGATTTTCATCTAATAATTCGTCAACCTTCAATCCTAGATGTTTTTTAGGATCCTTCTTGCCTGTATTCTTGATTTTGGTTTCTTGCTCTCCTTTTTTAGATTCATCATCTAAAACTTAACTAAATTAAATACCTATCAATTTTTGATACTCAGAAGCCAATTTTGACATGTCCTCAACGCATTATTCATTTCTATTACTATTTTCAATAGCCGAATTGCATCTAAAATCATCATTATTTCAATTACTTCAATCCTTCAGCCCAACTGTTCTTATATAGATTCTGAAGCATCTTCTATTCCAAATCGTTGCATTTAAATTTAATATTGATGGAATAATAGTATCTATTGAGTCCTCTCAACAGAGCTTCAAGTCCAGGTTTTTGAAGATGGCCAGTGTTGGAAGTGGTTTGTCGTGGTTCCTATTGAGTGATCATACTTGATTGGGGAATCAATCTAAATGCATCGATTACGACTTTGCCTCTAACTGATTGGATGGGGTCAATAACAACAGCAATAGATTTCTTATTTAATTATTCATATGATTATTGTGTATTGATGTCGACTTGCAATAATTGGATATAAATAGGTACCACTTGATAACCAACATCCATAAGAGGGATGGGAATGGTACCATCCTATGCAATTTTCCATTCTCCCAGTTAAATTGAGCAATTCAACCATTTTTTATTAGAAAATAGGATCCACTGATTCCACAGACACACTGCTTGCAGTCTAAGGCATTGAGAAAACATCATAGACTCTAATGTGGTAGTCGTCTACTATATCGCCTAAGAGTAGACCCATGACTTCAAATGGGATGCCTGCTCTTGCATGCTAGGAGATTGTGAGGGATATATATTACTTTGAGCATTTTGATCAAGGCTAGGGCACTGATTGTAACTTATTCGGCAGTATCTGGAATGGAGGTTTCAGGAGGTGCTTATCCATGTGCTTGTCCCAATTGCTGCATAAAGTTTTGAATGTTCATGAGAGGAATACAAATTTAAATAAAATAAAGCAATACTGGGGTTCTGATACAAAATATTAATAATTATGGGAATTTAAAAATTTAAATTATGAGAATTTGCAATTTGATTGGTTTTTTTTTGTTTAAATATGTTTGATAACATTTTAAATATTTTAAATATAAAGCAAATTATAAGCGCAAAAAATGGCTTAACAATAATAGGTTTAAGTTGCCGCAGAGTTCAAACTCGTAGTCGTAGGTGATGGCGCAGTTGGTAAAACAACTTTTGTGAAGAGACATTTGACTGGAGAGTTCGAAAAGAAATATCTAGGTACTTTATAATTTGAGTGTGTTTTTAGCCACATAAGGAGTCGAAGTGAGCCAAGTTATATTCTACACAACTCACGGTCCAATCAGATTAGTCATCTGGGACACAGCAGGACAAGAGAAATTAGGAGGACTCAGAGAAGGCTATTACATCGGAGCTAATTGTGCAATCATTATGTTCGATGTCACATCTAGAATCTCCTACAAAAATGTACCAAAATGGCATAAAGATCTCACTAGAATTTGTGAAAACATCCCCATCGTCTTAGTTGGAAACAAGGTATCATATCCGTATTTAATCCCTTCTAGGTCGATTCCAAAGACAGAAAAGTCAAGGCAAGATAAATCACATTCCACAGAAAAGTCAACATCCAATACTATGACGTCTCAGCCAAATCTAACTATCAATATGAAAAGCCCTTCTTATACTTATTAAGAAGATTGGCCAAGTATTTAACTATCTCTATTTTAGTGATGCCAACTTAGCTTTAGTCTAAGCCATGGCTCTCTTGCCTCCCGAAATCCCAATTGACCCAGAATATGCTGCCTAAATTGAGAAGGAAAGATAAAATGCTGAAAATCAACCATTACCAGATGAAGAGGATGATGAATTCAAATGATGTTTTTCAATATTCATACAATTATAATAATTTGAAATTGCCTCACTAATTTTAATACCATGAAGCTTCAATTTTAAAGAGCATAACAGTTGAAGCTAACTAAATTTCAAGCCAGAATAAATTTTATATAAATTCAAAATATAAATATAGGGGTGTTAATACTAAAACTTCTAAATTACAATTTATCTTCAATAACTCCTAAAATCCATTTGTTGATTATCTTTCATTATTTGGAATCACATTTTCTGTTCATAAATAATAAGATCATCCACTATTAAATAATTCTATTGAGAATTTGACTATACCTAATTATAATATTGAGAAGCAATTAAATATTATGTAAATAATTCCTTATTTAATAAAGATTATGTTAATGAACCACATTTTATTTTCAATAGAATGGTGATAAATTTATCATCACTCTCAAAGTCAAAATAATTCCTCTTACAATTATTTAAAAAATCAAGAAAAATGATTACAATATCTAATTTAATAATTAGTAAAAATATTTGTAGAATTACTATTCGAAATTAGATTGTTAATGAAGTACATTTTAATTATAAAGGTTTATGAATTAAAAATAAAATTGACTTGTTAAAGGTAAATTGCAAATTAGTAAAGTAGTAGTATCAAAAGTTATGATTCTGAAAGCTCATTAAAATAATGGAATCAAATAGGATACCACACAAATATTATCATATTAATTAGATTTTAAACAAAGGGCGTAATTCATTAAGATATATAGCATCAATTTTAATTAATAAAATCTTAGCTGTTTATTTTTCAAGAGGTATTATAATGTTTTTTATATTAAGATATAATCACAAATAGCAAGCCAGTAATTAACCCCAATACTAATTAAAGAATACTATTTTATCTTCTAAAATAAACATTTATAATTTCATATGCATTTTTTTACACTAATATTATTAGTATTATTTTTAAGTACTTTGTTTTATGTTTAAAAAAATATGTTTAATTATTATGAGTTTAATGAGGGATTAATTATCCAAAAAGATTAGGGATATATACAGATACAAGATTTATCTTAATTAAAAAATCTTTAAAAATATCTAACCAAATAAAGAAATCCTTATTTCTTTCAAGTTGATCAATATATAATATAAATTAATGTAAGATTTAAAACACAGTGAAGGAGATGAAATAGTTTTTCACATTACTAAAAATGCCCAGCAATATGAACCCAATATTACTTTGGCCACCTCGCCTAATGACAAACCTGTCCAGAATCCAATAACATTTGAAGATATCAAACTAGTATCTTCATTATAGGCATCAGCTGATGGTCATTACTAGTCTGTAAGAGTAATTTGTTCAGGATGTAAGAGGAAAGTAAGTTTTATAGATTATATTTAAGGTTAATTCAGTCATAAAAAGGCGAGCTGGATTGTAGACATTCATTGCTGGAGTACTTTTAATCTTTTGTTCTTTTGGATTTATATGTGTTACCTGTATCCCATGTATGGTAGATGATTGTAAGGATGTTTAACATTCCTGCCCAAATTGTAAATAAATTTTGGGGAAGGCCCAATTTAACATACTTGATTGACAAAATGATTATTATCATTATCTTTGGTTTTAATTTCTATGCATATTATATTTCATAAACGTTTTCATGTTCAAGTCTCGCTTTCCAGGATAGTTTAATAATGGAGTAAATCCAATGCAATTGCATTATAATCCTATCGACCATGTTGGTTCAATTGCTAGGTATTGATAAATATCAATTTTAAGTTTAGAAAAGCACTTATATGTGTTATAACTTCAATTATAATGTTATTTTTAAAATATACCAAAACTTCAGAGAAAATCTTAATACCAACATTAAAGACTCTCAATGCACATATAGAGTAGTATATTTTGAATATTGATCAAGGTTGAAGGAGAAATTCAATATTAAAATAAAAAACATGAATTGCTCATAATATATAGGAATCGGTTTAAACAGTAATTTTTTAGAAATAATATAAATATTCATGAATTATTAAAAATGCTAAATGCTTGATATAGTGATATGCAATTTAAAATGTAGATGTAAATGCTTTGATTTAGATAAATATTCATTCAGTTCTAAAAAATTCTGTGATTAATTTTTGGGATTGGTCGAAAATCTCTTTGTTTGGATGATACTACAAATCTTCGATAGCCTGTATGAGCTAATTTTATTGTAGTATTGCTAGAATAGGATTTGGAACATTCTGTTGGGTTTACAACGACAAACCGTAATTCATGAGTGAGGTTATACATTCCAATCCTTATAAGACAATGTAAGGTTCAGCTGATTCGACAGTAGATTTTAAGTGTATGGCAAGACCCAGATTGATGAGAACTGTGAAATCCTATTGGTTTCCGTACTTTAGAATGTGTTGGATGGATCGTATCACAAGGGATTGATTTATAGGTTTGTCAGTGGTGAGGATATTTATTAGTTTTTTGATTAATTCCTATTGTGAATATATCTATTAGATAACATTGTGTCCTTATTTACACAGGTTTTGTAAAATGTACAGGACTGCTGTTCTGATCTTTTAGTATTTGTAATTGATAAGCTTGTTAATAATTTCCAAGATAGAAAATTGCTGGAAGATTGAATACAATTACTGGAAATCTGATAAGTATTTCATTTGGAGTAGAGCAGAATAGAATGATTCAAAGTCATTCTCGTTGGTAAGATATTCATTCAAATAATTAAAGAGTAATTGAAATATTTCAAAATAATTAATGTCTCTGTCATACTAATCACACTATTTGTTGATGATAAATAGAGTTTACAATATTTCTTAACTGTTATTAATCTTCAAATGTTTCAAAATTACTATTAATTAAGGTTTGAACTATTCAGGAATGTTTCTACATAGTGTTTAAATAAGATAACTAATATTATGCAGCAAACTGTCCTTCATTAATTAACACAGGATCTCGACTGTGTTTTTACTTAGTAAATAATGTTAGATTTGTGCTAATTTACTCGAGACGTTGCCCAAATACCCCAATATCAGATTAGCCAAATCATCTATTTGTTTATTTTCTATGAGCAACTCCAGGGATCTCTCTATTGACCACTGAATGTCATCAAGAGGCAATTAAAAATATTCCTCATCTTAAGTCAATTACAGATAAATTGTAAATGTGTCGATATAGTAGGATTCATCATTCAATAATTCCTTGAATTATAGGAAATTCCTTTATGTTAAATACAAACTATGTATGCGATTCCTGTCATCTATGATATTGGCAATCAGATGCAGTTTTTATTAAATTTCATTCATCTCCTTCTATGCGTAAACTATCTTGAATTCATTGAATAAATTGTTTATCGAAAAATTCATTTAAGAACTCTGCAATCTCTATTTTGGTATAACCCACATCCTCTTCTTCTCCAATTACTCCTCGATTCGCTCCTTTCTAATTTACAACCGAAACTGCTCTCTCATCTCGTAAACACTCTTTGGCTGAATTTGCTTCTAGTTTTTTAATGTCTAAGGCTGATACTGTAATTCATTATCCGATTCAACAAGTTTTATTTCATCCATTATTTATAATAATAATAAAAACTATTGAATTAATCTTCAGTTCTCAACAATTTACTCTACTCAATTGGGAAGCACCTCACTTCTTCATTTCAGCTTCAACTTACAGTGCAGTATTTAGAACAGAAGAATCTATCAAATTTCATGAGTATTGACATTGTATTATTATATTCATACTTAACCTATTAAATAGATTACTATTATAATATAATGTATTGGATATATAAGTATTTCTGTCTCCCTCTTGGCTTCCTTAAATAACTTAAAATCCACGATATCCATCAATTATTATTTGATTATTCGTACCAGATAAATGTTAGCAACTTAAAAAATTATTTACAAAAGACTCCAAATATCAACATGGATATCAACATATCATCGGTTATAGATAATTTTGGAATAAAATCTGGATCAGTTGTAGATTTGTATTCCCCAATTTTTCCAAAGATGTCAACTATGTGGGGTTTGGTTCAATCGAAAAAGAATCCAGATAAAAGGCAATTGCTGAAGAAAATTGCCAGTTGACTAAGTTAAATTGTCTCAGGCTGAGAAGGTATATTTATACTTTGTTCTCTTCTATGTATTCCCATTTTCCGCTTTTGGATTGCCTGATATAAAAACATTTTAAACTATACGATGTGGTATGAAATGTATATTCAAATCATAATTAAGCATAAATCTCTATTATAAGTGATTTTTGTTTAATCTTTTTGATTTCCTTCAAGTAATTTCAGATTTTTAATTATTTTTATAATAATATATTTAGTTGTTTTGGAAGATATATAGAGATATCGAATAGTAAAAATTATGTTGAACACAAAACAACTCTAAAAATGTAGAAATATATAGTTGTAATCTCAATCAGGAAGAATTCAGAGTTAGATTCATGACATTTAGAATTAGTAAAATTCTGTTCAATAACTTCTTCATTTGACCAATTATGCCTTCTTTAGTGAGATAAAGTATTCATATGAATGAGGGAATTATTTATATAAAGTCTAAAATACATCTTTATTAAATACAAAGACGATATAATTTTATTTATCAAAATTTACAACAGAGTCAGTTCTTGATTAGTTTGATTAAAGAATTGTTTCTACTCTTGTAGGGTTTGATAGATTAGTGATGTGAGGAACTTTAATCGACTCTGACCAATCTGCTTGTATTACAATACTGTGAATTAGATTTTTCGGATTCAACAGTGCTGTTTTCAGTAAAGGTTGTTGATTGGAGAGTGTCTCTTTTTTCGGATAGCTTATGTTACCACTCTTTCAATTGAGTTTTGAGCTCAATGATCTATTTATCTTTGCGTAATTGCAGAGCACTTTGGGTGATAAATAGTTTTTGTTTAATTTCTTGAATTTCTCTTTTGATTTGGAAATTGGAATCCAGCATTTCAGCATTTTCATCTTCAAGCTATTTACGCTTTTGCAATTGTTCTTAATTTTCTTTGAGCAATTGATGATATTATTGGTTGAGTTTCTTGTTCAACTCGATTTGGGAGATGATTAAGGCATATTGCTCCTTGGTTACTATAATATTGGCAGTATCAACATTATTATCTGGAATTGAGCGATTAGAATTTATTTATTGCAATTCGGAGAAGCTGAATTCTTGTGTTTATTCTGGCGGTGAATCGAGATTGCTTTTGGAGACAATTTTGGATTCATCTCCGNTTATTTACAAAAGACTCCAAATATCAACATGGATATCAACATATCATCGGTTATAGATAATTTTGGAATAAAATCTGGATCAGTTGTAGATTTGTATTCCCCAATTTTTCCAAAGATGTCAACTATGTGGGGTTTGGTTCAATCGAAAAAGAATCCAGATAAAAGGCAATTGCTGAAGAAAATTGCCAGTTGACTAAGTTAAATTGTCTCAGGCTGAGAAGGTATATTTATACTTTGTTCTCTTCTATGTATTCCCATTTTCCGCTTTTGGATTGCCTGATATAAAAACATTTTAAACTATACGATGTGGTATGAAATGTATATTCAAATCATAATTAAGCATAAATCTCTATTATAAGTGATTTTTGTTTAATCTTTTTGATTTCCTTCAAGTAATTTCAGATTTTTAATTATTTTTATAATAATATATTTAGTTGTTTTGGAAGATATATAGAGATATCGAATAGTAAAAATTATGTTGAACACAAAACAACTCTAAAAATGTAGAAATATATAGTTGTAATCTCAATCAGGAAGAATTCAGAGTTAGATTCATGACATTTAGAATTAGTAAAATTCTGTTCAATAACTTCTTCATTTGACCAATTATGCCTTCTTTAGTGAGATAAAGTATTCATATGAATGAGGGAATTATTTATATAAAGTCTAAAATACATCTTTATTAAATACAAAGACGATATAATTTTATTTATCAAAATTTACAACAGAGTCAGTTCTTGATTAGTTTGATTAAAGAATTGTTTCTACTCTTGTAGGGTTTGATAGATTAGTGATGTGAGGAACTTTAATCGACTCTGACCAATCTGCTTGTATTACAATACTGTGAATTAGATTTTTCGGATTCAACAGTGCTGTTTTCAGTAAAGGTTGTTGATTGGAGAGTGTCTCTTTTTTCGGATAGCTTATGTTACCACTCTTTCAATTGAGTTTTGAGCTCAATGATCTATTTATCTTTGCGTAATTGCAGAGCACTTTGGGTGATAAATAGTTTTTGTTTAATTTCTTGAATTTCTCTTTTGATTTGGAAATTGGAATCCAGCATTTCAGCATTTTCATCTTCAAGCTATTTACGCTTTTGCAATTGTTCTTAATTTTCTTTGAGCAATTGATGATATTATTGGTTGAGTTTCTTGTTCAACTCGATTTGGGAGATGATTAAGGCATATTGCTCCTTGGTTACTATAATATTGGCAGTATCAACATTATTATCTGGAATTGAGCGATTAGAATTTATTTATTGCAATTCGGAGAAGCTGAATTCTTGTGTTTATTCTGGCGGTGAATCGAGATTGCTTTTGGAGACAATTTTGGATTCATCTCCGAATTTAATCTCCTTCTAAGAATTGTTGAAGAGATCGACTAATTGATGAGCTGACAAATAGATAGGGTTTAGAAATTAATCTTGCATAATATAATTTATATATAAATTGATATTCATACTATCAATTAATCAAATTTATAAGGTCTATGTAAGTGATAAATAGACAGTAATATAAGTGATCCAATCTTTCATTTGCTATGTTTTAAAGTAATTGCATAAAAGAGTGTGGATGTTTATGTGTCACAAATTCAAGGAGATCTCATCACATCATGTATAAGTGATAATTAGATGAGAGCAGATCCCATTAGGATTTTCAGTTGTTGAATACAAGATTGTCAAAAATTTTGTAGAGTACAAATTTCAATAAGCAATATGTTGTAAATGGAAGTGAACTCTACATTGTATGTTGATTCCTAATATAAATATCGTATAAATCAATAAATAATATATATGAATTTGATATACTAAATAGTTGGATTCCATTTATAATGTTCAACAGTAATATGATTATCATATTGACAAATATTAATATCATATAATTTTATTTATAATCTCATTACTTTTTAAGACTTTCAATTTACTATTCTGTTAATAATTTCTCTTATTGATATTTTTCCATCTTCTCAAGATCTGTTTTTTTGACTTAGTCTGGCACCTTGTCATTGTATTTGCTCATCTTGTCTTAGAGAGCATTAATATACTTGATCAACTCATTCAACTTCTTGATTAATCTATCATTCTAAATAGGTTATTAAATATAATTTTACTTCTTTTGTAAGATCAATATTATCTTTCAAATTAACAAAAATCTTAATTTTGGCATCTAGAGTATCAACTCCACATTATTTATGATGTTCAGTTTCTTATTCGATTGTGGTAATCTAGAAAATAGATAATAACATATTACTGATTTTATTCTAGCCAATAAACAGATGATATCAGCTTGTTATTTAATTAAATCATCTAAGGATTTGTCTCCAATCAAATTCAATGTGTAGGCATCAGGTCTTACATTTGGAGGCAATTAAAATTTACTAATAATTGATCTTAATTTCTTTGAGATATTCAAAACCAAATCGAATTAAATTTCAACATCCTAATTGATCCATTAAGGATTGGGTTGAGGATACTTAGCAATGATGAGGGAATCTTCCTTTTCGAATGGTAGCTTTTACCATAACTCTTCGGATAAGTATGGCATCATTGGATGAAGCAATCTCAATCCTTGATCCAAAACAGTTAATAAGGTCTATTGAGTTTCGAGTTTAGACTTCTGATCTTGATTTTTATCACTCAAAATGTTTTTAATTCCTTCCAAATATATATCACAAAACTCGTAGAGCCAGAATTGATGGAAATTTTGAGTCGCTTATCCGAATTCATAATCATCGAATGCAGCATTCACTCCTGTGATGGCTTAATTGAGTTTCACTAAAATCCATTGATTGATCAATTGCAAATTATTTAATTCTAATTTCACATAGTTGACATCTTTGGATAATTTGGGGAATGCAAATCTACAACTGTTCCAGATTTTATTACAGAATTGTCTATAACCGATGATGTGTTTGACATCCATATTGATATTTGGAGTCTTTTGTAAATAACTTAAGAGACCAAATCTTAATGCATCTCCACCACATTCTGGAATGCCATTTGGGAATTCTTCTTCTTTTTATTTAATGGCCCTTTCAACTTCATCTTTGGATAGATTTCCTTCATAAATCTTCGATTTTAAGTTTTCTAATGATGTTCCATCAATAATCTCAAGTGGATCTATGACATTACCAAGACTCTTAGACATCTTCTTTCCATCCTTGTCTCTAATCAAAGGATGGAGAAACACATATTTAAATGGAACCTTATCAAAGAATTCTAATGAGAATTGAACCATCTTGGCAACCCAGAAGAACAGAATATCCCAACCAGTCTCAAGAATAGTGTTAGGGAAGAATGCCTTGAAATCTGGATGATTAGCATCAGGCCATCCAAAAGTGGAAAATGGGAACAACCCAGAAGAGAACCAAGTATCCAATACATCCTCATCCTGAGACAATTTAATTTAGTCTGCAGGCAAGTTATACTTAGCAATAGCCTTTTATAAGGCTTCCTCTTCAGACCTAGCAACAATCCAATTGTCCTGATTGCTGGTATCAGGTAAATTACCATTGATACTAACTAAATAGGCTGGACATCTGTGACCCCACCATATTTGTCTGCTGATGCACCAATCTCTCAAACCATCCATCCATCTAAACCATTCATTCTCGTAATCAGAGGGAATCAGAACCAATTCTCCATTTTTGACCACATCGATCATTCTTTACTTGATGTGTTGACAATTGACATACCATTAAGGTTTGATCATAGGTTCAATAACATCCTTACTTCTAGAACACAATCCAAGTCTCATTTGATTTGGTGTCTTGTCTCTGTAAAGACCCAATTATTTCATGTCCTCCTCCATTTGACGACGACAATCAAATCTCATCATACCAGCATACTTGCCACCATTTTAATTGATTTTACCATCTTCATCAAAAATCTAAATGAATTCCAACTTCTATCTTTATCCGCACTCATAATCGTTAGGGTCATGAGCAGGTGTGACTTTAACTGCACCTGTACCAAATGACATATCAACTAATTGATCATCTGCAATAACCTTTATCACTCTATTGCAAAATGGATGGATCAACTCCTTTCCAATCAAATGAGCATATCTTTTATCCTTTGAATTCACTGCCACTGCTGTATCACCCAACATTGTTTCCAAACGAGTTGTGGCAACCACCAACTCCTCGTTCGAATCCTTGACTTTATACGCAAAATGAGTCAACCAACCAAATTCAACTGGCTAAGCATGTCCTGGCACTTTCAACTTAGTTGGCTCCTTTATGTCCTCATAAGTCACTTCGATGTCTGAAATAGCTGTCTTCAATTAACAGGACCAATTCACCAATCTTGTTGCCCTATATATCAGCCCCTTCTCGTACAACAACACAAAGGCTTCTGTGACTGCTCTACATTAATATATTTCTATGCTTCTTACTTCTTCAATTACTCGTCCATTGTAAAGTGATACCTGTCCCAATCCAATGAACTACCCACTCTCCTCAATTACTCCAAGATCTAAGCTCCATGTCTATGTTAATTATCATCACCATATCTTACTTCTCCTTCCAATCCCAAACCTTCTCCAAGAACTTCTCTCTTCCCATCTCCCACTTATTCAATTGTTGCTTCGCCAGAGCCTTCTCCACAACCGTCTATGTTGCTATTCCTGCGTGGTCTGTTCCTGGTAAGTAGCATGTCGCGTATCCCCTCTGTCTGTGAATTCGTGTCAATGAGTCTTCTATTGCTGATGTCAATCCGTGACCCAAATGCAAATACCCAGTCACACTAACAACTTCATTCAAATCACTTACTTAGGAGGTGGCAACACCATCACATATCTCTTGTCGTTCTTCAATGCCTCCTCTGCAGTCACATGGAAATACTTCTTGTCCTCCCAATATTTATACCAGAAGCTCTCCACAAAACTAGGCTAATACGATTCAGGCATTTTAGATGCATCTCTTTTTAAGGCCAATATCTCCGCAGGACCTAAAACCCCTTCAATTCAATATTTTACTTAATTTGCTCAAATCTGGCACATCCTTCCCCTTTTGAGGCTCTGCTATTTTTACAGGCTTCTACTCAGCCTTGGCGGCTATGTGTTTCATAAAATCCTTCTCCTTCTTCTTCTCAAATGCTTTTACTCCAAATCTTGTAATCAATCTTGTGAACATCTCGTCAGATTCGTGCATTAAATTTAATTTAAAAAAAATTAATATGCATTTTATAAATTCTTTCATTTGTTTTCAATTGTTATTTATTCCAAATACCGAAAAATTCTATTATCCCTCAAATAACACTCAAAAAATGAACCATAGCAAGAATAATTCCTGAAAAATCAACTATATCCACTCCAGATTTACCTTAAATTAACTTTATTATAAGGAGTTTATTATAATTAATTTAATTTCACTCATTTTCACTCCCTATTTATAGAATTAATATACATGAACCACATCACTTATTATTACTCTTCTTTTATAGATGATTTTGATATTTTATACATCGATCTAGATAATGATAGGAAATAAAATAAGTGATAGAAATATTAGTAGGATACCATTTTGTGGATATTATACTATGAAATATCTATTCGATTATTGAGTATTTAATAAATATAGAGGCAAAATTTTAAACTATAATATACTGTAGTAGATTCAATTTAAAGTAGTCATAATTCTTTTTTGATAATTAATAACGCATTTGAATTGATAGATTAAGGATGTTTAAAGTATAAATGGTAGAGGAATTAAGTAATTTTAAAATCTATAACAATTGATGAAAAATGTGGAAAACCTTTGAATAGGCCTGTTGATCTTAGCGTTATAACCTATGATTATTGGAAAATCTAAAGAATAAAACTATATCAATCATGATTTATGAGAAGGGAAGAGGAAAAGATATATTAAATTAATAGAGTGTAATAAGGTATTAAGCATATCTTGATATTACACAACTAGGATGAAGAATAATATCAATTGGATTTAAAGATTCTTTAAAAATCAAAATTATAATGAAGTTTTATCAATATGGCGATATTTTTTGAATCAGCATATCTCATTAGTAAATTTAGGAGAAAATATTATTACTGTTCTTGGCTAATTAATAAAGCTTTATATCTTTAAAATAATATAAATTTTAATGAATAGTTTACAGTTATTTTAATAATATTGGATGCATTGACAATTGCCATTTTTTTATAATGGTTAATAATAAAAACTAGGATAAAATATTAAGACAAAACAGCGGTAAGTTTTTATTCAAGAATTCACATCATTTTTCTTAGTTTTATAAATGAAAATGCATTATCCTAGAGATTAAATTATATATTACTGCCACCTTAAGATATTGGTGTCATTAGAAATTCTCGAAATTAATTTTTACTAATTTTTGCAATAACATACAATTAAACTGAGGGTTGAAGATTATCAGAACTCCTCCTAGTATATTCTGTTTTTCAATTGAAGAGTAAATTAATCAGCTATATTAATGATATCCAAAAATTTGAATTTTTTATTTGGTCTTACGTTATTAGAAAATAAGAAATTAAGTTTAATAAAATTGTTTTTACATTTTACAAGTGTTTAAAATAATAGAAATGCAAGTCTTTATTGCAATTAATTGTGGTTTGGTCAGTTGTGGAATATTCTAATTCAAAGTAAATCACAGGATATTTATATTATAATTAAGATATATGTAATGATGTTGTAGGATGATGCACAATTTGAGTTAACTACTATTTCAAATTAGTAAATAGGTAATTTGAGAAAAAATACCTGATTATTAAAAATGATTAATCATTAATCAGAATCTGACCAAGTGAAGACGAAATCGATTTCAGATCATTCTTTAGTGAAATCTCATACCCAATCAATTAAAGATATAGATTTATCGGTTTATAGATGGGCAATTTTACTTTTGTACTACTTAGTTGTATTGGTAAACGGCGTACCCTATGAAATTTGTGTGCCCATAAGTTCATTTACTGCCAATATATACAATGTAACATTGGCTTTAGTTGCAACTGCCTCAACTGTATTTATGGTTATGCATCCAATATTGTCATTTGTAGCTGCATAAAGTATACAAGAGTAATCTAGTTAGCAATATCAAATTATGGATGGGCGTCAGCAACTAATTTAGGGGTTATTCTGACGATTGCAGGGTGTGCTATTAAACTATTGATAAACCAAGCAGGGTACATAATATAGATGCTATATCTAGATTTATAGTTTTAATAATTGGTTAAGTACTGTGTGGAATAGGAAGACCTTTTATTTTAAATTCCCAGGCATCAATGGCCATGAGTTGGTTTCATCCTAAGACTAGAATCATGATCATAACACTACTTAATGTGGTTAATACTTTGTCATTGGTGGTTTCTGCTCAATTGCCAGGAATCATCTTCAAGGGATATAATTTATAAGATGATACAGACTATGAGAATGGGAGAAGCAGAATGCAAAGTTTATGTTTACTTGAATTTTACATCAGTTTGGCCATCCTCCCAAGTCTATTGATGTTGAGGAGCCGACCAAAGGAAGTTCCAGTGAAAATAAACAAAATCGAAAGAAAAAGAGGGATGTTAAAAATAATGCTGAGACTGTTTAAGAATAGGAACTTTGTTTTACTGTTCATACCATTTAGTCTATACTTTGGGATATTAAAGGCTTATTTGGTGATTATGGAACTCTTGATGGCTCCCTACAAATACAAGACCGATTAAGTTGCTGGTGTTGGTATAAGAGTAATTAATATAACAAGTTTCATTTCCATTAATTGGTGGGTTGATAGCTTAAGGAGCATTTCCGTATTTTGTAAACAAGTATCAAATATAGAAACCATTTGTTCGTTTGTTCTTATTGTCCTCAACTTTAGCAATGGGATCTTTGTATTTTGCATTACAATCGAACAATGCGATCTACATTTATATAGTGATAACCATATTGGCAATGTGTGTGATGCCCATATTGCCTGTGATTATATATATGGGATGTGATTTGATCTCTCCAATCGAACCATCGTTTGCAGTCGGTGCCTTTTATATGGGGAGTATGTTGTTTTTCGTGGCCTTCACTTACATCTTGACATTCATAACTGGGAAGAACAAGGAGGATACGAGAGTGTTGTATACTAACATTTTCTCAACCGTAGTATTGGTGATTGGATTGTTGTGCAGTCTATTTCTAAGGATTGATAACTAATACTATGCCCTGGATGTAGAATAGGACAAAAGCTCGTTGGTGCATCCTCTGGAAAAGAATGAATCCATTCTTAAAGATGATTGTCCTTCAGTTTATAGAGGGACTCAGTCGAAGATGAGTATCCAACATCAAAAGGGATCTATGTTCAGTGTACATTATGAATATATCTTTAGTGTTCACATAACAACATCAGCATAGTGGGTGATGTGCCATTGATCCCAGGAGAAGAGGCAGAGGAACTTTTGGTATCAGAGTAGCAACAATGAGTTAGATAGTTCTATATTATTGAATTGGATAATCATTTAATTCAATAATGAGAAATTGAAGTATTCATAAACACTTATATTCATTTATTCAATTGCTTCTTCTTTAACTACTTTAAAAAGTTGAGTGCTTGAGTGCTTAATTACTCATTTAACTCAGTCTTTTGTATCTATTTGCCAATTGATGAAGTTTGCATTCTCTACGTAGATCGAAACAAAGATCTGGTTTGTGATTGCACTCTGCCTGACCTAAGTCGTTTTATCAGGTTGTTGAGTGCCTCTGGATTGTATACTAATTTCTTTTGCTTGATCTCTGTATCAGAGTTGTGAGGTGAGATGAAATACACATTTCTTGGTTTTGGGGGTTGTAATATATCTAAAATTTAATCATATAGGTGAGACACTCGAATTAAATCCTAAGCATCTACTTTCGAGTTCTCCAAGAGATTACAACATTGCTTAGCTTTCTCCCACAATTCATTTGGAGGAACTTAAGTCTTTTCTTAATCATCTATAGTCTTCGCATTTTCGTAGATTATCTCACTCTCAGCTATGTGTTTGCTGACGTTTGTCATATTTGTCATAGAGACTATTTCAAAAGGCATAGGTTTTATCTGAATCTTCCCCAAAAATGAATTTATTAATCTATTTTTCACTTTGTAATGTGCAGGATATATTCTCTTCTCTATCCTATGACATAAGAATTGATATGAGTAATCAGATGTAAAATACTAACATTAATCTAGCATTAATTTATATAATTTGATATTATTTATTAGACATTACAATAATTTATCACCATAATATATTAACCCTATGATTCGTAATGATCTACAATTTTTACTCCCTCTCCTATTTTATTCAAGATTATAAGAATTAATGACATCAGAATTAAATGATTAAATATATTAAGCCTAACATAGGTAGTTTTTCTTGATTAAAGCTTTTTAAAATACAAATGTTTATATCACTTGGTCTAGATATACTGAATGTCATTTTCAATATATAAGTATAAGTTATTCTAATTAATCAGAAGAATCATTGATATATTTATGTATATTCAATGTTACCTGCAATAGAAAGTATATTGATGTACTTTAATAAAGACAATCTCTGAAGTCTCAATTACAATTACAATTACCATAATTAATGAAGAGATTTGTAACTTTCAACTTTATGCTACTTATTAGTTTAATAAGAAATATCTTACATTTGTTTTTTTCATGTAATTGATAATTTAATAATATTAATTTTAATTTATATTAAGGTAGTCCATCCTTTTAACTGATATTAAAATTTAAGTGTTTCAATTAAATTCAGGACTTTTAACAAAATTTGTATTTTCCTTAACTTTCTTATTATTTGCTAAGAATATCATAAAGAAATATTGCATTTATTAACATTCACTCACAGGATTATAAAAAATGTATTCCATCTTATAGTATATCCCATCTTGGATTAAATTTATTTTTAGCTAATCAACATTTTCTTAAGTCCCTCTGATATTAATCTTCTAATATAAATAATCTGATTCAACCTAATTGATATCATAAGATCTAATTAAATGGCAATTCTGCTATACAATATTATACATCGGATTTAAAGATCATGAATATCTCCATTCAAAGAGCAGTATTAGTTGTTTAAAAGATATTAGTTAAAGCCTCAATCATATATAATTAATCTCTATTTGTCATGATATATATATGAAGATATAAATGCATATGTATAATAGTTACAATATATTAATTATAATTCACTTCTTAATTTAACAAGACTTTACTTTTTCTGCAAATCTAAGACTAGCAAGAGTCTATTAAAAGTCTTCTGATCTTGATGAAATGTTAACCATCATTAATGTCTTAGAACTTCCTTCCATATACTTGTACAATGAAAAAGTCAACTTGCTATTCCTAAATGGAACATGTTGCTATTTGGTATAAAGAGCATTAAAGACATCACCCAAGGCACTTAGTGATTTGTTAATTGCTTTGGTTTCAGTGAATCTGTCTCCTTCAGTTTTTGCTACATTTGCCCTTTCAGAACCAGCCAAATCTATCAAATTTAAAGTTGAATTGATTTGCTTATCTCCCAAGTGTCCTTACAAATTTAACTAAAATATAAAATGACTCCTAGAGGACACTTCGTTACTGAGAGTCTCCGCAACTTGTCTATTCTTTTTAGCAGTATTAAAATGTTCTGCAACTTCAAAAATGTCCTTAACATCTAATAATTTGACTTCATCACACTTTTAATTGGTAATTAGATCTCTACTCTACTCATTATAAATTTCTTGGAATCCAACTCTAATGGAAGTTTACCAACCCAATTCTAGCATTCCCTATCTCTCCTGAAAGATTTGCTCTACTGCCCTTGGTATCACACCCTTATTATAATCATCGCCCTGCATAGTATAGGTTTTGCCTGAGCCAGTTTATCCGTAAGCGAAAATGCACACATTATGTCCATCAACCACATTTTGAACTAAATCTGAGAGTTCATTATAAATTTCTTATTGGTCTGCTTCTTGGTTGAAGATGTGTTCGAAATTAAAACTGCTCTCCTTTTAACAATTAGTTGACTTCAAGAACCTTTCTGGGACTCGAAGTACCAACGTACACTCTCCATTTAATAGTAACATGTCCTCTTGTGAATTAGGTCGAATACGACAGTAGACACGTATGTTGCCTTTGGCTTCTTGGAGGAGATTGTTCCAATATCTCTTTTGATGCTCTGTGTCTTTGAGTTCTTATTGTAGTTAAATTTATTGTTGCTAACTCAATTTAAAATTGTTCATAAGTTGTTGCTTCAAGAATTTCTTCTGTTCAAGTTCTTCTTTGGTTTGTTGCAATTCATTAAGCATTCTCTCCTTGGCCTTTTGCATTTCCGCTATTTGGAATCTCTACTTGGTTTGTTATTCAAACAATTCTTGGATCATTTGCATTTGGCTCTATTGTTGGTTGAGTCGATTGGCATGGTATTCCAATTGATCCTATTGCTGATGGAACTGCTAAATTGCCTGTCTATCAGCCTCATCTAATTTGGACTAAAATTCTTATAGGCATTCGCGGGTAGTTTTTTGAATTACTTGAGTGAGTGGTTTGAATTCATCAAAGCTCTTTTTGAACTCTCCGATCTCCTCACTTTGAGCTGCAAGAATTCTATTTTTATGAGTGATGAGTTCAATCAACTTGTCCTCAATAACCTTGAGATGGTAAGCCCTGATATCCTTGAGTTCTTTTTCCATTTATAAAAATATTAAAACACTTAAACACAAAAGTATTTATCAATAAGGGGAGGTTCGAAGGAAAATTGTTTAAGCTAGAGTGTCACTATGCAATCATTCAATACACTCGTGAGGGGGGAGCAAATAATGGTACAGTTCGAAATTTACAAGTATTAAGAATGATAAAGACAATCAAACTATTGTCATCTGCAGTCGTTCTCATCACATAGGCATCCCCAATTGATGAGAAATTGGAGTATTTGAATAAGCTGTAGATGATGGTGAGTTATTTATGCAATAATTATTTATAAATATTAATTATAAGAATTTGAAAAGACAATGAACAACAATGGTAACAATAATAACAACACCAATACTAATGATGTTGATGAGATTGAAAAGATCTTACAAATGGAAATCAACAGCAGTGATAATGAATAATAAAATAACTAATAAAATGATTAAAGCAAAAGAGAACAAGTCGAAAAGTATTTTGATAGTATGACTGCATAAGACAAAATGCGTTTGTTGAAGAAGAGAAAGATCTGTGGCTTGGTGGAAGGCTGTGATACAATTGAGGGATATCAAAAACTCAATCGTATTCACGAGGGCGTGTAATGAAGTTATTATATTTAGTTATGGTGAAGTATTTAGAGCCAGAGATATGCTCACAGGAGAAATCGTAGCCATCAAAAAGATCAAATTTAGTCAACACATCGATAAGGAAGGATTCCCAATCACATCCATTCGAGAATTCAATTTGTTGCTCTCACTCAATCATCAAAATATTGTTAAGGTCAAGCGAATTGTTATGGGTTCCGATAAAGTATTCATGGTTATGGAATACATGGAACACGAATTAAAGGATCTAATTGAAAGATCTAAGTATCAATTCTCTACTGCCGAAATCAAATGTCTTCTTAGATAGTTGCTCCTTGGAATATAACACTTCCACTAAAAATCAGTTATGCACAGAGATTTAAAAACCTCCAATTTGCTGTATAACAATAAAGGATAACTAAAAGTATGTGATTTCGGATTAGGTAGACGCTGTCAAAGAAACAAACAATACACTCTCAAAGTGGTGACATTATGGTATAGAGCACCAGAGTTACTACTCAGCATCCCAAAATACAATCACAAAATTGACATTTGGTCTGCTGGTTGTATCTTTGGAGAACTACTACTCAAAGACTAATTATTCAAAGGTCAGAAGGAAATGGAGCAATTAGAACACATATTCCGAATCTTAGGTACCCCAACAGAAGAAACCTGGCCTGGATTAAAAGTACAACTCACATTTATATCAGAATATTACATTAGCCGGTCCTTTGAGAACCATCCCTAAATACCCAGGAGTCAAATTACAAGACATCATTTCAAAGGAATTTTAACTCTCCGAATGGGGTTACGACTTACTCAAGAAAATGCTGACATTAGATCCTGAAAAAAGAATTGAAGCCTCAGATGCCTTAAAACACCCTTGGTTTTCAGAATAACCATTGCCCTTGAGTGAAGATCTTATGCCAACCTTCCCTCCCTTGAATGAAGTCAACAGAGACGACGTTAGAAAGAAGGTCAAAAAGTGATAATTAAACACAAAAAATATTATGAAAAATTACAGAACCTGCACTTTTAATTTAATCTCTTTCATTTCTCTATAGAACGATCTTACTAAGTGTCAATTCTTGCATTGCAACTATAAGGATTGATATGATAGGAATAACCCAATCAATCAATATTTAGTTAGAAATCATAACATTATAAATTATTTTGAATAAATTAATCGATGAGAGAACAAAAGGAAGGATGTCTTTAATTTAATGAAAATATATTAAATTCCAATATGATGGTTGTACACATTAAATAATCTACATCTTCGGATTATATGGGAATAACAATAAACTCATAGTAAAGACAATAGAACTATGAGAATGTGTTATTATACATTATATACATTTTAAAGTTTTGTTATTGAGTACATTAGGACAAGGAATCAATTTGTTTTTAATCTCTACCATCTAAACTTTCTGATAGTTAGAGAGGTTAATGAAAAGAAGACGTATTGAGAGTCCAATAGAATATGATTTCATTTATCAAATTAATGTGATTTCTTATAATAATTAAATTCCTTTAAAATGAGGATGTGTATTTTGATGGAATGAAGTGGAATGCAGTCTAATTCAAAAGTATTTGATGGAATGCAGAATAGCAATTGTTTATGATAACATACGAAGAATTAAATAAGCATAAAAGAGAGATATCATTATAAGGAAATAATATAGAAAATGTAATTCTACTTAAGATTAATTGCATTGACCAGAAGGAGACTAAAAATATTGGTAGCTATCTGAAGAAATAATTGTACATTGTAGATATTTGAGAAATACTTAATAGGTATTCTACAATGATAATGATGGCACAAAAATGGGAAGGATGATGAATGGGATTAAATGAATGGTTCTATGAGGATGCATGCGATGGGAGTGGGATCTTGTGATTGTGCACAGAAAGGGGAGAGTTGGTTTGATCAAAAGGTGTGAGTAACTATGATATATTCATATATTTTAATATTAATGATTGAAGAAGAGGATTCCACCTTCAGGGTAATAGTGATATTGCTCAACTCATTGTCTTTGACCTTTACTATTTTTATGTTGCTGTTTATCTGCACAATAAAACAGCTTCATGAGAGACAGGGTCACACGATTCAAATAGTACTCATTTTAGAATGCATGTACTCATTTTTCTTAATTCTTTCGCAATTTTATTTTGATGAAACGGACGTGTATGAAACAACATTTTTAGTGAGCACTGATGGTGCAGGTTGCCTTACTATAGGGATACTGAATGTGTTCACATCGTTTGCTTATTTTACAAACATCAACCTCTACTCTTTGGAATCGGTAGGGATTTTGAGCTCTAGCTTCACCAAAAATTACAAGATTAGACATTTGGCTGTTGTGTCAGGTTCCACATTTTTTGCACTTTTGGCTTTGTTGTCGAAAGCCATAGGATTCAACAAAATCGGTATGTGTTCCCTACTCCCTGGGAATTTATTTACAGTGTTCTTGTTAATACTTACATCTGTTACCTTCATCATAATAGTTTGGACTTGTACATAAATTCATCGATTACGAAAAGTGTTGGGCAAAGACTTGACTTCGCACATCCAAGAAAAAAAGTATAAGGTGAATTTGGTCTACATCATAACATTCCTGATCATTAGAATACTACCGGTATCGTACTCCAGTCGATTATTATAGGCATTGGTCTTGACCATCATATCCTTGGCAGACAGCGACACGCAAACGTACACTGCGGCTTTCTATGTATTGGCAATCCCGATGTCATTAGGAGGAGTGTGTCTGAGTTTGATCAGATCTCAAGAACCAACGATTCAAGATTATTTGAACAGGAGAATGCAAAGATAAAAATCCGGAATTGTGGAACTTTCGTTGCCCAAAGTGGAAGTCAGAGCCTTGAGTGATACCATTTCGAATTTGAGCACGGAATCGCAAATAATCAAAACCCACTATTTCTCGTATCTTCAGGGAACGACCAGGGACAACAGTGTGGCCTATCGGAAGACTTGTTTGGACAATGAAGAATTGTATAATTTAGAATTATAATTCAAGGGTTGCAAAGCTGACTTCGCAGATGGAAAATAATCAGACAAAGTTGAAATTGAGTGAATTCCTGCTCGTATTCAAAATAATCCGAGAGATGAACATCGACGTGATCGTACCTTCAATCACCTCCACTCTCACTCATTATCACATGAAGCACATGAGACAGAGGATCTTGTACTTCGATAACGATGCTTCCCTCAATGCATCCGAGATCGTGTGCACCAGCTATTCGGAATCTGTTTTCTTATAAATATAATCAATCGATTCATTTATGACATCATTTGATGAACAATCAAATAAAGTTTTTGTAGAGTCATTACACAACTCAAGATTGAAATTATAAACAAACATCCTAACCACATACGATGGAGAAGTACTTATCTCCATTATTAATAATTAAGCCAAGAGATATTTAACAAGGCATCTACTCTCAGCTATTTACAATTTAAGTACCTAAGCCTAAAAGTCCTTCATCCCTCCCATGATAGGACTCTACTCTATTGTAAACGAGAGCAATCAATACACAATCCTCATCCAGAGAAATCTGCTCAACGCCATCATGCTGGAACAGCAGGGCTTCAAAATCTAAGGCTTCTTCACCTATCAACTCGGCCAAGTCGATGAGGAAATCAAAGGAGGAGGCAACGACATCTACGCCAAGATCAAGATGACTCCCAAAGTCAAACAGGAATTCCTCAACACTCTCAACCAAGACCTCGCAATCCTCAGAGATCAGTTCCTCTGGGGCTACTCCTTCAACGTCATCTACTTGGAAGGCGAAGAGAAAACCAACACGCTCCCAAGCATGTACAAGACTCGCAACGGGTATGCAGTCGCCAGCTTGGGAGGAGTCCTGGACTAGTTCTGGATCTCCCACAATGAATCCTCTGCCCATCCAGAACTGTACGCATCTTAATTAGCTTAACAAATTGATTTATTATTATGATAGCCTCTTGCTTGTTAATTATTTATAATCATTAATTCATCATGTCTAGTAATTGATCATACTGATAAGCATCCAAACTGGCCAAATCCTGCTCATTCAATCCCAATTCCGAATTGCAGTTGCTTCAACTCACTCTGATTCAAACTCTTGTCCAAATCAATCTATAGTACTGACTCTCAGTCAATTGCTTCCAATCATACTCTCCCGTCTACTTCTTCTTGTCTCCAACATTAAACTTCCCCATGATCTATTAATTGTATCCTTTCAATAAAAAGCTTATTGTTTGTATTCCTTAATGATTTACTACTTGTAATCAGATAAATACTACTGCATTTAAGCTTTCTATTTAGTGCTCACAACATGCGGGTAATTGAATTAGATCTTTATTAATTCTATCTCTTCCAATATATTGTACTCCTAGTTGGCTATTTAATTAATGCAATAGAAATATTAAGCAATACAATAGTAGTGTATTTTCTTGGAATTTCATTTCTCATGTCATCCTGAATCTAACCAATAAGCAATTTTCTCAGAAGATTTTTGGAAAACTTGTAAGGTTGAAAAATCTGGGAAATCCCTAATTCATATATCTCATCAAGCGTTGCGCGATATATGGTTTTTTCGAGGATATCAATCAGCTTCAATCTCCTATTTTCAATCTAACAAATCAAGGCAATCCATCTCTCATTATAATATAGTGCAATAATTCATAGGAACTATCAGCTTACGATCACTGAATTCTGTGAAGATTGGAGTCACTACATAGGGTTCGATCATAGAAAAAGAATCTCTTGATTATCCCCTTTTTGGATGTGCTAATAAAGTTATTTTAAATTCTTATTATTTATAATTTCTAAGCATTAATTAATGCATTTCAAAATTACAGAAATAAATTTCATTAAATATTTGGAGATGCATCTGAATAACTTATAAAATTAAATGCCACACACACACACACAAATTATTCAATCACATGTTTCTTAATTGCTAATCTTACATAGGATAATAGTTTTGATATGACAAACGGATTGACCTTCTTCGCATAACATAAAATAGCATTACAACTGCCAGTAAACTTGCTATGACGATAACGGCTATAATCCATCCAACACTACAATATTAATTAAATAAATTACCTGGCAGATTCCTTGATTGGTTCGTAGAGTGATTTCAAAGTAACTTATTTAGAAGCATTACTGAAATCGTTGAGTAAAGTGATGGTTAATTCTTACTTCAGATCCAATTCGACCGTGTTGGAAACTGCAAGTATTGGCTAATCCTTGAGAGCATAGAGATTCACGCATATTTTCTCCTTGTATCGTACCAGATTAGTCAAGACGTAATAGGATATATTGTCAGTATGAAGTACATACACTACTGGAGGTGTACCCTGAGGTAGGACATCGTCTCTGATGCCAGAAATAGAAGTCAATGTTGTAGGTGTGGTTATTTTTTATGAGGTAGTAGGGATAATGTAAAACAACATGACTGTCTTGATTCCATTGGTGTAAGGAATGCACAATTTGTTGGATTTAATGGATCCTGCTGGCAGAGTTTTCCAACCACCATATTGATTGACAATGAAAAGGATGTCACTGGAATGATACTCGTAATTGAAGTCAAAGGAGAATTGCATTCCATAGGAGGCAACGTTATTAGTAATCACAATCATCTTGAACAAGATCTATTGGGCTACGGTTTTCTCAATCTCAGAGTATGACAATAACTGGATGAACTTTGTATCTGATTGTGCATACTAATTGTGATTTGTGATTTCATTCTATAAGTTGCGAACTTGAGAGTTGATTAAACTCATGGATCCGTTCTTAATTTTATAAAACAGGAACAATATTTAATTGGTTGAGTCTAAGAGTATGATTCCATACTCAGGCTTGTTGTCAGTGTATATTTTGGAGACAAAAAAGTAATTGACTCCTTTACAAGGGGAAATAGATTCGATTTTAGTGGTAGACTTCCACTCCAGAGTCCATGAAGTCTAAGTGTAGGTGATGTGATAGATCATTATTTCTGAGGGAGTGCTAAGTATCAGGAATTCTTCCTGGATCAAGTACATTTGACCAACAGTAGACACTTGGATTGTTTTAGTCTATAATGGAGAGCAGGAATATGAACTCTTACAAGTGATCATTAATAAATTAGTAGTCTTTTCATTTTTGCCTGCCAATATCATGTAATGTTGTTAAGGATGGACAGCGACGCTATAAAATTCTTGGGGCAAATGCAAATCCAGAGTCGATTTGAGATTGGCATCTATAATTTGGAGTTAATTCTTATTCAATGCAACATGATGGTCATCATCAAATTTAGTTATGACACTTGCATTGCTAAGAAAGTTGTAGGTAATAGGAAATATTGGTTCATTGAGTACTATTTCTTTTGGACATTATTTACATTGTACCTCAATATCCACCACTTGACCCTTATACCAATCACTACCCAGGGACAAAAAGTTGGTCTGATTTTATTCTCCTAACAGAACCTCTTTGAAACCTGCATCTGTGATGGACACATATTCCATTCGATTAATTACTGTAATTTCAGTTGTAAAATCCAACTAATTGAAGGAATTGGAAACTGAAAATGCTTATTCGACTGACTGGCAATAATCAGTGAACTTTTCAGGAGACCTCAACAAGGCGTCTGCTTGGGTTCTCTACAAAATTGAAAAGAAGTGATTGAATTTCTGATATTGGAAGAAGAAGAAGGATGTTTAGAATCCATCAGCTGACAGAATAATATTCTTGAGATCTCCAGATAAGGATGTATCGATCACTTAAAGTAAGGAATCGTGAGCTTATGACTCTGGTTGATACACGAGGAAACTTACCTTACTATTGGACGATTGACAGGGTAGGAATAATAATCCATTGTGTTTAGATTGGACTGCATAATTTGGATCAACAATCTTATATCCATATAATGGTAATGATTTGGTGGGTTTATTTTGCTATGGAGTCATCAAGTACTCTGTTATCGTAGTTGAATTCACAACAGTGAAGGAGTTATCATAAATGGAAACATATATGTCTTAGTCGTAGTTCATGAAGTACTCTACCTCCTAAGACAAAAAGTTGAATCTGTATACAATCAAAGTGGACTTTGTTTTTACGATCAAAATTTAGCTGCTGTGATAGGGATTATTGAATATTTGCAATCCAGGTTCTGGAGGAGTGATCTTTTCAACCAACTAGCCTAGTTCATAGACATCGATTTCTCCATTGGATAAAAGGACGAACACATTCTTTTGAGAACCCAAGACTTGAACCACGGTCAGTCCTTTATTCTTGATTGTTTAAACGTGATGGATCTTCTCCAGGGATATTTCCCAGATCTCGACTTCATTTGGTGCACTAGCAAAGGCGAAATAGATGTCATCATCATAGATCCATCCTGTAAAGGTGTTTCTGGTCAACTAGACATCATTGTCTATCTCAATAGATAATGGTATGCAGTCACACTTAGGCAAATACAAACTGCATCCCCATAATTCCATAGTCAGACTCTTCCTCTAAAATACCATAATTGATAGATGTTGGTCAGTGGAAATGGTCTCCTAAAACACAATGTCAGTTGGAAGTGTCAGATGCACTTGTTCAATTTGTCTATAAAAATTCAAAATGATATCCGTTTGTGTTGACTCCTATAGATACACCTGATTCGGTCCAGACAAGAATGGATCAAGATATTCAAAATATAGACTGCCTTGTATGGCATTCTTGAACAAGGCGGGAGTACTAATTTGATATAGATTTTGATCTGAATTGTCCAAAAATTGATATGTTATTTTAGATACTTCTAATTGCTATATATTTTGGGCATCTGTGTAAGTTGCTTTCAATGTGATTTGGGATTAACCACTTTTTGAAGATTTGGATGATCCCTGCAAATACCCGTTGCTCAATATATATCTATTGATGAATGTTTTCTCGACTTCGAGCAAAGTAGAATAGATACCAGAGACCAAGAATTGGTTGCCATTCCAAGATTTCGATTTCACGATTTGTTTATCATTCAAATTAATCTGCAATAGAGCCTTGTCTTATTGCACAAGTGTGTATTGGTTCGATATTCGCACACTCTAACCCACTACATTCATCTCTATGGGTTGATTCACAAAATCGTTGTAGTAATACAATTTCCCATTTTGAGTCAGGACCACCAATTCAAATTTCTCGTTCCCATTCAAATCCGACACAACGTTCACATCAAATGCCACTCCTTTGCTGGTCAATAGTATTTGGAGATTCAATTTCCACTCCTCCTTGTATGAGAGGATCGAGAGTCTGGTCTCTTCAAGTACATAGACGAGTCCAAATTTTGATATGAAATCAACCAACTTGAATTGATATGACTTGTCTTTTATTTGGGCCAATTTGATCATCACAGTTGTATTCAATGTATTGCTTGAGGTTTTGAGAGTGTTCAAATTGTAAACATCGATTATTGAGTACTCAGCACTTGATTGCCCGAGGAGCACAAAATCATCATCCAGAACATTCATTTTCCTAAATGTCAATTGGGATGGGGCAATGCTGTTTTTATCAAGGAGTTTGCTTTGCTTAGTGCCTGAACCTACTTACAAAAAATAAAACAAATTGAATTATTTCGAATCCAAACAATCTATGATGAGAGTGGTGTCATCGATGAAGTCAAGAGAATAACAATTTTCATTCAATTTCTATGTACCCTAGAATTATGGAGTCTCCACTGGCAATGTCCTACTTATTCATAATATCATACTATTTTGTCCAATACACAGTATTCTATTAATCTAAGACTGCAAATTACGTAAATCTGCTATTGCTCACTACACTCTTTGGTTGATCGCTCATTGTGTGATTCGACGCACCTAATTAAAGACATACTCACTCCCCAATACCTGTCAACTGTATGCTGTCTACGATGTTGAATGGAGAATCTATTGGTGTCAATTCATAACTTGGGTTGTCAATGCTTCCAAAAATATCTTTAAGGTCATAAATGCACAACTCATTCACCAATGGGAATATTGTGAGATCTCTTGCCAAGCCTAGTGTAATCAATAGTGGAATAAACATATTTTAAAATTTTAATATATTAACACTAATTATATACCAAATTAAATAAATTTCAGAATAATCTCAAAATCGATATTAATAATTACATTAAAATTCGCTCATATCACCATTTTATAAAATGTTATATAAATATATATTTGATTATATAAAAATATTCAATCACTCACTATTCATTCAATTGATAGATTATGAATTTGTTGATTCCTCCTTAAATCAAGTAATTGCCCTCGTCTGTCATTTCAATCGAAAAATGATCATCCTTCAAATCAATCGATTACAACACATTCAATGAACTAGTGGGCTTATAAATCATTGTAACTTTATTTAGCTGTTTCTAAACCAAGATGTTTCTTGTTTTATTGTAAATCAATGGACTAAATTGCCCATCAGATCCATTGTCCTCCAAATTCATTTCTGTTAACTTATTTAACTGCTTTTGACCAATCTCAAATACTTGAATTGAATTCGCGTTGTGAGGCACCCAAACAAATTTGCAATTGTATACAAAGCACACCTTCTTGCCATAAACACTTTAACCAAGCTAGTACTTTTGATACCATTACTAGTTCTCCTTAATCTCCCAAACGATCACCGTATTATCCCGACTGGTCGATACCAGCAGAGTGTTCTAATCATTCAATGAAATCTAATACACTGGACCCTTGTGATTTCTCATCACTTGCCCACATCTCCATTCTGATCTGATATAATTCCAAACTCGTATGGATCCGTCATCACTGCTTGAAATCATGCCTTCTTCACTTTTGTTCAACACCAAACAATTAATTCTTCCTTTATGCTCGTTAAACCTGCCTACCGCCTTCCATAGATACCAAACCACAATCTGAGCATCAGTGCTTCCAGAAAAAAAAAAGTTCTATTTCCTACTGACACACAAACTAACTACATCTCCACTATGCTCCCTAAGAACCCTTTGTTGATTCAGTACTCCCTTCTAGAATTCCCAAACGAATATGTCATTCTTGGAAGTTGATATCATAATGTTTCCACTTTGATTAAAGGCGATGGCTTAGCAGGGATCCTCGATATTGACCTCACTTATCTTCTTGTAGTATGTATCCATAGTATTTCCGTCCTCTTGAGTCGAATTCCCTTTGGTTAGTGACAGCTATTTCTCCAATAATCCCTTCTAGGGGTTCTGATTAAAAAACTTATCTAAAATTTCGTATAACTAGGGTTTTAAGTTTAGGATCAACTTTTGTAAGAACCTCTCCTAAAAACTCGTTAATGAGCTGAGTCGTTCTCCTAAAATTTAGAGCTGTGACAATCCAACGATACTAAAGTTGTCTTGCAAAGGACTAACTCTTTAATTGATTTCAATTTAAATTGATGCTATGGATGAATTAATCTCTTAGACCAGCGTCTTCCTTAAGGTTTCTAGTTGCGCGATAAGAACATAAGGCAAAGCCTCCTTGTTGTTTTATTATTCTTAATAGAAAGCATTCAGTCTCTCAAAACTCTATTTTAAACTAACAGGCTTTTTGCCCTAACATTCCACGCATAATGTTCTCCTTCCCAAATCAATATTCTCCTCTATGTCCAGTTGAATGATCTATTCGTTATGTTCAGGACACAAGACCTCAATATTCATTGTCAAAATAATTAAATAAACAAAATAAAAGAATAAATTATAATTTATGAGAACTGCTATGCTATTTTGGAAATGACCTGAAAGACAAAGAGATTGTAAATTCATTTAATACCTTAATACATAATGTATTTCATTTTGGAATAATTCTATTTATTAAATCAAAATATCGTAAAATTATGTACAAGAACAACATGCTCGCCATAACAACAAATAGAGTATCCTTAGAACTCTTCATTGGTTGAGCCTCCTATTTTTCCTTAGATATGCTGTGCGTCTTTCGGAAGTTTAACTTAGGTAATAATCAAAACAATATACTAGTTATTATTCTTGTTAAGCTATTTCCTATTGAAGAAATTAAAAATTTGGTTGACTAGGATTGGCTTGAAATCTAGTTTACTGCTATTGCGGTTCTGCATTATTATACTGTAACTATAATTCACTGTTCTATTTATGAAGTGATTGAAACACTTGATTATCACTTCCAACACCTTGTGAGACAATCTTCCTTTCAGGGGTTTGGATGACGATGCTGATTTTTTGATGATTAAAGGATCTGCATAAGTCCTTGAAGATTGGTGTGGGATCTGAGATTCCTGAGAAGATCGGGATGGAGATCAATTGCAATTTTTCATTAAAATCATTTATCGATGCATTTTGAAGGACTTTACAATGAAGAGTGACAATGATGAGTTGGTTTTCTTTAGGTTACACGATTCCAAGTGGTGGTCTGACTAAGAAGATATTTCTATTTGAGGCTTTGAACTAAAATTCTGATTCATAGTACCTTGTATGCAATTGGAGTAAGGCTATCATTGTAGAGGATGATGGTGCATTGCATATTTTCATACTTGTTGTAAGTGAATTCAACATGGTTGGAACTTAATCGAAGTAGTTGCATTTAAATTAATTATAAATTTTACAATAGAATTTTTGAAAATTATGAGAAACTAAATCAGGACTAATTTGTTTAGTTAGAATTAAGTTGAAATCGATTAGTCTAAAAATTTAATAAAATTTTCACGTATTGCAGGAATTGAGACATTTCCCATTAATAAAGTCAATATAAATTAAAATATGTTAATATAAATAATTTTGTTAAGTGTTGGTTATGCACAATTAGAGTATGTAAAGGAAGTGATAAATTCATTGGCAGACCAGGAATGCAATTTTAAAAAAAGAATTGTTTATGGACAATAAAAACTTCATCGCTTATCAGGAATTTACTTTTGCGATTCATATGCCAAAAGAACATGTTGCAGCTAACAAAATCTAGAAGAACTCAAATTTAAGTACTCTTAATTATAGTATGTCTTAGGTGGTACAGAGAATAGCAATAAGCAGTCGAACTCACTTAATAATGTTAGGAAATATTTATCAAGACCATTTGCTCAGATTGCGATGGAGATATTGGGCAACAAATAAGGGTTGGATTCTGTCCTCACTATTGTGCTCAAATGTATCAAGCCTGTTGGAATGACCTATTCTAATTTGATGAAAAAACTTAGAAATTAAGACTATGCTATTAAGTAAGATCATGTATAATTGTAGAATGACGTGTTTTGTTCCGAACTGAGAAATATTGTAAATAGCGGAGATTAATTCTGTACCTCATTAGGGTATAAAGTGAATTCTTATACAGATGTGGATGAGTGGTTGGAAAATAAGTATTTGAATTTATCCACAAATCCTTTGTGCTGGGATGGCACTCCTTCGCATAGAATTTGGGGAGCAGATACGAAATTGCCAGAAACAAAAGTGAGTACTAAGAGCAAGAAAAAATCTACAAAAGAGGAATAGTAATCCTACTTAGGCCTTATCATATTTATTGTGATTATCGTAATACTAATAGTAGTATCCTATCGTGCCAATATATTTCAAAAGAAATGATTAATGTATGTACGTATTTTAATTATGTCACAACCTCTCCTACAGAATTTGTATTTAAGTCAATAAATTAATATAAATATAATTCTGCTGTTTTTGAATTGCAAACTAATTAATTTTCGTTATGTTACTATTTGATCAGTATATGATAATACTTTAAGAATGATATATAATACAACTAGGGAATCAATTATTTTCGTTATATTTATGAAATTGTCTCATTGTTTTGTTATGTTATTCATCCATAAATCAATAATACTGCAAATAATAATTATGATTAGATGATAATTATACAAATTAACAAGAATTTCAGTTTGAATTAAAATATTTGAATAATGATAAATTAATGGGATGAGTGAAATAAAATTCTATTTAACTAGTTATTGAAATCAGAGTCTCTGGTTGAGTCTATTTTAGAGGATATGATCAATATTTTTGAAATCAAATTTGGTTTAGAATTGTGGTCTATTTTCTTTGTTTGAGGGTTCTGATGAGTATTGACTCAGTTTTTGTTATGGGTAATCAGGTTAAGAGAATCTTCTCTCTCTAACTTGGAATTGCCTTTGGTTGATGATCGATTAAGCGTGGAAATACAGATCAGGTTGGCAGTCAAGCTTATGTTTTGGTTCATATTTTTTGTGCCAATCTGTGAACTTGTTTGGAGTATACCTTGTGGAGTGTTCTTGAAGCTGGTTTTAATGCTTGGAGTAGGATCTAATTGGATATTATTACATATGAATAAATATAATTAAATTATTAGATATGGTAAAGTTGCTATCCAAATCACCAGTGGCATTAAATAGTCCAACTTTGTAACAATGGGACAACAGTTTCAGAGAGAATTATGAGATGTATTAAACAGAGATTGACAAGAATACCTATGCATTGTAGAGAAGCATAAGGGGGTTCTGGATATTCGGAAAGGCATTCTACCCTGCTTTGACTCAACACTACAGTCAGAAATTGGAGCTATATCAATTGAAGTAGCAATTAGGAAAGGTATAAAGTGGTATTATTTACATTTCAGATCGAATAATCAGAGGTGAATTTGTACAAGACAGTTGACCCAAGCATCAGCACCGTATTGAATAAGACATTCAGTACTCAATGGCTTTGGTGGAATCTCTAAGACATATCCATTACAGCTGGGCTACAAGTGTATGCTCAATTGTTTAATTTTGGATACTCATGGCGATTCGGATTCTTGGTTCTACCATATTGTGCCAGAGTAAGAAATCCCTTAACTCCTAGGTCTTCTATGACTACGCAACTTCATATTAAAATAAGTCGAGGGCAGTCGAATTTCTGAACTGGGCAATTCAATACAGAAAGGCAAAGAGCCAGATCGAAAGGGGCAGCTTGGATCCACAAGTGGTGGAGAGATATTAGGCTCTCTTTGGAAGTGTGAAGAAGGGACCACTCTAAGTGTATGCAGACGTAGTTGAATTGGCTACTCAACAAAACCCCAATTTGTGATGGATAATATAAATGATATAATGAATATTGATCATTAGAATAATATTTACTTCACAGTCTCTGACAGCAAAGCTCCAGCCAACTCCACTGAGAACTTTTGAGCCTCCTTGATTTGCTGCTTCTCATTGGTCTATTGTCCACTCCCTTGGTAGGGCTGATCATACTTAATGAAGCATTTGTCCTTCAAATCACATAGGCACTGTCTAAAATACAACTTTAATTCTATAAACATGAAGATCTACCTGATTATCCTCCAGAATGGACTATGACAATCTGACACCCCAATATCGTTCCCACAATCCCTAAACAATCTTACTGTCGATAGAATTGCTAAATATTTCAATATCCAAAGAATAATATTTGTCATGATAGGCTCCAAAATCTTTGATCTTTTGAGTTGGAATTCCGATATTGTCATCCTAATTCTCTATTATGGAATAATGGATTACATTTTAATGGTCTATATCCATCAGGGTACACTCTAAATGCGCCAATATCTACCTTTTAATTGGTCATGGTTCTGATTGGATCAATCACAACAGCAACAAAAGCTCCATATCCCATTTATTACAATCTCTAATTCTAGACATCAGTGCCACTGAGCCAACATCCATAACTTGGATGAGAATGGTACCATCCTACTGTAGGATGCACTCTTCCCACAGTTTCCAACATTTCAATCATTTACACGTATTCCCCCATGGCTTCAGGTGCTAATCATTTATATACAGGATATCTACTTAAGGTGACATTCACTTCGCTTGCCTCTGCATTTAAATAGATTACATCGTAAATGATGAAGGTTTCCTTGTCACATCTACCTTACATCAGACCCATCACCTCATTATTCTCTATTTGTAAATTAACAATCAAATACTTCCAAGACATGCATGAATGAGCATTTTGATCACAGCAGCAATTGATATTTTGCATTTCTTGAAATAGTTAGGTGAACTATCCCATGGCTTTTTGTCGATGAAATCGTTCTGCTCATCCTAATTAAAGTGATAAATAGATTCATCTGCCAATATGTTATTTCTCTCGACAAATTATTGAAAATCGACTTACTCTACTTACATTATTATTTTATTAGAATATATAATAATAATATTTATTCAATTGATCAATCAATTCTTTTGAGTAATGTACTTAGAGTCTAATCCAATTCATGCAAAGAATGTAAATAACTAAAATGATTCAATCTTTATACTTTGAACTCAATTCACCAATTTCCTTTTTTGACATCTGACTCAAACCATTACTGATCTTAATCAAATCAGAAACACTCACGTATCCCTCCTATTTAATCTTGCTAAAAGAGTTCTAATTTTCCTTCCACCAATTTGCATCAAATTGAACAAATGGTTAAGATGTAGATCTTTAGATATAAGATTGTTCATAGCTGGTTTTCATGATTTGATTACTCTTCATGGGCTCCTACTTCTGCACATCCTGTCTTAGTTGGGTGCTCTTCAAAATAAACGACAATTATTTGCTCGAATTCTTTCTGCAAGGAGACTTTTCTTTAGTGTTATTTATTTTTGCCGACGTCACCTATCTTACGTAATTCCTAAACTCGATCAGTTCTTGCCTCTGAGATTATTCGTACATTCAAGTAACCGTTAATAAAAAATATTAATAAATCTCAATTTGATCAGGACTACTCATTACACCATCTTCACCACTACTATGGGCGGAATCTTATATTCAAAAACCAATTGCTGTAATGTCTCCTACGATATCACTTAAGGTCTACCATAATTACTCATTAGCTATCTACTCATAGATCTGACTCACTATATCCATAAGCATTAATCACTTAACACATGATCATTCCCAGGGCGATTTCGATGATTCCTACATTAGGTTCTTTCATTCAACTGCTACGCAATCTTGCCAAATTCTTGCTAACGATTGTTAAGTTAGGTAATTTTGGTTTATATTTTGCATTCTTTTCGCTTGGAGAATTATTCACTTATACATTATGTAGCAGATCATAAAGTTATTTATCTCCTTAATCATTAATAATAATTACTAAATTTCTACTAATTTCAATTAATTAAGTATTTCTTAATTATTTGATAAGACAGTGAAAACTAAATTGATAATTGAACCAATCAATTTACTTGAATTATAATCTAAATTTAATTATTTTTAGATAAATTTATATCCTATATATTTAGCATAATCAGAGAGGTTAAAAAATATCAATGTTTTAAGGTCTTCTTCTGCCATAGACAGATTGCATTCCTAGAATTAGCAGTTCGCCAGCAGAGGATATGCTGATGAAGGAACTGGAAGAAAATTTATAACTCTCATCCAGAGATAATGTATCATCTTTGTCTGAATCACTATCTGAATCAGAGGAGGAGTCCTCATCATCATCTTCCAAATCATCGTTCTCATTAGGAAATTTATCAATCAGACAGGTTGTCCTTAAGTCTCCGTTTTGATAAATTGAGGTGAAGTTGAATTTATTTTCAAATCTCAAAGTCATAGTATTTGAAATCGGCAATACAAAGCCAACCTGAGTTTTCAATTTTGAAATGAATTATATAGATAACTCGACTCTTGTATCGATTCTATATGCTACTATAACATGCTCATTTGATGATATTAATTCCCCTTTGATGTAAAGAATATTTTTGTCATAATCAACTTGCAGGTTGTCAAAATCAATCTCTTTAAAAAAGAACAATGGTAATTTTCTTTACAGAAAGATATCTAATTCATTTTTGTAATTATAAACATTGCAAATGATTTTTTACTTAGAATCAGTGGTGAAAATTAGAAAATAATGCTCAAAAATGACAAACTCAAGTATTTTAACTTATTTTAGAGAAAAAGAGCTGATCAAATCCTAGAATGGGAAGGATATGCTATACAGGCATAAATCACCAGTTTGTGTTAGGACAAACACAAAATCCTTTTTTTTTGGAGATGCAAAAATATCCAAGACGTCTTTTGCGTCCAATTCTTCTGGTTTACTTATCTCTTTTCCAGTTATGTTATAAAACGATACCTCTTTGGATATTAGTAAATAGAAGTGATTGTTATCAGACACAACAACAACCTTTTCCATTTGATCGCCCTAAATCTTTCTCAGTCTTTTTTAATCATAGGTATTCATGATATCCAGATATAAGTAACAGGAAACTTATGTACAATGAACATAATTAATCTTATCATCTTGGATTTGAAATGCCGTATTGTATCTATTGATGATTTCATCTTATATTGATTACTTTTTAAATATTTTCAAATTGCCATTTTCGATCAATCCCAAAAAGATAAAGGATCTTGAAAAGGCAAAAATAATTTTAAAACTATCTAAATCGAATACTCTTACTTGATAAGAAAAAATAATTGACAATTTATTATATTGATTAAATTCCTACATTCCCATGAGGAGTTCATCATACTGGCATTTTTGAAATAAGAGTAAATTGCCTTGAAATATAGTTGAGACCGCTACAGTTCGACTGATATTAAGAGTATTAACATGGTTGTCGTAATCTGATGAAATTAGTAATTGTATGTGTTTGAAACTATCTTTGACTTAAAGATTAAACATCAAGGTGTCTTAGTTACTTTTTTTTCTATTAATTTCAAAGAAAGGGGTTTCATAAATCAAATACTTTACATAATGAGTAAAATAGACCAGAATAAATTGATCTTACAATTGATTGGCAATGATTTAAAATGAGATCTCGAACTTTTGAGTACTAATGATTCGAAGCTTTTTTGTAAAGAGTGTGATCTCTAATCCATCCCGCAAAATGATAAAGCTTTTTGTCAAGAATACTTGTGTATCATGGCTCTTCTCAAGATTTATTTCATATGTTTCACTACCATATTGTATTTATTTAGAATGGACTGTTACGAAGGACTTTGTTTTCAAATCGTAATCATAAGATAAGATATTCTCATCAAAGGAGTGGCATTCACTACTCATTGTCTTTAAATCATATGAGATTAATTTGTTATCACTACTGAATGTCAGCTATTGATCTTGATATACTTGCAATAGTGAAACTTCCTGTTCAATTTCCAATGCTTGGTCTTTACACTTATAATCAACCCTTTCACGAGTGCATAAATTATTCCTTTACAAATCAGTATGGAAATATATCGAATTATAATTATTGCTGAAAGCGGTGTTGTTTAATTAGGCTAATTAATCAGGAGAGGGACATGCCAAATCTTTCGAACCAAATCTCACTGGCTTTGAATTAATATCCCATAGAATTATTTCCCTATTGTAATTTATCATAATATAAGTATCCATCAATAAAAGTTAGTATTTATTATCTTATAAAACAGTTTATAAAGTATAAAATTCAGGTTCTTTATCCCAATAGAACCTCACCAATATCATAACCTACTCTAAACCAATGATCAATGATGATTATCGAGGCATTCTGCTTTTTGTGGTTTTATATTGTTACAAAAACAGAACTTTCTATAAGCCTACCTAAAAAAGTTGTATATACTAAGTTTTTTTCATGCCTACAACTTGAACAACATTTTCAACATCAGAACAAATGATGAGCGAAGCAAAAGGGTAATTGAGTTCATTATAAGAAAGTTAAACTATTTCTTAATTTGACAAAGATATTGAAATCTCTTCATATTCAGCATCATCAGCATCTTAGCAAATTTAAGATCTGATGATTTGAAACAAAATAAAAGTGAGACCTCCTAAAAGCATTAAATTCATAAATTTAATTATATTGATTAAAATGAATCAAGCAAAAAAACAGCAACAACTGTGGATCAATAACAATCAATCTAATAACTCATGATTCCACAATTATTTAGGATTTAAATAAATTATAAGTACTCTACCAAATTATTCAATTAAATTCTTACCTAGTTATTTCCAATATATAAAATGGATATTTGTATTTATAGCAACAATTATCTTCAGGATTGTTTGGAATCTTCAAATCCACTCGGAATACAGAGCTTCTTGTATCATTAAAGATTAAGTAGATAAATGATCAACATTGAAATTCAAGTTCATAATGACAATCTATTAAATAGTATATTACTATTGAAGATATTACAATAGGAATTTAATTTATAAGATGATTTGTTTAATAATATATATTTTTTATATTAATTTAGGAAAGATGAAAGGACCTAAATATGTGGAAAACAACTTCTAGTTGTTGTTAGCAAGACGGGTAGAATACAATAAACATATCAATTAAATTAAGAATGCCAAATGTAATCCCATGTTGGAGAAAAGAGTAAGTTATATTTGTAATTTAGTCTTTATCATAATAATAGTCCTTTTTTAGGTAGCTGGAGTAAAATTGGAAATAGGCCAATTTAAAAAGAGAACAAATGAAATATGAGGAGATAGTCAAGTTAAATACCAAGATGTTGATGAAGGTGGCAAATGCAAAGGAAGATCAATTTTTATCACAAAGTAATAAACAAATCTATTGGAGATTCATAAAAAGGGCGGATTGACTCTGCCAGATCAAGCAAATCTCTGCATAGTGTGATAAAGAAAACAAAGGAGCGAGAGTTATTTCAAGAGAACAAAAGATTGAAAGATAAGATCGAGAATGTTCAATCTTCAATTGCATATAATAAAATAATTGAGAATTTCAACAAGTAAGCCATATTCAAAAACATTAGACACCAAGGTGAGAGGGATCGATTGACAAGAAACTCCTATCAAAAATAGAAAAAGATAAAAGAAATGTTGGATAGCCTGACATCTTAGTCTAAAACGTCTCTGCACTCTAAAAATAACAATTCCAATTAAGTGCCCAAATTGAGGTTGCCCAAAATCAATCAGTAGGGATAGAGTGTGAAATCAATACAATAATTAAACAAATTGAGAGTGGATGGTTTCTACACTGCCAGATGAAATATGTTGTTTTGATATATAAACTTTGTTTTTATTTGTAATTTTGCGATTATGTGCTGAATCAATTAGTTATGACCCTATGGATGAATACTTATTATATTATGAATATGCATTTGATTATATGTAAATCATGCTAATGGGGCAGCATTGTTTTCCACCTTATATTACTCAACCTACTTAATGTAATTGACATAATGTCTGACTTTATTCAAGACAGGCAATGTTTCAGCTGAAATCACATAACCCAAATCCTCTTCAATCTATTTTAAGTATTTAAGTTTAGCTTACTTGCATTGATAATTCAATGGAATCCAAACTATCTAACCCGTGTTATTCCAATTCAGAATCCAAAGTGAGAGCAGACTGCCAAGATATATATAAGAAGTATTACTTTATTGGTTGTTCTATAATAATTTTTGACCAAGGTGAGAACATATCCCTCAATATCCTATGACTTCTTCAATTGCAAATAATTCTTAGTGATCAATTGTCCATCCTTATAAACTTGGATGGGTTTAGCTTGTTGTTGTTTGCCCTAAGTTGTTGCTGGAGTCTTATCTGCAGCAAAAGTATAGAGGGGTCTCATAGTCAACATTCTGAATCCTCTGATCATATTCATTTATTTAAATATTATCTTTGAAATAAAATATATTATTGATTTCTATTCAATCCATCTTTTTTTGTCCCCATAACTCCCCATCCTCGCTTGCACTTTTATCTCTTTATCATTGGCAACATTTCTCTCATCCTAGGCATGTCAGCATCACTAATGTATCTGGTGAGTCTCGTACTTCTTATATTCTCTTTTGAACAATTCCATTTCAAATGTCTTGATTCAGGCGATTTGACCTTCAGTTGTCAACCTCTTTTAGGTCCAACATTCTTCACCCTCTTCATTAAAACTTTATGATAGCCAATTTTATATAACGTATTTGGTGTTCTGATCCTCTTCTTGCAACTCGAAGTTGCATTTTTAGTTTTGTTCTAATTTAACCTGCAATTCTGACTTATTTAAATAATCACACTAATCCAAATTCATTACAACTGGTGGTGCCAAAACAGACATCAATATTAATTTTATTGTCTAGGTTGCTAATTTTAGCATAATTTGTTAAAACTAATATTGATTAAATTAATATTTTATATAAGATTTTACTATGGATTACTAGAGATATCTTTTATTGAATAGATGATAGATGATATTAATTACTAAACTAACTGAAATAAAATAAATAAAGAATAATAAAGAGTGCATATAAAAGTAAATTGAGGAATAAAATTATAAAATAGTTAAAACTAGTAATGGGATTTTTAAAAGAACAAGATAATAGTTAAATTTAATAAAGAATCTAAAAGATATAAATGAATAGAATTAGGAAATAAATGTGATTAATCTATATTCAAGATGAATTTTGAAGTGACTTAGCTATTAAATCTATTAGGTAGAATAATTCAAGGGTGATATCATTAACATAACATTTGATTAAAACTTAAGAATTGAAATTTGGTGATAAATATCAGTTAATATAACTATTTGCATATGGAAGATATGCTTTCACTAAGTTATAGAATTCTTTATGTAGCTATTTGAATTGAAATAAGGTGTCTTAGGCGTAGTAATCGATTCTGAACATCAAGGTTTGTATTTTGATAAGGTTTTGGAATAGTTTAATATATTATTTATAATTTATGTCTCAACCATTAAGGTATGGTTAAATTATATCACTTAAACCGTCAGAAATGGATCATATGTTCGTAATCAGTGATGGTCACATTAAAACGAAAGCTTAGATCTTTGAAATCAAAGCCAAGAAGGTAGCATCTGGGACACTTTTCTTTTAAAGTCTGTTTCAAATTTACCCTCAATTTCAAACTTCGAAGATCGACTAGGCATTAAAATTAGAGCGAGAATTGCAAAAGGAGAAATACTAAAAAGACAACATGAAATCAAATAAAATAAAGGAAATGGAAGAGAAGGTATTTCAAGAATACAAGCAAAATATTGAGACAGCAGAGAAAAACAAAGACTAGATATTTACAATGGCTTAGCCTATTTAGTTCTTGCATTTATCCAGCAACAAATTCTTGGCGTGTAATTATTTCGAAGCAGACGAAGAAAAAGAGAATTTCAAATTAGAATTGAATGAATATCCCTCAGATAATACTTGCTTCAGACTTGTGCCTGCCTACTTCCACCAAACGAGAGCAGATGGGTTGATTGCAGACGAACCCTTATACATAATCATGGATAAAATCTATCTCGGCATGAAACCCTACCTACACATGAGTGAATCCACCAAGCGCTACAATAATCACCTGATATTGGCTTCGAGGACAATGTTCAACTTCCCAAATGCGAAGGCCCTCCAAAGGAAAATCATCTCTGGACAAACCAAAAGCAAGTAATCCAGAGTCGATCTCAATGATTTGCAAGAACCAAATACTCAAATCATGTTGATGGCTCTTGATTACAAAAAAAAGTAGGATTTAGAATTAGCACATCAATTGGCCTCAGCAGAATCAATCTAGAAGAAGGAAATAAATGTTTCGTTAGAAAAAAGATCTCCCTTCCTCATCTCAGTGTTCTCCAATACAGAAGAGGATGAAAATAAGATATATTTCGGAGACGTTATTTGGTTGCATCACATAGAACTGAATGCAATTTTGGTGACTGTTAAAAATATGTCGGATGAAATTATTGTTTCGCTTCAGCAGACTAAAAATGATTAATTGGGTGAGTTTATTGGTAATACGAATGGAATGTGGTACATCGAGAGTTTGAATATGAAAGGAGGTCCGGTGGAGTGGGGTTAGATTTTTAGATTGAGACACTTTTCCTTAGGGAAATATTTGGCTGTTCAGAAGGAATAAGATAGAGATACTGATACGTACTCATGCTTTTATTTGGAAGACAAGCAAAGCGAAAACTCTTTATTGTAATTTTCTGCTCTCCCAAGTTCAATCAATGAAAATGAAAAGTTTGTTACTAAGGATGGCTTTTTTAAATTGAAAAATAACAAAAAATGGATTTAATTCATTGATAAGCATCCTGATTCTGATTCATCAATAGTTATGTTGAGGCTGAGTGACAATTGTAAGGATGATGATGTTCTCAAATGTTACAAGGCGAATCTAAATGAGATTCAAGAGACATCTTTTTTGGTTTCTTGTTTTCCAATCATGAGGAAAACTTTGTCCATTTTGACTGACTTGGCGACAAAGGATTACAAGAAGATCTATTAGGATAAAAACATCAAGTTTCCAAAGAAGATTGCCTAATTAAAGAAAGTTCTCTAGGATTTAACCAGATTTTGTTCAAATTAATTTCTCATTAGCAGTTAAAACCGATAGAAGGTATTAAAGGAGCAATACTTTATTGATATTTTATTGGAGATATTGTGTAATATCAGTAATGAGGGTGAGATAAAGGAATACTTGGAATTAACAAGAAAACGAAAGGGCCACGGATTTTCTGATACTCTTTAAAGATCAGCTGCTTAAAAACTACATTCTGCAGCATTTTAAGTCAGAGATGGATTGCTCTAAGATTTTGGCTAGGTGGCTTCGAGAGTATAGTAAGAGAATGATAAGAAGTAATTAAGGTAATATATTGGTGAGAAATTTGAAGTTATCAAAATGATTTATCAATTATTGATTTGCATATGCAAGGACAATAATTAAAACGAAGAATATGTCTATAATAGAGTAGAAAAATTCTAGTATTAAGCAAAATTTTTTAAGGAAACAACCGATTTCATTATTTCTTTACTTAAAAACAACGAATATTTATTATAAAATCTTACTGAAAAGATTCGTTTTTCTGGATAGAATTAAAGAAGAGATAGACATGAATCCATTAAATCATATCCTTAGTCTAGACTTGATATTAGTTAGCTTTAAAGAGATCCAAATAACATTGTGCTATTCTATAAGAAACTGGTAGAGGAATCTCAGAATTCAAAGGATTACATTGAATTTTTTAGGACTATCTGTAAATACAATAATAAGGGGTTGTCAGTCAATCAGGAAACTATTTTTAAGAAATGCCAAGAAAATCCCAAATTCAATAATGCGCTATTTTGGACAATTACATGCACAGACAATTAGATGCTGATCGAAAAGGATGTAGATAAAAAGACTATGTTTTAATTAAATAAAGAGGAGTTGGATTCCTTTGTAGCTCAATTGAGATTATACTCAGACTTGGCTCTTTCAAGAAATTTTTAGTGGAAAGGAATACTTGAGAAGAAGTTCCCTAAGTAATTTACATTTGAATAAATCTTTAATAACGAATTAGATCCTGATGTTAGATCCGCTCTCTGCAATTTGGCATTAACTGTCTATATTGATCACGAGCCTTTGCATCTATAAATTGTTCCAAATTTGTGCAGATTGGTCAACCAATAAGCAATTAAACAGCAATAGGAATTTCATGATCACGAAATATTTAAGTAGTTGATTCCTAAGGTGATGACACAGATCCATGATTATAAGAAAAATTTGATTGACGAATTAACAAAAGGGTCACAAGCGAGCAAGAAAATAAAGTCAGAGGCGTAGTTACAGTTAGATATTATTAAACTTGCTAAGACTCTGATTCAATTTGATGTTGTCAATTTGATTAATAGGAAGGATATCTATAGCGAAATATTACAGCCTTTAATCACATTTTTAGAATATGACAAGAATAATTATGTGTTGTCTTATTTGATGAATCTGTAGAGGGAAGAAACTTTAAAAAGAGCCAAGAATTCAAATAAAATTATCTCAACTATGAAAGGCATGGTGACTGGAGCCATTGATGTTGGCAGAGCATTGGTAAATGTGGTTGTAAGAAAGAAACAAGACCTTGAGGAGGAATTTGCAGAGTAGACTTTGTTTTCTAAACATCCGATTACTGCTAGTTTATTGACAATCACTTCAAAAATACAGAGTTTAAATACTGAGAAAGGGGAAGAAACCTATTAGATTGATATAGAATAGAAGATGGAAGTTTGTGA